TGCCTTAGCCTTTCTTTTCCCTTGCTTTTTTGTTTCAGTTGCCATCTCTTTTACAGCAATAACTTGATTGTTTATTTGAGTTTGCATTTGCATTGACGCTGATATTGAAAACATTTATTCTAAACTGAACTCAATATGTCGAACATCTCTTTTAAACAAGAAGAATTTTCTTTTTATCAAAGCTTAACGGTTGCTTTTGTAATTTACAGAATAATATTCACTTGTGAAATACTGAAAAACAAAATTATATACAAACTTAATGTTTTCTGAACTTTCTTTTCATGCAAAGGCAAACACAATTACTTCATTAGAAACAAATCAAAGCCTAAGTATGTATATTTACGTCATTTATGTATTAATTGTATTTGTTAACGGTATTTTCTTGTGGGTGAAATGAAGAATTGATCTTTACTAATGGAGTTTGAATTAATAAAGATTTTAAACTGACGGTAGTATATTTCAAGATTTGTCAGCTGGATTTACTAAGAAATATGAATATTTATATTATACTGTGCGCGCAAGTTACAATCCGCATTGGTGGGAAGACCAAAGACATATCCAAGAGAACTATTATGGAGTTCATACAACAGCAACGAAAATGTCATTTACTCCCTTTGCGTGTGTGTGTGTGTGTATATAGGAAGCTATTGGGTCAAGGACTTGCTTCTTGTGCTCTAGAAGAGCTTCAAGAAATTGATAGTCAACTCCAAAGAAGTTTGGGCAAGGTCCGAACAAGAAAGGTATATACATGTTTGAAGGATTATATAGCCCTCATTTAGCTACGAGCAACATGCATTTTGCGGTTTGGCGACATATATATTAATCGATCCATATAGTGTACTAACATCGATCCAGACATATGTGTAAATTCTCTATGTGTTTTATCATGGAATTGAGTATAGTTGGACAAAATATTTGTAGGCTCAGTTGTTCAAGGAGCAGCTGGAGCAGCTAAAAGCAAAGGTCTGAAACCAGCTTTATATATTATATATTTACTTTGCGTATATAAAATGGTGAGAGAGTGGTTTTTTTTTCCAGGAGAAACAATTGTTAGAAGAGAACGTCCAGTTACATCAAAAGGTAATGCATCTCTCTTTCCATTGTTAGAAGAGAATCAAATATGATTTATGTTGTGGTTGACGAGATTGCCATTTATGTTAATTATGAACAGAACGCCATAGATCCATGGAGAGGATCGAATGATCAACAAGAGAAATACAGAGTTATCGATCTGAATTTGGAAGTAGAAACTGATTTATTCATCGGTTTGCCAGAGAGACACCACTAGTAGCATATGACTACTGCTGTCAACAACAACAACAAAAGTAACATATGTTTCTTTATTTCGCATCAAATGTTGAAAATCCTTGAATAAATTGTTAATTTGCTATCGCGTCTCTTGATGAGTTTTATAATTCTAGACTAATATGATATCTACATTCAAATCAAGATAGATTTTATCTAGTTAAATACCAAATATAAATATAATACATGCCTAAGCCCTATCTACTCGTTAAGTTATGGGCTTCTAGAGGCCCAATACAGATCTAGTACATTAAATTAGTATATTCTTCCCGGATCTGATACACAAGTAACACAACCAACCAACCACCTTTGTGGGCTATAATCAGATTTGTACACACATATTACTTTGCATAAATATAATTACATATATGTTAAACTCTAATGTATAGGAGATAAATGCATCGCCTCACGGTTAGCTGCTTGTTCAGCTGTATTTGAATTTTGAAATTTCACTTAACTTCGACCGTTGTGTTAGAATATATTATTCATAAGATAATAAGATTATCATGGGTAATGCAGAGATCAAGTAGTCAGGTATAACAACAAGTCATTAATCATACTCCTATCTAGCTACTATAGATAATTTTACAGCTGTCCCGTTGTGCACTTTCAACAATTGTAAATTTACCTCCAACATATTATACGTCTGGTTGATTAGAATAGTTGTGTATCATATATCGAAATATTTATTTAGTACATTCTCGTACTTACATAGGTTAGAGGAGTCATCAGCCATGCAAGGCTGATTCTTTCCATATTCTTTCTAAGACTTTTACATGGTATCCTTTCTTACTTTACACTTTTTCTTGATTTTCTGTAAATCCTTTTCGGTTTTCTTTTTGGATTATTATAACCCCATATGTAAGAAAAATCAGTAAATTGGACCCGAAAGTAATTTATTCTCTTGTCTGAAAAAGGTCGCCTAATTGCGCGCGTTTCCTTTCCTAATAGTACGAAGACACAGGTATAATTTATTGTAATCGGACTATATAATATAAAAAATGTTCATAAAATAGTAATTAAATCCCACATCGTATATAATCTTTTCACTGTTGAAATAAATAAATTATCATTTACAACAAAATGCTACTACACGATACATTATCTAAAAAACAGATATGCTAACGTAAGAATAATCCGAAAAAAAAAAACTATTTTGTATATGTAAACATTGTCATAGATTCACCAAGAAAACATTTAATCCCCACAAACTGGGCAAACAATTAATATTTAGATGCAAAAAGATAACTAGTACTACTATTTTATACGAACATCATTTAATAGATTTTGGTCAACCATGTCGATATTTTAACATATTCATATAACGGTTAGCAAAGTAAGCTCGTATTATTAAAAATCCTCACCCATGTGATTTCGCTCTTATCTAATAGTTTTTGCTGTTTATTTTGAATTTCCCGCCCAACGGTCGACAGTTTAGTTGGACAATGGACACCCAAGCTATGACAAGTATAATAACATGCTCATATGCGAACATACACAAAAATTAAAAACATATTTAAATGGGTAAACGTTAGAGCACAGTTTTATTTATAGATGATAGATCATAGATGTAAGATTTTTGGATAGTTCGGAGCGTTGCAGGTTAAGTCATCCGTTTTTATCTTATTTGTTGTAAATAGTTTATCTGAAAATAGTTAGATCAGTCAGCTATATATGATGTATATATATTCAGGTCTTCGTTAGATATGATTTTTTTATATATAGAGAACTAAGAAGATGCCGCTGATCAGTGTCTTCGTTGCATATGATTAGAAATGGTGAAGTATTTTTTAACGCTAAAATGTTTTAATTATATTGTTGATATATAGTAAGCCATCGTTCAAGAGAAAAAAACTACTGTATATGGTCCGAATCCGATGTATTTAATTATTATTAGATTAGTTTTGTTTAGTTAGGTGATAGGATTTTCATCGCTGAATTTTTTGTTGATAATATGGTTGTAATTAAGTTGTTGCTGTCAGTTGTCAAATATATGTGATTAAGTTTGTATGCCCATTGAAACCAGAAAAAAAGTTTGTATGTCCAATGAAAGTAAATCTTATTCAAACACAAAACCAAAACAAGTTCTCAAAGATTTTTAGTGACGAACAGATATATATTCCTTTGTCAATTATCATGACTGAATATATATTCTTAACAAAGTACTATTTCTCTATGCATTCTAAATTGCATGAGTGGTGTCTTCATTACGACAGATGTAGCTTTAATCTTTACGTAAATGTCTTGGGTCCATGCAAAATCTATCTTTCGTATTGTCTTTTTACTACTTTACAAGGTTCTCTTCTCCTTTTCACTTTTCTTTTTTTTCTTCCTTCAAATATATTTAAATTTAAAGAAGTATCCTTCTCTTACACTCCTTTTCGATTATTATTTATGGCAATCGTCAGGATTGTTTAAGTTTTCTCTGCGATGCACAAACTCTCATGACATGATAACAAAGATACATAAGATTCCTCTTGAAATATACGTACGTTATTTTGTACTCATCGTCAACGTCATAATCGTCAAAGGCTTTTGAAAATTGGTTGCTTCATGGCTGTATCTTGGTTTTTTATTATTAATTATTGTACTTTCGATTTTACCATGGTTTCAATACGTTTTAACAAAGACACATGAGGTCCCAGAAAAAAAATTGAGATACTCTAAAGAAAATTATGCATGTAGAGCAGCTAATATATAGGTCATCATTCGTCATATTAAAATGTAGCTATAGCCTATAGTGTCATGTCTTATATGGAGTGGGAAATTATTTCTGTAAAAAGTGTGAGCTGTGTCACATCGTCAGAGAGCTTGAAACCTTCAGCTGTTGTTTACGCCAAATTAAGCCCGCGGGACTGCGGTGATTATTTTGAATATTTCCTGTGAAATAAAGTGCATATTTATTTAAGGTTATGTTTGACTGTTTCATGAATGCATGATTATAAGTTTATGATTATAAGTTTGACTGCATATTTATTTAAGGTTATGTTTGACTGTTTCATGTATAATTATAAGTTTTGACTTACGTTCACGAAAGTTTATACAAAACAATCTTTCAAAATTTCAAAATAAGACATATAAGGCTAATTTGGCAAAAACAAAATTCAAACAACAAAAGTTTGAGGCCCGGAGATTTTCTGGTCCTATAATTATAAGACCCTAAAAATAGTAACCTTCTTTAGTACAGCATGTGTGTAAATTCAAACCTAGCCTATACAACCATCCGAATCTAGGCACTAGCTACGATATAATTTTCAAACATTTTCGATAGACCCCTTGATTGTGATTCAATGTCATCAAATGCGTGAGTACAAAACTCACACTGATTACTGAGACATCTATAATTTCAACTTTTCGTTACATCGAAAAAAAAAACTAAATATTAATAGCCAACAACATAAAATAAAAAAAAATGTTATTCAAAACGCATAATGAATACTATTCTTTAGTCTACATAGCATATGCAAAACCCATGGGATGTTGGAATACACGGGGGACAAAAACATCTGAAATTGACAGATCTATCTTAACAAGCACCATACCGGTCCACACCACTCCCACATTTCAAATTTTTTTTTTTTTTATTTCCTTTATATATAACGGCTACAAAAGTATTTGAACAGTAAAACAATATAATTAAAAGGATCTATACAAAAAAAAAAAGAGCCAATAAATGGCCGCCGTGTGGAATACTTTTATCCACGTGGATGCATCACTCTCCTATCGCAAAAGAAAGAGGACGAGTCGTGGTGGGACCCGTCGTTTGGAGGGTATCTCGTCACGTGAACTCCCCACGTGCCACTGACATCATCGTTCCTCTTAAGCGGCGCCGTTTTGATCCACGTGTCGTAGCAATCTGTCATCGTTTCGGTCACGAGTGTCTCCAAGATTCCTCTCTCGAGCTCCGTGACGATTCCTTCGCCTTCCTCTTCAAACGCCAATTCCGTCTGCGTCGCCGTCTCCGGGAAATCTCCGGCGACCAGAGAATCGATATCTTCGAGAACCAAACACTCGGCCAACGGAAACCGCTCGATTCTCCGACTCAGCTCGTCGATCAGCTCCGATCCCTTTAGATTCCCCCGAGATCGAACCGGATAACGGCAAACCCACGGTTTCAAATTGATGCGCGGCTTTAAGATATCGGCGAGGAGCTCGTCGGCCAAATGGAACAGTAGCTTTCGATTGCATCGAAGAGCTAGATCTTCCGGCGAGTTTCTAGTGATGGCGAAGTGCTCGAGGAAGTAGAAGATGGATGGATCGAGTGGGTGCGAAGGAGAGAACCATTTAGCGTACGAAACCGGTGTGTCTCTGTCGACACCGGTTCGTCTCAGGGCTCTTGTTATGTACTCTAACTCGCCGGCGGCGATTGGTGGTGCAATGTGCGTCTGTGATTGGCTCGGAAAACTAGGAAACAACTCTGATGATGCTCTGTTTCTCGATGACTGCGTTTCTCTGAGCTTTAACGAATCCACATACAAGTTTGACTGCAAAAAAAAAAAAAATGAATAAAGATAAATAACATTAAATATCTGAAAATGAAATGGGAAGCATTGATTACCGATTTGTGAGGTGGTGAGTCTTTCTTCTTGATGGTGTGAAGAGAAGGAACAGTGGTGAAGTTAATGAGACCGTTGTGCTTGTTACTTGCTGCTGCCGGGGATCGAACAAACGGCTCCTCCTGCATTGTCTGCGGCGGCTTCACTAGTCTCGACTTGAAATTCTCTGGCTTCCTCCTCTGCTTGTGTTTCTCTTCTTGTACAGGTGGCAACCTGGTCTCGAGAATCTTGGAAGCGACGTTATTTGCCTGAGGTGGTTTGGTTTTGGGGGTTTCCGTTGATCCTAGTCTCGGGGATGATGATGAGGATGAATCGTGAGTGATGGTTGTGATCTTGGAAGAAGCTTTCTTGGGCTCGTGCATCTCTCTTGAATGTTGATGATCTTTGCTGCTTCTGGTGGTGTTGGTGATATCAGCTCCCATTCTTCTTCGCCGGCTAACGTTCTCCTTCAACTGCATCACTATCTGCCTAGCGTACTCTCGTGGACTCCGGTTCTCTTTATCCTCGTGTATCTTCATCTCCTTGACCCTCGTGAACCTGGCGATGTTGTTTTCAGACGACAAGACGTTGATATTGTTGTTGTTGTTGTTGTTGTTGTTGTCTCTGAGATGGAGGAGGGAAGAACGTTGGTGTTCGTAACAGTTGATGACATCGACGGATCTCCTTCCGAGTGAAATCCTCGGTGTCTCGGGTAGAGATCGTGTTCCTCCGTCGATGGAGTTCCTCTGGAGAGAGTAATGTCTGTGCTTGTTGGTGTGGGAAGATCTTGTGGGTGTCTTGAGCTCAATCAAGGAAGAAGAAGAAGATGATGGAGTGGGAGATGATCTGTAATTGTCCGGAACAAGATCGAGACCCATGAGTCTAGCGACCAAAGTTGGTGTCTTCACGCTCGGAGAATAAGATTCAGTTGCTGTAAGAGATGATGGTGATGGTGATGATGATGATCTTGCTTGCGGTTTGGTCTTGATTTTAATACCCATCTGAAAAGTTATATGAGTATTAGAAAGAAAAAAAAAGGAAGAAACTTTTGTGAAAACCAAGAAGATAAAGAAAAAAAAAACAGAGTGGGTAGTTAAATTTTATAAGCACTAATCACTAACAGAGATATTTAGATTCCCATCTTTTCTGGTCGGTGAACATGGAGTCTCCTCCTCCGTTGATTCCAAGCTGTTTCTCGGCGCATCTACGCCTGGATAGGTTTTAGCAGAAAATCAAATCATTGTAATGGTAAAGACTAAAGATTGAGAAAGTCAAAAAAAGAAAGAAAGATGGTACCTTTGGGAAGATGAAGATGGTGGTGGTTAAGGGGAAACTGTAAATGTTGCAAATCGAAAATGTTAAACACAGCACTCATGCAACCCGCCGCCGTTGCAGTATTGCCGGCGGGAGAGGTAACCGGCGGCGTCGTTTTGATGTCTTTCTTTGACTTGCTTGAGGATTTTTTCTTACCTCCTCCTCCGCCGAGCCAGGACCAGTCTCTTCCCATATTTCTTTTCCGGTTTAAATTTTTTTTGATTGTGTTGTATGTTTGTGAATTGGTTTTGTGACTTGAGGAGGAAGAAGGAGAAATGTGGTGTGGGGAAATGGATTTTATAAGATTTTTTTTTTTTTTTTTTTTTGGTCAAATGGATTTTATAAGATTTAAAAGTATATAGATGAGAGGAAAGTAGATCCATGAAACCGTATAAATAAATACATTTCTATTTCTGTAACTTTCCATAGGCTTTTTTTCCCCAGCTATAGTTCTCGTAGGCTTTTAATTAGGAGAAGATTGTCAAATGTAAAATCAATTAATATTTTGAAAAAAAAAGAAACACAGGTAAAAAAAAGAATTGGTTATTTTTAATTATAATAAGAATAATGTTTTTTGTTTAAAAATGGTAAGTAGGGGCCTGCTTGTATTGGCTTCTCTGAAATATATACGCTTAGTATTCTGTCGTTATCACGTAATGCAATAATACTGTATTTTGTTCCGTGGGAAAAAACCACACATCTCTAGTTATTTTCTTCAGCCTGGCCTCCAGAAAATCGCCAATAGAAAAAATATATATATATATATATATATATAATAAACAACCAAATTAAGATACTACTGAAAAGCTCAAACTACAATAAGATTCGTACACAAACTCCATGGCGGTGTTACCGAACAACGAGGGGATCCTCAATTTGTTTCAAACCCTGACGTCTTCCTCCTTTCAAATTTTTATCCTAATTTTTATTCTGACTTGCTTTCTCCCACTTTAATACTTCTACCCAATAACAACCAGTAAACAAGTACAATATGATCTTATCTATCAATAAATTCGATGCGCACTCAACACTTAGAATAGTATTATTTACGGAGTAATTAATGAGTAACAATAATCTGTAAATGGGATCACAGTGAGTCAGTGACTATGATCACCGTTGTTTGGCATCACTCTATATGTACTGCTAATGAAATTTGTAACGTATAATTAGTTTTATGTTTATAACATCAACGATACTAATACAAACCAGAAACTATAAGCACTCGCCGTCAATTAGCTTTACTGATTTGATTCGCGAAAGTGTTGACTATATGTCTATTTCATGTTGGTTACACATTCATACGGATACATGTAACTATTTATTCTTCCTTAGACTGTACGTATATACAGTAAAAGAATTTCCGCTAGTGGTGAAAGTAAAAACTAGAATAACCCATATATAGCACACATGGCACATAAAACGAAAATGACACCACTGTGTACAATGTAAATTCATAAATGAAGAGAAGACTGGACCATAACATGATTATATATTTAAGTGAATGTGGCCAATACAAATCACATGAAATTTTAGGGTATGGTCATAGTACGATCCAAATTAAACTTGTCCTTATAATTTAAACAAAAGTAAAAACAAAGAGCAGAGAAAAGGATGACTCTTTATTTTATTTTATTTTATGTTGAGTGTGTTCTTAAAACAAACAAAACGAAGAAGAGAGAAAAGAGCCAATGCGATATATTGCCTATCCACTCTCATGCTAATTAAGAAAGATCCCAGTTTACATTTCTGGATTTCTGTTCTATTAACTTGTCCTTATAATTTAAACAAAAGTAAAAACAAAGAGCAGAGAAAAGGACGACTCTTTATTTTATTTTATTTTATGTCGAGTGTGTTCTTAAAAAAAACAAAACGAAGAAGAGAGAAAAGAGCCAATGCGATATATTGCCTATCCACTCTCATGCTAATTAAGAAAGATCCCAGTTTACATTTCTGGATTTCTGTTCTATTAGCATCACTGCAACTTCCTTCAATTTTGCTATCACCTATAAGGGACCACGCTTCTAATATATATATATATATGGACCATTCTATGATATTCTTGTTTGTTAAGATTCCAAGTAGTAGTCACAATTCAAACAACAAAATTTGATAATCGGTTATTTACTTCTCTTATAAATCCAACATAAACGGATTTTCAATATTTATTTAAAATTTTCGGTATTCTCAATCCTATATTTAGTTATTAAATTACACGATCGTGTTAAAATAGTAAGCTTGCTACTGGTCTCAAACTAAATCGTTCATTTATAAAACTTTGTTTTTTTTAAAAAAATGCAATGATCGTGTTTATAATAAAATGCCGAGTGAGTTAGTTAAAACTTGAGTGCGGCTGAAAACAAAAATTGTGATGGATTCGGAAGTCCAAACTCCAATGGAATGGAATAGTACTAATTAATATTAAAGCGAAAATTAAAATTATTAGAATTAATGTTGGTGTATCAATTCTTCCTTATGGCAGAGTGGCAACATTAATGTGCTAGATTAATCAGTGGATACTATCTGGAGTAAATTAAATAAATTTCATGTAAATGTGGACTGTGAATCTATTGTAGCCTGATTGGTGTTGCTCTGAACAAAAAAAAAAGAGTTGCAAAAACCAATTCTGTTATAGATATAGACAGTGCAAGAGTTTTATGTTGGTTGGTGTATAATTAGTTTAGCAGAGAATATGACGGTTTGTCTTTCAAATTGTGATTATGCTAATACTCGGATTTACTCTTGCTCGTAGATGCACACTAGAGTAGATGAATGATGATCCTTGGTTAAGTAGACAGAGCTCACCATCTACAAATACATTCCCAGGTAAACGTCCAACCTCTTTGGCTTGCTAAAACTCTCTCAACTTTAGCTAGTCATTTCAGCTCTTGAGAGTCTTGAACAATCAAGATACGGTCAAACTATGGAACGACATTAAGCTGAGAAAGAGACATGTAGGAGAATTTTAGCAGAGCTCTTTCTTTGCAATCGAGAAAGCTTATATCAGAGAATGTGCTACCGTTTGCGGCGTCTATATCAGAACACACTCTGCGTCCATCGTCGCTCTGATTAATGTGTACACAACTTGGTCACATTCTTTGAAACTAAACATGGTTGCTGTTGATCAGGTTTATCTGAAAGAATTGTTTTTGAGGTTGTCGAAGATGGGAGCAGCTGATGAGCTCACGGAACAACAACAGTCAAAGTGTAGATTTGGTTTCGTGTACAATTGTCTTTTTTTGTTTTAGGGAATTCAATGTGTAAAGAATCATACGAAACGTTTATGTAAAGTAAATACAAGTAATTTGGTTAAGAAATGTGAAACAAATGTCCCTTAACACAATTTCTTCTTTAAGTTTATTGATATATATAATATGACTTGAGAAACATTTTGGTTGTTGGGTCTTACACCGCTTAAAAACGATAGAGAGGTTGAGGTCTTAGAAGAAACGAAATAAAAATATATAAAGTTGTGCTTCCATCTTTTATGTATCTGTTTCCTTTGACTTGATTATGCTCCCATTCTGGTTTCTGGTTTGGGAAAAATGAGCCTAATTCCGTACAACACCAACACTACGATTGCCAAGATTCCCCAGATTCCAAGGTATGCGATACGGATATAAGGAAGTGTGGGATGAATCATCGCCATTGTGCAGAAGAAGGCGGCAGATACACAGAGAACAGCAACAATCATCAGAAACTTCATGACCGCGATGACAAACCGGTTCCTGTTTAAAAACCAAAATGAACTAACTAGTCATTAACTAAAGCAGTCGCTCATTGATTACAGTATGACGAAATAAGACTCTTACCTGAGCCCCAGACCGCTCACTAAGAGCAGAATGAGAGACATCGAGGCAGAGAAGGAGATGATGGAGCTAAATAGCATCCCAAGATACAAGGGACGCATCGAATCGTCGTCCCCTAGCACGGCGGTTCCGGCTGTCGTGCAAACGGTGGACTTGGAGCCGCAGTCAACGCTCTCCCAGACTCCACCAGGGGGATTCACCATAAGGCCGAAACCCATCCCGCCGATGACAGTAGCTGCAACAAAGAGATTTCCTCGTGTTGTATCAATCCATTCATATTCCTGCATGATTATACAGTTTAGGTTTGATTTCGTCTTTCATCTGTGGTGGCCTTTTTATGCATAGTTTATAGCCTAACTAACAAGAGAGTATTAATGATTACTTGGGGTTTTTTTCTCGACTAGGTTTGGTTAATTGCGAAGATTACCCCGGCTATAAGTTGGTTCAGTCCACGATGAATGTTTAATTTTAAACATGACACATGACACATATACTCACAAGTCACAAACCTATTGAACAAACTTTTGTGCCCAACACTAACCAGTGATTATTTTTGTTGGATTAAAAAAAAAAAACAAAACATGGATTAAAAGATAGAAATGCAAGATGATGATGATGACCTCATAATCTTTAAGTGTTTGTTTGTTTGAACTACACACTTGCCTTCAATGCACATTTAGAGGGAGACAAGAGAAAACTGTAGAAGATAAACAAGAATCATGAAAACAAGTGAATATGTGTGAAACCAAGAGATCTAAAACCAAGTTAAGATGCACTAGGACTAATCGAATTCCAAGTAAACAGAGTTGCGGATAAAAGACAATATTACCTAACATTGAGTTTTTAACGAAGCAGGCTAAGAATATATGTTTGACACTTGGTTGATTCCAAGACCAATGTGCTCCTGGTCCTGGATACCGAATCCAAAGCAGCCAGTGTCACTCAAGTTCCTCCTCAACAGCTCCTACTCCTTCACTTTCACTGTCAAGCCACTCTCAAGAAGCTGCATTGCCAAAACATGTCACAGTGTACCTCGCTCTTGACAATCAAGAAAACCAATCTTCAAATCAAGAGACTCTACAATCATCGTACAATTACAAATTGGACAAGACAGGGGTTGACCACTGACTGAGCTGTTCCACCTCCTACAATTACCCAAACCCATCGCTTCAAATTTACTGCAATTCCTAAAAACCCATTTCAATCATTTTTCACTCTTGGCAACTTTCCAAGTTAGTATATACTGTCTATGAGAGAAACAATTAACCAACCTTGGAGAGACACAGACCGTCTTTTCCAATCGGATTCCGATCGACAGAATCATATATTGGCAACAAGCCAAGAACAAGATTTTTTTTTTTTCTCTTCCCTTTTGAAAACTGATTAAAAATATGCTCTTTGTTTTCTCGATGCTTCAATTAAACAGATAGCTAGTGACGTGGAAAATGATTATAGCTTCGAAACTGCGAGTGATGAATTAATAATAATCGTCTTGTCATTACTAGAGGATCTAGAATATCCATGTGATTAATTGTGAATATTATGAACACGAGATTTGTATTTATGTTAAATGATACTCTTAGATTAGTAATGAAGTTAAGTCTTCTACTATATAAATCTTTCTACATTGTATATTAATCTCTATGAGAGTAAATAATATTTCTTCCATCATAAGCTCTCATCATCTTTAATAATTATCACCCAAACTACACAAAATTGTTAGGAAAGGGAAAAGGACCCAAAAAAACACAGACACTAAAAATAAATAAATTAGCAATAAAATTATAAGACTTGAGTTTTTTTTATCAAAATGGTTGGTGTTAGAGCTTTCACCATCTATGTCCTATTGTCCTCTACCACCGCGACCTCGATTTCCGCCTTGGCTACCACGGCGACCATATCTTCTTTGCAATGGTTCTCTCTCTTGAACCTCCAAGCTCACACTCCCAACATTGTTCTGCCCAGCTGCAATGAATTCGTCTACATCCTTCAACCGTATTATTCGTATTATCCTTGTCTTCTAGTAAGATTCTTCTCAGTGCAACAAACACAGCTCTGCGAATTATAACCAAAGTTACCTTAATATTTTTTCTTTGGAATGTGAACAGAACAGATAACACTAAAAGAGTATAAGAAAGAGAGAAAGGAATTTGATGATCATTAGTCGGAAACAATGCTCAGGTTGATCTTCAAGTTTCTTAAGTTTCTGTTCGTATATACAATATTTAAACAATATATAGATGAATAAAAGAACCTATTGATAAATTGTATGTAATCAGGATTAGAAAAAAAAAACAATTCGTTTCTGAATGTGATTGTAGATGTTGATAGGGATGTTGATTTAAAAAACAGATATTAATGCAGTGGCAAAATATATTCCTTTCTGTTTCATACTCCCTCCGTTTCAAATTAGTTGTCGTTTTGGGAAAATGTATCTGCAATTATTTGGATGTATCTGCAATGCAAAACACGTCCAGATACATCCAAATATTTGCAGATACATTTTGCCAAAACGACAACTAATTTGAAACGAAGTGAGTAATAAAGTATCATCTAAGATTTTTGCACACATATTAAGAAAACAATAAACTTTTCTATTTTACATTTATTGAGCTGAGAGATTATAAGATAAATCTGGAAATTATATTAAAATTCTGCATTGAAAATGTAAAACGACACTTATAAATTTATAATGAAACAAAAATTAAACTCTAAAACAACACTTATTATGAAACGGAGAGAATATATAGTAACCAATTATTGTGAAGCAACGTGAATCATATAGCGAGCACTAAATTAGAGTAAATATCATTTAAACATGTATATTCAAATTGAGTTTCATTCTTAGATTGTAGTATAATTATGTGTCAAATACTCCCTTCTTTCGAGAATATATGATGTTTTAGTTTTTTTTCTTGTTCCATGATGTTTTACGATTTAAGATACTTTTTTTTTAATTAATGTTAATAAACAACAAACTTCAAAAACTATTAATTAAAATAATTAAATTCTTGAAATATCTATTGGTTTATGTTTAATAAAAATGGTTTGTGTAAGAAAACAATGCATTTAACAGTTATACAATTAATAAATGTTTCTTAGTTTATGTAAAAGCTCTAAGACATCTAAAATAAAAGGAGTACAAATTAACATTCTAGCATACACCATGTGCGATCCTAATCCGATTGTAGTACGCGCCAAACGGTTAAAAAAAATGGAGCTGGAATTTTGGAGAAATATGCGGAGGGCTTTTGAAATTAATGGTGGTTCGCCTTTTTTACTTACAATGATTCATTTATTTGGTTTTTATTTTTTGGCTAATCATTTTTTTACATTAAACTGAAAAAAAAAATCTTCACTATTTTACTTGGTTTGTGTTTGTTTTATAATTTAGCCAATGCCATAAAAAGACTATCTAAAAATTGAAAGTAAACGTTTTCCATACATTTTCTTTAATATAAAAATTGCACATTGGTATTCTTATTACTCCAAAAACATATTCACTGAAAATGAATCATTCCACAATTTTTCTTTTAGCTATTGCTATTGCTTGTGTACTTTGGATTGAATGAAGTTGCTCCTATGTTCCTAATCGTTTTGAAATTCAAAATCAACTAGGCCCTGGTATTTCTCTCAATTATCGTTGCGAAGGCGGTCGGCGACAGGACGCATCTGCAAACAGGACCCCAAACATTAAGCTTCAATGATAGTTATATTTATACATCCATACTGAATAGAGTAAGATATGGTTGTTTTCTAAGCTATGGGAAAGCACCTGAATATTATTTTGATAATCTTGAAGTATATGATGATATAACGAACGACGGGTTGGTTGCGTCATTGGGTTGCAAGAACTGATGGAATTTATTTTAGAAGAAATGATCGTAAACCTTTGGGATAGGGTACTTGCATGGAAAAAGAAATAAATAAATTTTATTCTTTTCTAAAAATTTAAAATTTCCCAATATTCATAAAATATGTTAATAATATGCTATAATATGCATCAAAATGTAATAGTAAAATATGAGTTTATTTAATATTAAGTTTTGTAAGAGAAATAACTACATATGTATGTTTTTCATTTTTTATATGTAATGAGATTACAACACGCGTGATACATATGTAAATATAAAATATTATGACTAAAAGATCTGAATAATTATTATCAGTGTGATTATAGTTTAAAACCTACATTTAATTATTCAGAACTTGTGTTTTATAAATGGTTAAATTAAGAAAACTCAAAATTGACACTTTTTAGAGATTCCGAGAAGCAAATCAACTAAATGAATGAGATGATTCCAAAAACAAATACTGAAATGCTAGATGAATTTTAAGAAGAAACCATATTAAAAACTGATTAAATGCTCTTTGTTTTCTCTCTTTTGTGCATTAAATTAAACAAGAGACGCGAGATGCTTCATCGGCGCTGTAACAACAGATAACTAGTGACGTAGAAAATGATTATAGCTTAACGAAAATGCAAGGGATGAACTAATAATTGAGTTATCATCATTATCACCCAAATTACACAAAATTGATAGGAGGGGACACAGCAAAAGAGCCTCCCCCGCAAAAGAGACACAGGAAAGGGAAAAAGGACCAAAAGAAAAAAAACACACACTAAAAATATAGTAGCAATAAAATTATAAGACTCGAGTTTTTGAGTTCAAAATGGTTGGGTGTTATAGCTTTCACCATCTCTGGCCTCTACCACCACCACCACCGCGACCGAATCTGCCACCGCGACCCCGATTTCCGCGGCCTTGGTTGCCAAATCTTCTTTGCATTGGTTCTTTCTCTTGAAGTTTAGGCAACTCCTTGACAACCTCCAAGCTCACACTCCCAGCATTCTTTTGCCCAGCTGCAACAAACTCGTCCACATCGGATTGCGACACATCGAAAACAGCACCTTGCCCATCTGCTGTTAGAGTCATCCCTTCAACCGTATTCACCTTGTCTTCTGGTAAGATTCTCCTCAGTGCACCAAACACAGCTCTGCGTCACATAACCATAACCAAAATCATCTTAGTCTTTTCCTTAGAGCAAAAAGCAGAGTAACACAGACAAGAGCGACTTACGATGCAGAGTACATTGGTCTCCCTGCTTCAAAAAGTAGCGTCACATGGTTCTCCATTGATGTTAGAAGTGACCTCTTCTTTATCTCAGTGAAGCCCTGCATTAAACCACCATCCCAAAACGCTTTACTACTACTTTTCTTTCAGACAAACAACAACAACAACAACAACAAAAACAAAGCTAGTGAGACTGAGACCAACCGCGGTTTTTGCAAGAGCTTTTGCTAGGAGCACTTCAGCTGATACACCAGAAGTTTCTAACAAGTCCTTGGCAGCCGCCATAAACGCAGGAACCACACTGCATTGTGACATATTCTTTCTTGGGTTTAGTACTTAGTACCATGACATTCCTCAGAAATTTACAAGACCCGTGTGTAAAAAAACCATACCTGTCACAGACTTGTGTAATTTTCTCAGCAGCTTCCATACCAACAGCTTTGGCTATGTCATTAGGCTGCGGTGCAGAAACGTGCTCGAATTTGATTCCAGCTTGTTTCTCAATCTTTGATACACCTGACCTTCTAGAGTCGTACAGCATAACCGCAACTCCAGTGTTGCCTGCAACAGTAATAAAATACAGATCATGACACCATCGTGCAAACACAACGCTACCAAGCAACTGTAAAAATATAGTATATATGTGCTTTACCAGCTCTTCCTGTTCGGCCTGAACGATGGATATAGTCTTCAACGTCACGTGGAGGCTCAGTCTACAACAGAATGTAAAAAAACAAACTATGTTACAACACCACCAAAGCATTAAACAAGAAATATTTAGAGATTTGAGGACTGCCACAAACCTGGATAATTAACTGGACGTCATTGATATCTAGACCACGAGCAGCAACGTTTGTAGCAACCAATGTTGAGAACTTGCCCTTTCTGAATCCAGCAAGAGTAATCTACAATCACACAAGAAAATTTCACACTCTCCCCACACTCAAACTACTCCTACGAACAAAGTTTTGCAGTGAAAATTGACAACCTACCTCACGTTGTGACTGTTGAATGTCACCGTGCAAAGGTCTTGCCCCGGGCAACAAACCAGCGAGCTCAGAAGCTTGATCTTTAGTCTCAGTGAAAATGATGCTACTCCCTCCACTGAATTTGTGAAAGAAATCAATAATTGTACAAGAGACTTGGCAATTTAAATCTCCAGAGACATGACTATGGAAGTAGTAAACGTTACCTGCTGTATAAACTGATAATATCAGGGATCAACCGAGACATGGCTTGCTTACTACAGGGAAGAGCAATGTGTCTAACACTGTTACTGGCCTTCATTTTATCATCACCAACAAGATCAATCTTCTTCCTGTCTGATTTAAGAAACCTAGCAGCAATCTGGTAGCAGCAAGAGAGATGTCAGTCATATATATATATATAGATTTAAACTCATGAAAAATAGCGAAACGAAATGTTTGAAAGGGACGCACATTGTTCACCCATGTTGGCAATGTAGCACTGAAGAGAAGCGTCTGGACTTTCTTAGGGTCCTCAACTTTCCCTGAAGATTAGAGAAAAAAAAAATCAGTACCACCAATAGCGAGTTGCTTCTTCATATCAAGAAAAACAAATACGACCCAGTTTACATACTTAATATAAGTTCAACATCGTCAACGAATCCCATTCTCAACATTTCATCAGCCTCATCAAGAACACGGAATTGTAGATAGGTCAGCTCAAGGTTTCCCCTTTCAAGATGATCCTACAATACAATGGTCAACAGAACACACAAAGAAACTCAGAACAAAATCCGCTGAAGAAATTTAACGTTAAGAGAAAAAAAAAACAAGAGCATACCTTGATACGACCAGGGGTCCCAACGACAATGTCAACACCTCTCTTCAACTTATACTCCTGAGGCTGGTAAGGATCACCTCCATAGACACAGCAAGAAGTCAACCCAACCGCTCCTCCGTATGTGTCAAAGTCAGCAAACACCTACAAAGGAAACAACAAACATACCATCAATAAAATAAAATAAAAAAAAAAAAAAAAAAAAAAAAACTCAAGAAGAAACATAACCAATTCCGTCCTCAGAATACTTCACCTGCTTGGCCAATTCTCTTGTTGGTAAGAGTACCAAAACACTCGGTGGCCTTCCGTATCCATTCCTCCTTTTGCTTTTCGCAGGCCCATTGATCAATGACTCCAATATCGGTAACACGAAAGCCAGCGTTTTACCCTACACCACACCACATTTGATCAGCAAAGCCTCTAACTTTACAAGCAAAAGATTTCAATTTCAGCTCAAAAAATTAATCATTGTGCAGTTTCAATATCGACTTCCTCATAAGTACTCAAAAGCATCCAACTTGATCATCATACACTAGAGCTTGACTAACATCAATTCGAAACTGAGAGAAAGCAAATCAACCAATACCTGACCAGTACGAGCGCGTCCAACCAGATCAGCACCATCGAGAACCATATCAAAAGTCCCCGCCTGAATCGGGAAGAGGGCTTCGATGCCCTTCTCCTTGAGCTTCTCCCTCAACGGCGCCGAAATCCGGAAATTGGAAACGGCGTTGGGGTTATCGACTGGGACATCTTCCACACTCAGCTTCGCCTTCTTGCTGCTCTTCTTCTTCTCCGGCTCCACCAGCTCCGACCCTGAACCTTCCTCCGATTCATCTACCTCCGCAGCCGCCTTGCGCTTCTTCTCCTTCTTCTTGCTCTTCTTCTTCTCAGACTCTTCTCCCTCGGAATCGGATAGTTTCGCCACCTTCTTCCCCTTCTTGGTGTCCTGCTCTGGGGTCGCTTCCAAGGCTATCTTCTTCTTCATCTTCTCCTTCTTCTCTGATAAAGCTATTGAAGGCATTCTATGAAGATACAGAGAATCTCTCCTGCTTGCGAGAGATTGAGGCGGCGGGAAAAGCTTGCGAGAGAGACGGAAGAGGAGGAGTAAAGTGTAGGGTTTGGCTACTTCTTATAGTTTTGAGATATTTTAGAGACTCCCTTGATCAAAACCCTAATTGATACTCTCAACTCTCAAGTCTCAACCGTCCGTTTTTTTATTCGAAAGCGAGATTGCGTGTCGGCGTCCAATTTGTGTGAATAGGTCAAAGACTCAAACAAAATTACCAATTTTAACCTTTCTATTCAAATGCTTATTTTTCAATCAAAATGGTAACTTTCCTATAAAATTTCGACAAAATGGTAACAAATACAAAAATTACGTGACGAAAAAAAAGCGAGTTGACAATATACTGATATACAATGTACCGTTCTCTATAACTTTGATATTAATAAAAGATAAATTATGCATCTCATGTGTATAAAAGGTTTGATCTAGTTATATGTTTTCACAACATTGAGTATAGTATTTGTTCAACTATGGAATACATTCCGGTTTTAATTTTGGTTTGAAACCAAATCTCAAACAAAATCAATTTTGATTTCTTACTCATTTTTAACAAATACTGATGCATTGCACAAAATCTGTAATGAATACATTCTGTTTATAAAAAAATCTACACGCTTTGTAGTAAACTTGATCATCATAGATTTATAGTCATTACAGATCTGAGGGTTACATATAAAGGACCCATTTCTCCAAGAAACAGTACACATTTATTCTGCATAAGTTCCTAATATGTTCACACAAAACCAGAACCACACAAACCAGCTTACAAGAGCAATGTTGAACCGGCGACTATAAACCCGAGCAGCACGAGCATGAACCTTCCGAGACCAACGGCTAGCAGACTCGAATCCGAGGCGCTGTTGCAGTAATTGAAACCATACCATATACTCTCAGGGACGAGCGTGTTATACGGGAATGTGACCGCTTTGGAGCCATGGCTGTATATCTTCACACTCGCTGGGATCCAACCATCGGGTCCTGACCTGTAGAGATACACATAGCACAGTTGGTATGTGCATGGTCCGTTGATCTCAAATGTGTCTGATGAACACTGCTCGAACGTCTTTGTTGATGGATCGTCAAGCCTTGGCGCATATATCTGATTCTCAAGATAACAACAATACTAAGATTAGCCACTAGCAGCAATCCTAAACTAATCCTCTGAAAACTCATATCTTCATGCTTAAACAAGCTAATAGAAATCTAATGAAACCAACCAAAGAATCAGATGCAAGATTCAAGAAATTGTTGTGAGAAGCTAACTTTGAATTGGGATTAAACATTTCAAAATGGAACCCTAATCAATCGATAAACCAAGTGTTTGGAATCAAAAGTCTAACACCAAATCAAAATCGAATGTTCTGAAGAAATCAAAACCTTCACTGAGAGGGAAATCTGACCTGGTTTCCGTATCCATCGCCGAAAGCGATGCTGATCTGGTCGCGAGTGTACCTCGATGACGAACAGCTCGTCGAGATGATCACCGTGTAAGAACAGCTAGTCCTCAAATTCTGCACCATCGAGCAAAATTCGACACCCGAACAAGTAAAATCGTAAGTTTCTCGGGAAAATCGTGCGACGGAAGACGAGAAACACCTCGAATTTCTCCCGGGGAAGTTGGGGAGGATGATGAAAGAGAGCGAACCTGGATGAGGCTGACATTGAATGATTCAGCGGCGTGAGGCTCCAGGAGTTTAGATTCGGAGACGGAGATGAAGATTGAGAAGACGAAGCAGAGGAGAGTGAAGAGACGAAGTATCGACGCCATTTTCGTGCTTCTCGAGATCGCTCGCAGAAGACGAAAGTAAGGGAAATCGAAACAGTAATCGAGAAGATAACAAACAAAAAAGTGTCGAACCAGTTCGAGATAACCCGGATTAGACCGGGACAAATTCAAATTAATTCGATTTCGGTTTGAAACTTTCCTTCTCCAACCCTGGTTATAAACGAACCGAATTCAATGGCAACGCTCTCACACAAGTCACGTCTAGGGTCATGTGTTAGGTAGTGGAGAAAATGTAATTAAATGGCTTTTTGTGTAGAAATTGATTAGAGATAGGACAAATATCTGTGGGTTTATCTTGTGGCACTGCTTCTCTCAAAAACCAGGCATCTACTACAATTGCTACAAGCCATACATCTCGATTTATTGATAATGGATGTGTAAGTATATGTTTGATTTGAAAAACAAGAAAAAAAAACATTTAAACTGCCTATATGTGTTAGGTAGAGGGAAGATGTAACTAAACGATTTTTTTGTGTATAAGTTGATTGGAGACACAAAAATTGATTAGAGATAGGACAAATATCTGTAAGTTGTATCTTCTCTCAAAAACCAAGCATCTAAGCCATACATCTCCATTTCCGGTCTTCCCTTTCGGGTCGTGAATTGATTGTGAATGTGTAACGATGGTTGATATGAACAAAAAAAAAAAAAAAAAAAAAAAAAATTTAGACTGCTTTGTGGTGTGTTACACTTGTTGAAATGTGAATTCGAATCACATACGATGTTTTCTATACTAAAAACTCGAATCAACAACTACTTCTAAACCAATTCGTTGGTTGTGATTGGTTTGGTATGTTCTTGAGCTTGACTGGTTTGTCGAGTATAAAGCTTCTATATTTAAGCATTGCAACAACAGTACTATTACATCTGCTGCAAATATTTAGATTCTTGTTAAGATTAACCTTTGATAAAAAAAAAAAAAACAGTTATTTGTAAATCAAAACAAAGCTTACTAAACTATTTTTAAGACGCAATTATACAAGCCGTCTACGTTTGTAGGTATACAATGTTTAGATAACGATACAATAAGCACTTGCCCATGGAATACTTAAAAACTCATGCATTAGCTAAATAACGTTTCCACTACAAACACAAACAAAGGGATACACCATACTCTTACTCACTAGTCATTAAGCAAACTCTTAACTAAAACTCAAACCACCACAGCCGCAAACGCAAACGCAGTCGCAGCAAAAGCAACCAAACTCTCGACACCTCCACGTCCAGAAGCAGCAGATGGCGCCGCCGGGGGAGGTGGTGGAGGCCGTGGCGGTGGCGAAGGTGTGTGAGGAGGGAAATAAGGCGGCGGTGGGACGGTGGGGGAAAACGGAGGGTGATCCGGCGAAGGCGGTGGCAAACCGGTGTTGTTGCACTTGTTGTGGCCGTACCAAATGTTTTCAGGGACGTTTTTGTTGAAATCGAATTTCACGGATTTGGAGCCTTCCTGGTAAATCTCGACGGTCTCCGGGATCCAACCGTCAGGACCGGTATGATAGATGTAGACGGAACATATAGTTTTGAGACATTGGCCTTTGACTTGGAATGTGTCCGATGAACATTTCTTGAAACCTCCTCTTCCGCTTAACGGTTCTTCTAGTCTCGGTGCAACCACCTAAAGAAACCTCAATAATATTAACATATTTATGAAAAAAATACACAAACTTAATTCACAACAGTTTTATGGATTTGACCCTTTATGTAAGTCTTATAAAAAAAGATATACACATTGTGCGCATGTCATTAAAAATGCATACATGCAGCTAGAAGTAAAAATAAAAATAAGATTAATCAGATTAAGACTCGTTTTGACGAAATTTTAGAAGTAAAGATTTGGACCCCGCAAAAAAAAAATTGTTCGTAATCAAACCTGGTTACCGTCGGCGTCACCCAAAGAGATAGTGATCTGATCCCTTGACCAATCAGGAGAGAAACAACTCGTGGTGACAATAACAGTGTAAGGGCAGGTTTCTTCGTCGTCATGAAGAATGGACGAGACTAGTGACTGATCAGAGAGAGCGATAATGGGATTGGTCAAGGAGAGGAAGAGAAGAAGGAGTATGGTTGAGAGGGTAAAGATCTCCATTGGTGTATTCTCAAGAGAGAGAGGGATGAGAGTTAAAAGAGAACTTGAGAAGTATGTGTTATATAAACGACCTTAGTACTTACACTTGGGACAAGACAAGCCTAGAGAGAGAGCTAGACTCCAAGCTAAATATCTCTTCCTCAAGAAAAGTGACTGCGGGTTGGTAGACTTTTATTTTCATATTACTACTAATAGTTCGAGTGCAAAGGAATTCTTCTATGCATTTTCACAAATGAATTATACGATTAAGTTCTAACAATCTTTGTTTGATATTTTCGTTTTTTTTGTATTAGCTAGAGGTTAGACTTGTTTTGAAAAAGAAATTACATCTTAAACTACAATTTTGACGAAATTTTAAAATAGTTAACTAAATATTACGCCAACTTCTCCATTTTTGAAGGTCATGTTATTTGGGTGAACGTTTCTTCCCCCTCATCGTAACCAAATTTGTTGCATGCCTTTCTTAATTAACAAATTTTAATACGAGAATTTACATTAGTATTCGGGTCATCTCTCTGTAGAGAGATTCCAACAATTTTTAGCAATAAATCAAGTGGTGATGGACATCATCAAACACAATCAATTAAACCATAAAAATGGATCCACCTTCTTTTCTTGTTACAAATATTACATTTCAATACAAAATGTTAAAAATGAAAAAATAACATATTTTTCAATTCTACAACCATCAAAGCGTCACGAGTATTACACTTTCTTTTAAACCTAATCCCAAAATCAAATTCGACTTTCTCCTACCTACCACCTAAAATTTTTATCACATGTACAATCTTATTTTATTATCCCTCTGCGTGCGAAGCTGCGGACCTCTGGTCCATTTCGTTTTCACTTCCCACCTACCTAATTAGTCCAAAGGTTACATATGTATAAACTATACAAACCATCAACATCTAACATGTAATTAAATAGCTTAAAAAGAAAGTAAACTCACTGCCTTAAAAAGAGAATATATAAATGAGAAACTCCACACATATAGAACAACTCCCTTGGCTAATAGAAGAAGTGTACATAACAAAATTCATCTAACCGTAAAACAAAAAAACTAACCAACTTATTCATCTCTCAAACAAAATCATAAATTTACAGTGTGATCATAACTTTACTGGAGCTAAGATTTGAACTCTTATTAAATAAAAATAAATAAATCATTTTATCGCGGGGAATCATCTTCCTCCTCATCTCCATTTGTACCAATTCTCTTGCTCCTTGAATCTCCTAAAAACTCCATCTACCGCCACATCGAATGCGTCTTTGAAAGTCTCTAAACCGTTCGGAGACTTCGAGTAAACCAAATTTGGTATCAAATCGATCACTCTTTCCCTCATCCTCCTCACATCTTCTTTGCTGTACCGTTCCAACACTTCCCTTATAGACGTCGTGCCGTTTTTCACCTCGTTCCGGTCTATGTAAACCGAGTAACTATCCGGTTCGTTCGGCAAAAACCACTGATACTGCATGTATGCGGTTCTTCGCCAGAAGAAAACCGGAATCGAACCGGCTATCATGCAGTCGAAAATCGACCGGCGCGTGAAGCTATCTCCTCGAGGCTGGAGGCAGAAATCGGACCCGAGAAACGTCTCCAGAATCGCCGACGAGCCGTTCGAGCATCGTCCGCCGGTACAATCCACCGTACGGCAAGCCCCACGCGACTCCTCGCAGTGACGGAGTAGAATTCCCCTGAAATCGTGCTCGATTCCGGCGCGCGGCGCTCCGGCGAAACAGAAAAGCGTCTCGCGACGGCGATTCCGGACGAAATCCTGCCAATCGAGAACATCAGAATCCGATCGAGGGTGGAATCCAGTTGGGTACGGCACACCGACGTCGAAATGATCCCAAGAGTTTCGCTCAATGAGGAGGCGCGTGATGTTGCGCATCCCCGGAATGTAGATACAGTTAGATCCCCAATCGTCGTCCCGAGTGCGGCGAAAATCCCATGTGATGCGTCCCATGGTCATGAAATGATCCCAACCGTTGGATCGGTTCCAGTAAGGCTGATCACGGACCCACTCAGTCATCATTTTACAATGACGATCACGATCAGCCGCCGCGTAATTGGACCAGAGATATTGACCGACGGCGAGTCCAGCGTAGAACGGGATGTAGAACGCCGTAGCGGATTCCGGATCAGAAGTCCGGCACCGGTGGTTGAGAATCCGGTTGTGGAAGATGATCTCCGAGACGAATTGATCGGTCCAAAACCACGAAGGGACTAAACCGTCAGGGATCACACCTTTCAACGACGTAGCTTCTCTGCCGAATCCGTCGTTGGAGAGCGCGTCGCAGCGAGAGCTCCACGGGTTGAGATTGTCGCACTGTTGCAGAATCACTTCGTTGAAGATCTTCGGCATGTCGTAGACGAAAACCCGACCCGAATCGCATCGCCCGGAGATGTCGGGTTCGGGTCGGATTCGGGTTGAGAGAGGCTCGTCGGAGATGGAGACGGAGACGGCGGGTGAAGGGAAGTTTGCAGGGGAGTGACGGTGGGGGAAAGGGATGGATCGGAGAGTGACGAAGAGGATGAGCTGGAGAGAGAGGAGGGAGAGGATTAGCCATGTGCAGTGGCTCCGGGAGGAGGAGATGTAGGAAGAGCGGTTAACGGGAGAGTTTCCGATCGAGCTGAGTGAGTTGAAGGAGCTTTTCCGATCAGTGTCGGTGGTGGTGTCCGGGGTTCTCAATTTCTTGAGGAGACGTTCAGGACTGGTGGGATTCGAGACCGGAAGCATAGTAATAGATTAGCGGAGAGAGGCGAGAGATTCCGTCGCCGGAAATAATGGGGTCCGTTACGAAGACGGAGCTAAAATCTCCTCCGGGAAAGGAGAAGAGAGTTAATTCGGTAGTTTGTTCTTGTGTGGTTCTCGTTAATAGCGTAAAGCTAACTCTCGCAGAGAGAGAGAGAACTTAAGAGTGCTCGAGAAACGGGGAGATTCTCTTTTCTTTCTTTTTTTTTCCCTTTTTGTAACAATAAAATGGAAACTATATTTAATTTGATTCACGATTTTCTCCCCAAACTTTATAAATTTCGTAAATTCTTGTTGACGACTACAAAATAAAATTTAGTATACAGGGTGTAAAATAGTGTAAAACAAAACTCTTGGAACAATACAAAAAGTTTAACAAGATATGGGTCCTGACTAATAGATTGAAATTTTTAATTTTCTCAAGGCGTTGGAGACATTACGTTGCTGAAAGAAATGGACACGTGCCTGTGACATTGACCGTCTGTGCCGGCAACCGACAAGCGGAGACCATAGGAGCCGGTGAATAGTGAACACTTGGACCTTAGTGCTACAGACAACGTGTCGATTTAGAAGCAGAAACTATTATTGTAGATCTTTTTTATTTTATTTTAACAAGAGTTTGTGTCAGAAAGACAGAAACTTAACTACTATCTGCCTCTCAATCACGATTTCCTTCCGAAATCTGTGAAAAAAAGGAATCACACTAGAATCATCTTTCATTAAAAGATATTGCTAAAAAGGTCACCGGATTATGGTAATACTAATACATATGGTAACTGATCATACGATAAGGAAAGGTACACCAAAATGAATAAATACGTTACAGCTAACGAAATGAAAGAGAAGAAAATTGGGGCATATGGGACAGTTGGCGAAAATCGAAAATACAAATTTACATAGGCGGGGGGATGCACCGAAACGGCGGCGTTTACGTGTAGCTGACAGGTTAGAGTGAACTGTATCGATGTTGAAAGAATGAATTTTAAGCGTCGTCATGTGAGCTTTGTGGCCATGCTTCTTTAATCCACGAGTCATGCCGCATGACTTGTCGCATACTCCAACGTTTTGCCGACAAATTTTGTTTTATTTGATGAATGATGACATTAGTTTCTCTGTAATTACCTTTGATTCGAAACAAGTATATATCCAAACCGGAGAAAACCGGATACAATGCGAAACTAATTTCGACTACAGTATATAGCCCACCCCAAACATATAGTGAACTAAACCCAACTCGGTCCGGTTCAGTATTGGTCTATCTCTATTGAAAAACATAACAGTGTTATTAGTTGTTTGTGTGCTTTTTCCTTAACACACCAATAACTTAAAGTGATACCAGTAAGTTCGTTAGTTGGGGCCTTGGGGTTGGGGGCAATGATTAACAAATCACGACAAGGGTTTATATTTATAGGTCAAAGTCTAATATTTTGAATTTTAGATTTGTCGGTCGAGCTTTCACGAAAGACTATTGAAGAAAATGACAGAACTTAAGAATAGATCGTGGTATGTCGCAGTCGATAATTAACAAATTTAAAATATTAATAATGGATCGATTATACAATGCACACTAGGTCAGTAATTTTGTGGACATAAACTAGCAAATAGCATATCATCTAACTTCCTTTTATACAACGTACTAACATATTTTTGTTGAAGGACGACTTGCTTACATATAAAAATAATTTAGTCAATTAACCAATAACTTTTTGGCTATTAAAATGAAACTAATCGTGAATTAAACTAGGAAAAGTATTGTCAACATTCATGAATCCAACTCAAAAACAAAGTTACAATAACCCCGAACCGAACGCTCGAGCTTTGACTTTTAAGTTTCAAAAATAAGCAATATAGATAAACTTGTTTTACCAGACGGCCGAATTGAGTTCTTTATATATTCTGAAAGATAAATCTCTTTCATAAACTACGGCCCCTATCGAATTGATGAGTTATTTCACAAAAGTGTTTTAATGCTTAAAAATACTATACTCTCCACACTTCCACTTGGCATTAAGTATTAACTAGGACTCATATAGCAACTCGCAATTTTAGAATCTAGATTGGTACGTAGCTTAAGAACAAGGACCGGCGTGATAGGCTCTCTCGTGCGTGTAACGGTGTAAGAAACATTTAATGCTTAAAATTTAAAAAGATTCTATATATTAGGCTATTAATTGTTCTGGAACTAATAATGTACTCAAATATTAAGTCGCAAAAGAGGTGCTTACCAACCAAAAAGTGGGATTAAAGTATTGACTAATTTGATGAAAAAGTTACAACACCTTGATGATTACTCGTGTACGAAAGACAGTGGTAAAGCACTACGAGAAGAGAAAAGAAGCTAATAATGTACTAAACAAAGTGTACATCTAATAGTTTAAAGTCTAAACACACCAAAATAAGAAGTGCTAGTCACACATTCGATTTACAGTATGCAATTGCAAACACTGCACATAAGCGATCGCTTGAGTTTCGGTCTGTATTTTTTTGGGAAATCTTAATACAAAACATGTTTTTCTTCCAAATTAGGCGAGTGTTTATAGTGGTAAATCCATAAACAAAAATAAAAAATCTTTGTAGTGTTTTTAACTCACACTATATATAACTTAAGCTAAGTATAATAGCAGAATTACTGATAAAATCTTCTTAAACATGGAAAATGCATAGCTGACATCAAAGAATGTGTTCCAAATAATGACAAATTCGTACCACTGGAGTCTGTATGTATTTTGGTTAATGCGATTACAGGGAGAATAAAGAGATTAAACAATCTAAATGATAATGTCTACGGCCGGCAATAAAATACTCTCTATACTGAAATTGAGTTTCATGTGAGAGTTGGAGACTGAAAAAGACTCCAATGGGCCAAAAACACAATTTTGTAATTTCAAGGAGTACATCTATTTATAAGTACTGGGCCTGATTCATCTGGATAAAGAGACTCAGGAGCAGAGCAATTTGCAAGGTTAACTAAGTGGACGTGATATTTTTTTTTTTTCGTTTAAAGAAAAACGAACCATTTTTTCTCATAAATATGATTACTATATGAAGTTGTAAGATATGTGAATGTTTAACAACGTACTAGTTGGTAAGAAATAGGCACAAATAAAAGATTGAAACCGGACAAGACAAAAAAAAACAAACTACCCATTTAATATTCCCAAATCTTACAACTTCCTCCAATCATTAAGGAAACAACAGTCAGTAAATTCAAAATCAAAACAAACGAAATAAAGAAAAATTGACAGAAATTCAAACTGATTGTAAATCGGATTTTAATGTTAGTTCAATTATTTTGTATAAAAGTAGTAAACGAAACAGAAAGCTAGATTGGGAAACCTGAAGAGAACAGTGATTTATAACAAGTTTCAACGGCTGGGATCGGATGGTGCAGTGCCCACCGTAAGTTTCCCTAGGGATGCAACCCCAGCCCAAATCAGTTACTACTTGCTGCCACAACCATCGTCTCAGCTTTTGTCTCAGCCTTTTACAAATGAAGCATACATGTCTTGGCCTGTCACATCTTGCCATGTGTCCACTATTCTCTTCTCCCATTGGTTTCTCATCGTAGGCTTCTGTTAATAGATCTCTCTAATCCTATATCAGCCTTTTTCGTGTAACTCGCATTATTATTTCTCTTTGGTATTTGTTTATTTTGTTGTAATGATATAAAATGTGTTAAGTAATCCTTTTTCATCAGATAATTTACGTGTAGATAATTGTGAGTTTGTGACGTGTGAAGATAGATACAAGCCAAATGATGATTTTGTGTATTGATAATGTAAGTTTTTGGTTTTTAATCTTATTGTTTTCTCTCTTTTCTTTGATTAAAACAACTGGTTCTTTTTATAAGTGGAATGATAACCAATTTTACCTCATTTGTTTTATTTGTCAATTACAACTTTTTATAAAAAGTAAAAGATAAATGCTTAAAATATCTATAACATCAAAGTGGTATGCCCTCTTTAAAGAGGTACATGTCACATTTATATACGAGCATTACCAAAATATATTGTTATCTAAAAGAAGCATATGACATAATAATATAATATATGGGTATTGTCCATAAATTATTACTGCTTAAGCGATAGATTAATATGTAAGATGAATACATAAGTAACAGATTATATTTTGCTATGTAAGTGTGGTCTACTCACATAGGCCTATAGCTGAACCTATGCACCTTTAGAGCCTAGAGAAACTAGAGATGCCTATAGCTGAAAGCTACACCAGTCTTCTACTTCTATTTAATTAAACTTTTATCCATTTATTAATTCTTGGTGTAGTGGTTACAATTAGTTTTCACGAACATTTATGAAGGAACAAAACTAGAATGATGTGTTGATTTTACTTTGTGGTGAACACATAAACGAGTATATAAACGCAACTAATGTTCACTGTAACTCCCAATTTTTTTTCTTTGCATTATTGTAGAACAAAAGTAAACATATCCATTGGTTAGTCATTGATTAGCTAGAAAAAGAAGGACGATGAGTAAACTTCAATATCGATTCCGTTGTAGTTGTATGATAAGAACTGTTGTGACTTGTGAGGTTTTTTTCTTTTCATCATGAAGTAATTTGGATTTTCGCTACCCTTCTTTTTTTCTACAATAGAACATTCAACAACAGTAAGCAATATAATCTGCTAAGAGCATGTTTAACGCGGGCGCTTAAAGCGACGCTTAACACAAATTAAGCATTTAATTAAATAAAAAATACGAAAAAAACAAAGCTCCGACGCTTGCATAAGCTTTTTAAGCGCTGGTGCTAATGGACACGTGGCAGGTTATGATTGGAAGGAGGTAATTGAGAGATAAAAACGTGTTTCTTTCTCTTTCCCTTCTCTCTCTTCTTTGCTTCCCCTCTCCAATGGCGATTCCAAAATTGAATTAATTTTGCATACGAAATCAGTCGGAATTCACGTCTCCGGTGATGGGGCATCCCTAATCATCTTATGGTGATGAGAATCGGCGAAGAAGCCGCATGATTGGTTCAGTCTGCGAGAGGATGGGACTTTACTCAATCCAGCCATTGTTTCAAGTAAGACCTCAAATATGCATGTTTGGTTATGTTTGCGCTTGCTTAGAGAGTCTAGAACATGGATTTGAGATGAGTACTTGTGCCTTTAATTACAGTTGTGATTGTAATTCTGTATTGGTGTTGTTGAATTGAATGTAGATTGGTAACAAAGCTCTTCTGAATTTAAAACTAAGATCTCTTTTTTTCAATATCTGCTTATTGTTCGGTGCATTGACACTTTTATCTTCAGATGTAGAAAACTTGGATGTTGATCTTTCTCCATCGTTCTTCAATTCTGATTCTCTGAAATCGGTTTGTTCTCTTGTGTCTTGTCTGTTACAAGTAGCAGTGAATTTTACAGCATTTTTCACCAAAACTAAGATGGATGTTGCTGGAATTGAGGTGATTATGGTGAGTTCTATTAGCTTTCATGATCTTTTAGCAGATTGAGAAGATAGTGACATAATAATGTGATATGAACACTTGTTGCATTGATTGGTTTAGCGTTCATAGTTATTGTATTGATGGTCTGTCTAGTGGCTATTTCCTCTAACTGCGGATATCTTGTATATTTTAACTCACTGGTTTTATGATTTGAAGTGAGAATGTTTCATGTTTTGTGGTGGAACAGATTGTCTTGCTTTTCCTTTTCTGAAATTTGATAAGATAGCCAAGATTAGTTTTCTATGTTTGTATCCACCTATGTGAAATACATGGTGCTCTTTTTTGAGGATACCTCTCAGAGGTAGTTCAATGAAATTGGGTCTTAATGGTGATTGTTTGTGTCTCTGTCTTTATCGCTGAATTGTTGGTGCTTTGTTCTCCAGGGACAAGTTGCTGCTATAGATATTAAACTACCAAGAAGACGTTTGCTTGTGGAATTCACTTGCAATTCATGTGGAGAAAGAACGGCTTATCAATCGCTTGGCCTATGAACGTGGCCTTGTCTTTGTTCAAGTAAAGTCTTGTACACACTATATGTTTGCATAATTGTCCAACAGAGATTCTAAGCTAAGTGTTTTCATGAATTTGAAGTTGAGAGACACAAAAGATAGTATTTTTGGTTGGTTTGACAGCCTTTAAAATAATTTCTTAATTTTTTTTTTCTTAAGCACCCCCCAATAAGCTCCCCCCATTAAAGCAGAGAAAACAAAATAATTTTAACAGAGATGCTTAGCACAATTTTATTAATAAAATATATAATAAGCATCACATAAGCACCTTTGCGTTAAGCATGCTCTAAAGTTGAAAGTACAGCGAGGTCAATGGAGATATAACCACGAAATGACATGAATCAACATCAAAACCATTTTCTAAAGAGTTAACATCTTAATTTTTTCTTAAACAACCAATTTTGTATATTGTGGTCTTCCTTTTTTTTTCATTATGATATTAAGGTGTTATTTTAAATATATATATATTTGAGCAACATTATTTTAAATATAAAAAATGAAAAGTTTGACCGATAGGGTGGTTTAGACAGTGTAGTACGACTGTACAAGAAAAAGGACCGAGGGCTAAAGATTCAAACCAGTGCAGAAAAAGATACGGTCGGACCAATTTAATTTAAGATCATCATTCCTTGAATACACTAAACTATTTTTTTTTGTTTTCACTGAAAGTTCGATTTTATTACCTTTCACTAAACTAATTTTCCAATACATTTCCAATTTGATTACCTTTCACTAAACTAATTTTCCAATACATTTCCAATTTGATTACCTTTCACTAAACTAATTTTCCAATACATTTCCATATGTAACAATTAACAATTTCCAACAAATATATCATAAGGTTTATTCGCGACATGTTCGTGTATAATTCCACAACGAGTGTTTTTTTTCTTTCTTTTTGCTAGTATTTATCGCATGGTACAATTCCACCAAATTTTATCGTCCCGACCATACAACTTTTATTGTGAAATCAATCCCAAAAACCCAAACATGTGACATGGTCTCTATACGATACTAGTAAAGTAAAAAAAAACACATCAATTTATAATCCTATTCGTTACAAAAACGAACGGTCGATAAAAAGGATCACAAACCAAACCGGTCCAACCGGTTTCCCCAATCACTATCAAAAGCATTAACTCACTTTCACAAGAAAAAGCATAGTCTCGTTTCTCTACTTCGCGTCCCATCCTATCAACCGTGCACACGAATTATCCACCGTTCGATCACACACGCATTACGAATCAGGCGCGTCGTTAATATGATCCACAGTGGAATGTTCGTTTTCTCTCTCCCCTGCTTTGGAAAACGGCGTCTACAACAGACGGTGGGTCATGTCGCCGTCAAATCAACCTTTCTATATTCCTAACGCCCGTTACTTCTCCGTTAACCACAAACTAATTTGAAGTGGCTAATATCTTCAACGTGACATTACTATCAGAGTTTAATGTTTCGAAGAGAGGTTTTAAGCAGAAAGAGATACATAGATATATATACAAATGTACATATATACTCTCGTACTCTGACAGATTTGTCGTGGTCTTAGTTTCTCTCTCTCAGCTCTCTTCTTATATAGACTGTACATCATCTCACTCCCTCACTCTTCATCTCTCTCTCTTCTTTACATCTCTGGCTCTGCATTTCTTGCAGTTCACGCTAATCGCCTGTGCTGGTTCCCTTTCTCTCTCTCTCCAACAATGGCAGAAGGAGCCTGAACTTTCGTTCTTTTGTTTCTTGTCTGCTTTGTTTTGTTTTTCAAGTCTCTCTCTCGTCGGATTTTAACAAAAAAAATTATTCAACGAGTTTTTGGCTTATTACCTCAGAAGGAAAAACATCAAAAGAAGGATTAAGAGTAAGAAGAGGAGTGAGAAAAAAAATGAAAGAGAAGATGCAGCGAGTGTTTTTTTGTTTAGCAATGGTGGTCTTTATGCTTCTTGGTGTTGCTTCTCCCATGAACGACGAAGGTTTCTTTCTAGCTCTCTCTGATTTTCTCTCTTCCTTTGAAAAATTTGATTTTTACTACCTGAGAAAGTTCTATCAAAATATTTGATTTTCCCGAGAAAGAAGAGTAGTTAAAGCTGAAAACTTTTTTCTCACCCAATACTCAGTTCTGGCTTTGTTCTTCATCAAATGCAATATTTTTTTCTCTTTTTCCAAGAAATATGATGATGATTATCAAACAGAAGAGTGCTTGTTCCAGAAAGATTGTATTTTTTTCCAAGCTCTCTCTGTTTCCCGAGAAAAAAAAAACGAAACTTTCAAATCCCTAGTTGTTTATGTATATTTAACTATTTGACTGATGATGTCTTTTCGTTTCAAATGATTTAATAATCGTAACTGAATCTGTTTATCAATTTTAAAAATCACAGGGAAAGCTTTGATGGCGATAAAAGGGTCGTTTAGCAACTCCGTGAATATGCTTTTGGATTGGGACGATGTTCACAACTCTGACTTCTGTTCTTGGAAAGGTGTCTTCTGCGACAACGTTAGCTTCTCCATTGTCTCTCTGTAAGAATCTCTTTTTTTTTGAGCTGATAATTCTTTGTGTTGTTGAATATCTCTCTTTTAAGGTTTTGTAACTTTTTCTGTCATTTTCATTTTTTTTTCTATGAAGAAATTTGTCCGGTCTGAACCTTGGAGGGGAGATATCTCCAGCTGTTGGAGATCTACGGAATTTGCAATCAATGTAATTGATGTTTTTTTTTTTTTTTTTTTTAATCTCTTTACATGTTTCAAAAAGTGGTAGATTGTGTTTATAAAAGGCTTTATCCAATTGCAGAGACTTGCAAGGAAATAATTTGGCTGGTCAAATTCCAGATGAGATTGGAAACTGTGCTTCTCTTGTTTATCTGTAAGTCTGATAAAACATTATTTTTGAGCTCTCAATTTTTTTTTTCAAGTGTTAGGATTTGACTTGAATATCTTCTTCTTCTGTGCAGGGATTTCTCTAACAATATGTTATATGGAGACATACCCTTCTCAATCTCCAAACTCAAGCAGCTCGACACTCTGTATGTGTTATATTGTTAACATTGTTCCTGATAATAGGTTCCATTTTTGTCTTCTTGTTCATTTGTGTGAAACCTTTCAACTTGTGGATATATCAGGAACTTAAAGCACAACAACCTCACAGGCCCAATACCAGCAACGTTAACTCAGATTCCAAACCTTAAGAGACTGTGAGTTTTGTAGTTACATGATTTATTCGTGAATCAGTGTTTGGATATTAGTTTTGATTTTCTAATCACTATACTGCAGTGATCTTGCAGGCAACAATCTAACGGGTGAGATACCGAGGCTACTTTACTGGAATGAAGTTTTGCAATACCTGTAAGTCTTCATTGTCATTTCCTCCAACCTCTTTACACCATAAAAGAAGTTGTTTCTCTTTCTAATGCATTTTGTTTCTTTAGTGGGTTACGTGGGAATATGTTAACAGGAATGTTGTCTTCCGATATGTGTCAACTAACCGGTCTGTGGTACTTGTAAGTGGCATACTCTATCGAGCCATAAATTTGATTTTATGCAAATCTGAGCTTTTTTTTTAACTAGTGTTTTTCTGTTTAAAGTGATGTGAGAGGGAATAATCTAACTGGACCTATTCCTGAGAGCATTGGAAATTGCACAAGCTTTGAAATCCTGTATGTGCTTTCTCTCTTGAGATATATATCAGACTACGAGGATAAAACAACTGTTTGGAATCTCATGTGTTTTTGATCTTACAGGGACATATCTTATAACCAGATAACTGGAGAGATTCCTTACAATATTGGTTTTCTCCAAGTCGCTACCCTGTGAGTAGTAAGAAGACTCTTTACCTTAGGTTGTCCAATGAATGTGTTACTGACTTGTGCTTAATTTATTTCTTGAAGGTCACTGCAAGGAAACAGATTGACTGGTAGAATCCCGGAAGTTATTGGTCTGATGCAGGCTCTTGCTGTTTTGTAAGTTCGATTACCAATGACAAATTTGGTATTGATTTCTTTTGACTCATCTAACAACTTTGTGGATCTTCTTCAATTTCCAGAGATTTGAGTGACAATGAGCTAGTTGGTCCCATCCCACCGATACTTGGGAATCTCTCATTTACCGGAAAGTTGTGAGTGTCCTTCGTATAATAAACCACAATATGCTTCATATGTTCTGCTCTTAGCATATATGAAATTTTTTGTTGTTGGAGTAGGTATTTGCATGGCAACAAACTCACAGGTCCCATCCCACCTGAGCTTGGGAATATGTCACATCTCAGCTACTTGTAAGCTTGATTCACACTTCAAATCTTTTTACATAGCTTTTGCACTCCATATGCTTAGGCTTTCTTTTACAATTTTTCAGGCAACTAAACGACAATCAACTAGTGGGAACTATCCCACCTGAGCTTGGGAAGCTGGAAGAATTGTTTGAATTGTGAGTTTTCTTTATTTGTTTCTCTACAAGTGTTTCAAGGTACCTGTTAAAACATTACACTAAGTTCTTCTTCTTCTTCTTCCTCTTTTCAACAATAGGAATCTTGCCAACAACCGTTTGGTAGGGCCTATACCATCCAACATTAGTTCATGTGCAGCCTTGAATCAGTTGTAAGCTACGAGAGTGAATCTTTCTGACTTTATGCTTTCCTCTTCATATTCACCAATCTAAAACTCTGCTTTCACTTGATTTTAGCAATGTTCATGGTAACCTCTTGAGTGGATCTATACCATTGGCGTTTCGCAACCTCAGGAGCTTGACTTATCTGTGAGCTTCATTCAGTAAAATGCAGTAACCTTGTGTCTCTGTAAACATTTTAGTGACTGTTGAATCTTTTCAATGCAGAAATCTCTCGTCCAACAATTTCAAGGGTAAAATACCAGCTGAGCTTGGACATATAATCAATCTTGACAAACTGTATGTCTTCTCAACTTTGTTCATAGTCTTTAATAATGTGTTTTAGTTTGGATTTTGCACTAAACCCATCATATGTTTTTTGTTTCCAGAGATTTGTCTGGCAATAACTTCTCAGGGTCTATACCAATAACCCTTAGTGATCTAGAACACCTTCTCAAATTGTAAGTCTTCAACCATTTAACTTGAAAGTTAGTAATATTTTTCTGTTTTAGTGCTAAATTCTTGCGTTTGTTAACAGAAATCTCAGCAGAAATCATCTTAACGGGCAATTGCCTGCAGAGTTTGGGAACCTCCGAAGCATTCAAATGATGTAAGCCTCAACGTTGTTTCCTTTTGGTTTATCTCAAAAACCATCTCTTTTACTGACTTATCTGTCTTACTTGCAGTGATATATCATTCAATCTACTCTCCGGAGTTATTCCCACTGAGCTTGGCCAATTGCAGAATTTAAACTCTTTGTAAGTTAACCATATGTGATCGTATCATTTACTCACATACAGTACAGAAATACTGATCATTATCTGTTTATTTGCAGAATTTTGAGCAACAACAAGCTTCATGGAGAAATTCCAGATCAGCTTACTAACTGCTTCACACTTGTCAATCTGTAAGTTCTCTTGCCAGAGACATTCACTTCACTATGATCAGGATTTAACCTTTCTGAATATTTTTTTTTTGTGTTAATCAAAACGTTTTAGGAATGTCTCCTACAACAATCTCTCCGGGATAGTCCCACCAATGAAAAACTTCTCACGTTTTGCTCCAGCCAGGTATGAAGCTATTCTCAGTAGTCCTTCATTTGTGATCCATACGCATAATCATTAAAACCTGTTCTCATTTTCTTTGTGTAGTTTCATTGGAAATCCATATCTCTGTGGAAACTGGATTGGATCTATTTGCGCTCCTTCTTCCCCGAAATACCGAGGTAATCAATCTACTTCATTCACTCTTTAAGCATTGTCTTCAATAGTTGCTTCTTCTTGTTTAATTTGAGCTTACCTTTCTTTTCTTGTTCTTTTCAGCATTCTCCAAAGCTGCTGTGATCTGCATTGTTCTTGGCTTCATCACTCTCCTATGTATATTACTTATCGCACTTTACAAATCGAAGCAGCAGAAGAAACTCCTTACAGGCTCCTCAAAACAAGCTGAAGGTAGAGACAAATGGCCTCTTAAAACCTTCTTTCTGTTTGTCCATTATATATTAATGGCCTCTTCTCGATCCTCTCAGGGTCAACAAAGCTAGTGATTCTCCATATGGACATGGCGATTCACACATTTGATGATATAATGAGTGTAACAGAGAACTTCAGCGAAAAGTACATCGTTGGATATGGTGCTTCAAGCACAGTCTACAAATGCACTTTGAAAACTTCCCGACCTATTGCCATTAAGCGACTCTACAAACAGTATCCTCACAACTTGCGCGAGTTTGAGACAGAGCTCGAGACCATTGGGAGCATAAGGCACAGAAACATAGTAAGCTTGCATGGATACGCCTTGTCTCCTGTTGGAAACCTTCTTTTCTATGATTACATGGAAAATGGATCTCTTTGGGACCTTCTTCATGGTTAGTTTCTTACAAAACCTGTTTGGTTCAAGTTTGTGAAAGAATGATTTGCAGACGAAATATAACATCAAGTTTTATCTTTTTTTAGGGTCATTGAAGAAGGTGAAGCTTGATTGGGAGACGAGGCTGAAGATAGCGGTTGGTGCAGCGCAAGGACTAGCCTATCTTCACCATGATTGTACTCCTAGGATTGTTCACCGTGACATCAAATCGTCCAATATACTTCTTGATGAGAACTTCGAAGCTCGTTTGTCGGATTTCGGGATTGCTAAGAGCATACCAGCAAGCAAGACTCATGCCTCGACTTATGTTTTGGGAACAATCGGTTATATAGATCCAGAGTATGCTCGTACCTCGCGTCTGAATGAGAAATCTGATATCTACAGCTTCGGGATTGTTCTTCTTGAGCTTCTTACCGGGAAGAAGGCAGTGGATAACGAAGCTAACTTGCATCAACTGGTAAATCATGAAACACTTTGAAAGATGCATGTTGTTGTTATATAAGTTTTTGAGCTGTTTTAAGAGTTTGAATTTGTTATTCTTTGTTGCAGATATTGTCAAAGGCTGATGATAATACTGTGATGGAAGCGGTTGATCCGGAGGTTACTGTGACTTGTATGGACTTGGGACATATCAGGAAGACATTTCAGTTGGCTCTCTTGTGCACTAAGCGAAACCCTTTAGAGAGACCAACAATGCTTGAAGTCTCTAGGGTTCTGCTCTCTCTTCTTCCATCTCTACAAGTGGAGAAGAAGCCGTCCTCTCTTCCATTTCCGCCTACGAAAAAGTCTATAGACAATGGAGCTAAGGACCAGCAGAAGCAGCAGCAAGATAGGAGTGTAGTTAAGAACCGTGAGGAAGAAGCAACGCAATGGTTTGATCAGTTCCATGAAGTTATCTCCAAAAGTAGCGTATGAGATTACAGTTTTAAAGAGCTTCTTCCAGGGTTCTGTTTGGTTTCTTCTTTCTTGTTATCCAAGAAAGGGTTTTATAGTGAATTTAGGGTAGTACAAGGGGCGTTATGGGTAATGCTTGGTGTAGGAAGCATTTAAGACAAGAACAAAGGTTATGTGAAAAGAAAGGATATGGAAAAGTTAATGTTTGTTTTCTCCCAAGAACATGTTCACGAGTTCGTTAAAATCTTTAGTTTTCTGATTTAATGGCTTACATATGATATGACCCCACAAAAAAAAAATGAAAAAATCATGAAACTCTCTTTCTCTATACATATAGTATGACAAATCTAAACAAGTATACACGTTAATATATATATGTATAGACATAAGAATGCGTGTGTATATGTGTAAACATGATAAGAACATCTTCAAGGTAAAAGATTAAGCAATGATTAGGCTCCTTGTAACTTCCTGTGAATCGAATTTCCGGCATAAATCCAGGCCCCTGTTTCAAATTATATATCATCAATGATTTTAACTATTGGATTGGAGCTTTAAACAAACTGAAGTATATTGCTTTTTAGTTACCTGTTAATATCGAGAAATGGTTTCATGTCGGTCCTGCAGGTGTTTTGATTTCCATATATAATGTTGATTGCGTCAGCGAGTTCTTCTTTGCTTGATGTCTGTCAAGAAATGGAAGCTTTTTAGTGTTGTTATGCAATGGGATTTTTCCATGAGTTTTTAGAAGAAAGCTGCATTATTACCTTTGAGTCTAAAGTGGAAATTTTAGTTTCATACACTTGACAAGTTGTCTTTCTGCTTTGACTTCCTTTGACTATACTACTCTTTGAGGAATCACTGTGTTTTAGCCTGAAGAAAATGTTTGTGAGATTTTTTTAAGAAATAGGTAAGTTCATCGACTTTCAAAGCAATTTCACTAACTTTTTGGTAGCATCCTTCTCTTGTATGGCATTGATTTTAGCCTGCAATGTGAGATCATCATTCAAGTAAAATGTGAAAAATGAGATGGAGAAAAATGATTTGAAATTGCTGTTGAAGATGGCTTTTTATGTTGGATATGAGGACTTACATTTGAAGAGCGTTCCTTTGCTCTCAGTGCTGTTCTTAAACGAAAGGCCTAATGCAAAAAAAAAAACTTCTGTTAATGGAAGAATAGAGAAAACTTTCTGACTTTTGTAGATGTTGGAAGATTAATTTTTACCTGAAAATCTTGTGACCTTGGCGTATTAGTTTTAGACAACAAAGTTGCTGAAGAAGGTTCCAGAGGAATCTGCAAGGATCCCTAAAACGTAAGCTTCTGAGAATGTGGTAATGAAAGAAACTGAGAGATTGAAACACAAACGAGAATAAGTACATTTTTGTTCGTTGTGTTTCTTTTAGCTGAGTTAGAACTTGATTTCGCCTTCTGCTCTGTTTCTAAGTTAGCCTTAGACCTGAAAACTCTCCAGAGAAAAAAGCGTTTAGGAATCATTTTTAAACATCAAAACATAAAACTATCTTCTTCTTGACAAGAAAGAAAGACATTCTGAGTACCTGTGTCTTTCAGATCTCTCTGCAGTTCTGAGATTCGGTACTTTTGGAACAGTGAGTTTGGATCTTCTCTTGGAGTTAACTTGAGCCACCTGAAAACATAAACAAGATTCTTAGCTTCCACCAGTACTAGCAAATTCAAAAGTCCATAATATAAACACACACCTTAGTTTCCAGTTTCTGCCTTTTGGTTTCTTGGTTTTGCAACTTAGAGGCTAAGATAGGAGATAAGTTATCACCAAACTTTCCTAACGATCTCTGACATCTGAAACATTAAAAAAAAAAAAACAGTTGTTGAAGCCAAAACAAAAGCAAACTAACATAAACGGTTTCCTCAAAGGGTTTACCTTGTCAGGAGTTGAACAGAGTAAACGTCTACTGGTTTGTTCTGCCTTGCAAGCAAAGAAGCCGTAGGTCTTGTCAAAGTAGACACACTTGGTTTGGTTTTAGATTTGAGTTTGTTCTTGGAGACATCTTTCACGGTTTGGCTATAATATAGAAACCCTGACAAACAATTTCAAACTAAGATTTCAAAAATTGCTTTGAGGAGAGACAATAGTCTTTGTATAAACAGTAAAAACCGTCAAAAACAACCAAGAGAAATCACCATTACCGTTGTATTTATCATTTGGATTCAGACCGGTATTCAAGGATTCGATAACCGGGTTTGAGATCTCGGTAGGCTTAGATTCTGAGATGGTGCTTGTAATTGGGATAATTGGCTCAAATTTCCAATTGAACTTTGGGCTAAAAGCTGAGATTTTCAGACAAAACATATAAATATACTTTGTAATAAACAGAGTATTTGCGAATCGAAGGGGAAATTTGTGTGGGTGTGTTCTTACGAGAAGGAGGATAGTTTCCTGATGATTCGAACCAGAATTCGATTTCTTCCGTCTCTGAATCGAGCTCTGGTCTTAAGAAATCGTAGAACTGCGGTGCATCGAATTCGAAATCAATGTCGAATTCCTCCAACGAAAAATCATCTCCGGATAAACCCGATGATGATTCCGGAACCATTATTTAGCCGGGAAGAGCCTCGAGAATTCCGATCTCAGAGACGACGGAATCGAGTGGGAGAGTATCGCATTCAAACGAATCACGAAAGAATCGGAGATGTTCTTCTCTCCCTCTCTCTCTCTCTCTCCCTTTCTCCCCTCGAACCAATCTCTCGAAAAGATTTCTCCAGAAAATTAGGAGAGAGAGAGAGATTGGAGATGGAGAAGAAGAGAGAGAGACAGAGAGGAAGAAGGTAACGACCCTAAAATTCAGTTGGCGCGGATGTGAATTAAACGACGGTGATCAATTTTTAATTATGTACAGCTCACAATTATTTTTGCATTTTCAAATTTAGTACTTTAGTTTTTGAAATACACAAAATCGACCCAGAATGTAATGTTTTGCAACATAACCCCTATGTTGCATGACTTGTTAAACAATTTTTGACTTGTTGCATGACTTGTTCAACAATGTTTTGCAACATAACCCCTATGTTGCATGACTTGTTCAATATAACCCCTATCCTTTTTTTATTTTTCAAAACACAATAGAATAAAAAGTAAGGTATATTTTGCTAGTTAGATCATTAAACTGTACAGAAATATTCCTTGATTTTTTGAGTTTTGGCAAAAAAAATTCATAGCACATTGACGATGTTAATTTTTTTTTTTAAAATGAGAAATATACAATACATATTTTATGCATATATCCGTGAAATAATTGAAACGATGCAAAAGTAAATTAAAAATATAACTGAAAAGTTGATTAAAGGGCATAAAATAGGAAATCAAAAGATAAGGGGAAGAAAACAAATATACGAAAGAAGCGTTCTCTCAACGGTCTTGTTTTGCCTTGAAGAGCTGTTTGTTTCTCTCTTCTCTCTTGCCTGTATTTCTTTTTCTTGACGACTTACCTGTAATTTTTTTTTGACTAAATATTGAAATCTTTTTTTTTTGTTTCCTAATTTCTATCCGAAATTTTTGTCAACCAAAAAACAACGGCTGTGTCGTTCAATCCAGGTAAAATCTCCTCCATTTTCGATTATTGCCCTAATATTTGCAAATTCATTTTGGTGTCAATGAAACTTCAAAAATTTGTTATCATTTGAGAAAATACCGGGAGAACAAAAAAAAATTTAACCTATAGAGGAAAAAGATCTTCACCGAATTTGAATAAGAGATAAGAATTTTGAATGTATTTGATTTTGTTTACAGAGTTTGGAGATAATAATGTCCAAATCTCAAATTGAATCAACTTGTGCTTCTCTTCAACAAGAACTTGAGGTTTGTGATTGCTTCAACTGCAAGAAAAAGGGTTTTTTTTTTTAATAATACAGAACCGTTTTAAATTGATGTGATTCTGTTTCTGATACAGATTATATGGGACGAGGTTGGAGAAACTGAAACCGAAAGAGATAAAATTTTGATTGATATCGAAGAAGAGTGCAGAGAAGTCTACAATCGTAAAATCGAAAAGGTAAAAGAAGAGAGGATTCGATTAAGACAAGAGATTGCTGATACAGAGGCAAGAGTTATTGGTATATGTTCTGTAATGGAAGAGCCACCGATTCTTGGGAGACAACATTCATCTGATCAATGTGGAAGAAGCTTGAAAGAAGAATTAGGAAAGATCCTTCTGAAACTTGAAGAAATGGATAAGAGAAAATCAGAGAGGAAGATTCAGTTTATTCAAGTAATTGAAGATATAAGATGTGTAAGAGATGAGACTGATGGAGAACCTGAAGAGTCTTGTTCATCTGATTTTTCGATTGATGAATCCGATTTATCTCTTAGAAAGCTTGAAGAGTTACACACAGAACTTTACACACTTCAAGAACAAAAGGTATCCAAACTTTGACTAGTCACCTTAATTTTGATTTGGTTTCATTTCTTGATACATAATACTTAAATGTTCATTTTCTTGGATCAGAGAAACCGGGTGAAACAGATTCAAGAACATCTAAGAACTCTCGAATCACTTTGTTCGGTTCTCGGTTTGAGTTTCGGAGAAACTGTCGTCAAGATTCACCCAAGTTTAGTAGAATCTGAAGGGTCAAGAAGTATAAGTAATGAAACACTTCACAAGTTAACTTCATCAGTCGAACAATGGCATGAGACAAAGATACAGAGAATGCAAGAAGTGAGTTAGATTTTTTCAAACTTTTTTATCTTAACATTTTGCTCTTTGTTCTTAATATTTTTGTAGATATAAGCCCTTTTGATGATTACAGCTTCAAGATCTTGTGACAACGATGCTTGAGTATTGGAATTTAATGGATACACCAGCAGAGGAACAACAGAAGTTCATGGATGTTTCATGTAACATAGCTGCTACTGTTTCTGAAATAACCAAACCCAATAGTCTTTCTATAGATTTGCTTGAAGAGGTACCTTCACAATCACAACAACACCAAAAATTAACTATTTTTAATTTCTCTAAAATTCTTATGGATTGTTTATTGCTTAAAAGGTTAAAGCCGAGCTGTGTCGGTTAGAGGATTTGAAGTGGAGCAAAATGAAAGAACTTGTTCTAAAGAAGAGGTCAGAACTTGAAGAGATATGTAGAAGAACACACATTGTTCTTGAAGAAGAAGAAGATATCGAGATGGATAATGTAATCAAAGCCATTGAATCAGGAGATGTAAACCCTGAAAACATACTAGAACAGATTGAGTACCGAGCAGGGAAAGTGAAAGAGGAAGCTTTATGCAGAAAAGACATTCTTGAGAAAGCTGAGAAATGGTTGAATGCTTGTGAGGAAGAGAATTGGCTTGAAGAGTATAATCAGGTTTTGTCTCTTTTTTTGTTCATAATCCAACATTTTTGTGGTTATAGATTTTTATGATTTTTTTTTGGTATAGGATGAAAACCGATACAATGCTGGAAAAGGATCTCATTTAATCCTTAAACGAGCAGAGAAAGCTCGTGCACTTGTTACTAAACTTCCAGGTTTTTTCATATAGATCATCCCAATAAAAAGTTTTTAGTTTGTTATTTTTGTGAATCTTTTAACTTACTGATGAAAATCTCTTCACTTTTCTTAGCTATGGTTGAAGCATTAGTTTCCAAGATTACAAGTTGGGAATCAGAGAAAGAAGCTGAGTTTCTATTTGATGGTGTATGATCTTATCTTCTTCCCTCAGAACAAAACTTTTTTTTTTTTTTTGCTTTTCTCTCTACACACTTCATTAAACCTTTTTATTCGACTTTCTTCATTCAGAATCGTCTACTTTCAATGCTTGATGAGTATACAGAACTACGAGAAGAGAAAGAACAAGAACGTCGCAGAAAAAGGGTATTTAGCTACAACTCTTTTACATAAATCTCCGACCAGGAATCATACAAAGCTTGTTGGATTTTGGTTGTTTTTAGGATCTGAAGAAACTTCAAGGTCAAGTGATTACATCAGAGCAAGACAAAGGAACTCCTACCAAGCCTCAAAGCGCGAAAAAGAGCCTTAAAGTAGCAACAAACAAGAGATTTGCATCATCCCCTCGAACTGATTCGCCTCACTCAGCAAAATCTATGACTTCTCAATCACGCTATGGCTGAAAGATTGAGCGTAGAGTTGAAAACAGTCGATAGGAAAAAACGTTTTGAGGCAAACTCTTCAAAACCTGCTAATTTAGAGAGAGGGTCTCACAAGAAGTTAAATCAGGATCCATCATTTGTAATCTGTCAAACTCATCAGGTCCAAGTGTGTACATACACTGATTATGCTGCGGAAAGAAGAGTTTGACTTTGACCGACCAATGTACTTGCTACATGTAAATCAACGTCAGTTTTTTTTCCTAGTGATCTTTGTAAGACTTTGATCTCCTCATGATCTATCTCTAGTAAAACTAAAAAAACACTTTTTTTGATTTTGTAATTAACTTCCAATAAATCTTTGACGCGTAGTTAGTGTTATTACAAAAATTGCATGAGTAAATCTAAATAGAAGCTTATCTTGAAAATTAATTGGTCTAAGTAGATTTTCAAAGCGATTTTTCTTTTGGTCAACCTTACTTCAAAAGTGACTAACTGGAAAAAGACAAAGGAGATTGTCAGAAGTTTGGTATTTCTTTTCTTTTTTCAAATTTCACTTTAAATATTTTTGTTCGTAGTCTTGTTTATTTAATTAGAGATATTAAAATTCCAAGACGGACGTGGATCTTTCCCTAAACCAAAATCAATACTTTGATTTTCGTAATTATTATATCGATTTTAAACTAATTAATTCCTTAATATTCGTATTAAATAATACAACTGTCTACGTGATATTTTTTATATATTTTATTTCTTTTCCTGAAATTTTCTAACATTTTTTTATTTAGGTTCCTTTTATTTCTTTGCAAAAACCCTAAATTCAGTCGTCTGTGAGAGAAATTATATTCTTTCTCTTGTGAAAAAAAATTGGGGATATTGCATGTAATTTTTTTTGGGGGGATTTTTACTTGCTAATTCCTGCTGAGATTGAGGTTAATCTCCATTTGAGAAGCTCTTGCATTCTTCTGCTAACAGTGTTGGTCTCAGCTCCAGAATTGCTGAAAAGTAAGAAACCAAATCTAAAAACCTGTGACCAAAATTTCTTTTTTCCTTTGATCTTTGTTCTTTGATCTTGAGCTATTTCATCTCTCTTTTGAGTCTAATCAAACTTGTAATCTTCTTTTTTCTGGTTCTAAGTTAATTTTGTCTGTTAAAAAAAAGGAAAAAAACTTTGCTTGTTGTTGTTGTTGTTCTTCCTCTCTGTAACTTTCTTGCTCTGCATCTTAAAAAATGAAATAAGTTTCTTCTAAAAGCTCAATTTTTTTGGTGAATTCAGGGGGAGAATTGTGTTTCCTGCTAATTTTGCGAATTCGCGGTGATAAAAATGGAGGAGAAAAGTGGAATTAGTCCAAGTGGGGTCATCACAGTCAAGGGAGATGAAGCTTTGGCATCAAGAACAGAGTTTCAACAAAACCCTAGCTTTCTCCAATTCGTAGCACCCACGACGGTGTTGTCTCCTCCTCCGCCTCCTCCGCCTCCGGCTCCACCAACCTCCGTGACTCCTGGCTCATCCGCAGCAACAGCAGCGCCGCCGCCGCCGGCGTCGATCTCAAGCGCAGGGTCAGATCCGACGAAGAAGAAGAGAGGAAGGCCGAGGAAATACGCTCCAGACGGAAGTGTAAACCCTAGAGCTTCAAGACCAGCTCTCTCTCCAACTCCAATCTCATCTTCGATTCCATTGTCTGGAGATTATCACCATCATCATCACTCTAATTGGAAACGAGGAAAAGCTCAGCAACAGCAATATCCTCTTGAGTTCGTCAAGAAATACGAAAGCAGCCCAGGTATAAATTTGCAATCTTTTTTGTGTGTTAGACTCTGTATGCATCGGTTTCAGTGAGACAGATCTGATCTGGAAATCTGATCCGATCTGGGTTTTGGGTTTTCTGTGTTGATGTGATTTTTATGTGGATTTTGAGATGTTGGGAAGTGGGACCAACATAACTGGATTTTGGGTACCCTTTTGTCTGAAGAAGCTACACAAACAGACCAGTTAGAGACAGAGAAAGAGAATCTGATGATGCTGACCGAACTAAAACAGAAAATATAAAGGAGAATAATCTTTGTCTCTTCCTTTTATCTTAGATGATAAGTGTGTGTCTACTTGTGTTATTTGTTAAAGTTGTTCGCTCAGATCTTAATATTTCTCATTAGCTGGTTAAATTCTGTTTTAATTACTGTCTATGTCCCCTGGTGACTTGTTCTTGAAAATTTAGACCCTAAACATACGGCCTTATCAACTCCTTAAACACAGCTTATGGTCTTATCGTAAACTTTTTTTTTATGTTTATGAATCATTGAGTTAGTAGTTTAAGGATTAGAAGTTTAATCAAACTCTGTTTTAATTCTTGTAGCTCTTCCTACTCCTCCTGCTGGGCTCTCATACTATGTGGGTGCAAATTTTACAACCCATCAGTTTACTGTCAATGCCGGTGAGGTAATAAATTCATTCTTTTTTTCTTTTTTTTTTTTCTCGTTAGAAAGACTTTTTCTTCGTTATCGGATTTTGTCTTGGTTTGAATATTTGTTTCTTCCTTTTTCAGGATGTAACAATGAAGGTTATGCCGTATTCGCAAGGATCTAGAGCTATCTGCATTCTTTCTGCAACTGGTTCCATCTCTAATGTCACACTTCGTCAAGCTACCACTTCAGGCGGCACTCTTACATATGAGGTATAACCAAACACTGAATCAGATTTCGCTGCTTTTGAAATATAATGCTCTGAAATATAATTTTTCTTGGTGGTTCTTGAGCCCTTTTTTTGGTTTTTTGTTATATGTTAGGGTCGATTTGAGATACTATCGCTATCAGGTTCCTTTATGCCTACTGAAACCGGAGGAACAAAAGGTCGGTCCGGTGGCATGAGCATTTCTTTAGCCGGACCAAATGGCAAAATCATCGGCGGTGTTCTTGCCGGTATGCTGATAGCAGCCGGTCCTGTCCATGTAATACAATCTTTACTTTAAAAGACACATATTTAGTAAAGTTGTAAATAGTTCCCTTAAAAGTCTTATTATTTGTGACAGGTGATAATGGGAAGCTTCATTGTGATGCATCAAGCAGAACAAGCACAGAAGAAGAAACCTCGAGTCATGGAGGCTTCTCCTCCGCCACAACCACCACACCAACAACCACCTCCTACTTTCACCATAACCACCATGAATTCTGCTTCTCCTGCGGTGGCTACTGTAGAGGAGCCGAAACAACAAAGCTACGGTGGTGGTGGTGGAATAGTGAGACCGATGGCTCAAATGCCTTCTTTCCACAACGACAATTCAGCTATGAACAATTTCGCAACGAACTTTCAGGGGTACGGGAATATGAATACGGGTACTAACAAAGAAGAAGATGACTATGACGATGGTGGCGATGATGATTCCGGCGATACTAGGAGCCTATCTCATAGTGGTTGAGCAATTCTCGGGTTTCTTGTGTAGAAAGTAAGCGACCTTTTAAGGGCAAAAGTGATTCAGCTATTCTTTCCTTTGCTTTGTTTTAGGTGTGAGTTTTGCTCTCTTTTGTTTTTCTGTGTTTTCTAGGGTATTTGTTTTTGTCATCGGTTTAGATTAATTATGTCGAGATCATCGACTAAACGATGTTTTATGAATGCAGTTATTGGGATTAAAATTTATTATTTTGCTAATGACATGGTTCTAACTTTTAATCTAAATCTTGAATTCCTTTCTGTGATTTTTATCAAGTCAAGATCTTGTGCTTTCAGACAATACTTTTTCTTTCCGACAATATAAACACTCAAAATCTGTAAGAGTTTCAGTGGAATACAACATTCGGTATTTTCACCTTTTCTAGATCTTCAATTAGAAGTGCTGTATACAAATTCATAACTTGACTAGCAAGTTCTTTACAAATATGAGAATAGGAAATCTAACTGTTTAGCGTAAAGATAATATATACATAAATGTTTAGTTTCCTAATAACAGTAAGGATTTATGTTATAGTCGATCTTGTAATTAACCGTTTGTGCGAGTCAACTCTGTAACTGGTGAAGCATTTAGGTATGTATAACCTAAGTAAGTTTATTTCTCGTCTATCCTCTGTTTCCCTAAACCCTAGCACCAGAGCGTCTGTGTTTCTGACTGAGAAGGCTCCAAAAATCATTCAATCTTTCAGAAACCGAGCATTCTCCGGGAAACCAGACTCTGATGGATTCGGAGGCGGCGACGATAACGGTTGGGATATCCCAACAGGAGGATCCGATGATCTTGACTGGGACAATAAATCAATGTGGTCGACTGGTTTCACCAAAGAGCATTTCAACGGTGTCTCCGTTGGACGTCAGAAGAACGTAAATCCTCCTTCTTCTGATGATTCTGGTGGTCGTGACGTAATGAGCAAATTGGGACCGAGAGAAGTCGCTATGGTCAACGAAATGAATGAGTACGATGACTTGCTAAAAGAGATTGACCAAGATAATAAGGAGAGTAGGGCTTTTGTTGATGGGATTAAAGAGAGAATGATGGAGATTAGCGTGTTGCTCAAGCAAGTCAAAGAGCCTGGAGCTAGAGGAGCTTATCTTAAAGACTCTGAGAAGACTGAGATGTACAGATTGCACAAAGAGAATCCTGAGGTGTATACCGTTGAGAGACTTGCTAAGGATTACAGGATCATGAGGCAACGTGTTCACGCCATTCTTTTTCTTAAAGAAGATGAAGAAGAAGAAGAGAAGAAACTTGGTCGTCCCTTGGGTGATTCCGTTGAACGTTTGCTTGATGAGTACCCTGAGTAAGTACTTAAGATCAAGAATCAAGATACACACTTTGGATAGGTTGCTGAATGTGTGTTTCATGGTCTTCCTCAAACCCTAATCTAATATATATTTGTTACCTCATTATAGGTTCTTTATTTCGCATGACCGTGAGTTTCATGTGGCCTCGCTCAAGTACAAGCCCGAGTTCAAGGTGATGCCAGAAGGATGGGATTGTACGATCAAAGACATGGATGAAGTCCATTACGAGATCTCAAAGAAAGAAGATGACATGCTCTACGAAGAATTCGTCCGAAGGTTTGAGTTCAACAAAATGAAAGTAAGTCAGTCCCTTCTTTGACTATGCATTGACTTTGCAAAACCATATGTTTGATCATTTCTTGATAATGTCTTGTGAACTCAGTGGAGAGGAGAAGTGAAGTGTCACAAGTATAGCAGACGACGTTCATCGGAGTGATGGAAAATAACGGTTGAGAAATTAGGAGCGAGGGGCAAACGTGGAAGTGGAGGTGGTTGGAAGTTTGTGAGTCTTCCGGATGGATCGAGCAGGCCGCTCAACGAGATGGAGAAGATGTATGTTAAGAGGGAGACACCACGTCGTCGGCTTAGGATCTTGATAGGTTCCAAAGATTCTGGTTCAGGAAGAGCTTGCAGAGCCAAGAAGGTGTCCAAGAGAAGGAGGAAGGAAATGATACGTTTCGCACAACGTCAGAGAGATATAAAAGCGAGCAAACTGAAAAAATGATAAAAAATTTTGTATTGTATTGATGCATGAAAAGAGATCTCACATATAATCTCTGACAAGGGTTTTGTTCCAACGGAATTCAAAATTTCATGGGTTAAAATGTAAGAAACTATTAAGTTATATCTATTTCGAAATGGAGTAAAAAAGTAACAAAAACAGACATTTGCAGTAAAAAAGTAACAAAAACAGACATTTGCTTACATTTGCAAAAACGAACGAAATACAGGGACTAAATCATAAAAACGAAAGGAAAACTGATCTCTCTCCCTAAAATTCTAAAACCCTTCCCTTTATCGCAGTCGCTGCTATTGGCTTCTCCGTTGGTCTTCTTCATCGTGATTCCGATTAATCGGAGATTCGACTTTGGTCGCGCTCTGTCTTCCTATCCTCAGGTTGCTAGAAATGTTCTTCCTTTTTTCAGTGTGTGCTTAAATTTTGTTGATTGGATAGTTACTAGATCTTCTTCTATCTTCATTTCAGCGTTCGATTTGATCTGTAAACTGAAAACATCATCGTCGTCACTAGATATGCTTAGTAGGATCATTCCTCGTCTATACTCGGTGAGTGCGTCTGGGTCTGTGATTGACAACGCTCCGAAAATCTTCCAATCTCTCGGAAATCGAGCATTTTCCGGGAAATCAGGCTCCGATGGAGTCGGAGGAAACGACGGTTGGGATATCTCAACAGGAGGATCTTTCGGCGGCGCAGGATCTGGCGATCTCGATTGGGATAACAAATCAATGTGGTCGACTGGTTTGAGCAAGGAGCATTTCGACGGCGTCTCCGTTGGCCGTCCGAAGAACGCTTCTGATGATTCCGGTGGTGATGTGATGAGCAGATTGGGTGCGAGAGAGGTCGCTATGGTGAACGAAATGAATGAGTATGATGATATGATTAAGGAGATTGAGAAAGAGAACAGGCATAGCAGGGGTTTTGTTGATGGGATCAAGAACAGGATGATGGAGATGAGTGTGTTGCTGAAGCAAGTGAAGGAGCCTGGAGCTAGAGGAGCTTATCTTAAGGACTCTGAGAAGACTGAGATGTACAGGCTGCACAAAGAGAATCCTGAGGTGTATACCGTTGAGAGGCTTGCTAAGGATTACAGGATCATGAGGCAGCGTGTTCACGCCATTCTTTTTCTTAAGGAAGATGAGGAAGAAGAGGAGAGGAAGCTTGGTCGTCCTTTGGATGACTCCGTTGAACGGTTGCTTGATGAGTACCCTGAGTAAGTACATGCTTCATTCAATGGAGTGTCTCTGTGTGCTCACTTTTATTTAGTATTATCAAGATGGTTGCTGTTGCCGGTAGCATTGTTAGTGAAAGATGATGACATAAACTTGGATAGGTTGCTGAGTATGTGGTTTTGTGTCTCATTGTAGGTTCTTTGTTTCGCATGACCGTGAGTTTCATGTGGCCTCGCTTAAGTACAAGCCCGAGTTCAAGGTGATGCCAGAAGGATGGGATGGTACGATCAAAGATATGGATGAAGTCCATTACGAGATCTCTAAGAAAGAAGATGACATGCTTTACGAAGAATTCGTTCGTAGGTTTGAGTTCAACAAAATGAAAGTAAGTCAGCCCCTTCTTTATCCCCCTGGCCTTGAGAGCATGCATTAACTTGGTTAGTTATTGGTTAATTATTATCAAGTGACATGCTTGCAATCTAGAAAGAAAAGCTTATTTATAGATAATACAAACTTCCATTGGGTACCTGGTGCTCGCTTGATTGAGATATCTAAGTGCTGAGACTAGATGCAAATTTGGAACAGTCTGCTCTAAATTTCATAGTTTGCAGAATCAAGTATTTCTCTTCAAAAGAACATAGATCCATGCCATTATATCAATGATTATCAGCCTTTGTTCTGCATGTGTTCTTGTCATAAGTTGTTGGACGTATTTCGGTTGTTTCTCCTGGATGCTAATAGATTATACATTTTCCATTTTTGGTCTCTGAAAACAGTGGAAAGGAGAAGTGAAGTGTCACAAGTACAGCAGACGGCGTTCATCGGAGGGATGGAAAATCACGGTTGAGAAAATGGGTGCTCAGGGCAAACGTGGAAGTGGAGGTGGCTGGAAGTTTGTGAGTCTTCCAGATGGGTCAAGTAGGCCGCTCAACGAAATGGAGAAGATGTATGTTAAGAGGGAAACACCGCGTCGCCGTCGTAAGATCCTCCCTTGATTTCACTAGAATCAGAAGACTCCTTCAGTGGTAATATCAAGATAGAAATGTTATGTCTCATGTGTTTTCTTGGAGAGTCTCAAAGTTGAAACTACTTTGCTTTTGTTTTGGTGTTAAAGTTGAATAGTAAGATGTAGCTTTTGTTTTTTGTTGAGCTCTAACTTTATCAGTGGCCCAAAACCCATGAGGTTCAAATAATCTTACGACCCATTATTGTTTTAGTAGAATCTCAAACTACATTCTTTTTTTTTTTATGTACGAGAAAGGTTCTTAATTCAAGATTCAAAATTATTTTAAGAAGTTTTTTAGTTTTTTTTTTAAAGGTGTGGGAATTTTAGAAAACTGAACTAAACTAAACTAGATAAAATTATGTTTGTGTTTAAGTTTAACCAATTTTTGTCTTTAGTATGTGAATTTTACGACCATACTATTTCCATTGAATATATCAAAAGGAAACAAGGAAAATAAAAAGACAACGAGCCACCCATAATATTAGAAAAACACAGTAATAAAAGATGATGTCTCCTGGAATGGTCGAAGCAGAATCTGTAGCCACTCACTGTTCTCTATCATTGTCTCCTCCTCAATCGTATCCCAATCCCACGTTCGCTTTATTTTTTAATTTTGGGTGTTTATTTATTTTCTTTTTATGTCATTCATGAATCTTATTACATAGTTCGTTTTTTTATGATTTCATCCCAATCTTTGAATTGGTACAGGCTTACATTACGTAACACAACAATATTTTAGGGTTTACATTTAAAAAATACTAATATCAAAAATATGCTTCCGGTGATTTGAAATTGGTGAATAAAAAAAAATCAAGACTTTTGTGAGATTTGTCGGGACGATAATGTAAGAAATCTACTCATATTTCCGGTATTTTAAAATATCTTAAAATGTTTTGTATATAGTGCATGCATCGAACTCCGATTATACGTACGTTTTCTAACGTTTCTTTTGATTGAAATGTTTATGCTATTTATCTTTAAAAACCTAGATATTTTACTCTTAATATATTTCTATGATATGTTGAACGTCGGACTAAAGAGTTATCTAGCTAGATTTGAGACATTTTACATGGTCACGACCAATTGCACAAGAAAACCGAGTAATTACACGAGACCAGTTTTGTATCCTACATGATTCGAAAACATATATGGCCGACTATTTCAGACCAGTTTTTGAAATAGTTGTTCGACGGGACTTCAAACTTTTTTTAGCCAGTCCTATCGAACTCATCATGGTCCACACAACCTCTTATTATTGTTACAAATGCTATTTTTTTTCTTCTTCTTTGTAAAGTTTTTGACATTTTTCTCTATTTTTCATTATTTATGATTTTAAACCAACCACATATAAAGGGATATAAACTATATCTCCCATTGCACTTGGACCAAACATGTTTTACTTGAACCAGATCAAAAACTTTGGACCAGTTTGGTCTGGCCAAATTTATCTTCAATACCCTTATCTTGATAAGGTATAAAGCAATAATAATGACAGATGCATGAAACTAGTTCAAGTGGAAGAAACATTATACACTGAGATATCTTCATCAATGGCAAGAACATGTCTCAATAAACCCAAAACTATTCTAACATTTTTTTCTGAATCATATCTATCAGCATGGGACACTGTGGCTGTTTGTGCCTTTGGATTCAACGCATCCTTCACGATCTTTTTTATAACTGCATCTCATTAGTAGCAATCACCAGTTTCAAATATTTGTTTTAAAGTATATATACGTACATTTCCTTTTTATCAAATGTATACCCACTGAAATTTCGACCATGAATGGTTTCAACAACAAGACGAATTGTAGCCATTCAATATTATGATATTAGATATGTTTAAGCATTACAGCTGAAACATTTATATCTCAGTCTTGGTTAGTACAATGATTAATGCATAATTAGATTAAGTGTATATGAAGCTTCATGGAAACCCGTACGAGATAGGACGGTCACTAGATTGTACAATCAAAAACTTAATTGTAATATATCCATTAATCTAAACCGTACGTTCTAATTAGTTTTGTGAAATCGAGAATCTATATTTTGTAAGAGAAACTGTAAGCTTGTTGTCAGAACAAACATGGACCCATGTTCTCTATGTCCCTAAGATGTGTACCAATCTCAATTCTCTTCTTTGTTGCTCTATATTTTTATTTCAAAAATATTCTATATATTTAATCGCATTGAGATCTCCCATTGCCTCTGCTGCACTAGACATTACAGCTCATTTTCCCTCATAATTCAATATATTGTTCTTTCTAATTAGTTAAAACTAATCATATTTGGGCAATAAGCGTTGAAACTATCTATACACATATAAATTCGTAACCGAGACTAGATAACACTATATTAATGTTTGTGTTCCTAAAGATGCATGTAAACATGTCCAAACATCAAGATTAATGACTAACATCTAAGCCATGATATATTTTAGAGCATTTTTCTTTGTATTTGTTTAAGTTACAATGTTTTACCATGTTAACATGTGTCTGTATTTCGAACATAAACTAATGTGATAAAAAAAAAAAAAAAAAAAAACTATCATTGCCGTTTCCTTTTGCTGCACGCACGAATTCAAATAAACATTGCTGGCGATTAATTATTGAATGCCAGTATGAAGAACCCTTGAACATAGTCTAGTTCAATTTAGAGATCATAAGGAAAAGGAACATTAACAATGACAGTTGCTGATTAGTCTCTCTTTTTTTTTGAATTGGTTGCTGAATAGTCTCTCGACAATGAGACAACCCGCCTTTTTAATATATGGAAGATATACCATATTGTGGAATACTATTACAACTTGACCAAATTTAATTTATCTTCTCCGTTTATTTATATCAAAAAGAAAAGATTCATGAAACTGGACCAGCCTGTTTGAATCTTGTCCCATTCACAAGTCTCCCCATATATAAATGAAGACCTTTCACCCCTAAATCCATAACCATCATCAACCACTTCAAAACTTTCTAAGCAAAGAGAGAGAAATTCGTTTTTTCTTCCTAAGACACTTAAATTAATCAAAAAGAAATGGCGTTTTGGTCTGCTGAAAATGCTACTAAAGCGTATCTTAGTACATTGAAAATGGTAAGAGTTTTTTTTTTTTTTTTTTTTTTAAATTATTATTCGTATAATTTCTGTTTGAACCAAATTTATCCAGTTTTTGTTTAAACTATGCTATCGATCGATGCTAGAAAGATAACTAATGTATAGTTTTTAGTCTTGAATAAATGTCACATTTTAACATATACCCATCTATGAATTCGCAGGATCATAGATCAAAAGAACCAAACGTGGCCGAATTCATATCAGCTCTAGCCGCCGGCAATAACGCTAAAAAGATCGCCGTGGCTTGCGCCGGAGCAGCAAACGCCGACATACTCGTTGCCCTAATCGCTGCCGCTAATCAAACGCGCGGTCGAGTGGTATGCGTTTTACGTGGCATCGAAGAACTAATCATATCCAAGAAAATGTTGGAACCATCAGAGATCCATCAGATACAGTTCGTAGTCGGAGAATCTAACGACAACGCTCTAATTAATGATCATTTTGGAGAAGCCGATTTCGTCCTCGTCGATTGTAACCTCGACAACCACCAAGAGATTGTTACAAAGATTGTTAATCACCATGAAGAAAACGCAAGAAACGTCTGTGGAAGTGGCGTTGCGGTTGTGGTGGGATATAACGCGTTTTCGAGAGGGTCGTGGAGGTTTAGCGATGGGAGGAAAACGCAGTTTTTGCCAATAGGAGAAGGGTTACTTGTGACGAGGGTCAACGATAACGGTAACTATAATCAGAAGATGATGATGATGATGAACAAGAACAATCATCATGCCAAGAAGAGTCATTGGGTGGTGAGGGTTGATAAGTGTACTGGAGAGGAGCACGTGTTTAGGGTTAGGGTTCCACGAGGAGAAGCCATTATTGAAGCTTAAATTAAAAATATCGGGTACTTTTTAGAGCAAAATCACCTCTGTGATGGTTCAGACGAGTGAGAGTAAGAAAATTAGTTTGTATTAGTAATTATAAAGAGTTTTGATTAGTATTGATGAGTGTTTTGTTTGTATGAAGAAGAGTGAAGAAAGTCTTTTTTTATTTAAAGGGCTTTTTATTTTGTAAGTGTGAATATGAAGAGATGTGTTTCGTTTTTAATTTCTTTATGTTTTTGGATTTTACCTTTGTCTCTCCTTGAGCATATGTACACACACTGTGATTCTTCGGATTTTGGATGTTAAGACAATAAACTATTCAAAAATGCACATGCACGAGAAGATAGCTTCTGAGACTAAAACAATCGAAATTACATCTATGCAATGTATTTATATATCTGTCTCTTACAAACATTTTTTTTTTTAGTTAAAGTGTCTCTTACAAACATCTTCAAAATAGATGCATATGGCCTATATACACGTAACACGTATGTAAAATATTATTAATTCATCGTCCTAATTAGGTGTATGATTTTTCTGTGGTCAAATTCTATTCGACTTTAATATGGTTGGTTCCATTTCTTATTTCATTTGACTCAGATTATATCCTCAAAGCTATATTAAAAAAAAATCTCACTGAACACTTTGATAAAAGGATTCAAATTCTGGTCATTGATTTTAATTAGGCTTGTACACAAACTAGGAGGCATCAAAGTTCCCTTAAGACATCGCGTTAATTAAGAATGTTAGATTTTTTTGAGTTATATAGGGTCACGAATTGATAACGATCCGTTTCATTTATGAATGCATTGTCACGATCTGAAAGACAACACTCACGAACGTCCCATAACCTTCCCCTATCCACATGCCCACCCGATTTCGTCCTTATCCTATGTCTCCCCACCCCCATCACTCCATAAGATTATGACATTTTTCACTCTTGTATACTCAAATGACACTTTTCACTCATGAATACTACATCCATTTCATAATAGCGTGTGTACCTTGTTTTTGTTTTTATAGTAAAAACATTTTTTTTTTGTAATATCATTGTAATTTTTTTAAAACATGGTTGAAATTTTATCTATATCATTTTAAAGTGATTAGTTTTGGAAAATTCACAAGTGTATAGTAAGAAAGAAAGAAAAAATATAACAGAAAATCAAATATTAACATTTGTAGGGAAACAAGTGTAGTGTATATAGTAAAATTCAATCAACAACAGAAATTAACCAAACATCAAAACTAAAAGCTATAAAATACATGCAAGTTTAATACTAGTGTTAAGAAATTTAGGATTAATGAAGTTTTCTCTTTCCGTTCAATAGATTATGGGCTTGTTTAACGAAGCCCAGTTTCTCAAAAGCCCAGTAATGTTCTTCATCAGTCATCACCAGTGAACAGAACAAATGATTCTCAGCGAAAACCCTAAGAAAACCCCTGCCAGAATCTCAGTGTTTGCGATCGGAAAAACATGGTGGTTGGCCTAAGAGAGTTCACGCTTAGAACCGAAGATGGCTCCGGAAAACCGGTTCTCGACGAATCGAACGGTGAAGAACTTAAGCAAGTGCAGCCTTCCGTCGCCATCGTTCTCGGAAACCGCCCCGTCGAGTCTCCCGGAACTCTCTACATCACTTCCCGGTGAAATTTTCTCACTCAAACCTCTCCTTCTCGATTGACCTTTTCGAGGAATCAAAATTTCACGGCTCAGGGAGATTAATGGTGTTTCAATTTTTGATTTTTGTGTGTCAGGAAAATAATTTGGCTGAGCGATGTAGACATGTCGAAAGGTTACGCCGTCGATTTCTTATCAATATCACTTCATGCTGTTTCTAGAGACCCAGAGGCTTATTCATCTCCTTGTATATATACTCAGGTATTGAAAAATCGTGTGAATAGAATTGTTTGTGTTCTTATTGTTTGTGCTTGTGGATTTGTAACTAGTGATCGTTATTTTTGTGAATCTCTTAGTTTGGCTTAGACCTTAGTTGCTGGCATAATTGGTTCTGAATTTCTAGTTTTGTGTGCAATGTGTTTCTCTCTCAATTTTCTTTGGTTTTGTTCTGAGTTTTCTTGGGTCTATATTGAAGATTGATGTTGAAGAAGATGAGGATGAGTCTGATACAGAATCAACTGAAGTTCTGGACTTGCCAAAGATAAGAGAGATGAGGCTTGTTCCTTCAGACTCAAGCCAGTGTGAGTTTTCATGCAACTATGTTATAGAGATATGTGAATCTTTAAGAGTCTCGGATTGCTTAACAGGCAGATTCTTTTTCTTGTCTTGTATCTGACAGTGGATACTCTGTTTGACGTATTTTGCGAGTGTGCCGAGCTTAATCCAGAACCAGTTGAAGGTAACTTCACAGTGATGCAGCCTTGCTACTAATATCTCACTAATGCAAAGTTTGGTTTCGCTAGCCATTTACAGTTTTGTTTTCATTGTTTTGTTTCAGAAGAAGAAGAAAACGGAGATAGTTGGGTGTTCGGTGCTGATCAGATGGATGTTCGTGGAGGAGGTAAAGATTTTTTATACGCTGAGAGAAATTTTCAATATCATATACACTATATATATATATATATATGTTCATCTCTTGAATGGTATGAAGAAATGTGATAAAGTTGTTCTGTGTTGTACAGGGGAAGAAGATGCGGAATGGCAAATGTCTCAGAGTCCAACGAGTGTGATTGGTCATACCAATGGAGATGAAGGTCTTGCTCAGCCTATGCTTGAGGTAACATATGTTTATTATTTACTCTATTTTTTTAGCTTCTTTGGTTGTGGTAATTATTAGCTGTGACATCGACTCTTTTGCTATTGACACTGCAGCTCCAAATCAATGATCAGAGGTTTGAGGATGCTGAAGAGATGGCTCATGATAGTGAGTCCAAGGATCATCACTAGTTTGTTCACTAATGTATTATGCTAAAACAGGCTTGTCTTGAAACGATGTCGAGTTATCGAGACTTTATAAGTGCTTTGATAAACTTCAATATAAATTATTGGCATCGTCGTCATTCGTAGAACAATACATCAATCGACCACGTAAACAGTATTTTTTTTTACAAATTTAGGTATATAAAACGGATGTGAACAAAACTAAACTGGTTTATGTGAATTAAGCTGGTTTATGTGAACAAATGATTCGTTCATTCTTAAGAAATTTTCTATAGTAAAAAAATGATTACAGTATTAATTTTTGTTTGTTGAATTAAATCTAAACGTGTTGTAATTGTATCATCGTTCTAGAATTTTTAACCAAAAATATCTAAGTACCGTGTTTTCTTTGTCAACCCTGAAGAAAACATCAGGAAATGCTAATTATAAATTTAGTTATAAGATTGGTTGCTTTTCGTTTCTAGAAATGGGCAAGACATGCATTTGTTGGAAGCACGTCGTCCGATTTGGACAATCTCCACCTAAATATTGTTAGTTTTTTTCTCCCCATTTGATTAGGTAAATCACAAATGAGAATTCATTTAAATTCTAATTGTTCTGCAGTTATAATTTTATCTTCATGTATTCAACATTGATAATAAGTTACCATCAACTCGCTTTATATAGTCTAGATGTATAAAATAAGTCTAATTAATTAATATTAAGCGAATTTACATCAAAGTATAGTAAACTAAAAATCTGAGTCCCTCATTTCCCGCGAAAACCTCAGTGTCTCTTTCCTCAATCTCTTTTTTTCTCTCTCTCTCTCTCAACCGCTTCTGTGTAACGTTATGGTTTGACAAAACAGAAGCAAAAAATATGAGTGTGAATATGAAAATTCAATTGAAAATCTTTACGATTTGAAGGAAACCAGATATTTCTATTTATAACAAATGTCGCCGATGTCAACGACGGAGCAGTGGTCTGAGAATGATCGGGATCCGGCAACCGTCTCAACGCCAACCAACGCGAAGCATCTGAATAAGATCCCCGCGATTCCTTTCCGCCATCCCTCTACGGAGAATGAAGAAGAAGATAAACCAGCGAAATCGAACGACGCGACGCCGGCATTAGCTGCGGAAGGCTCGACGAGCCACGATTCGCCGGAAATTCTTGCTCCTTCTTCCTTGGGTTTGAACCATATCAGGACGAAATCATCTCCGGCGCCGTCGCCTTTGGGTCTCTCTTCGGCTACGCCGTTGATTCCGCCGATTCAGGATGATAAAGACGCCAAGGAGAAACCTAGGGTTGGTGCTGCTGATGCTCGCGCCGACGCTCGTGCGAGGTGGCCGATTCCTCCTCATCAACCCGATCAGGGTACTTTTCTCGTTTGCTCGATTCAGGATTTATGTATTCTCAAACCTCGAATTTCGAAATTTATAAATCAGAGAGACGATCATGATCCCTAAAGACGATGACTTTATTTTTTTTTGTTTTGTCACTTAAAAGGGAAAAATGTGAAATGGAGCCAATCAAAATCTCTACGGGCGCCTGTAAATCCCAGTCCAGGGTTAGAGGTGAATCATCTCTTCTTCCTTTTGTATGGTTTTTCAAATTCACATTTCTAATTGCCAAGCTCATTTTGATGTTCCTCCTTATCAATGCAGACGTCTCATGTAGGACTTGCAAAGGAAACACATTCTCCAAGGTTTCAGGCGATACTGCGTGTCACAAGTGGACGGAAGAAGAAAGCTCATGACATCAAGAGCTTCTCTCATGAACTCAATTCCAAAGGTGTGAGGCCTTTCCCCGTCTGGAGATCTCGAGCCGTTGGTCACATGGAGGTTAGTCTTTTCGCTGCTTGTTTTTATCCTCTTTCTTTCTTTCTTCTCATTTTTGGGTTGATGGTTTTCTTAGGAGGTTATGACGGCGATTAGAACAAAGTTCGATAGACAAAAGGAAGACGTTGATGCTGATTTAGGAGTTTTCGCTGGATACTTGGTGACAACTCTAGAGAGCACTCCAGAGTCCAACAAAGAGTTAAGAATGGGACTTGAGGATCTGCTGATCGAGGCTCGGCAATGTGCAACCATGCCGTCAAGCGAGTTCTGGCTGAAATGTGAAGCCATTGTTCAGAAGCTAGACGATAAACGTCAGGAGCTGCCCATGGGAGGACTCAAGCAGGCTCACAACCGTCTTCTCTTCATCCTCACTCGCTGCAACAGGCTTGTGCAGTTTCGTAAAGAGAGCGGTTACGTCGAAGAACACATCCTGGGAATGCACCAGCTGAGCGATCTCGGTGTTTATCCTGCACAGATGGTGGAGATCTCGCGGCAGCAGGACCTCGTACGAGAGATGGACATCCAAAAGCAGAAACAAGATAGTCTTGCTGATCATAATCTTGATGGGAATGAAGTAAACACTGCTAAAAGCACCGATTCATCTTCGAGCAATGTACGGATGTCCTCGTGGAAGAAGCTTCCATCTGCGGCTGAGAAGAACCGTAGCGCTAACACAACTCCCAAGGCTAAAGGGGAGAGTAAGATACAGCCAAAAGTTTACGGTGATGAAGCTGTTGAAAGCTTGCATAGCCCCACAGGGCAACCTGTATCCGCAGGGAAGAACGCTCTGTGGGGTATTTGGGCGGATCATCAGTGTTTTACTTACGATAACTCCATGATTTGCCGAATCTGTGAGGTTGAGATACCAGTTGTACACGTGGAAGAGCACTCTCGGATATGCACCATCGCTGATAGATGTGACCTGAAGGGGATTCATGTGAACTTGAGGCTTGAGAGAGTAGCTGAGAGTCTTGAGAAGATTCTGGAGTCGTGGACGCCAAAGTGCGGAACACCACCGAGAGGGATTGGTGGTGATGATCATGCAAGGCTATCAACGTCCAGTAGACATGAAGATATGGATGATGACATGCTTGATTGCGCTCCTCGGTTAGATGGTATGTTGTCTTTGGATGAGCTGAATATGTTGAAGGAAGTGTCGATGGCCAATGGAGGAAAGGACTCGTCAACAGGGAGCTTGACGCCACCATCACCTGCAACACCGAGGACAAGCCAAGTAGATTTGCTGCTTAGTGGTCGTAAAACAATAACAGAGCTTGAGAATTCTCAGCAGGTGAATGTTTAAACTTTTTTCTTCTTTACTTCAGCTGCACATCCAAATTCTCATGGCTAATCCTTATGTTCTGCTTTGAGTTGACAGATAAACAAGTTGGTAGAGATTGCTCGCACTGTGGCAGGTGTGAATCTATGTGGATACAGTTCATTAAACTTCATACTTGAGCAGTTGGATGAGCTAAAGTACGTCATTCAGGATAGGAAGGCAGATGCTCTCGTCGTGGAAACATTTGGGAGACGAATAGAGAAGCTACTTCAGTAATCTTTTTTTTAACTTAATCATGTGATTTGATCTTCACTGTGGTTATAACTGCAAATTCAGTCAGGTTCTGATTTATTGTTTCTCAAAATCCAGGGAGAAGTACGTTGAACTTTGTGGAATGATAGGTGATGAGAAAGTAGACTCATCAAACGCCATGGCGGATGAAGAAAGCTCAGCGGATGAGGATACAGTGCGTAGCTTACGAGCAAGCCCACTTAATCCACGCGCTAAAGATCGAACATCGATAGAAGATTTCGAGATTATAAAACCAATCAGCCGTGGTGCGTTTGGTAGAGTGTTTCTTGCAAGAAAAAGAGCAACCGGTGATTTGTTCGCCATAAAGGTTTGTGTTACTGACACAATACTCTCACAGCTTTGCGCTACACATTTGTTCTTAGCGTAAAAAACCAATGTTGTGTAAACCATATGGTGCAGGTTTTGAAGAAGGCTGATATGATCCGTAAGAACGCTGTTGAGAGTATTTTAGCAGAGCGTAACATACTTATATCAATTCGTAACCCATTCGTGGTATGTAATGTTCTTCATGAATACATTTGTGAAAAACTGTGTTGCTTTCTCTGATGCTCTTCTTTTAGCTGTGCAGGTCCGGTTTTTCTATTCTTTCACATGCCGAGAGAATCTTTATTTGGTGATGGAGTACTTGAATGGTGGAGATCTCTTTTCCTTGTTGAGAAATCTTGGTTGCTTGGACGAAGATATGGCTCGCATTTACATAGCAGAAGTTGTAAGGCGCTGCTTATCACCCTTTAAATTTGATTAAGACTTAAGTATCCACAGGAGAGAAAATTGAATCCAATCAAATGTTTTTCATTCAGGTGCTAGCACTGGAGTATTTGCATTCTGTAAATATCATTCACAGAGACTTAAAGCCAGACAATTTGTTGATCAACCAAGATGGTCATATCAAGGTCAATGTCTATATCTAATCAAGTTTAATGCTTTGATGAGAGACCACACTTCTGACAAGATCTGTTCCCTTTTGTAAAATACAGTTGACAGATTTCGGGCTTTCCAAGGTTGGTCTTATCAACAGCACAGATGACTTATCAGGTGATTCATCATTAGGAAACAGTGGGTTTTTCGCAGAAGATGGATCAGCAAAAGCTCAACATTCACAAGGCAAAGATAGCCGTAAAAAACATGCGGTTGTTGGGACTCCTGATTATCTTGCACCTGAGATACTTCTTGGAATGGGTCATGGTTAGTATTTGCTCCTTTTTTCCATGTCATCATGTATCATCAAATATGTTCATGGACTTATATTATCACTCACTTACAGGTAAAACCGCTGATTGGTGGTCAGTAGGTGTTATTCTCTTTGAGGTTCTCGTTGGTATTCCTCCTTTCAATGCAGAAACCCCACAGGTATATATTGCAAGCTGAACTCATCAGATCTCAGAAGACATCGTTCTTGGTTTTATAACATTTCTTGTTTACTTGCAGCAAATTTTTGAAAATATTATCAACAGAGATATACCATGGCCTAATGTGCCAGAGGAGATATCTTATGAAGCACATGATCTGATCAACAAGTAAGATCACACACCTTCTGCATATAAAATCTCAAAAGAAATCCATACATACACGCCCTTAATCGTTGAAAGTGAACCAAGAACCTGTTGACTGTGGTAACATTATCTACTTGTTTCCTTGCTACAGGCTGTTAACTGAAAATCCTGTCCAAAGACTAGGGGCAACGGGAGCTGGAGAGGTGAAACAGCATCATTTTTTCAAAGATATTAACTGGGACACGCTTGCTAGGCAAAAGGTTCCTTTCTATATTCTCAACACAAATAAAGTTTCTTTAAAGAAAATCAATCTCTTGCTAACTTCAGGTTTGTATCTAATCGTTACAGGCTATGTTTGTACCATCAGCCGAACCACAAGACACTAGTTACTTCATGAGCAGATATATATGGAACCCGGAAGACGAAAATGTTCATGGAGGCAGCGATTTCGATGACCTTACAGACACATGCAGCAGCAGCTCCTTCAACACACAGGAGGAAGATGTATGAATATGAATGACTCTCTTTTAACTCTCTGTTTCTTTTCCTCCACGGATTTAAGTTCCATAAAATAAACTTTTTCATTGTAAAAACAGGTTGATGAGTGTGGTAGCTTAGCAGAATTTGGAAACGGACCCAATCTTGCTGTCAAGTATTCCTTCAGCAATTTTTCTTTCAAGGTCAGTTCAATTCCTATGCTCTCTCTCGCTTTGGCTCTCTATCTTTGAAATGCTTGACAATGGTTTTTTGTGTTGATCAGAACCTCTCACAACTGGCATCGATCAACTACGATCTTGTCCTTAAGAACGCTAAGGAATCAACAGAAGCTTCAAACCCATCAGGACCACGACCCGATTCATGATGAATAATAACATGTATGATCATCATCTAACCTCAAGAGCTGATTGGTTCATGTTCATTCAAGCCATTGTTCTCTTTATGGCAAGAAAAGAAAGTAATAATGACTTGGAAGCATAGCATTAGATAGGAAGCAAAAGAGCTATATAGATTTCTTACTTGAAGCCTGAAGCATGAAATCCTCCTCAAGATTACTACTACTCTCTCTCACACATATATAAAAAAGTATGAACTACAAGTGTTAAAAGCACGTTTTATTACTGATCAGAAGAAAATTTGGAAATTGTTATGTTTTATCCGTTATTTTGGTCCAACTGCATGAATCTATGTGTATATATAATGAAGTCAATGAACCTTATATTACTAATTACCCTAGGGAATAATTAAATAAACTTTATTAATCTCTAATCATCGAAACATCCAAGTTCTAAATCTTCATATCCCAAATCTCCATACTTCAACCACAACGATGAAGACGATGAACATGATGACGCAATGTCGCCGGACAATAGCATCGTGAGCTCTCCGGCTCCACCTCCGCCTCCGTCATTCTCCATTAGAAAGCTCCACGGCTGATCATCGTTAGCCAGCTGGTTTAGATTTCCTGCTGACGTGTCATTCTCCAAAACCACCGGTACCTCTGTCTCGGACGGAGGGCTTTGACCGTTGACTAATATCTTCTCCTCTTCCTCGTGGTTGACTATTTCTTGGTCAAATCGACGATGTGTGGCTGGATCAATACCCATTCTTATAAGCTTCCTCTTAATATGAGTGTTCCAGTAATTTTTTATATCGTTGTCTGTTCTTCCCGGTAATTCTGCTGCAATCTTCGACCATCTAAAATTGTATATAGCATTATCGAAAATAGACGTCATAAAGTTAGATAAGAAAACAGTTGAGATTCAATAGAAAAGTTATAACTTATAACCATAGTCTATCTTTTTAGAAATAGAAAAATAGTCTAAACCTAAACCCTGACCTAAACCCTAAGAGCTAAGATATCTAAATTTATAACTTCAAATTTGTTACCCTATAATCTGAAAATGGTTAGTCAACCTAGTTTTTTTTATTAATCGTATAAACTTTAAACATTTTTGATCGAAAAAAAGTAAAAGAAAAAGAAAAACCTATTGCCAAGTCGAGCATGAAGATCAATGACTAGTTGGATTTCATCTTCACTGAAAAGGCCTCTCTTGAGATCTGGCCGGAGATAATTAGTCCACCGGAGACGGCAACTTTTGCCGCACCGCCTTAGCCCCGCCAGTTTTGGCACGTCTCTCCAGCACCATCCTCCTCCGCCACCACGTGTCCTTAAGAAATCAACTAGTTTCCCATCTTCCTCCGCCGTCCATGGACCCTTTTTCAATCCAACCTCATCACAACAAGGTTTACGACCACCCATTACTTACTATTATTATTATATTTTAAAATCATGAAAGTAATTAGCAAGACTCAAGGGGTCGGAGAAATGGAAAATGTAATTATCAAGACAAAAGTAGTAACCAAGTTTATCTCAACTAACTAACTATATATACACACGTATGGAGTTTCTTGGCCCTTTCTTTGCGATGCTTAGGATACGTAATTTTGAATTAATATATGTATCGTAATTTAACGGTGGATATATAAACTTGAATTAATATACATATGTATCGTATTTTAACGGTGGATGTAGAAAACTCCCAACTTAATTTTTTCTATAACAAAATGTGGACGCTTCTGCCGACTGAGGTAAAATCATTTGGTGCAATGCAGACATGGGTATAAATTATAATTCGATATGTTACTTCATCTCTCAATTTTTTACAATGGGATTTTATGACGTTGACGTAGTATATAGCGTAATAACTTCATGTCATCACTCTATCTACTTTTAAATCATCATTAGCTTTGGAGTTCATGTTTGGATTACTCAGTTCGATAACATTTCGTTTACATTTTATATGTACAGATATAAAATTGTAGTTTATTTACTTCCAAAAAAAATGTTATAATCTCATTTTTCTCTATTTTTTTGAAATCCCATTATAAAATTTGATAATTATCCACATGTTTTAAAGAATGAAACAAAAAAGGAAGATGATCATGCTACTTGCGTTTTGATCATGACAAGAAAACGAGACTTCATAAATAAACGTCTTAAATAATAGAGAAAAAAACATTCTTTTGTTAAAGAGAAAAAGAACATGAGACTTCTCTTTGAGGTTTAACAAACTAAAATAATGTTAACCCCCAAAAAAACTGAAAGAGTATTCTTTTTAAGTGAGAAATGATTTATTAAATATTTTCTAATTATATTTTGGACGTCTCTCTCTCCACCCATTTTGAAGAGAAACTGTTTTGTGATTTTATCTCGTATCTCGTGTATGATCATGCGTTAGAAACTTGTTACAAGCATATTAACTTATCCAGTTTAGTGCCCACTGATTTAGATTTTTCAGAACCTTTTTTTTAACTCGTGGACAAAATCAAAACTTAATTTTAACTATCATTTCCCATTTCTTACTATTTAATTCCTCTTACGAGTCAGAGGCTCCAAGCCTATAATTTTCCAATCGCGAGTTCTTTATATTTTCGTTTGAAAGTTACAGTAATTATGGTGTTGCTGGCAGCATGAAGCCATGAACTGAAAAAAAAAATGTTTAAAAAGGATTTGTAAAACATATTAAAAGTCTTTTCTGTCTAAGAACATGTGAGAGAGGCAAAGTATTGTATAAATTAGTTGAAAAAATATACTAATATATGTATGTGTGTGCATGTCGTCTTATCGGTCCGATCGAATCATGTCATGTGATTGTAGTTTACTAATACTATTAACAATATTTTGGCACGATGATTTTTATGGTTGTTCGTTTACATGTATTAGTTGAGACTTGAGAAACAACATACAGTAGATGTATATATAACGAGCACTTCGGTAGCCGATAATTATCTCACACTCAAGAAACTAAGCACCAATGGCAAAACAAAACAAAGCTCTCTTTCTACTCCTCTCCATCTCCTACCTCTTCTTCGGGGAGCCCACGGCCGCCACCGTCACTACCACCACCAAAATATCTCAAAAATTCATTGAACTCTCTTGCAAAAGCACAACGTACTCAGACGTGTGCGTCCACTCACTCTCCGCCTATGCCAATACGATCCAAACAAGCCCTCAACGCCTTTTGAAAACGGCTTTAGTGGTGATCCTGAAACATGCACAGTCCACGAAGCTCTTCGTCTCGCACCTGAGGAATAGCCAGTTCCAAACCCGAGAGATAGTCAAGGCCCGGCTAGTTAACTTGCGCAAGGAAACAAGCAATGTCATATCGCTATTTAATGCATTTGCTAAAAATAATTAGTAGTTAACTAAGTCTTCTTCTGTTTGTATATGTTGCGGGAAAACACCTCAACAGACAACAGATACTGATTTGGTATGAGAAGAACAATAACAAACTACTCTTTCAAATGAAAAACGAGTAACTAGCTACTCTCTATTGGGTCTTTTATCGTTTTCGGGCTTCTCTGAGTGACTTGCTTGCTTTTGTTTTAATATTGAGCTTCTGTTCATCTAGATTGTCCAAGTTTCTTGGCATATGAAGTTTTGTTAAATAGTTCCTTGACATTTTAAAAACATCACATAAGTTATTTTCCTTCCTTAAGAAGCTTGTTTCATATTCACATTAAGATTTACCATTTTGTCAATGTCGTTTCTAGCGTAGTCTATAAGACCAACCTTTTTTGAACTTTTTTGGTATTAAGTAAGACTTTCTTTACCATGTGAAACGCTTTTAGTACGGGTTTTCGTTGAAATCTTTTCCCACTCCTTTTCTCAAGCCGATTGAGTCCACACTCTGCACCATTTTCTTAACAAGACAGCAATTAGAAGAGTTGATTCTTTAATTCCACTATCAAATAGATCAACATAAAATAAAATTTAATAATTTACGCTGAGAAGGTGGTGCGACGGTGCTTTTGACCGGGATAAGCTCTAGATCACGTTCATATACATCACATGCCCATAATTATTGTAGAGTTGTTGCATTTTATTATGCCTTATTTTCGTTCTCGTCGTGTCCTCCTCAACATCCAATTGAACCAAAACTTTATTCTATACGACACAGCAAAGGAGTAATTAAGGACCCACTCAAACAATCATTAATTTTGAACACTTTCAGAAGATATTTTAGTGTTGCCACAAAAAAGAAGAAGATATTTTACTACAAATATATATTATAGACCACACACGGCAACCACTCTGCTCCGTTATTACCCAAGAAACAACAGTGCGGTTATGTCGGTAGTTTCATCTCGATTTATCTTCCGAAACACTTTTAAACTATGCACAACTTTTTCAAAAAGCTACTATAAATTATTACGGTGATCATCTTAGTAACATTCATCAATACTAAAATTTCGAATTCTTATAAATACAAATACATAATGGCCATAATATTTTGGTGGGATGTTTTTTTGGAGTGGCTTTTGTTTATCACCGTCATTGGATAAATTAGTTGCCTAGTTTAACTACCTAACCTTTATTTGAATAATGTGATCATCTGGTTGAGAGAGTTATTATGACTCGTATCTGATGTTTGATTTTGAAAAGAGTTAAATGTACAAATCCAATAATCATTACTTTTCTTATTGTATATTGCGGCTTGATTGGTGCAATTCCGTTATCGATCTTTTTGTTCCCTTCTGGATTTGAATACAACGACAAATGCTTATCTTCACTCGTTTATCATTATGTTTAATATAATATGCACTGATATTTCACGTTATGATCTGGACCGACGTCGAGTGGACCCTGGCATGAGTTTTTTGTTTATATGGGAAAGAAAAAACAGAATATCAAATATTGCGGCTTGATTGGTGCAATTCCGTTATCGATCTTTTTGTTCCTTCTGGATTTGAATACAACGACAAATGCTTATCTTCACTCGTTTATCATTATGTTTAATATAATATGCACTGATATTTCACGTTATGATCTGGACCGACGTCGAGTGGACCCTGGCATGAGTTTTTTGTTTATATGGGAAAGAAAAAACAGAATATCAAAATTACTCTGGTCATTTTCAATTTCATCTCATAATTGAGCCCTGTTTAAATTTAATCAAGTAATTATGCAATTCATGTTTTGGTTTGATGCTACTTCGCACATTAACGACCATATAAAAACATATATAAAGTATCAAAAAAAATAAAAGTTTCAAGTCACATAACATATTGAATCCGAGTTTAGGTTCGAATTTTCCATTTTAAGTTTTTAAATACTAGTAAAAACACTTATGATATAAAAATATATCATATTTCTCGTATTTAGAAAATGTGAACCCAATTTCACTATACTAAGATTTTGTTCTGTTTTCCAATGTGAACCCAACACAATCTAGTTTGTTTCAAATCAAACACATTATTTTTTCTTTTCGTTTTCACTATTTCACCACGTATTATCAACAGTAAATCCCAAACAAAATTCTACCCACTATAAATATTCCAACCCCAACTCTTTCCTCTCCACACACACTCAAATATCTCACATTCTCTCTCTCACAAGAAACACCAATGGCAAAACAACTCCAAACTCTCTTCCTAATCCTCTCAATCTCCTACCTCTTCTCGTCGGATCTCACGGCGGCCACCGCAGCCTCACCTGCCGGAGTTTCCAAGAAAGCGGTAAACTTCATCCAATCCTCTTGCAAAGCCACCACATACCCAGCCGTGTGCCTCAACTCTCTTTCCGCCTACGCAAACGCCATCCAAACAAGCCCTAAACGCTTAGCCGAGACCGCTCTAGCCGTTACCCTGAGCAAAGCACAGTCCACCAAGCTCTTCGTCTCGCGCCTCACACGTTTCAAGGGCCTTAAGAAGCGAGAGGTCGAAGCCATCCATGATTGTGCAGAGGAGATGAACGATACCATTGACCGTTTGAACAAGTCGATCCAAGAGATGAAACTATGTGGGAGTGCCAAGAACCAAGACGAGTTTTCGTTCCACATGAGTAATGCGCAGACTTGGACTAGTGCGGCTTTGACCGACGAGAACACTTGCTCCGATGGGTTCTCGGGTCGGTTCATGGATGGGCGGATCAAGAACTCTGTTCGTGCTAGAATCGTCAACGTGGGCCAGGAAACCAGCAACGCCTTGTCGTTGATTAATGCCTTTGCTAAAAAGTATTAGTTTTAAACTACTTTTGAAGAGATGTTATGTAGAATTATAAATATATATCTAGTAATGTCTCACTAAGAGTTTGATGTGATACATTTATCGATTTTGTCAGATTTTCTTCTTGTCGATTATATATATATATATATGTGTGTGTGTGTGTGTGTTTTGTATTTTTAGCTAGAAAGTTTAAGAAGAAGAGTGTTTTTTTGGATGAGCAGCCTTAATATCAATCAATAATGTCTTCAATTAGTACAAAGCTCATTTACAATCGGCCTAAGCCACATGAAAGTACTGTGGGAAGTAAATAACACAGTTTTGCAATTACATGGGCACATTAACGGCTTTAAACATTGTATTTAGTAATGGTGACGACAAAATAATATTTTTAACCAAAATATGTAATCTAATAATTTGTAATTTGTATTAGGGTTGTAGACTGTAGACTTTACTGTATGGATCATATAACTTAGTAATATGTACAGTGTTGAAAGCAAAACATTACTAGTTACAAAAAAAAAAAAAAACATTACTAGTGAATGCCCTTTTTATAATAACGTAAAATCAGCAAACGAATTTGGTATTGATGATGTTAGAAATATACGCATTCTTCGTTCAAACCACGTGCCACGTGGGATGTCGGGTGGATACGACTTTTTCAAAAGCAGTGTGCAGATTTGATCCGTGATTTTTAATATCGCTTCGATTATCCACCATTCGTATATACGATCATACACACGTGTAAAACACATATATACACGTACGGATGCCAATTCGAGCTAGATATGAGCATGAAAGCCCATTTTACAATCTGGCCTAACCATTATCGCCTATCGGCTGCAAAGTTTGTTTTTCTTCTGTATTAATCAAACATAAATGGGATGGATAAGAAGAATAGAAGTGATGTATCTAAAATTTAACTGTATAATTCACATCGTGCTATACTGCTTATGCAGTTTAGGGTAGATATGGATATTTTGGGAGCAGACGCAATAATTTGGGGCCAAATTTGAATGTGACAGCATCCACATGTAGCTACAATGATTACAGTAACAAGGACGATTAATTAGAACCTTAAATGTTTGGTCTTTTGCGTTACGTCCACAATTTTGCTTCCACGATCGACATATCTTTTACTCGTTTTTTTTCTTTCATTTATTAAGAAAATAATGTATTTGTGTTTCCTTTTGTATATGCAATTACAAGTTGTAAAAAACATTTGAAGAGGAAATTTTATTGATCTTATTTACATAATTATAATACTTTATGAACACTTTGCCGACCAATTTCATCAAGACATGTACCCTTCCAGTGACCCTTGTCATTTTGATCATTGCATAATTGCAATAATCCATGACTCAATTGATAGCTCCACACAAATTTGGACTATATATAAAGGAACATATCAATCATACAAATAACACTAAAGCATATAATATGTGAAAAACAGAAAACATCTTTATTTTAAAAAACAGTAAACGTGATTAAACTATAAAAGATTAATTGTGAAAAAAAATCATCTCAACAGACGGTGTTGTGGAGAAGCTTCCGGTTGATTTGCATTTTATCACTCACTGCATGAAAACAGTAAGAAACATAGATGTATAAATATGATATGATTATAAAAATGACAATAAACAAAAGTTTCGAACTATATAATCAAGAGAATAAAAGTAGTAGTAACAAAAAACAAAAGTACGATCATTTGAAAACACAAAATTACAAACATTTGAGACTTGTAAACACATTCGTCACTGATTTTTTCTTTATCAAACCATACTTGTAAGCAAAAAAAAAATCTGATGACAAAATATTAAATTGCAAAATATATAGTAAACGAAGCATACACTATTTTAGCACATAATGAATAATTGTCTGCACCCTATCTAGAAATGACATTCTTGAAGTGAGTTTTCAAACCGAGTATCTCACTCCCACAATTATCATATGGAAATTAGAAACATGCTCATAACAATCTTATGGTAATGGAATAATTTTTTTTTACAAAATACCATCTAGATAGTTAGATCTGCCAGGAGAAAGCTCCGAATCATCCGCGTCGAACTTTTCAAAGTCTGAGGTCTTCAGACCGTCGAGCTTCGAGTCGTTCTTCAACGGATCTGAAAGAGAAATCAACATCAAAATATATGGAAATTAGTGACATGCACAAACTTATGGTAACTAAATAAATAAGAAATTTACGAAATACCTGCTAGATCCTTAGATCCGAAAGAATCCTCCCACTTCACGCCATCATTTGTATGCGGCTTCAGATCCAAATCCGCTCCGTGAGATATAAGGAGCTTCACATCGTACTTCTCAATGTCTGAGGTCTTCAGATTCAAGCTAATACACGTACGAATGCCATTCGAACTAGCTATGAGCATGAAAGCCCATTTTACAATCTCAGCTGCAAAGTTTGTTTTTCTTCTGTATTAATCAAACATAAATGGGATGGATAAGATTCATAAGAAGATTTCTTATAGAAGTGATCTATATAAAATTTAGAATATATATATGGGAAGCATAAGAGCCTAAGTACTTACGTAAACGGGAACCAAAAAGTTTCAAAATCTTTTAGTATAATGAGATATATACAACTTAATATCCTTTCACAATTCAACTGTACAATTCACATCGTGCTACTGCTTATGTGTGTGTTTTAACTTTTAACATGCAGTTTAGGATAGATATGGATATTTTGGGAGCAGACGCAATAATTTGGGGCCAAATTTAGAATCCTGAAAATGACAGCATCCACATGTAGCTACGATTACAGTAACAAGGACGATTAATTAGAACCTTAAATGTTTGGTGTTTTGCGTTACGTCCACAATTTTGCTTCCACGATCGACATATCTTTTACTCGTTTTTTTTTCATTCATTAAGAAAATAATGTATTTGTGTTTCCTTTTGTATATGCAATTACAAGTTGTAAAAAACATTTGAAGAGGAAATTTTATTGATCTTATTTACATAATTATAATAGTTTAAATAATAAAAGGTACCCAGTTACATTTAAAATAAGAGTCATATATTAGGCTATTACTAACATTGTATATTTTAAATCCATACGAGTATACAGAGCATGATTCAAAACGAGAACAATTGGATATTATCAACTTGTCGACTCTATTTGCATTTGAAAGAGACCACGGATATCCCATGGAGTAGATGTTCCAAATGTGATTAATGCTTAATTAAACAAATGATTGTGTTTGGCTAAAACTACAAATTCCTTGCCCCACAACTACAACCAGTGTCTTAGCCGTGTTGCTTTCACATGTTTAGATATTAATTTTTTTAATTTATTTTTTAAATATCTTCATTCATGCAATGCAACCGCATTACCACTTGCATATGAAATCTCTTTGTATCTTTAAACAAAAATGATATTCCCTCTTTAAGATAAATTTTCTGGACATTATTTGTTGTGAACAAAGATAAATGTTCTACCTTTTTGATGCACTTTTTCAGTTTTCAAGAAACAATAATTGTATTTGTTAGATTTTTATTGGTTTAAAATTATAGAAAGTTGTTTTATTAAAAGAATTCATACACTAATGATTAAAAATCAGCTTTTTTTTAATACGTGTGAAAAATCTAAAAAATTTATCAAAAAAAAAGGGAGAGTGTATATGTTATCTCTATATAAACCCCATCTACAAAGAAACACTACAAAACACATCGTTACACTCACAATCTCATAATATATTTTAAAATGGCTATATCTCTTAGATTTAATCATCACGTCCTCACATCCCTTTTCATAGCCATAACACTAGCCACAGTCAAGTCAGTCCATACAACAACAGAAGCAACAACAACAACAACAAATACAGAGTTCGTAAAATCATCATGCACTTTCACAGCATACCCAAGACTCTGCTTCGCTTCACTCTCAACTCAAGCCAGTCTCATCCAAACAAGCCCCAAGCTCATGGCTCACGCGGCTCTCAACATCACACTAGCCTCGGCCAAAGCCACATCAGCAATGATGGTACGTTTCTCGAATAGTAGTCGGCTCAAGCCAAGAGAAGTCTCAGCCATGGGAGACTGCATCGAGGAGTTAGGTGACACGTTGGATGAGCTTAGGAAATCGATTGGTGAGATGGGTCAACTAAGTGGTTCGAACTATGAGGTTTACATGAGCGATATACAGACTTGGGTCAGTGCGGCTTTGACCGATGAGAACACGTGTACGGACGGGTTCGAAGGAGACGACATGAACGGGAAGGTCAAGGTTTTTGTGAGAGGGAGGATTTTGGTTATTGCTCATCTTACGAGTAATGCTTTGGCTTTGATTAATCACTTTGCTTCTATCCATGGCTAAAAAGCCTAAAGAAGCGATTGATATAATTTTGTTTGTTTGTTTTGAAAACTTTTTCTTTTTAGTCTATTTTAATTGAAGTTTTCTGTTGATTTTGTGTATAAGAATACAATGTATGTGTTCATCTATTTTAATATTAGTCGCTGATTTATTCGGCTTCAAAGTTTTTTTTCCTTCTGTATTTTAAGTATGAACTATGAACCATGGTCTTGTTAGAGAAAGATAACAGGTGAACTTTTTTTTTACTCTTACTTCCTATATTATTTCACCAAGTGAAAAAACAGTGCACTACGCTCAAAATAGTGGTATCTTTACTAAATTCCATATGATTTTGTTCTGATTTCTCTTCAGATCCTTTGATTTTTAGGAGTTTGTTTACTATTTCCGTATGATTTGGTTTGATTATCTTTTCAGATCCCGCCAATAACGACTCGTAAGTTGAACCCGAGTTTCTTAACCACCTTGATCAATGTAACAATCTTGTTCTTGATGTGAATCTTTTTTTACTTGTTTATTATTTGCTTGATCTTTATTTGTGACAACTGAACATTTGTTTTATATCCTGAAACACAGGAAGACGTGCTACTGGCATTTCATGGATACAAGGTGAACAGAAGTCTTGTTCCTTTGTCGATTCTGGATGATCTTGATTCGTTCAGACACCTCGATTATTGTATGTTGAAGAATTGATTTTTAATTTTTTTTAATATGCTTTATTTACGTTTTTATATTTTTTTTCTTGTTTCAGACATGGAGATGTCACCTACTTCAGGACTCACTTTGTTATCTCCTCTCTTTCACCCCGTAAAAAATATTTTTAGCAAGTTTAATATATTGGTAAACCCGCCTGATAAATTTGGGGTGGGTGCGGGTATATAATATATAACTAGTTCTTACGTAAACGGGGACAATAAAAAATTCAAAATCTTTTGGTACTGAGCTAATAAAACTTACAAACGAACAAAATAATGAGATATACACAACTTAATATCCTTTCACTATTCAACTGTACAATTCACATCGTGCTACTGTTTATGTGTGTGTTTTAACTTTTAACATGCAGTTTAGGAATTAGGATATATATGGATATTTTGGGAGCAGACGCAATAATTAGGGGCCAAGTATAATTGAGGGAGGTAATTCTCGATACGGACCCAGGTTCGAAACCATTTGGCCACAACGGATTTAACATCCCTTCCATTGGGGCCCTGGATCCCTTTTGAGGGGATAGTCGGGTTTTCCGTTCGGGTTAGATTCTCGGAATAATTGGATACAGCTGGACAAAGCCCAAACCACCGGTTTGGACCCCAAAACTGGTTGGTGACTGTTCGGTCGACTCCTCGGACCCGGATACCAGAGATGCAAAAAAAAAAAAAAAAAGAGTATAATTGAGAATCTTGAAAATGACAGCATCCACATGTAGCTACGATGATTACAGTAACAAGGACGATTAATTAGAATCTTAAATGTTTGGTCTTTTGCGTTACGTCCACAATTTTGCTTCCATGATCGACATATCTTTTACTCGTTTTTTTTCTTCTCATTTATTAAGAAAAAAAATTATTTGTGTTTCCTTTTGTATATGCAATTACAAGTTGTAAAAATAATTTTAAGAGGAAATTTTATTGATTTTTGTTTTTGTATGAAATTTTATTGGTCTTATTTACATAGTTATAATACTTTCAATAATAAAAGGTACCCAATTGCATTTATAATAAGAGTCCTATATTAGGCTATTACTAACATTGTATATAGCATTTAAATCCATATGAATAAACAGAGGATAATTCAAAACGAGAACAATTGGATATTATCAACTCGTCGACTCCATTTGCATCTGAAAGAAACCACGGATATCCCATGGAGTAGATATTCCAAATGTGACTAATGCATAATTAAACAAATGATTATGTTTGGCTAAAAACTACAAATTCCTTACCCCACAACCATAACCAGTGTCTTAGCCGTGTTGCTTTCACATGTTTAGATATTAATTTTTTTTTTTGAAAAAAAAATATCTTCATTCATGCAATGCAACCCCATTACCATTTGCATATTTGCATATGAAATCTTTTTGTATCTTTAAAAAAAAATGATGGAGTATAAATTTATCTCTATATAAACCCCATCTACAAAGAAACACTACAAAACACATCACTACATTCACAATCTCATAAAGCTCATAATATATTTTAAAATGGCTATATCTCTTAGATTTAATCATCACTTCCTCACATCTCTTTTCATAGCCATAACACTAGCCACAGTCAAGTCAGTCCATACAACAACAACAAAAACAAATACAGAGTTCGTAAAATCATCATGCACTTTCACAGCATACCCAAGACTCTGCTTCGCTTCTCTCTTAACTCAAGCCAGTCTCATCCAAACAAGCCCCAAGCTCATGGCTCACGCGGCTCTCAACATCACATTAGCCTCGGCTAAAGCCACATCAGCAATGATGGTACGTTTCTCGAGTAGTAGTCGGCTCAAGCCAAGAGAAGTCTCGGCCATGAGAGACTAGGAGTTAGGTGACACGTTGGATGAGCTTAGGAAATCGATTGGTGAGATGGGTCAGCTAAGTGGCTCCAACTATGAGATTTACATGAGCGATATACAGACTTGGGCCAGTGCGGCTTTGACCTATGAGAACACGTGTACTGACGGATTCGAAGGAGACGACATGAACGGAAGGTTAAGGTTTATGTGAGAGAGAGGATTTTGGTTATTGCTCATTTAACGAGTAATGCTCTGGCTTTGATTAATCACTTTGCTTCTATTCATGGCTAAAGCCTAAAGAAACGAGTGAGATTTGTTTTAGTGTATTTTAATTGAAAATTTCTGTTGATTTTGTGAGTATAATAGTAATAATACAATCTATGTCTTCGTCTTTAAGATTAGTGTTTCATGTAAATTGATCTCTAAATATTTTCCAACAAAACATTAAGTACTTGTTTTTTTCTCCTACTGTGTGTCCTACACAAGCATCATTTTCATACCTTAAAAAAATTCTAACAATTGTAGACAAACAATCAAGGCTGACGGCGCTGACCCATCATACAAGATTTTGACGCCGATCAGAATCCATCTTTCAATGGAAGACCAGTTCTTGTTTTTTATATATAAATTAACGTTCTTCCAATGAGATCTTAGACGCCGATCAAAAATCTTTTTTCTTGATCTACCAAGACGTGTTCCAGTGGAATAAAAAAAAAAATTAGATTTTCTTTGCGTCATTTATCTTTCAGATGGAAGACCAGTTTTTGTTTTCTTTATTTTCAGTTCAAAGATATAACCACTGATGATGAAAATCATATGATTTGGTCATATTCCTGATTTGGCCTTAAATAGGCTCATAGGACATTAGATCTGGCCTTTTTATATGTGGTCCCTTGGCTCCTGGCGGTCAACCCCTCCTGACTGCTCCTTCAAAAATGCTCAAAAAATGCTCCATGAGGAGCATAGGAGAGCTACACTATTTTAGCCCCTAATGAATAATTGTCCACACCCTATCTAGAAATGACATTCTTGAAGTGAGTTTTCAAACCTCTAATGACAATTTTGTGTGATACCTAACAGGTTCTTGTGTGGTGATTTGTTGGAAGAAGTTGAACCAATAATCATAAACTGCCAAACAAGTTTAAGTAAGAGAAAGAGTCTTAGTTCGAAGAGATTGACTCTCGGTTCTTTCAAGAGTTTGATGGAGGTAAATATAGTTTTCGATTTTACTCCATTCAGAGCTCGGACCTGATGACAGAGGTGAATCGATCGGAGAACGTTTGTTCCCCCCCCCCCCCCCAAACAACCAAAGCAACCGAAAATATCTAAGTTGTTAGGAAAAGCTAAAAACTTATATAGGATTAGAGTTTTAAATTAACGAATTAGAATTTGGAAATACAGCTTTCGAAATTCAGCGAAAAACAATTCCCCTTCCCACCCAAACAAAGCCTTCTGCAACTCTCTCAGAAACATGATAAATCGATTTTTTTGTAAATTTGAGACTGAAAAATACAAACAAAAAATATCCATGATACGTTTTCTTATCAAGGATCTCATAATCAAAAAGTTCCAAAGACTATTGTGACAGAAAACTTAGTTGAAGCAGCTGAGGCAAGAGGAAGAGGATTGTCTCTGTGACGAGTAAACCACGTTATTTATAGAGAACCCCAACTCTGACTTTGGGTAAGATGGGCTTCGTATGGGCTTATAATGATCCATTATTAATGTCTAGACCAGCCCATCAGTTTCATCTTCTTCAGTTTTTGGGCTCAAATGATTTGTGCGTTTCAATATCCTGACAAAAGAGATATTATCAAATTACAGAAATTGACCGTCGGCCCAGGAAACAATAAACGCATTTTAAGAAGGAAAAAACGCATTGTAATTCACTTCTACCAATTTAGTTCATGAAAAATACGGTTTGTAAGTGATGCTTGTAAACGACTATTTGCTGGGAACTGAGTCGAAATCAATAATTAAGTTCTTTTTTTTTGGTATTATAATTATCAAGTTCATAAAGATCATAATACACATATAAAAATGGCTGAATCTTTTAGATCTAATCATCTTCTTTTGGCCATAACCAATATCCAACTCAAGTCAGTCCATACAACAACAAACACAGAGTTCGTAAAATCCATCGTTCCCTCTCACAACATACCCAAGATTGCTTCGCTTAACTCTTAATCCAAGCCAGTCAGAACAACTGCTCTGTTACAAACTGTTTCTTTTTATTTATTTTAAGGTTTAAAACCTTTAATAGAAAAAGAAGATAAATCTGATTCGTTATTCTATACCGTATAACAAGAGCAAACTAAAGTTGCTGATTTTGGTTAAGCATTTTCAACAAACCAGGTTGAGTACAATTCAATAAAGATCTTCCAGATTGTACCATAATAGCAAACAAAGCACGAGCCTCTCTTAACTTGTTCTCTTCACACAGAATATAAATCAGTTAAGTGTGGCTCATCGAACGAGGCCAAAAATTCACAGCAGCCATGTGTTTAACCACTTTAACTGCTTCCATGGTCAATCTTGAGATATTTTTTTGTTTGTTTTGAAAACCTTTTCTTAGTTTATTTTAGTTGAAATTTTATGTTGATTTTATGTATAATAATAATAATAATAATAATAATAATACAATGTATGTGTTCATCTAGATTTAATATTAGTCGCTGATTTATTCGGCTTCAAAGTTTTTTTTCCTCCTGTATTAAGTATTAACCATGGTCTTGTTAGAGAAAGATAACAGCTGAACATTTTTTTACTCTTACTTCCTCTATTATTTCACCAAATGAAAAAACAGTGCATTACGCTCAAAATAGTGGTATCTTTTTTTCCACATTTTCCTATAGGCAAATTCTAATAATTAATTTATCTTTCCACTCAATTACTTTTTCAGTTATTTACTATTCTTTAGTCTATAGAAAAATGAAATTCCCAAAATTGAAAAAAAAATGAAATTCCTGAAATTGTTTTGTTTAGGTTTCCTCCGCCTAAGGTTCACAAGAGTCATTTTAAATTACTTTGGGTATCTTTTTGAAAGCTTAAAATAATTGTGATTTTTTCGAGCAGATAAGAAATACTGCAAATATTTATAAATGTTTTTCTTAGTATATATATCATCTTTATCGCCCACTCAATTGTTCAACGATCCCAATTTGAGTGAATTCAAAGTTTAAATTTTCAGGTAAAATGAAATCTTGATACCAGGTAAAACAAATACTTTTTTTTTCAAAATGACGCCTTTTGTTTTCTTCCAGTTTGATTTTGTTTTCTTAGATCTATGAAAAATGTTTCATATTCTGAGATTTACTATGTTGAAATTCGGAAAACAAAGTATCAATCCTTGTAGTCTGATCATTTTTTATTCCAAAATATTCGTGTTTTCTTAAATCAGTTATTTTGAAATTCAGAAAAATGTAACTTGAACGATTTTTGTTTTTCTTTAGTCCATTCGTTTTCTCTTAGATTCTGATAGAAGCTGTAATTTTTAACTGTTTTTACATTACGGATATGGCCTAATGTAGTAGGCCTTAACATCTCGTCTGGGCTCTAACAAAACTCATGTATTAGATATTTTCTGAGGTTTTAGGTGAGAAATTTTAATTATGAATTTCGAAAATCAATGTTTGGCAGGATTTCGGGTTTTCACTACAGTTTCCATATACTTCTTTCATGTTACTTATATCCTTATGATTTGGTACTGATTTCTCTTCACATTTTATACTTTGGGTATCTTTTTCAAAGCTTAAAAAAATTGTGATTTTTTCGAGCAAATAAGAAATACTCCAAATATTTATAATTGTTTTCTTAGTATAATATATCATCTTTACCGCCTACTCAATTGTGCAACGATCCCAATTTAAGCGAATCCAAAGTTTAAATTTCCAGGTAAAATGAAATCATGATACCAGGTAGATCTATACAATTTCCTATAATCTTTTATTCACTACGTAAACAACCAACCCGTAATAAACACTATCAACCATATTCACTAGAGAACAACAAGATAAGGAGTGAATACTGCAATAAAGTAAGTTATCATAATTAGACACAACAAAAGCATTGCAATCACTTCGGAATCGTTATATTTCGTTTGCATAGTTATTCACTTATTCCTTCTCCGAATCTTAAAAGTATGATGAAATACTATATTATAACAGATTTGGCTATTATTTTGCATTTTCCTAAAATTTAGAAGACTCAAAGATAGGTCATAGAACCAGATAACTACAAATATTTTAAATCCTAACAAAAGTTTACTAGCTTGGCAAGAAAAAGGGACTCACTATCAGTCAGTTTTAGAGTCATTTTCTAGCCATCTACTGTTTCTTAAACACAAATGCAACATTTTCACTGACTCATGGTCTTTTTGCAGAATGCATGCCATGGAGTCTTTCAGGATCTGGTTCTAGCAGTGGGAGGACAAAACTGATTCGTTATTCTACAATCAACATTACATTTACAAAAGCTATTTACACTATACCGTATAACAAGAGCAAAACAAAAAAACTAAAGTTGCTGATTTTGGTTAAGCATTTTCAACAAACCCGGTTGAGTACAATTCAATAAAGATCTTCCAGATTGTACCATAATAGCAAACAAAGCACGAGCCTCTCTTAACTTGTTCTCTTCACACAGAATATAAATCAACCAGGTGTGGCTCATCGAACGAGGCCAAAAATTAACAGCAGCCATGTGTTTAACCACTTTAACCGCTTCCATGGTCAATCTCGAGTAACAGAGACACTGAAGCAGCGTTTCATAAGCGTCTCTATTCGGATAAATCCCATCCTTTTGCATTTCCAACATCAGAGCCAAAGCATCAACAGGTCTTTCACTTTCACACAGACCCTTCATCAGAGTACTGTACATCACTTGATCTGGCTCGCAATTCGATTCCTCAAACAACTCTATAGCAGACTCAACCTCTCCTGCTTGGATATGATATTTCATCAGAGTGGTGAAAGTTACCTCATTTGGAACAATGCCTTTCTTCTGCATTGATTCAAGATGCTTATAAGCTTCGTCTAGCCTTCCTGCAGCGCAATATCCAGCAATAATCGAGTTGTGGAGGTATAAATTAGGGACTATAGTCTCCTTCACTTTCCCAATCACTTCCAATGCAAACCTTCTTGATCCGTAGTTGCACACAGGAGACGGGACTGATACAAGAGGCTTTGTTTGAAGAAGACGTCGAAGAAGATTTTCTTTCCCCGGCTCGACAAAAGCCTGTCTCTTCTTCCTCTTTCGTGCCATAGCTCTCCATAAACCGCTAAGCAGAGTGATGTAAGCAACATGATCATGTTTAATCTCATTCTCTCCCATCAAACCAAACAACGTAAAAGAAAACTTAAAGTCTCCCTTCTTCAAGAAATGACCAATGAGCGAAGTATAGAGAACAGCGTTTGGAGATAAACCGTCTTCAAGCATCTTATCAAGATACTGACATCCTTTCTCCATCATACCAGTCTTCACAAACCCGCTGATCAACACCGTGTAAGTAAAAGAGCTTGGCCGAACGAAAAGCTTGACGACTTGTTCAACCAGCTCGTTTGCTTCGTGGATTCTTCCGTTTCTTGCATAAGCATTGATCATTATCATGTAAGCCATCTCATCAGGTTGGACCCCAGAGTCAAGCATCTTGGCAAACATCTCTTCCGCTTCAGCAACTCTTCTCTGTTTGCCAAGAGAACTAATGACAGCACTGTAAATGGCGACTGTAGGTCTCAAACCAAGCTCTTCCATCACATCAATAACAGCAAACGCAGCGTCGTCTCTGTCATTCTTCTTGCACAACTCATTCACAACTATCAAATACGTATCAGGATCCGGAACAAATCCCCATTCTTGAATAAGACTGACTAAAGTCCCCAAATCATCGATCACACCTTCCTGAAACAGACACTTGATCACTGAGTTGTACGAAAAGGGTAAAGGTTTGCATCCTAGATTCACCATCTTCTCGATACGAGACAGAGCAGCAGTGAAGTTTCTCTGAGAACACAAAGCAGTTGTGACAACGGCAAGTCCCTCAGAAGCTACCTTCATATCTTTCTCAGCAATCTCTTCAAGCAAAGACTCAACCTTTGCCTCAATATCTCTAACGTCATCAACAACCGGTGGATCAATCCCACATCCATTATCAAGAATCGCTTGCAAGATAACCATAGCGTACTTGATCTCGTGGCACTTGGGAAGCATCTTCAAGAGCACAAAGTAAGTAATGTGGTCAGGGACAACACCGTCGTCTAACATCTTCATCAACAAGTCAACAGCTTTATCCAACCCACCCTTCTTGTAAAGCCAGGATATAAGATTCGTATAGCAATGCACATTCCGAGATATATCTTCAACCACCCCAGTGTTGTCCTCGAAAAGCCTCAAAGCATAATCTACATTCCCTTCCTTGCAGTAGCTACCAATCATTACATGGTACGTGAAAACATTCAAAGGAACTCCTTTTTTCACCATTTGACTGAACAAAACCCTCCCTTTATCAAGCATACCCAACTTCATGAACCCATGAATCAAAGTGTTGAAAATATAAGTGTCAAGCTCAAAACTTTTCTCAACCATCCGCAAGTAGAGCTGCATTGCCATTGTCATGTTGTTGTCTCTGCAATACTCTTTCATCAAACAAGTATACATGACTTTATCCACAAAGTAACCATCAGCTTCCATATGATCAAACAGAGCCTCTGCTTCAGCAGCACATCCTCTTCTACAAAAACCGTAAAAGAGAGACTTGTACAGATTAATCGGCAGAGGCATTCTCGTCATCTCACACAACGTATCCAACATCCCAATTGCTTCATCCAAATGGCCGTGACTGCACAATCCTTTAAACAGTCTCTTACAGCAACGAAGCCATAAACCACTGCCTCTCGCTTTCACTTGTTCAAAGTACAGAAACGCCTCGAGAAACTGATCCTGATTGCAAAGCTCATCAACTACTAAGCTACAATCCTTTTTACTAGGAATATAACAAGAAGCTAAAACTCTATCTAAATGTGCTCTAGCTTCATCGAATCTCCTCAACTTAACCAAACAGAGAACCATTGAATCTAAAACAGACGGATCAGGAACAATACCATTTCCGATTACACGTTGATTGTAGAAAGTCTCGGCCAATCCGGGATGACCCATCTCCGTGAGCTTCCTTATCAATGCGCCGCAGCAACGAGAATCGAGCTCTATTCCACTGTTGACTGCAAAATCGGCAACTAAAGTCGCCTCTGAAATGGAAGAACATCCGTCGATTACACGGCGAGTAACTTCCCGAGCGGAATCGGCGAGACCTCGTCCGCCGAGCTTATCTATCATCGACAAACATCGGGACCGGTGGTCACTGGAAGCGGCGGAGGTGGAGAGTGATGGTTCCGACGGAAGCGCACAAGTGGTGGCTTTTCTGGATTTTACTAAGCGATACCATAAAGCCTTCGCCTTTAACATCGTCTAAAACCCCAAAATCTCAGGGTCGTATCCCAATTGAAAGCTTTTCCAGGTTTTTCGATTTCACGAATTCCCCAGTTGCAGAATCGAAACAAAACATCGCACTTTGCAATAGATACTGAAGAAATTTTGACTGAAGTAATAGCGGAGATTTTGACTGAAGTAGTAGCGGGTTTTGAAACAAAATCCTCAGAAGGCCTAAAACCCTCGTCGTCTCTGTTGTCAATTCGGGTCTTGGTCTTCTGCTTTGTCTAATTGGTTTAAGAGCGTAAACCGGTGAATTTTCAATTGACACTAATCGAACCCGATGATTAAGCTATTTATAAAGTTTATATACTTTAAGCCCGACTACGGTTAATTTGATGGTAATTTGAATGCTTTTGTTGAATTCATATCAAATGTGTGTGAATAATATTGTAATCAAACATAAATTGTATAAGCTCACAAAATTAATACAATCGATTACATACAAGTAACAAATACAAGTAACAAGTGACAAAATGAAAATGAAAATGAAAATGAAAATGAAATGCAAATTATTTACACATTTTATTTTTTCTAATTTCGTAGTCATATGATTGATATCTATAGCTCTCATTATTATTAAGCATATGAGGTGACTCTAAAATAGAAGTTTATAAAAAAAAAGAACAAAATTAACGAAAATGAAGGTTTTATCCATAATAATTTAGCATTAGGTGACAAGTTGTGGAGGAAACGTATTCACAAAGTGCAAATATATTTAGCACTAACAAAAGGGCATGATTTTTGTTTGTAATTATTTACACTTGAGCTTAGTACGACTCTTGTGCACGGGTGATTTTTAATACTTTAATTTTCTATCTGTTCTCTAATACTTTTGTGTGTGTGTTAACACTATCTTGTACTTAAAGACAACAACTTTGATTGGTTTAAAGTTTACAAATAAAAGAAGAACATATCACCGTTACAAAAATGTTGCAATAATTTTCTTTATTTACGTTATTTGATGCATGTCAACAATATGATTATTGAATAAAAACCAATAAGTAATATCATGCCAACGTAACATATAGCAAAAGAAAAAGAGTTAATCAATACACTTGAATAAAGGGTCAATCATGTATACTCTAACACACTCTTCAAGATCTAAGTTTTTTGTTCATATTATGAATTGATTTAAAAAGACAAAATTAAACTCTAATGTGCCATATGATTTGCATTTTTGTTTCTCGTCATACCCTTATAGGCTTATACGAACATGCACATATTTCGGTGGAGGAGTGATCTTCGCAATTCCACAATGAACCAATCATTTTTTCTATAAATTATACAATTTTACACCTCATCATCTTTCTTTTGTTCTTATATATTTTCTTTGCATGCAATATGTAATCTTCAAACGAATTCGTCAAATGATATTCATACAATATAAGGCTCTCCTAAACATAATCTTCCTTTTGCAAAATCATAACCAACGCTCTCCGGTTTTTATTATAACATACTCATTTTTTTTTGTCAATTTACCTCTAGAGAAACACATGATGAATTAAGAGACAAAAAAACTAGCTTGTTGCATTTTATTGTAATGCGACATATCAAATCCCCTTTAACATACATGTGTGAGAGGTATATAAGTCCAATAAAATATGGATTGGTGTTCGTCGAAGACTCGAAGTAGATAAATTAGTACACACTCTCACTCTCTCTCTGTCGCACGAGCTTCACGTGTAGCCCATTACTTTGGGGTCCCACGGAATGATAACGGACCCACCTAGGCCCACTCGTTAGACCGGAAAGAGCGGTGGTTTGTTGGCAATGGCTGACTTGACAGTGGCTAGGACCACGCCGGACTCACGAGTCCAATTATAGTGGGACTGGGACCACAAGCCCAAGCGGCTTCACACACAAGGTAACTAAATTGGACGTAACTTTACCGGTTAGGATCGAACCAGCTTAACCGGAGCTTGGTTTGGGTAAAGAAAACGTGTGATATGATGGTTTGGATAACTGTCACTTTCTCGTTTCCCTGAATGTAAAAACAACATCAATGTACTCAAATGCCGTCGGTTTGTAGGTCCCATCATCCAATCGTATAGAACAAATCAGATGAAAAAGAATATTGCCCGATTTGAATTCACTAGTTCAGATATTAACATTACGATAACATTAATACAAGCCACCAAATCGTGATTACTCTTAGATTTATATATTCTGAGCATTTTCTCATAGATGAGAAGGAGACCTAATCATAGTATTTAAGTTAAGAGAGAGAATTCATGTAATTTTTTGATCATTTTCCAATGCTAAAATGTCAAAATATTATAGTTACGTATTATTCTGTCAGAATTAGGAGACCGGATTATAAAGTGGAAATGTGGAATCACGTAAGTTCAAAGGAGTCGAGTATTACCATATATTTTCCAAAAGAAGATAATTTTTACTCATAGAGAGATTCAAAAATAGATAAGTCTAAATCTTTCAAGATGCCTTGTACCATTTGAGGTATCCGAAAACCTTTAAAGATAAAGAGTGAGTTACATGACCAAAATTCGGGTTAGGGACTAAGCATTTAAATAGATGCGTGTGGACATATTTATATATAGACCATACTAAAATGATATAAAATTTAGAAATTGGAGGACTAATCATAGTGTTTTGCAAGTGGAGGATTGGAGATAGAAGCGTACTGCTTAAGAACAACATTTTTTTTTTAAATTTTTTATATCAGTAGCACTGTCAAAAACATTACAGAAAAGGAAAAGTATGAGGTCTAACATTAGGTCATAATATTTCACTATAGAATATAATGATCCACATGATCTATAATTTGTCTGATTTCTCGTTTTATTTGAAGATATTTTTGTTTTCAACAGTTACAAAAGGTGATTGATCCAAACCACAAATCGGTTTCATATAGATCATTAGATTCTTTAGTGAAACTGCGAATGTGTCCTCATCACGTTATGTGGTAACCACAAGAGTAAATATAACGAATAAAGCGAAAATGAAATCACGGATCAAAGTATATACATGTTGAAAAAATCTTCGCCAATGTAGACTATATGGTACGAGCACATAATTCATAGAAATACATACATATTCAAAACCCTAAGCATACCTTCGATTCTCCAGTAAAAACAGTGGAAACCATGGATGTTAATTGTCTTGAAATTCGAGAGTTTACTATCAACTGGTATGTAAATGAACAAATTTGAAATTGTGAACCGAATCTAGAATTTGGATGTAAGTTAAAGGGTAGAACGAGAAATATGAGAACTTTGGTGGGGACAAAAGGGGGTAAAGTGGGCCCAGCACCGAAGGCGATAAGAAGCTTTTTCGCAGCGATGATGTTCCCTGTGTTATTACGTAACCACTCATGTCACGCCACGTTATTTTATTACTTGTGTTTTTTTTTTTATTCTACTGTTTTCTCTTGCCATTTTCCAAAACTGAGTTCATTTTTTTTTTCTGTTTCTTACAATATATATTAATCTCAACCATTTGTTTGTAGATCATCTTGCGATACATAATAAGATAAAATTTGTACGATATATTGTTTACAGCATTATTACAACTATATCAAAACATAAATATTATGGTAAGCACTTGAAATTATGTGATTTCTTCTGTACGTGGACTTGTTATATCTTACAAGCTTACTAACGTATGTTCTTCTTTTTTTTTTGGGTTCAAACACTAACGTATGTTCTTATAAACATATATATCCATTCAGACTCAGACCGATTAAGAGTTACTAAAACAAAACATCATAATTTTCTTAAAGCTTTCGAAAGAACATGCATGCGCGCGTATCCATTTCACCAAACGAATCTATCGGATATTATATTTGTGCTATATATGTGACGATCAACGGTCAACGAAAGTGGGAATTACTAGATTAGTCTAAAGAGTGTATGCAGTGAGTTTTAAGTAGCATCAACACGTGAGAAGTATCGCAGCGGATGAAGGTGAGAAAATTTTAGAAAAAAATAACCATATATTTACTTGTGAAGACGTTTATATTGCTTTTAATATAATCGTTTCAATGATTTTTAAAATAATATGATTTGATTTAAAAAAAAACTGATTGTCGAAAATGTAACGAGATATGATTTTTGTTTTTTTTTTCTTAAACCATGCTTTCGATCGAGAGTGGTGTGAACTTGAACTGATGAACATGTACACTTTTTTTTTTTTGTTCAAAAAACATGTACACTAGATACAAAAAAGTTCGATGGCCGTACCATCCCAAACACCGAGCCGTGATTAATAAAATATTTTCATATGCTTAAAAGGGAAGTAGTAAATTTATTTGAAAAACGTCTCATTCAATAGTTGGTAGAGAGATAGTTCTAAAAGATCACATTACTTATCTATCACACACACACATATAAAGTGAAAACTTATGCAACACTTCAGGTAGAGAGAGGAAGACAGTGATAGCTTAGTTATAATTGAAGACCCCAAAATCCAAATAGAATCTTCTGATAATAATGAAGTATGAAAAAAAAAACACATAAAATAAAACAAAATGAAAAGCACATTTCCTTTTGCATCATGAGTTTTTGTCTCTGTTTACATTTATATGCCTATATATATGTGTACATATAAGCCTAGAGAATCCACCATTATCGTAACACTCGAAGTCTTTCATGATCTCATCTCAGCATAAACAAGACAAAACGCTTTTGTCTCTTTGTTAATCTACGAGGAACCAAGAGAAAAAGTCGAATATTCTTATAAATCTTGCATATATAAGACGAGGATCCAAGTAAGTTCAGTACATAGAACCATATGATTTCTGATTTTCAAGATGTCACAAAATCTTTTACGGAATCAAAAAATATTTTCATCTAAATCTTATGTAAAAGAGGAGACGACTATATTGTTTTCCTCCTCCTTTTTTGTCAAAAAGTATAATAACTTGTTTCACGTATGGAAATTTTTTAAGATGTTCATCATTTTTCGTTTTTTCTCATCTTTAAGTTTGTCATCAAATTGGAAAAATTAAGAGATGGGGCGTAATAATAAGTAAAAGTTAGTACTATAGTTCGAAACCATGCATAGTATGATTTTTTTGTTGGTTAAAGGAAAAGTTATCATTTTATGTGTATATAATTTGGTTAAATCGAGACATTATGAGTAGTTAAAACTTAAAAAAATCATAATGAAATGGATCAAATATATACTTTAATCATAATCGTGTGTGGAAAAAAATATATCTCTATGTTGACACTTACTCGAATACCTGCATACATACATACATGCAAATCTTTCAATAATTCTATTTACCGCTGACAAAGTATATGTTACAAGTTACATTGCAGAAAAGATAAATTTTTAAAAGATCAAATGGAGAGTCTCTCACACATTCCACCCGGTTATCGATTCCATCCGACCGATGAAGAACTTGTTGACTACTATCTGAAGAAGAAAGTAGCATTCCCGGGAATGCAAGTTGATGTTATCAAAGATGTTGATCTCTACAAAATCGAGCCATGGGACATCCAAGGTATGTATGCATTCCTTTTTGATATCATTACATGACATCTATGCAATCCATTTTTGATATCATTACCCCTAATTAAATCAATATATGAAGCTTCTAATTCAAAACTAAATAATAATAAAATGTACCGTGGTGTTTATCTATATATCATCTTATAGTCGATGTGAGATAACTAACACTAACATTATTCTTTTAAATTATATAGAGTTATGTGGGAGAGGGACAGGAGAAGAAAGGGAATGGTACTTCTTTAGCCACAAGGACAAGAAATATCCAACAGGGACTCGAACCAATAGAGCAACGGGTTCGGGATTTTGGAAAGCAACGGGCCGAGACAAGGCCATATACTCGAAGCAAGAGCTTGTCGGGATGAGGAAGACTCTTGTATTTTACAAAGGCCGAGCCCCAAATGGTCAGAAATCCGATTGGATAATGCACGAATACCGTCTAGAGACCGACGAAAATGGACCACCTCATGAGGAAGGATGGGTGGTTTGTCGCGCTTTCAAGAAGAAACTAACCGCAATGAATTATAACAATCCAAGAACCATGATGGGATCATCATCATCGGGCCAAGAATCTAATTGGTTCGCACAACAACAAATGGATGTGGCTAATGGTAATTACTACCACCTTCCTGATCTAGAGAGTCCAAGAATGTACCAAGCCTCATCCTCATCATCATTATCATCATTACATCATAATGATCATGACCCTTATGGTGTTGTACTAAACACTATCAACGCAACACCACCCACACTAATGCAACGAGACGATGAAGGAGATCAAAATGGTCATGTGATTGCCAATGATGATGACCATATGATCATGATTAACACAAGTACTGCTGATCATCATCATCACCATAACCACCAATCAGGATTACTACATAATGATGATCATAATGATCAAGTGATGGATTGGCAAACTCTTGACAAGTTTGTCGCTTCTCAGCTAATCATGAGCCAAGAAGAGGAAGAAGTCAACAAAGATCCATCAGATAATTCTTCGAATGAAACATTTCATCATCTCTCTCAAGAGCAAGCAACAATGGCTTCGATGAATATTGCCTCTTCCTCTTCTTCTCCATGCTCCTTCTACTCTTGGGCCCAAAATACACACACGTAAGATAAATCCCTTGAACGTGTGTTTACACTTTACATCCGCGATTATTATATAATTCATTGATATAATATGTTAAACTTGTGATAGTATTGAATTATTTAAATTACGCATGTCGTAACGTAACAATTACTGAATATAATCTTGTACGAAAATTATTTATTTATTATACTGTAACTTTATAGCTTTCTCTGTTAACCGCTGTAGTTTAAAAGTTAAGAAATATACAAACATGAACTATAAGAATATTTCTACACATGTTGTTGCACAAAAGAATTTTTGTTATAGTATTTCCTTATGGGCCAAAGTTCGAGAAACTGGGAACGGACACGTGAATGTGACCCTGACAGGTTATGGCAGTAGCCAAACCATGAAAAGAATGACCGGAGCAGCCGGTAAACAGTAAGCACAAACAGGACTAAACAAGAAAAACATAAGCAATTTGATAAAACAGAGTCTACAAAGTTTGGGAACACAAAAGGGATTAGATAAAACTAAGTGGAAACACAACACACTAAGAAGACACAAGAGGCAAAGATTCGAGAGACGAGAGACTGATGAACAAACACCAATCTCTTCTCCAACCCACCACTCCGGCACTCCCCATTATTATTTTTCTCTCTCTCCATAATTAGAAACATTGAAAACACTAAAACCAAACTAAAGAAGGCTGATTAATCCTTAACCAAGACACAAAAAACACAACAAAAAACAGCCTCCGAATCACCACCAAACACACATTACACTTCCCCATCATTCTTCCTCCGTCTCAAGCATCTGCACAATCTGAGTCACTCCATCAGCGATCTCTTTGCTGATCATACTGTCTGGCATATCGAACGTTCTCCTCCTCATCGACAATGACTTCCCTTGCGGCTGCGGATCCACCACGTCCAACATCGCTTCCAGCTCATCCACCATTGACCTCTTCGCTCCTCGTACCATTACATCAACTCCCTGACACCACAAAACAGAACTTAAAGAGTGTAATTAACTAGATTGAGACTAAATTCTCTGATTTTTTATAAAGTACCTCTATGGCATCAACGGTGAGGAGGAGTACGATGATCTTTTCAGAGAATTTCTGGCGCTCCTCTGCATCGCGAGAGATCAACCGGCGGTAGCTGAAGTTGTGGAAAGAAGCTCTTAGCTGCTTCAGCTTAGTCTTGGCGATAGCTAGATCACGAAGAGCGCGTAATGACTTTGAGCGGCGAATCAAATAAGCTCTGAAGGTTCTCTGGATCGTCACAACCGCATATTCAAGCGGCATTTCCTTGTTCTTCCCTTTCTTGCTCCTCACTGCTCCATTCCTCCTCGCAAACGCCTTCATTAACCACAACCATTAAAGAGAAAACACATCAATAACTTAGTATCACCACAACCACACAAACACGTAAAGGTTCAACTTTTCAAACACACAAATCTCAATCATGCCACTGTTCTCAGAAAGCAGAGAAATGTATATAGATGATTATACCTTTCTGAGAACGATGGCTCCATGTCCTTCAGACTCATCTTCTTCTTCCTCGTCTTCCTCGATGACAACAACACGCGTCTTCTCCTTCTTCTTGCTCTTCTTCTCCTTTTTGTCTTTCTTCTCCTTCTCCTCATGCTTCTCTTTCTCGCCTCCGGTAGAAGCCTTGATAGTGTACGTGTGAGACATCTCTCCGTTTTCCCTCTCCGACTTCAACTCCGTTGTCCAATTGTAGCTCTTCTTCTTCTTCTTCTTCTTATCCTTCTTCGTCTTCTCAGCTTCAGCAGCAGCTTCTGCCTTTGCCTTCTTGAGAGCGACTTCATCCTTTTTACCGGATTTGATCTCCGTCGTCCACGTGTACTTCCTCTCCCCGGAACCTTCGATCTCCGCCTCCAACTTGTACTTCCTCCCCGGCGAGCCGTGAATCTCCGCCTCCCATTTGTACTTGCGCTCTCCGGAGCCTTTGATCTCCTTCGTCAACGTGTACTTCCGGTCAGAGTCACGGCTCAACCGGTCGAACTTGGTTTCCAATTGAGAAACTCGGTCGCAGAGATACCGGAGAGGATAATCCGGCTGCGACGACTTCCGGCGAATCTTCTGGTACTTGCAGGAGGAAGGAGATTTCTCAATCTGGACCAGATCCGTCACGCTTTCGAGTAGATCGAGTGGGGAAGGGGATGGGAATCCGAATGGGAAACCGAGATCTTCATCATCGTCGTCGATGAAGGAAGGAAACCCTAGAAAAGGCTCGATAATGGAGGTTTCACGGACGAGGAGAGGAGGACAGGTGTAGGGGTCGAGGAGATCGATTCTACGAATCCAGCTCATGGTTGAAGCAAGTGTTTGACTCGGGGTGGTTTCTGAGCTCAGCGAATCAGGTCACGAGTGATGTTTACAGTGATACTAATGGATACTGAAAGAAGGAAACAAAGCTCTTTTGAGGAAATTCGTAGTGTGAAATGATATCGAAATGAGGATGAAGAAGAAGACAAATTCTTGAGTTTTACGAAGATGAGATTGAGAGAACGGTCAGAAACAAGTGGGCCTCGAGGGTTAATTTTGACATTTTCCAATTTCGGTTTGCCATTTCCATGCCTTATTATATAGTCTCTCTTAAATGAAGTTTTACTATAGTTTAACTGTATGTATTAGAGATGAATGTTTGTTCAACCTCCTGCAAGTAATGCTTTTGTCGTATAAATTGGTTTTGCTAACCAGTCCGGTTCGATGATTGGATAAGGCGAATTTTGGAGATAACCGCGTATTTACTTAGAAAAGGACGCAAACGACCCTGAAACGTGTGAAAAATTACGGCGACAAGAGAATCTTTCGGTGGGATTACAACGTGGTAAAAGATTAAAGCCCGTGGGGCCTAGTCCCTGCCTTTCCACGTGCGCCACACGGCCCACACCAAACGATATTACGTTTTTAAGGCAAAAAAAATGTGTCGAAAGACTCCAAATAAATTTCATGCATGTAAGACTGAAGAATCCAATAGTCACGAGATAATAATCATCGATGTAAGTTAATTATCGGTATCATAATGACAAAGAGTTCAATGATACCAACATTAAGTAGGAGTGAGGAAGATATGACCCTCGTAATTCATTTGATCACAAAAGTAACCAAAGTAACTAACCATACCAGCAATAAAACAAACTATACCAAAACTAACCAAACCCTTAAACCGGTTATTCTTGATCTCATCGGTTTCTCTCCCGGTCACTGCATCCTCCAACGACGCATCTTGAAATTCTTCCGGTAACGATTCGACCAACGAAAAAACCGAACCGGTTTCATCATCATTCACAACAACACCACAACTTTCGTTAACTGGGCCTTTCAATTGCTTGTCAAAAGCCTCTTCAAGTTCGGCTAACCTCTTAGCGATGCATGCAAGTTTCAACGCCTCTTCCTCTTCGTCCTCCTTAACCGACATTATCTCCGCCGTTAAAAGAGTCCTCGTGAAAATAAACCGGTGTTCGATTTCATGGTATGCATTAAGATCGCCATCGCCAAGACCGGGTTCTTCTAGCAAACACTCAAGTTCTTCGAGTTTCTTCTCCAAGACTGTGTGTGATTTCGCCTTCGTCTTCATCCTCTTCTTAACCATTGCTTTTTTTTTTCTTCTCTCCCTATCTCATTTTCTAAAGGTTTTAAGCAGTTAAAAAAACGTCTCGTTATGAGTAGCGACGGTTTATGTGAAATTACATGCAAATGTTGTTCCACATATTTAATAACTGCCTCAGGCCCAATTTAATGGGCTAATACTTCCTAAACCATTTACTAATTGGACAATCAATGGGCTAATACTTTCTAAACCAAGCATTAATGGGAATATACATATTTAGGGTTTTCATGAGACGTAGGCTAAAAGAAAATTTCGGTTCCCTCCTTCCTCGCCGTCGTCTCTCAGGTAACTTCATTTTTGATTTTTATGTTTACCAAACTTTGCCGGAGAATTTCGTGTGTGATCGATCGGGTTCGTGTTTTTGTGATTTTACAGAAGAGAAAAAGAAGAAAGAAAGAGGTTGAAAATATGGCTTATGCAGCAATGAAGCCTGCGAAGGCTGGTTTAGAAGAGCCACTCGAGCAAATCCATAAGATCAGGATTACTCTCTCCTCAAAGAATGCCAAGAACGTCGAAAAAGGTTTTGAGACCTTTCCTTTGATTTTTAATTTTCATTTCAGCAATCAGCTTGTTATTATGTTTGATTTTGATCAGCTGACTTAGTTCATAGAGAATTTTGAGAATGACTCAATGCCTTGTTACTGTATTGAACCATTGGAAAAGTTTGTTTCGTTATTCAAATGGGAAGATTTGAATGAGTTGGGTCAAACAGTGAAATACTATTGTTTTTGATGTCTTATTGGTCCTATTAACATATGTGTAGTGTGCTCTGATTTGGTTCGAGGAGCAAAGGACAAGGGACTCAGAGTCAAGGGACCAGTGAGAATGCCCGTTAAGGTTCTTAAAATCACTACACGAAAAGCTCCTTGTGGTGAAGGTATTTAATAGCTACCTCAAGTCTCATCATCACTTTTCTCTGCTTTTATTTATAAGCCTTGAGAAACACTTCAACTTTAGGGTTTGATTTAACTACGATTTTTTAGGTAGCTAAATACTTTGTTTTTTTTTATGTGGTTTTGTAACAGGAACCAATACATGGGACAGATTCGAATTGAGGGTTCACAAGCGTGTGATTGATCTCTTCAGCTCTCCTGAAGTGGTCAAGCAAATCACTTCCATCACCATTGAACCTGGTGTTGAGGTCGAGGTCACCATCGCCGACTCTTAGATGTCTTCTCTTTCCGAGATCTCTGGATCCTTTCCTGATCGGTTCGAACTTGCTATCATTTGGATCAAACCAATGTGTTGTAGTAGTGAAAATTTAGTTCTTGTGTTTTCTTAGTTGAAGAGATTTTGTTTTGTTGAGTTTTTATTTACATCTATCAAACGTGCTCTACAATTCAGTGATGATATTGTCTCCATGTTCAAAATTGAGAGGTGTTATTTGATTCTAAAAATTGTAGATTTCTTCAATCATTCCTCCAGAACTCTTAAACGACTAACAAACCTTGTTTTGGTTGGATACTATATAGTAGTATATGTATATAAAAAAAACAATATCGAGGAGATACGTACAGTGCATTTTATAATGCTAATCACTCTGACAGCAATTAAAAAGTAGATAGATAATTATTTTTTTATTAAATAAGAAAATTTGCTCATAAAAAAAATTAAATAAGAAAATAAAAGCTATTTTTAATATGAGGATCACATAAAAATAAAACTCTGACAAAATAAACCAAATCAAACAAAACTTAGAGTAAAAGGCATCTATGGGTCATCCTTAAAACTGCTAAAGATGGTTCTAATATGGTTGCACTTGGACCTATCAAGTGCTTCCTCGAGGGCCTTAAGATCCTTATGATAGTCCGGACAGAGCTTACCACCGTCTAAGCAGTCCAACGAATTCTGGATCTCACGACCTTCCTTTATAAGGAACCAAAGCCCGAAAAGGAGATAGGGCAAAAAAATGGCGATCAAGAGAATTGAACGCTCCAACACATCCAACGTCAATGCCATAACCTGGTGCCTTGCTTCCTAATATTTCTTGCTTGATGAATTTGATAAAATCACACTATCTAAACTTTTACTGTTTCTCAAAGCTGCTATCTAATGAACAACAACAATGCTTTTATATAGGCAATGACTTCTAGAATTCCTAGATTAACATGAAATCCTAATGATTTTAGTTTTAGGCTTTAATCCCAAAGAGAAGTCTATCTAAACACATAAGTTAACCTAAATTAGGGGAAAAGATTTATAGAAAAAGACCAAAACACCCAAAACCAATAAAAAAGTTTCTCTAGCTTTAGTTATGATGCGGTAGCATCTAACATCCCTATTCTCAACCTAGGGTTACCCTTGTTTGGGAAATTATCTGATTGAAAAAAAGACCAAGAAATATTTCAATACACAACACGTTTGTATTGTAGTGGAGTGGTAAATTACATACATACAAACATAAATGAATTAGGATTACTTTATTTTTTTTCAGATACAAAATCGTGTTCCTAAAGTGATTTTAATAACATATGTTCATCAATGTCTAGTTCTCTTGATCTCTATGACTTGTTCTAATACGGTTTCATTTGGTTCTTGAATATTTGATTTATATCAACCTTAATGTTTGACACACACAAAAAAAAAAGTGCAAGGTAAATCATTGATCGGAAAAAGTGTGCAAATACACACAAAGTTTTTAGTAAAAAGCCAAACAAACTCTATTGACAGGAAAAAAAAAAAAAAAGGTAAAAAGACTATTTCTTATGCAAAGATTTGAGTTGGGAGAATCTGGATCGAATACGGTGGCACTTTGATTGACGGATGATATCGGAGAAAGCTCTGATATCTTCATGACAGAGTGGGCAACATTGGTAACAACGAAAAATTTCTCCAAGTTCGATGTCATCCTTTTCCTCGTCTTTGAAATACTTCCTTGACCACCTGGTCTCGATGATTACGTAGATCCAAAGGAGTGCTGCAACGAAACAATAATAAGACAACGCGATAGCTTCGAATTTCTCCATCCCGATCTTCAAACCCAAACGAATACACAAATTCTAGGGTTTATGTATTTTTTATGAAACACTCTGAAAAACTGATTATATGTGTAGATATATATATACTCAGCGATGGAATTACTATTTAGGATTAGGAATTTTTTGTGTGTGTGCCAATATGAAAATTTATTCTGAAGGTAAATCGGAAGAAAATTAATTTAATAGTTTAACTTGATTATATATTAACAGATTAATGGGCTCATTACATATCCTTAATAATTAATGTGCTCGCTAAAACCTCGTGAAAGTGAATTAACCATAAGGGAAAAATAAAAAAAACTCATGTTTTTGAATTTGTTATGCAGCTTTTGATCGATCTCAGTCACACACAGAGCATAGGAAGAATGATTAAACATCCAAGCCAGCCATACTCTAATGTTGTTTACTTAAAAATCCAATATTAGTCTTTAAACAATCTCTGCTTTTGAAACTCGATTCTTCAACAGTGTAATTATAGTGGTTTTTTCGCTGGAAGAAGGAATGTTCAACGATGCCAATGTTCTTTTCTGGACAAATGTCGTTGATGGAGTTTCAACAGTACAAAGAAGAGTAACAAAGTAGAGCAAGTAATCTGGTTATACCTCAATCGAATAATTATATTCCAAGATCTATCCATTAATATTAAGACTTTGCAATCTTTCATTAATTAGGGTTACTTTCTGGATAAATTTTTCTAAGACTCCATTATAGTTTCATTGGAAACCGTATAGCAAGAAGAAAAAGAACAAAAATGGAAAAAAAATTAATTTTAATTTAATAATATAACACAGACCCTCGATAACATAATAAGATGCGCTAACTAACGGGAAATAGCCATAACTGTTTCATAACCGCTTCGTCTAATTGGCGGGTGAATCTTTTCTCTCTCGCTAAAACCTTTTTCTCTCTCATCGATCTTGATTCGTCACGATCGATCCTTGTTCTTCTTCTTCTCCCTCTCTCTCATCGACTCTTGCTGTGCTCCGTCTCCATCATCGTTGTTGCTTCGCTCCCTCTCAATCATCCTTGTCACGCTTCGTCTTCTCTCTCTGTAAGATAAATTTATCTTCCTATTATATGGTCTTATATTAATCCGTTTCCCTATTGAGCTATTGCTATTCCATAACATATTTGGTATTTAATTAACTTAAATATAATTGAGTATTTCATTTTTATATCTACTTTGATGGACGGTTGAGATTAACTTTAAGGAAACCCTAAAGAGGAATTAGGTCCTCTCTCCACCTATAAATATATGCCTTTAGTCCATTGTAAAGGCATCCTAAAAGAGACACATAAAGTTCATAGGCAAGGGGAGAGAAACCTAATCACCTATCTCAGATTCAATACCTCCATCTCTTCTCTACAATGGTTAGAGGTAAGTCATCTATAAACTCTTATGATTCTATTATGTGATTACTCTGGATGTTTGAAGGTCTTAGGATTCATGTAAAATATGCTTACACTCTCTCTATCATCCTTGTCACGCTTCGTCTCATCTCTCTATCATCCTTGTTACGCTTCGTCTCCTCTCTCTCTATCATCCTTGTTACGCTTCGTCCCCTCTCTCTCATGGCGCAGCCGGTGAATCAAGATGATACGTTGACGAAAATTCTTACAGGTTTTATCGGCGGTGTTATCACGGTGCCAACTTATTTAGCGCTGCGTAACAAAATGCCATCGTTGTGGACTCCGGTCTTGTTGTTCGGAGGGGCTCTGTTTGCTGTGTTGATGACGAGCTTCATGGGACATGCGTTGAGAGCATTAAACTTCAGAAGATGCGTCTGGGAATCTTTAATTGCCGCCGGATCTTTCTTCGCCGGTGGTATTGTTCCTCTCGGACTTGGTCTACTCGTACCCAACCGAGTGGTACGTATCATCACTTTAATTGTGATGACCTGCTTGGTCACTGCGTTGATGTTAGTTATCTTTAGAGGTGACGGGAGAGATCGGCGGCACACGGAGGTTCCTCTGTGGTGCATTTGGTTGTTAGTCAACGTTGTCATTGCTGTACAAACATTGATAGTTGACTTTGCCGAGAAAATTTAGTTATACGTGTTCGTTTTTTGTAATTGGATAATCTAAAGAAACGTTTATAATTGTTTTCTTATCTTTACTGTTATGTTTATTGTATCAATGGATTTTGCTTTTTTTTTTTTAATTGAAATCTGACACGTGCTGTTGTGAGTTGTGATTCGTTTTTGGTTTTTCATAATATTTAATTTTAATAATTAGGAGTTGTAGTAGAGTGATATTTGAATTCTAAATAAAAATATATTGAAATTTTAAAGATCAGGCCCTTTAACAAATAAAAAGAAAAGAAATTTTATTAATTTGTTAATTTTTTTCAATATACGGGAAACTCAGTGATTTCTAAGCCTTGAGAAACACTTCAACTTTAGGGTTTCATTAAACTACGATTTTTAGGTAGCACAATACTTTGGTTTCTTGACATGGCTGAAACCCTTCCTTAACCATTGGTTTTGTAACATGAACCAATACATGGGACAGATTCGAACTGAGGGTTCAGCTCTCCTGAGGTGGTCAAGCAAATCACTTCCATCACCATTGAACCTGGTGTTGAGGTCGAGGCCACCATCGCCGACTCGTAGATGTCTTTTTATTCTATTTTTCATTCTGAGATCTCTGCATTGTTTCCTCGGTTCGAACGTGCTGACTCTCCGGCTAATTTGGATTATATACCAATGTTTTGGAGTAGCGAGACTTTAGCTCTTGTGTTTTCTTAGTTGAAGAGATTTAGTGGTGTTTTGTGGTTCTAAAAATGTTATTTTTCTCATCCATCATATCTTTCGAGAGCTCTTAAACGACATTATTTAACAGAAGAATCAACTTTGTTTCTTAGACTTTTAACATTTGAAGTTTGAACAAACTTATGCTTGTGTTCAAAATCTTGTACATTACCGACAGATACCCATAAAAGCGAGGCCCACCATTAGGACTAAAAATCAATCTTGTGAATTGTCTGGAGGGTTTAGGAACTCTTTCCAGTTTTCAAATTCCTGCTTTTTAATATAAACTTGAGATTGACATTTAATTAAAGTTTACAAAGCAAATGATTATACTAATAGAAGTATAGAACTGCAAATTCCCAGTGACTTAAGGAAATAATAAAAAGCGTGTTAAAAAAAAGTGAAATCTTCTCGTGGTGCACTATAAAATTGGGAACATGACTGTCTTTATGCTGTAAAATACTACATGAACCACAGCATTGCATTTAATTTGATCTATTTAAATTATACTTTTTTATCCATTGATGTAAGATATTAAACCATTACTAGTTTACTTTGTCAACGCTTCATTCATATGTAATTTGGTTAGTAAGCCAATGCAGTCACCTTCGATCTGACTTACACTTTATTCGATTATTTTTTTAGATAAATCAAATAACTGATGAATGCTTTCAACAACCCATAAGTCTTAACAATGTATATATTGAAACAAGTCTTATTGTGATGTTCATTGATGATTTTGCGTTTTTCTTTTTTACTTTCGGAATCTAGATCTGTCATTTAGTTTTCTATGTTTTAACATTTTAAATTTAGAATCTAGATCTGAATCATTTGAGTCGAGAAACTAAAACACTAAACAACACCCACGTTTTGGCTTTTTAAAACCAGGATACTTACCTTTTTGAAGAAAAAAAAACTAAGTTAGAGATAGGTTTTCACACATCTGACCTTATTTTGCCCAACATTAGCCAAAATCAATAGAAAGTTTGAGTGGACAATATGTTTTCCTTTGTTCGTTGTACTCAATGTGCCAAACGAACAACAACATTTTATGGAAGAAAAACGTATGGGTCACTCCTAAATTTCTTGTAACCCAATAATTGAGCCCATGATTATGTATGATTTATCAAAGGCATACTTAAGATAAGTTTCGGCTGCTTCGTTCCAAACAAATTCCTTTGCATATTTCTTGAGATTTCGGAAATAATGTTTTGCCTCTTCTTCAGAACTTGAACCTAATCCCTATAAAGACACAAGAGGTTAGTTACATTAACACTTTCCAAGAGTGCCAATTTTAAAATTAAGACATAAAACAAACCTTATAATACTCGAACTTGAGTTGACCAGCGGACTCATGTTCACCACCAAAGTTTTGTGGTGACTTCCACTTATTATAATCCTCCATTGTGAAGAATTCTTTCCACAAGTGTTTAGTGTTTTCGAATGTGTTTTTCTTTTTTCGAGATATTTTTTACAAATTTTTTTGAATGATAGGATTTTGTTTATATTTGGCATCTAATTAAATAATGATTTTCCAGCTTTGTGTTTTTCAAAATATTGAATTTTGTTAAAGGTATCATCTGGTGTGTTTTGTAAATAGTACAAAGTTTTATAGTAAAATCGTTAACAAAATTAATTAATGTGGCTAACAGATACAAATATGAGTATGACTCGTCAATTATGTGACTAACAATTACAAATATGACAGCGTGTCAATCCATGTAAGCAATGTCAAGTGTTAAGACCATTCGGACTAAAATAGAACCTTCTGATTCGTCTAGAGAGGTTTAAGAACTATTTCCAAATTTCAAAATTTCCCGCTCTTTTTTCTCCCAAATCCAAATCCCCTCGAAATTCTAAATCCACTCCCAATTGTGTTCGACAAAAATCAAAAGCAAAATTGACTTCCTTCAATCTCCGATACCAATCGCCGTTTTTTTTTCTAGGGTTTTATTGCTTTTTTTCTCATTTCCCGGTGGGTGGAAAATCTGGGGAAGAAGAAGGAGGATGCACATAAAGGAGATTTGTTTGGAAGGTTTCAAATCGTACGCGACGAGGACGGTGGTGTCTGGTTTCGATCCCCATTTCAATGCGATTACGGGTCTCAATGGATCCGGGAAATCCAACATCCTCGACTCCATCTGCTTCGTTCTGGGTATCACCAATCTTCAGCAGGTTCGAGCTGCTAATCTACAGGAGCTCGTCTACAAGCAAGGGCAAGCTGGGATTACCAAAGCCACCGTCTCGGTTACATTTGACAATTCCGAGCGAAATCGGAGCCCTCTCGGTTACGAGGAGCACCCGGAGATAACCGTGACGAGACAGGTAAATTATCCTTCAATTAGCTGCTCTTTGTCCCTCAATTTCTGATGCGATTGATCGGAATTCAACGAATTTGTCAAAATCTCAGATTGTAACTTGGAATTGAGTAAAAAAAAAGTAACTTGGAATTGTGAATCTTTTGTCTCTTTCGCTGTGATTATTTTCTAATAGTTGGTTATGGAATTGATGAGAATTCAACGAATTTGTCGAAATTTGAGATTGCAACTTGGAATTGAGAATCTTTTGTCTCTTTCGCTGTGATTATCTTCTTATAGTTGCTGGTGGGATTGATGAGAATTTTACGGGTTTGTCGAAATTTCAGACTGTAACTTGGAATTGAGAAACTTTTGCTGAAATATTGGTTAGAAGAACATTTGTGCATTGTTTATGTTGATGTGCTCTCACATTGTTTCCTTTGGTGTGAAAAGATTGTAGTTGGTGGAAGGAATAAGTATTTGATAAATGGGAAGCTAGCACAACCAAGTCAAGTCCAGAATCTATTCCACTCGGTGCAGCTTAATGTCAACAATCCACACTTTCTCATCATGCAAGGACGAATCACAAAAGTCTTAAACATGAAGCCTCCCGAGATCCTATCCATGCTCGAGGAAGCTGCTGGGACGAGAATGTATGAAAACAAGAAAGAGGCTGCACTGAAAACGCTTGAGAAAAAGCAAACCAAGGTTGATGAGATAAACAATCTCCTAGATCATGAGATATTGCCTGCTTTGGAGAAGCTGAGGAGAGAAAAAGCGCAGTATATGCAGTGGGCTAATGGTAATGCAGAGTTAGATCGACTGAAGAGGTTCTGTATTGCTTTTGAATATGTTCAAGCAGAGAAGATTAGAGACAACGCTGTTCATGGGGTTGAAGAAATTAAGGCCAAACTCACTAATATTGACGAGGAGACAGAAAAGGCACAGGAAGAAATACAGGAGTTTGAGAAACAGATTAAAGCTCTGACTCGGGCAAAGGAAGCCAGCATGGGGGGAGAAGTAAAAACTCTGTCAGAGAAAGTGGATTCACTGTCCCAAGAAATGGCTCGCGAAGCATCTAAACTCAATAATAAGGAGGACACCGTTTTGGGAGAAAAAGAGAATGCTGATAAGGTTAGCGACATGAGTAAAATGTTTTTAGCTCTCAGAACTTTTACAAATGTTCAGCTATTTCTGACATCTATAACTTCGTGCTTGGTGTTGCTAGATTGTTCACAATATAGAAGAGTTGAAGAAATCCGTAAAAGAGAGAGCAAGTGCTGTGAAGAAGTCTGAGGAAGGAGCGGCGGACTTAAAACGAAGATTCCAGGAACTCTCCACCACATTGGAAGAATGTGAAAAAGAGCACCAGGTAGTAACACTAACAAACATATTATTGTTTCTTGCCAAAGTTTGTTGTATGTTAACTAATTTTGCCTTGGTTATTAGGGCGTATTAGCTGGTAAGAGTAATGGAGATGAAGAGAAATGCCTAGAAGATCAGTTACGAGATGCAAAGATTGCTGTTGGAACAGCAGGAACAGAGTTGAAACAGCTGAAAACCAAGATAGGGCACTGCGAAAAGGAGCTAAATGAGAGAAAGTCTCAGTTAATGTCAAAACAGGATGAAGCCGTTGAAGTGGAGAATGAGCTTGGTTCAAGAAAAAGTGATGTGGAACGTGTGAAAAAGGCACTTGAATCTATTCCTTATAAAGAGGGTCAAATGGAGGCTTTGGAGAAGGTTAGCATGATCATCTTAGTTGATTTTATCTACTTTTACATAAAGTATATATGCATCTCTAACTGAGAAATATTCGTTTAGGACCGTGGATCTGAACTTGAAGTTGTGCAAAGGCTGGAAGATAAAGTGCGTGGTTTATCAGCTCAATTAGCAAATGTTCAGTTTACTTTCCGTGATCCTGTGAGAAACTTTGACCGATCAAAGGTGAAAGGTGTGGTCGCAAAACTAATAAAAGTAAAAGATAGGAACTCAATGACAGCGTTGGAGGTAAATTGGGTATCTTGTCATTACACAATGCACATTACTGAATCGTAATTTGTCTAAAGTCACTTTGCCTTTTTTCTTTCTTTAGGTTACTGCTGGTGGGAAGTTGTATAATGTTGTTGTAGACTCCGAAGATACTGGAAAACAGCTCCTTCAAAACGGTGCTCTTCGGAGAAGAGTTACAATTATTCCTCTGAACAAAATTCAGTCTTACGTTGTTCAGCCTAGAGTGCAGCAAGCAACTGCTAGATTGGTATGTGGATCTTTCGTTTGGCATTTGCAAATTTAATGACTTTGTTTTCTTCTTCTTCGCTAATTTTCTATTTTATTTATAGGTCGGAAAGGAAAATGCAGAACTGGCACTCTCTTTAGTCGGTTATAGTGAGGAGTTAAAGGTACCCACCTGAGTATAGGAACAAGAATCTGATAACATTTCTTCCAGTTATCAAGTTTTCAAGAATATCATAATATGCATCGCTGATAATTTTTCATCTTATTCACGAGCTTTAAGTGTTGAGCTTTTCGTCTGAATTATGGTCTTTTGCAGAATGCCATGGAGTTTGTTTTTGGCTCCACTTTTGTTTGCAAAACAACTGATGCAGCAAAGGAAGTAAGTCTTTCCCAAGCATTTTACATAACATGCAGCAGCTTCGGCTTTTCTCTCTTGTGAGACGATGTGTTAACTTATACTTTGACTCTATACGTGGAATACGAGTGTGCAGATATATTTTGATTGTCTCAGCTACTTTTTTAGTAGTGCCTTTGGTATATAGATTGATAAGGCTATCTCTGATCATTAAAGTGAAACACATGATATATGTCAAAGTTCCAAACACCATGTTCCCTCTTTAGGTTAATGGAATTGTATAGCCTTTCTAGATTTGGTTCTAGCAGTAGGAAAATTCTCATTTATGTTTACTCTTGATAGATAATCAATTTTTTAAAAGTTTATCACTTTGTTGGATTATAAATGCAACATCTTCCTCGATTTCTCACCCACTGTCTTTGCTACTATTTGATAGATTTATTTGATTGCTTATAAATACTTGCCTGTAGAGTTCAGTCTTATATGTATCCCTCATTGTTTCTTCTGCAGGTTGCTTTTAACCGGGACATTCGGACTCCAAGTGTCACACTTGAGGGTGATATATTCCAGCCTAGTGGTCTTCTTACTGGTGGCAGTCGCAAGTATGTCTTTCTTTCTTAGACGCTTAGATCTCTTCTGAGAGTCATCTTCTTGAATTTTACGGAATTGGCTCAGAAATGCCTCAAACTGAAGGAAAAAAGCATTTTGTTCTTGTTTATTCCTTTGCCTTAGGGGTGGAGGTGATCTCCTTAGGCAACTTCATGACATGGCAGAGGCCGAATCACAATTGCAAGGACATCAGAAAAGGTTGGCTGACATTGAAGCGCAGGTAAATCTCTTAAGTTATTCTAGGCATATTTTGGAACTTAGCAGCGTGCTAGGCATATTTTGATATTACAAAGAAACTGTATGAAGCAGTAGCTTAGGAAGCTCTCTTCAGACTCTCATGTCACAGTAGTAAAGTGCTTTCAGTATTTTTAAACTTGTTTATATTGATATCTCAGATAAAAGAGCTTCAGCCTCTGCAAAAGAAATTCACAGACGTTAAAGCACAGTTGGAGCTCAAAACGTATGACTTGTCCTTATTTCTGAAGAGGGCTGAACAGAATGAGCATCACAAGGTTTATACCTCCATATTCTATCTATATCTTGGGCTAAATTGTCAGTTTCGTATTGCTTTTTCTTGGTACTTGAGGCAAATATTTACACTTTCAATCCCGCCTACCTTTTGTAAATATAGCTTGGCGAAGCAGTTAAAAAGCTTGAGGTAGAGCTTGAAGAAGCGAGATCCCAAATCAAAGAGAAGGAACTTGCTTACAATAATTGTGTTGATGCTGTCTCCACATTAGAAAAATCCATCAAAGACCATGACAAGAACAGAGACGGACGACTCAAAGACTTGGAAAAAAATATCAAGACCATCAAAGCTCAGATGCAGGCAGCTTCCAAAGATTTAAAGGTATTCTTAGTCTTTTAGTCAGGAACTTATATGCCATTGAACTTATGGATTTTTTATAATACTGGCCCTTACAAAATTCGTTGTCACGTTCTCTATGATTCGTCATGCACATAGAGTCATGAAAATGAAAAAGAGAAGCTTGTGATGGAGGAAGAAGCAATGGTGCAAGAACAGTTGTCCTTGGAGAGCCAGTTAGCTTCGTTGAAAACCCAAATTACCACTCTGACTTCAGAAGTAGATGAGCAGCGGGCCAAGGTGATTGTCTAATTTGCTACTCTTGGTGAAATTTGTTTAAAAGGGAGAAACATATAATGTTAAGATATGATTCCCCTGCAGGTTGATGCCTTGCAGAAGATTCATGATGAGTCTCTGGCTGAGCTAAAGTTGATACATGCAAAGATGAAGGAATGCGATACACATATAAGTGGTTTTGTCACTGACCAGGAAAAATGTCTGCAGAAGCTTACTGACATGAAGCTTGAGAGAAAGAAGCTGGAAAATGAGGTATTCTTTCTACCTCGTCTTCTTGTCATGCCTGGGTTTGTGCATTTTCATGACAACTTTTTCCTACAAATTATTAGGTAGTAAGGATGGAGACAGATCACAAGGATTGTTCTGTGAAAGTAGACAAACTTGTTGAGAAGCATACATGGATTGCATCTGAAAAGCAACTTTTTGGAAAAGGAGGGACAGATTATGACTTTGAGTCTTGTGATCCGTATGTAGCTAGAGAAAAACTTGAAAAGCTCCAGTCAGATCAGTCAAGGTATATGTGTGACTGTATGAAGATTAACATTTGTTTACCTTTATGTAGCGTATATTATGTTCACAATCTGCGAGTGCAACATCAATATAACATATGCATTCTTCTTCTTTTCCTGGTTTTTTTTGCATTTCCCTCATATGAAGCTTGGAAAAAAGAGTGAACAAAAAGGTTATGGCGATGTTTGAGAAAGCAGAGGACGAGTACAATGCTCTGATATCGAAGAAAAACACAATTGAGGTTAGTTGCTGACGACTGAGAGGCTGATGTATGTTTTTCAATAGCTTGGTGTGCAGTCGCTGATGGAATATTTTCTTTACCAGAATGACAAATCCAAAATCACGAAAGTGATTGAGGAGCTCGATGAGAAGAAGAAAGAAACCCTGAAGGTTACATGGGTTAAAGTTAACCAGTGAGTCTTTGATGATCTAAAATTCATTTTTCCTTCAATTCTAAAATGAATCTTATGATATTCACCTTCGTTAAATCCATGTGTTTTAGGGACTTTGGATCAATCTTCTCGACACTACTACCCGGCACCATGGCAAAACTAGAACCTCCAGAAGGAGGTAGCTTCCTTGATGGTCTCGAGGTGCGTGTTGCCTTTGGGAAAGTGTTGAAGCAGTCTTTATCAGAACTCAGTGGAGGGCAAAGATCTCTTCTTGCGCTATCGTTGATCTTGGCATTGCTTCTCTTCAAACCGGCTCCTCTTTATATATTAGACGAGGTACATGACATCTCTGCTTTTCAGTGATCAGATTTCTCAGTTCTCAACTAATATTTAACATTCCCATGATTTTGGATTTGTCAGGTTGATGCAGCTCTTGATCTCAGTCACACACAGAACATAGGAAGAATGATAAAAGCTCATTTCCCTCACTCGCAGGTCAAAATCTCTTTCTCATAAGCCTTTTCCTCACTTACGTACTCTTATGTTGTTTTCTTAAAAATCAATTTTTTGGTCTCTAAACAATCTCTGCTTTTGAAACTCGATTCTTTGACAGTTCATCGTGGTTTCGCTGAAAGAAGGAATGTTCAACAATGCCAATGTTCTCTTCCGGACAAAGTTCGTTGATGGAGTTTCAACTGTACAAAGAACTGTAACAAAACAGACCAAGTGATCTGCTTGTACCTCAATCCAATCGTTATATCCCAAAATCTATCTATCAATATTCAGATTTTTTATGTTTTAATGTTTCATCAGTGAACATCCATTAACTTAGACTCTTATAGACTAAAAGAAAACATACTATCAATTCATGACGCTCAAAGATTAACGAGATATCACAAACTAATTTTATTCATGTTTTGATTTTAGTTTTCACCTGTTTCTTTTATTACAAGAACCAATTCGGAATCCAAACTATTACAATGCATTTTCTAATGATGATATTTATGTTCCAACCACCATAAATTCCTATGGCAACCAAAAGAAAGATACATTTTATCTACTTCGTTTTAGTTTGGTTTTCACTTAAGGAAAACTATTCAAAGTCATACATTATCACATTGGTAGGTTATACAATTTATAAGAAAAAAACTAAAATAGCTGAGAAATATTTTGAATATCGGATCAATATTAACTTGAGAAGTCCAAATACTAATGAAAAACTCGATTTTGTTCTGTTTAGTCTCCCTTAATATAATCTATTCTTTATCTCCTGGTAATAAAGTTAGTTAGAAATATATTTTTGACATGTGTACTCATTTTACACTAAATCTGAATCTGTTTTGAGTGTAAATCTGAATCCGTTTTGACTCTGATATGATATAAATCTGGAAATGAATAACTGAGTTCTCTGATTCTTCTTTCATTCATTTTCATCACTGATATCAAATTTTAAATCTGATTTTAGTGGTGTTTGATAGTAATTTTCAATTAATCTGCTGTTGATTGATTTGTGAAACAAGGATTCCGAATTACATCACATAACAAAATAAAATGCCGCTCCTATTGATCCTCCCTCGAGTTCACGTTCCAGGCCCTTATCCAGCATCTCCGGGCGAGTTCCCATTTACGACTCAGACTCCGAATCGTCAGGTGATTTTCTTTTCTGCTTCTACTAATCTTAGTTTGCGCTTCCTTAATCTTCGTTTCCGCTTCGATTTAGTTTTTTTATCTGATTTATTTCAAGGTGGATAGGCCCCTATTGGTGACTCTGCAGAAGAAATTTCATCTGTAGCCGCTACTAGTCAAAGTACGATTGGATCTGTGATTGTGTTTCTTTTCTAATTTATCTTAGGTCAATGATAATACTAAATCTACTAAAGAAACTTGAATTAGATTAGTCTAGGTTCTGTTTTTTTCTTGGTTAGAATTGAATATTGTGATTGGTCATGAAGACCAAATTAGACGATCTTTAAGTTTTCCAGCTTCCAGTAAATGCTCGCATCCTTAGGAATATTAGTGTTTAATGAAATGACTATATATAACAAAGAATGTCTGGAAGAGTCTTTAGATCCAATTGGTTCTTGAAGTCTTTGTGAGTTAGTGTTTTTTGGCTTCAACAAGTAATCGCAGATAATCTTGCTTAGATTTATGTTTTATTGTCACCTTCATTTTTAGTATTTTTGCCAGCATTTTGTTAGAAGTGTTTTGTAACTGCAATAGTATGACAAATTCGCATGCTTTTGGAAACTGGGAATGAAAATACTTATATTTTTGCTCAAAGCCTCTAAACTTGTATGTTTGTTATACTGTAGTATTGCGTTTTCATGAAACAGAACCATATGGAGAAAGACATGGCAATTATGGGGTACAAACTGATACTGAGAGGGTTGAAGTTTTACGATAACCATGGAGCGATCCCTGAAGAGAAGACCCTGGGACAGATGTTTATGCTTGACATAGATGCATTTATGTCTCTCAAAAAGGCTGGTCTATCAGAAAACTTAGCTGATTCAGTCAGCTATGTCGACATTTACAAGTTAGTTTTCCTTCTCAATTAACTGATCACTTTGGAATGGAAGATTTTTAGAAGGTTGCGATATGTGGTTATATAGTGAGTAAAAACTTTTGGCATATGTAGAATTTTTATTTGAAGCTATTTGCAAAACTGTATGATGGTTTTTTAAAATGTGGAATGGAATATGATAATTTGTTTCAGTGTGGCGAGGGAAGTTGTCAAGAAACCTTCTGGAGGCAGTAGCGGAGCTCATAGCCTCCAAAAGTTTTGAAGCATTCCCAAAGATAACAGCTATTTGTGTGAAGCTATGGAAGCCAAATGTTCCTCGTATTATGAGCGGTATCGATTACTTAGGTATCGAGATCCTCAGGATTCGCCCATCTGAATAACAAGACCTAATACAATCACGTTTGTTACTTTGTCTTTGTTCCTCGAATCCACGTTTGTTTCTTTTCGTAATTTTTATATGTATGGGGTCACTTTTGAATGGAAAGTAAATATAAGGGCTTTTTTGCAAAATGTTTTAAACATTATTCCAGATGCCGCCAACTTCAATTCTTTTGAAGAGATAGAGAAAGACAACACTTGATAATACGTTCAAAGTTGCCCAAATTTCAGGTCACATACAGTAGTCTTTTGCTTTGATCAAAGTCATGACTTTGTGAGGTTTCATCTTTATTGTTTTTTTTCTGCAATGATCAAAGGTAAATATTGTTATTAACCACAAGCTGAAAACTCTACTTCTCTCCAAACCAAAACACTTCATTCCAATTCAAATCCTCTACAAATGCCGATCTTACCTCTGCATCGAAAACCCTCGCACAATTGTCTCCATGATCCGTCGCTATCCCACAATAATCTTCGAACTGTTTACAACACCTACACCACATTTGCCTATCAATGCCACCAAGCCACTGTCTCAGCTCTGTGTCCGTATGACATCAGCTGCATCGTCCCTTGCCATCCAAGAAATTGAATCTCAAGTCTGAAATTTCTGATAAGTTAGCCACTAAGCTTCAGAAGCTGCTAATGTTGTACCGCAGGTTGCTGTTGTCGAAACTGGTACATATCGGTCCGGATTTTGGCTCCCCTCCTAATTTCAGGTCTCGGCTCTGCAACGATTATCCCGACAAGTTCAAGATTGTGGATACTTCCTACGGAAGAGCTGTAGACCTTGTCTCGTGGGATCACGAATTGGCGAAGCAAATGCCGTCTCCTGAGGTTGATAGGGGTTTGATCGTTGATCGTCCTTTGCGGTAGTATCACTAACAAACAGATGATTGTTTCTTGCCAAAGTTTGTTGTATGTTAACTATTGTGCATTGGTTATTAGGGAGTTGTAGCTGGTAAGAGTAAGATTTCCATAGGTTCCGTTTCCGTAAGATTTTTGATTCCCAATCATAAACTATACGACCATAACCAGACGTTTGTACCATCAGAGGACTTACGGTATTGATGTCGTGATTCCATCCCTCGCAAAAACGTTACCATTAACTCATCACTCATGGATGCACAAAACATATGGAGATGATAGGAATTCAAGTTTGATAAATTGCATCTTCTTCTTGTCGAAAAATAAAACAACTACACTTGAGGCAGAAACTGTCCATGTCGTGATAGAGGCCCAATTATTTGTAGCCCAAAGAGTAGCTTACTTGGAGTTGAAGCAAAAACAAGAAACGAAGAAAAAAGCCAACTTCAAGCCCTAGATCGTCTTCCTCTGTCTCTCATTTGTTTGGTTCTTTCCTTTAAAATAAAAAAAATGTAAAAAATTTCGAAGTTTCCTACTCCTATTTTACTATTTATATGATTAAAACCTAAAAGAGTAGGGAACTTTTGGGGTTTCTAAGTTTGTGAATTTGTACTAGCAGAGGTCTTCTTAAGGCGATGAGAAGAGGAAGAGGAGGAGACGATTGGGTCGCGCCGGAGATTCCCTTGGAAATCTAGAACGAGATCCTGCTTAGATTGCCTGCTAAATCGCTGATGAGATTCAAGTGCGTCTCAAAGCGCTGGTTTACTCATATCCTCTCTCGATATTTTAGCAATCGTTATCATCTTACGGTGGCATCCACACCTCGTCTATACATGAGTTTGGTGGACCACGTCCCCTGTGATTCACTGGAGGTCTGCAACAACCCCTGGGAGTCTGTGCTGCTATCATTATCATTATCATCGTCTGGTGATAGTGCTAAGTCTTTCGACTCAGACTTGATCATGCCAGGGATGGGAGGAAACAACATGTCGGTTCTTCGCGGCTTGATTTTATACAGTGTTTGCGAAAAGGCGTGTATCTATAATCCCGCCACCAGACAAAGCATAACTTTACCGCCCGTAAAATCCAATCTCTATTATTAAGAGAAATTTTTCAAGCATGTCGTCTACTATTTCGGACACGATCCTGTTCTTGATCAATACAAAGTAGTCTGCAGTGTTGTGCTATGCTCAGAGTTTTTGGAGAGTATAACCTCGGAGCAATGGGTCTTGGTACTCGAAGCCGGAGGTTCCTGGAAAAGAATTGAGTTTGATCAACCTCACTTGCCTACAAGACCAGCACTGTGCATCGATGGAGTTTTATATTATTTGGTTTCCACTTGTATGACTCGCAGTATTGCTCTCATCATTTCATAAGCATACGGGTTTTATAGAGTATGGTGGAAAACCAGCTCTGTTTGATCATACCAATCTTGTACGAATGGGTTCGGTGGACTTATGGGTCTTGCTCTTGGAAGATGGTGGAAAGTGGTCGACTAAATCTCTCGTTTTTCAGCCTTGTCAGAGGCATTTAGTTGGTAGATACATGTCATTGCATGTACATGGTACTACTCAACACGGCGAGGTTATCTTGGCCCCGTTTAAATTGGTTTCCCCTTATTACATTCTCTATTATGATGTGCAACAGAATGACTTGAGAAAGGTTGGAATCAGAGGAATACCGGACCACTGGTTTGGTAAGCGTGACAAGGTTTACACCACCTTGAGTTTTTATTTCAGTATTATGGATACCAGTGAAAGCATCATGCACTTGAAATCTTAGAAGACAATGCCATTACCTGTTTTTGTTTTTTTTTTCTCCCTTTTAATATTTTCATTATCTAAATGGTTCTGCCTATTTATTTTGTAATTCAAGTTTTACTTGTATAGAAATAAAAAATTCAGTGAACTCTTTTCTTTGTTCTCGTTTTATATTTTAAATTCATGTATTCAAGTGATCTATTTACACCTCAGTTGAATTAGATCCAGTATGTATCCATCACTATGCAGATTTCGCAACCTCATTCGGATTTTAATAGCAAAATGTTTTAGTAGTGAGAGTATGAGTATCCATTGTCTATCTGTTCTTTAAGGTGGAAGACTTACCTTAAGCTTTAGGTTTGTCATCTTGCAGTTTTCTCTTTTTGCTGTGAGTTTGTGACTGTGAAGAGATTATGTTAGTGCGACCACTTATGATGATCTAGTGGGATTCAAAACCGGTTATGTTTTGTTTGTTTACATCAAGGGTTTTTGCTACAAATGTTTTTTTTTTCTTTATTTTTCTTAATTGAAAATGTTTATATTTAGTTGAAAAGGAATATTGGTTTGGTTAATTTGTATTGGTTAAACTCTTGGTTTCGGTTGGTTAACAAGGAACCGGAGACTACAAGTATTTTTATTTGTTCTTAGATTACAACTATATCACATCATGACGCTCAAAGGCCAACGAGTAATCATAAACAAATTTTAAATCATGGTATGATTTTTTGTCAAATTTTCAGAATTCAAACTATTACAATGCATTTTCTAATGCTGAAGTTTATGTTCCAACCACCACAAATGCCCATATAGCAACTAACAGAAAGTTACATTTTATCTAATTTGTTATAGTTTATTCTTTTTCTAAGAAAATTATTCAACTTGTATAGCATGAGTCATCACATTATCACATTGGTAGGAGAAAAAATGTACGTATAAAGAAATTAAAATAGCAGAGAAGCATTTGAGGGTATCGATTATACACTTGGGAGGTCAAAATGTATATGAAATAATGAATAAATTAAAGTGGCAGTAAGCGGCAGTTGACATTTAATTCTAGTTAACAAACTAACAAAGCAACGACTAATACTAATAGGACTGCAAATACCCAATGGTTAGGAAAATAATAAATCACATGGAAAAAGATTTGTGAAATCTTTTGGCGGTGCACTAGAAAAGCAGGAACATGACTGTCTTCTGTTGTAAAATATTTTGTTGTGTTGATTATTACATGAACACCGTAGCTTTTAGTTTAATCTATTCAAATTATAGTAATTTTTATACATTGAAGATAGTAGAGTATTAATTTAATTGTCAACGCTTAATACATATGTAATTTGGTTAGTAAGCCAACAGACGATTGCATGCAGTGAGTCGCCTTCGATTTGACTTCCATTCTCGTAGAACTATTTAATATAAATCAAATCATTGACAAGTAATCGTATGTCAAACCGCCCTTGATAACATATATTATTATACTGTATTACTGAACTAACACTTCTTTTTTTAAGAAAAGCCTCTTCGAATGTGGATGTGATTCTAATAATATATTATTCATAATATAAAATTAAAAATCTATTTCTGCTGATCTTATTATATAAAGCTGGATGCGCGCGATGTGGTTGCGACACGTAGGATTTTTATAAAATTTAGGATTGCGACATGTGTCACTTTTAATGTTATGTCCGTTAAGATCGTGACATGTGTCTTAGAAAAAAAGGAAAAAAATAATAATTAAAAAAAATAGATAAAGGAAAAAAAACGAAATTTTAATCTTTTATAGTTAAAAGAAAAAAAAATTATATTTGTCATATCCTAATAGAAAAAGGTTTCCCATTCATCAAATTTATATTATCCAAACACATATAAGATTCAAATTAATGAAATAAATAAAATCCTATTAGTACATGAAATAGGTTAGGTAAACTAAATTTCCTATAACTGCATGGAATAAGTTACATGAACCCCTATAAAAAGAGAGTTAAAGTAGTCTTTTTTTCTCATTTACAAACTCATCAAAGCAAACAACATGATAGCAATACGCATGATTTTTATAACTCACAAAATTGCGATATGTGTTTATATTCCCATTATGAACAGGAAAAAAAACAATATATAATAAGCTATTGCGATTCAATTATGTGCTTCTATCTTTTGTATAATCTTTTCTCTCATAAAAAATCATGTATTTAAAATTCATGGTATCAATGAATAATATTTAACTCTATATTAGTTGGATAGAAATCAAAATTATTGTCGATACATGTATCTAACTCTATATCGGTTGGATAGAAATCAAAATTATTGTCGTTACATGTATTTGATCCGGTGAAGACATGTTAATTGGAAAAATGTTAAACAGATATAAAAACTAGAAAAATAATTAAAAAAAAACTAACTAATAATGAAAATGAAAATTTATAATGGTCTGAGTCAAAAACAAAATTGAGAAAGAAACAATATAAATAGAAAACTAACAAATTAATTATCAAGCAACTAACTTTTTTTTTTGACATCATCAAGCAACTAACTAATATTAAGAAAATATAATGAACCGATATTCTAATTTTAAATAGTTTAATTTTCAATATTGTTAGGTAAAAAATTATTAAATAAAGATTTCATCAATTGAAATCTCTTGAATGGAATAATAAAGTTTTGTTGAATTAATTAATCAGTTGATCATATTTAGACATATATAAGTCTTTCTATATTGGATAAAAATAAAAATAAAACAAATTAATTCATTTTTCATATCATGAATTCAAAAAAATATCAATTACAATAAAAACGTAAAAAGGTTACCGATCTTATTTTATTTAAATATTTTTATCGGGTTTTTAATATTATTCTGTTTACTTTAAAATGATCAAATTTGGTTTAATACTTTTCCATGATTTTATTACAAAATCTTAAAATAAACCCGCGTATACGCGGGTCTTAATCTAGTTCTTAATAATTTAGCATATCATATCTTTGATTGTTAATAATAATAAAAGCATTTCTTCGTCAAAACAATTTGGGAAAGCAAAACTTTGTATAAGAAAATATAAAACATAAACAAGTCACTGTGATTCGTAGTAGATGATTGATGATTCGTTTTGTAAGTGTAGGTTAAGTTCAGATTGAATCAGAATAGATTTTTTGAGAAGATTTGTAATTCAATCTTGGAGTATATGATATTTTCAGTTGTGGGAAAACAAAAGAGTACATACAGCATGATATATATGATATCCTTTGTGAAAGAATTGAAGTATAGTTGTTAAAAAAAATATGTGGTATATTTTTTGTGAAACTTGTGACACTATAAAGGTGAAGAAGTTCCAATTGGAACAATTAGTTGTCATTTATTACGAAAAATAACGCTAGACCATTACTCCAACTAAACGTTAGATGAGTAAAGATCATTAAACAAGTTGACAAGTAATTAGCTTGCAAAATTTCCAATGGAATCAAGTTGCAAAATAAAAATGTAAGAACAACCATATTTTGGAATCACTCAAAACACTAATGAGGAAATTTATTGAGGAGAGAAGATATCATCTTGAGGTTTGAGAGATTAGGATTTGGGTCGGCTAAGAAAATCCCAGAAGACATGGAAACTCTCGTGCTTCGATACCTCCATACTCCATAGTCCTAATTCCTTACTACATTTTAAAATTTTAAAACATTAATTTATCATCATACTCAATGTAAAGGTCATATTCTATACATATAATAATTGATGTCATAAGGAAATTGTAAATGAAAGAAATAAAACAAAAAGTCACGCTCGTTGACCTTTTCGTGGCCTATATAAACATCTCATAGACTCAACACTCAACAGAGAGAACCACATTCAGATTTTAGAGAGAGACAAGAAGCAGAAGAAGAAGAAAGAGATGAGGAGTGAGATGGCACGTCTCAGGTGTGGGAAGACGATTCCACTGCTTGGAATGGGAACTTATTGTCCTCAAAAAGATCGAGAGAGCACCATCGCAGCCGTTCACCAAGCAATCAAGGTTCATTGATCCATCTTCTTAATTCTGTCATGTATTTTCACTTTTTTTTTTATTATAACAAATGTTTATCAAATGATCTCATAATATAATGTGTATTTTATGTTTAGAAATAATCAGTATTTATTATTTTGTCGTCAGAAAAACATTAAATTAGTATTGTTATTAGCTATTAATTCGAATACCAATAAGGAATATGAATGTGAAAAATCGATCTTGCAAATTCCGACATCTCATAAGCTTACTTCTTGGAATGGAGGCAGATAGGGTATAGACATTTTGACACAGCAAAAATATATGGATCAGAAGACGCTCTAGGAACTGCATTGGGACAAGCTATCTCCTATGGAACTGTCCGAAGAGAAGATATCTTTGTCACTTCAAAGTTATGGTCTAGTGATCACCATGACCCTATGTCTGCCCTCAAACAAACTCTCAAGTAAGTTTCTCTCTACTAACACAAACACTCACCTGCAATACGAAGATCGACCGAGAGCTCAATCTCATGATCATTTTTTTTTTGTACTTATAGGACAATGGGGCTTGAGTATCTAGATAGTTACTTGGTGCATTGGCCAATAAAGCTAAAGCCAGGAGTGAATGAGCCTATACCAAAAGAAGAAGAGTTTGAGAGATATTTAGGGATTGAAGAAACTTGGCAAGGCATGGAGAGATGCTTGGAGATGGGTTTGTGTGAATCAGTTGGCGTTAGCAACTTCTCTTCTAAGAAGATTTTCGATCTCCTCGATTTCGCTTCTGTCTCTCCTTCCGTTAACCAGGTTTGGATTCAATATTAGTACCAATCTTAACTTCTTGTTTCTTTTCCGGGAGATTCAAGAAACCAATATTTGGTGATGTATACGTATAGGTGGAGATGCATCCATTGTGGAGACAAAGCAAGCTACGGAAAGTGTGTGAAGAGAACAATATCCATGTAAGTGGATATTCACCACTTGGTGGGCCAGGGAACTGTTGGGGATCAACGGCCGTGATTGAACACCCTGTCATCAAATCCATTGCTCTCAAGCATAATGCCACTCCAGCTCAGGTAACACATAAATATACGTATAAATTACTTTGGGATATTTTTTGGCATGTTCTTGAAAATCAAACATGCATGTGTAACCACAAATGAATGTTAAAAACAATTTATTATAACTAATGATTTATATTTATAAATGAAGGTGGCTCTAAGGTGGGGAATGTCTAAAGGGGCAAGTGTGATAGTGAAGAGTTTTAACGGAGCAAGAATGAGAGAGAACAAGAGAGCCTTAGAGATAAAATTGGATGATCAAGACTTGTCACTCATTGACCAATTGGAAGAGTGGAAGATCATGAGAGGAGATTTCCTTGTTAATCAAACCACAAGCCCATACAAATCCATCCAACAACTTTGGGATGGTGAGATTTAATGGATTAGCGATAGGTTTTTAGATTATTCCACCCAAAATGTAATTTCAGCTTCTCATCTCTGTTTGCGTATGATCATCATTCTCTAAATTGGTATATAAAGTCATTACAACATGAAAGAACACCCTCTTGCTTAACTTGATTTAATCATTTATCTCATGGAACTACAACGATTTCTGATTTCGATTCCTCTTCAAAAACTAAGAAATGTAGATATAACATTCATAAGCCTTATTCTTAAGCGTTTTAGCCGCTAAAGGTTTGGACAATAGTGTTGTGCCATGGATCAGACAAGTGCTGCAACAAGTTCTCAAATGGTCCTTTTCCAGTCACATTGTGCTGAACCACAAACCCTAAAAACGCCAGCATCGCCAACCTCCCTGCAAAAATCAAAATCAATACAATTCAATTAGATTTCTTGCGTAAGAAGTTACATGATTTGTAATGTAACGTATCATTAACTAATCTTAATTACCGTTGGCGATCTCTTTCTCCTTAGACTCAAGCGTGGGAGCGAAGTTAAGTGGGTTAAAGATTCCGCCAGGGTAACCAACTTCATTAGGGGGTAAGCTGTATTGCTTGAAGATTGGATCTTGATTCACACTTCCGGGGTTCTTGATGTCTTGCCACCTTCTGATCTCAACGTAGTGGAAAAGTATGAATTCGATGACGAACAACGTCGACGATGATGCAAAGTATTGCTCTTTTCCGGCGTCATACCATTCCGGAGCGTTTATGATTCCTGTCACATTGGACACGTTGCTATAAGTCTCTTTCTTTGAATTGAAATGTTGGGAAATTTTTGTGGGATTTTTTGCTTCTTACCTATCTTGGTGAAGACTTCCGGCAAAAGCATTCCGGCAACACCGAGCATGGCCCACCGGCCATTGACTAGCTCTGCTTGAACGAACCATTTCAAGTTCTCAGGGTCCTCTGCTAGAGCCAGAGGATCAAAGCCATTGTCACCAGCAAGACTGTTTCAAAACAAAACCATACAACTTCTAATCAGCTAAACCGGTACCGGTTCAACTATGTCTAATTTCCTACCAAACCAAAATTAGTTTATGCATTCAAGATTACCTGCCGGTGAGGTAACCAGGAGATGCTAAACCGGGCAACCATTCTCCTTTCTTGGCTTCGATTTTGAACGACGGCGAATTGGTGGATGAACCGATCGTTGCAACCGATAAACTCCGGTTCAATCGACTTGAAGAACCGGTAAGGAACTTCGTCCTCAGTGCACATGGTCGGAAAACCGCGGCAGGGGCTTGCGTTGTGACCGTTGCCATTATCTACTCGACTTAAGCCCGACCCGACCCGGCTTAACAGTCCAGTTCTTGAGAGAGGAGGACACGCTCGAAAGATGAGTAAAGACACTAATAGAGTAGAGTAGAGAGATCGAGTGCAGATTTTGTATCTGTTTACTTTGGCTGTGAGAGAGAGATGAGTTTGTGGCTGTGGTTTGGAGATCTACCGTCTACCGTACGATTAAGTGACGAGGCATATTGGACGGTTACGATGGTTTCGACGGATCCGGTGACGCCGACGTGGAATTTCTGAGGCTTATCGGTTTAATCTTGCTGGCGTATCAAAAAGGATGATGGTTCCTTTTTCTTTTCAACGATATTGGTCAGAAATAGATCCTGTAGGTCCCGCTGCTAATTGCCACGTGTACATAACGGCTATTTAGTGTAACTTTCAAAATGGGCCAAAAGGATGTGGGTGGGCCTGGGCAAAAATCGTCTTACGTCGAAGCTGAAATGATATTTTTCTCTCCTCTTTTTCAGCAATATATATATCATCACATGATCTCAGAGATTTTCATTGTGTTAAATCTGCTTTTTTTGTTGTTGTATTCTGAGAGACAAGAGCAGTGACAAAGATCGAGATCGAGATCATGGCGGGTGTAGTCTTAGGATTTGTGAAGAAATACGGTTTTGAGAGCTTGTTAGTGGGAGTGCCGGTTTTTGGTTACGTACAGTTGATGAGATTGGAGAAGAAAGTCAAGGAGAAGGAGGAGATCATGAGGATCATGTTTGAGGATCTCAAGGCGCAAGGACGGGTCATAGTCATAGATGATGAAATGATGAGGTGATTTTGATAGTTTTTATTTTATTTTATTTTAATTAGTTACTCTTTAGTAGACTGTGATTAGTAAGCTGAGTGAGTATATAAAGTCTTTAATGCTTTTTTTTTTGGAATCTATGACTATTGATTAGATAGCTTCTTCCTCGTTTCTATGTTTTGAAAGTAGGAATTTTGATTCTTAAAATGTTTGCTTCTTTGCAGATCTGTTGCGTCTCAGGTCAATAACTGATGGTATCCTCCGCTGCGGTCAAGAAGGTCAAGACTCTAGATAAAACAAATCTACAAGTTTAAATAAGCAACTGAATATGTATCATCTGTTGCAATGAATGTTCATTATCCTGGTTCAAGTGATTATAACATTATTAATAGACTTTTTTGGCCGCTTAAAGTGATTTTCTCCATTGCTTCCTCTTCATTAGTTCTAAATTCATGGCTTTTAATCCTTTTTATCTTAAACTCGTGACAATAGGTGCATATAAATTTTTATTTTGTTTTAAAATGTGAAAATGGGTAAGAAATATTATCTAATTTTTATTAGTAGACAAATTAAAAAAAAAAAAAAAAAAAAAAAAAAAATTAGATTTTGTTACGCGTTGAAGAATATGATTGAAATTAAAAAAAAAAAGTAGATTTTATAAAGTTTCACGATTACACACACGGTCATGGTCTTTTACTCTTTAGAGTAAATCTTCTTATCACACAAATGTGACAAGTGTCTTATGCCAGTAGAGAGAGAGATAGAGAGCGACAAAAACGGTTTTGAAGATCTATCTTGGGATTGCAAAGATGCCTTGTACGGCATTGACCTGGCATTGCTGGCAACGGCTGCATTAGAGGAACGTTCGTGGAAGACGGAGAGTCTCTCTTTTAATTTCTTCGTTTTGGGCCAGAGTCTTTACTTTGTTTCGTTGGGCTGATACTTGGGCTACGAGTGAGTGACCAGAATTAGTGTATATGATTTTTTAAGTTGGAAGCTTAAACAAATGTTTCCAAAGAAGCAGAATCTGTGAATCACAATAAGCTTTTCCATATCAAGATTCATATGCCTCTGCGAGTTTTTAGCTACGTGAATCGTGATCATAGATCAAGATTTTCAGCTTAATCGATTTCTTTAAGCATACTTGGAGGCAATTGTTAGAGAAAGATATGCCAATGAAACGATTAGTTTTCTTGATAATACTACATGACCGGACTGTCTTAGATTCATAACCAAAAAAACCCTGATTCTTTAGAATTTTCATTTTTATTTGTCTTTTTCTTTCGAGGTTTTTATTTTTTATTTCCACAGCTCAATGGGAATGTAAAAGTGGCTTTAGTTTCTATGCACTTTTATTCTTCCTCAAAAACAAAATAAACAAAAGGATGAAATGGTCTCTCTTTTGCTCTCCTTTTCTCAATAGCTTTTCATATCAACAACACACTTCATGTATGCCTTTATCTTTGGGGAAAACTTTACAATATCAATCAACAGTCCATGACTTTGCTTTGTACCTAAAAATTCATTTGTAATAGTTGTAGAGCATTTTACGTAGAGAGGCTGTTATATCATTAGTAATCATATGGTGGATCCGTGGATGGTTAGGTTCCAAAAACCGATACTGATTAGTGAGTACTAATCATTTACAAAAGATAATACTGTTTACCATATATAGCGTGTTACATTTGAGCATGAATAATGCTAATTTTTCAATATCATGCCAAATCTTTATAACTTATAAGGAAAAACTTAATTTATGGCCAAATTAAAAGTCAAAAAGACAAACAAATTGTCTCTTTTCTCGTTTTTGATTTACATGGCGGAGTGTCCGGTCAGTCTTAAAAGGGAAATGGATGGGTTACTTTACACGAGGCATACTCGTAGGAGAAGCCATTCGTGTGGAAGTCTACTCATCTAAAGTTTCCCTTTTAATTCACTTTCTAAGTGGACTTATCTTTTTAGAATCACTATTCTTCTTCCAGTTTCATATAGCTTTTTCTATAGTAAAAAAAACTTGTAATCAAACTTTATTTTCTTTTCATGACGTGGATTCTGTCAATTCCACTCGAAATATTATCAATCTGAATAACCAAGAAAAATGGTGTAGTGAGAAAAACATTCACTATTTTCTCTTATAAACCGCAAACATCATTTTAACCCAATTGAACGAAACAACGATCATTTTTACCGTTTACAACATAACTGCCAACTATAACTTATATATATACCACATCTATGGACTTTTAGAGAAAGAACAAACTGCTTTGCCACAAAGTGAAAGTATGAATGGGCAAAACAAAGGAAAAGATAATATGCCTAAATTTTATAAATGGATAAAAGCAACTTGTCATGCCCTTTGCTTTCAGTGCCAAATATTACTGTGTCCCACATTTATTTAGTATTAAAAGGAAATAAAAAAATGGTATAGGATATCACATTTGTGGCTAATATTAGTTGAGCTGTCCAAAATATCTTAGTTGCTATCAGATACACAGACCAAAGTTCAGAAGAAAATAAATAAATTTGGAAAAGCAACGTGACCCATCTTTTTTAGCGTCAAAAAGCAAAAAAAAAATAGATACAAATGATAGGATTTTTTTTTTTTTTTTGACAGAATTCAGCCTGTCTCCACGAGTGAAGAGGACCGTCTGTTTTTCTTCGTATAAATCTCATTACCTCATATTAGGCCGGTTTTGAGAAGAAAAAAAAGTATTAGGTAAATAACATTGTTTTATGTGGTTGGTCAACAAATTATCCAAGAATTACATTTCTAAATCCCTCTTGGAGATCCATTGTCCAATAAGACTATATATGTACTTTACGCAAAAGTATATAAACATTACACATGACAATGATTTCAAATACGACACTCCTTTGGATTTCGATGTTTATTGCAAACAGAGTCACGAAAAGTAAACTTATAGCTTTTGATCATAAACCCTTGTATTCATCGTAGTTTCTTGTTTTGTTTTTGACTTTTTTTGTTTAGCTTGTATCCATATTCAACAAAACAATTCATTGCATTGTATTAGTGCTAAGCTTGTGCTTTTATAGTCGTGCCCATCCATCCACACCACACCAGTCCACATGCAAATTATTAGTTATCGCGCAAAAGAGAAAGTTCAAGAATACTTGTATGCATTATCTTATCTTACTTTACTTATCCACTCATATGTTTCGTAACAGTTCTTCACATTTTTACTGTTACCAATATCCTATCAAATTGAATGCCAATAACGGTCAAACCGAACTTTTCTTCACGGTTATTTATCCTTACAACAAAAACCAAACTTAAATTAGACTACAAATTAAGTAAAGGGAACAAAGACTATTAAAGCCAATAATAACAAGGAACAAAAAAAGCATGTAGGTTTATAATTACACTACATGTATACAATCATATTCGTTCATGGAAATTAATCGATCTTGATAACGCAGCTGGGTTTGCGCAAAGAACAAGAGAAGTCTCCGTTTCTTCTTTGCTAATCTTAACCTCTTTCTTCGAATTAAACCCTTTGAACATAACGTCGTTCTTGATCCCTAGTGTTGTCCATATAGAACTCTTTGCAGCTTCATTTGGATCATCAATTCTCAAAGTCTTAGGAACCAACACAGATCCATATCTCTGTTTCCCCTGCGTCGTTTCCTTTTCGTCTCTCGAATGCTTTCCAAGAGTAGAATTAGGCGAAGAAGACAACACTGGAATGTTCCAATAAGGGTAAACCGGGTACAAACCAGGATTCCACGTGTACGGCCACGGAACTCCCGGGAAGCAATCCAAACCGTTCATTTTGTTGTTACGTATTCTTGATTCATCAATCGAGTGGTGGTCATTATTCTCTGTCCTAGCTGCCACTAGCTTCGGATTCCCGAACATATTATTCTTCGGGACCTTTTGATCATCTCCGAGGCTGAAACTAAGGACCGGACCGTTTGTTTCGGAGATGGTGACGTGGGGGTAGTGAGAAGAAGATGTGTTGTTGTTCTTGTTCTTGCGTCGTCCGGCTCCGACTGGGACACTTCTCATGGTCCCACCAGAGGTCCAATATCTCTGACAAGCTTTGCAGAAATGGCGAGGTTGGTTTACGTTGTAATTGTTGTAGTAACAGAATTTTGTTTCCATACTCTTGCATCTTGGACATGGAAGAATCTTGGTTGGTTTCGTTAGGGTTTTGTCTTTCTCCGAATTATCTGTTAACGTCTCGTTTTGGTTCTGAGGCAAGAGACTAAACGTATTTCAGAGAGAAATTTCATTAAAAGTTTTTTTAGCATATATTAAAATTATTTTAAGAGAAATGAATTAAAAATTGTACTTATATTACTGTACTAGATTACTAGTACTTGAAGAAGAAGGTTCTAGAAAAAAAAAATGGGTGGAGAAAAGTCTTTTGGGAACACGCTTTACCCGAAACCTAAATTCTCTCTCGCTTTATTGATTTGATTAAAAGAAAAAAATATATATTTTTTACTAAAATAGTAGTATTATTTTGTGGAGAATTTGCTTTTTCGTTTTTTGAAAAGCCATCAAACAAACTCAAGTTCACCAGGCCAGAACAGAGACGTCAGAGAATAGCAATATAGCATGGTGTTTTAAAAGTAGCATTGTCTTAAGAATTCTCTAAAAAGTACAAGATTTTACCGATTCTTCGAATTATGATTGTAAATGGAGAAAAAAAATGTAACGAAGGATAGCACCTTCAACTTTGCCTATAGTGGAAAAAATTAGAACAAAAAACTTAGAAAACCAATTTTCAGTTTACCTTTACAATCAAATGATTAACAAATAGTTTCCAAAAAACACAAAAGTAATGTTCTTGCGATTCTAACAAAGCAGAAAGAAACAGTACCTTCTCTGCCGTTAAGTCATCTGCGTCTTCCGAAGTCTCCAAAACTGTCGAGAGAGGAATTTTCATCCCAAAGAGCTTAATCGCTGGATCTTTACTTTCCATACTTTACTTCGTTCTTCTTCTTGCTTTTATTTTCTCGGTAAGCCAAAAATTCTCTGACTCTCTCTCTTTTCTTGCTCTTTTCAAGTTTCGGTTCGTTTTTGTGGCTCTTCGAAGGATTTTTTTTTTTCTTTGGAGTTGGGTAGATTATGATTTGTTTTGGTTTGGAAAATCATGAGATTTGGGATTTTGATACGTTTTAAAAAGTGAAGTGGATGACATGTCAGCATTTTCATTTGATTTTCAGCCACAAGTTTATGTGGCCTCTGATATTTTACTTTTCTCCCAAACCCCATTAAACTGATGTTCTCTCGCCTCGGATCGGGTTTTGGTGTCCATGTAAATTTATTCCCATATTAAGAAGAATTATGCTTTTGTTTCACTTCAACCTTTATTTGTTAAAGAACTATCACTAAACTTTCCATTGAGCAAACAAAGCACACAACTCAATCAAAGTACCATAGATCTCTTATTAGAGGAAGAAGCCTAAACTGCCTAAGACCTCATATTTGTGACACAGCGACGGGAATGGGAGTTATTTGCCAAGCCCAAAATCTTATTAGTTGATCGAAAAAGAAGACAAAGCACAAAGCCCAAAAGTACTACTATATACATGAAACACATGCTTTGGTTTTGTATCTATTTGGAGACTTGTAATACTTAATATGATATCAGAATTAAAACGTATCGTAGTCCAAACATAAGCGGATCATCAATTCCTACATGGTTAAATTAGTTGGACTATGATTGTTTATACAACCAATACATGTAAATAAAAGAAAATCAAGACATGTAACATTTGTCTTTCGAAATTTGACATTTTAAAAAATATTCTCAACGGTGATCTATCTATTTGTTTGAATTCAACACAAATAAAACGAAGAACAATAATGTAAATTGGTTATAAAAACTTTAGGGTAGGTAAATGTCAGCATCGCGGGGATGGCTTTGGTGCAGCTCATCACGCGAGAGCTGTCTTCTTAGTTTTTACGTGTGAAGCTTTAATTGGTTAGGAGAAGTATGATCCTTCGTTTGAAAACGATCTACACTTGAATTTGGAGAACTTTATATACTTGATTATACCTCTCTTTTCTGAGCTGGTAGATTCTAATTTTTTTCGAATATTATATGAATGGGCTGGTGAATCTTTATATTTGGAGACTTGTTTTTATATCATCCAATTTTTTTTTTTATCAACAACCTTCTTACTATTCATTTTTATATGTTTTATAACTATCATGCCTCTAATGTCCAAATCCATTTTTTGGGGGACTGTTCATTATGTTTAGTCAGATTTAGTTATCGTAAAAACGATTAAAAATTTAGACTAAAGGTTTAACGACCCATTATAAAGGTTTTTGTTAGGTTTTCAAAAATGAAAAGAAGAAAGTAGAAAATTTATGAGTCATACGATGTACTACGCAATCTAAGAACTGATAAAGGTGAATAGGTGACTGCCGAAAAATGTCAATAAGGTGAGATGTCGCTCTCTCATTGGTTAATACTGAAAATTGAAAAGGTACTTTGAGGTCTCTGCCACACACTGTACAATTTACCAACGAGGTATCTGCCTTTTTCCACGTCGGATCATAGAATTTACAAACTAGCGACGTCGTTTGCCAGCAAAACCAAGGTCAACGTAACGTCGTTTACCAAAAAAGTCCAAAGCAAGACGACCTCGTTTGCCAGAAAAAAAAACTCAAAGCCAAGACGACGTTGTTTACCAGAAAAGCATGAAGTTAGGACGACGTCGTTAGCAAAGCCTAAAACTAAAACGGCGTCATTCTGCAAGAAAAGCCTAAAATGAACACAACTGTGAAGGTGTTTACTCTAGATTTCGATTTGGATTTGGATTTGGATTTTTGGTTTTCGAACATATTATAAACATCATTAATCTAGTTTAGATCAGGTTCGGTTTCCGATCAGTTTGAGTTTCTTCTTAGGTCGGCTAAACGGTTTGTGTCGTAAGATTACGAATGTAGAAGATGGACTAATGAATTCTTCCAAGATTTTTGAAACATTTACTGAAGCTTTTTTTGCATCCTCGGAAGTTGTAACCATAAATAAGCTTTTTCTTCAGCAATAGGTAATATAAACTGACAAAATAACAATAGCATTCAACAAGATCGTGATTTTTTTAGTTCTCAGCAACAGAACTTAACATAAAAGCTCCAAAATTTCATTCATAACAAGGCAACAAAGAGGTCATAATCAGTTTCTGAAGCCTCTGCCACGACCACCACGACCACCTCTCCTTCCTCCACCACGGCCTCGTCCCCCACCACCGTGATGTCCATTGCCACTAGCTCCTGGAGTCTTCATGTTTTCAGGCAACGGGAGGATGTAATCAACACACTTCCTGAAGCTGAAATCGTCCGCAGAGTCGTCTTCCCTAACCAGAAAGAAGCATCTGCTTTTCCACATCGGATGGATCCTGACTTGGAAGGTTTTGATCCCTCCTCCAATCTTCTTCTCAGGCTCAGAATAGCCCTTCTTGATCAGATCTAGCAGCACCATGTACTCGTACTGAAATGCACAAAATTCAGTACAACCAATTAGTTAGAAACTTGAATGAAACTGCAAAATATGTCATTCACTTCTAGCCATATGCATTGGAAAGTATTCACAAGAAAGAGAAACAGAGCTCAATTGCAATACAAAATGAGAAAGTTTATCATCGTCCTAAACACATAGCATAATCCAACATCCACAACATATAATATGAGACAAAAGGAAGTTTATAAACACAAGCTCAATCGAAAACAGATCATAAAAGAGCTCACAACAAAGATGCCAAGTAACCCAATTCCCAAATTGTTCGATTACAAAGCACAACTTTGATCATATTCCTTACTAAATTCTCTTCCTAAACAAATTTCATAACCCAATTTCCACAATCAGAGCTTATTGCTCCTTTTAAAGCAATTATAACTCGAGCAAATATACAAAAAAAAATTGAAACTTTACAATTAAAAAAACCAAAAGACAAGAAGGAGAGGAAGAGTGAGTGATAATAGGTCATACCTTGTTGACATCGAGTTCAGTTGGCCAAAAGTGCATAAACTTCATAAAGTAATCAAACATGGCCACAGAGGTAACGAACTCCTTAGGACCCAGCTTGACCGGACCCGACCCGTTTGACTTCTCTTCCTCATCTACCTTCTGCTTCTTCGATTCACCTCCGTTGCTTTCATCCTCCGTCTCCTCTCTCTCGCGTTTCTCGGCTGTCTCATCGCCGGTCTCCGCCTTCGGAGCCACGGCTTCGACCTCCATCTCCACTTTCGGGTCTGTGTTCATTTCGGCCGACACGGAATCGACGATCTCCTGCTGTTCCGCCATAGTTGAGATTGAAAAGCTTTCGCCTTTGCCCCTTTCTCCTCTTTCTACGATTTCTAGGGTTTAAGCTTTAGGGTGGTGAGTGACTTCTACAGCGAAACGGCTAAGCGGCATCTTTATAGATGGATGATTTTGGTTTCCAATTGAACCAAACCGGTTCGGTTCAATTTCTTTATTGTTTATTTATTTTTCACTGCCAAGTATTTTTTCCCTTTTCCATTTTTAATTTTAAACGCGGAAAGTTGTCCGCAAATTATATTTACTGATTTCGAAAACTGGAAGTATGTATGTCAGTTTACTAATTTTCTTTCATCGTGTACGGCTTTGATACTCTAATCTCCGCATTCAAAATTTCTTAAAAGGATATGAAGGTAGGGGAATGTTAGATCAGTCCTGCTTTGTGTGATCATCTTTTGTTTTGTATTGTTAAAGTCTAATCTGTGTTAATCATTATAACTTACAGATGTATTGTTAATCATTGATCTAATAACACGTCAAAGAAAGCATGGATCAATGTTAGTATTACTTTCTTCTTCTCTAAAAACACTGTTCAGGGTTGAATTAAATCAAAAAGAAGATGTGACATTAATTACATTTGGACACTATCGCCATAAAGATATCTCATCCGTTAAAGACAATAAAACTGTTTCAATGACTGGATTTAACCATTTATTCTCTATGCAACATCATTATAAAAACAAATAATTTATAGTTTTATACATAAAAAGAAGAAGAGAGATCTCAAAAAATATATTTCACATATCATAAATAAGTATAACATAAGCAAATTTTAAGCACATTTTAAACAAAATTGAAGCAAATATATGTGAATTATAAGTAAAATGTAATAAATATGACAAAATATCATTATGACTTTCTAATTTAAAAAAATGATCATTGAATTTCTTTTGAGAATAGTTGTTTAAGTATTGTTCAAACAATCGAAGCCGCTGAACTACACTACCGTCATTTTTATGACGATGGTATTCTTCGACGAACAACAGTGTAAATGAAAATGTTGTTTTATTATTGCTGAAGACATGATTCTCTGGACAGCTGGTTGCTGAACCAAACGAGAATGATGACATTTGTTCCAACTACAGCTTCACTGAGCCCAGTCTCTCTGGGAATGCTGGTCTGGCGGTTGCTCTCATTGCGCTGACTGGGGACATTAAGGGGTTTGATAAGAACAACATGTTCTACGTCTAATATTTAATTACTATCATAAAATTGTTTGTAATAATCATAGCAGAGCAGGATTTGAGTATGAATCACAAAACAAAACCTTTCATCACAAATCTATATAATATTTTCGATCTTCGAATATTATTGTATTTTCACCTATTGGTCCTTGTAAATTCAAATATATATATTTGGTGGTTACAATATTTTAAAGAGAACGTTTTGGAGTGTTCTTGAACGTCCTTATTTTAGCTAAAGAGGAAAATGTCCTTATTCCTTTTGCCGGTCGAACTCATCGGAGACTTGGAACGTCCTTATTCGTTTTTGGTCAATAGCAATTTTTGCCAAAGAGGAAATTGTCAAAGTCAAATTACATCTCTTGAAATTAATGTAACTTCTTAATTTTTCAAAATTTGGACAATATATTTGCTTCGCGTAAAAAAAAGTTTCTCGAAGTATAAAGAAACGAGTCAATCTTGCCATATCAACACCTCAATCTTGGAATACAAAATATTTTTCTATATTATCTAAAATAAAATCTAATAATAACAATGATTTGTACAAAATAAATAAAAAAGGAAAAAATTTGAAATTCTGATAACACCACGTAACAAATTCCGTCACCGTTTGGTTTAAAAGTGGGTGAGAGAGAGAGATTCGAAAGTCTTCTCAACATGTCTTTTAAGTTTTAACGGACGTCACCGTGTCAAAGCGTCAACCTCCATAGCTCCGGCTTGTGTATTTATATAAGTACAGATACATTTCTGTATACACGCGCTTCGAGATTTTTTTATTTACTTATCTGAAATTTTCAGACCGAACAACATCAAACAAGAAAACACATTTGTCCAAGTTTCGTTTGAGAGCTGTCCCTTCAAGAAATCGAATTTAGAGCTTCTTTTCCCCTTTCTACGGATTCACAATATTTCTACAGGTAATGATAACTGAAAATCGTCCTCTATCCCTTTCCATGGTCGTCTGTTTCTCCGATTGGGTGTTTTGATATATGTAAATTTAGGGTTTCATTCCTCAATTGTGATCGAATTGTATCTCTCTCTTTAATCATGTTTGAATTTGGATTCTAGAATTTGGGGCTTTTTAAAGATTCTGAGACAGAGGCTTGTTTAACTCGGATCTTAATTTAATCGTTCCCATTAAGAGTTTTTCCCAGAATTTGATTGTCTATGCTAAATTATGATGTTCGGTTTTCGTTGAAAATGGGAACATTTGTCATTTGGGAGCTTTCTCTGTTTTTTTACAGGTCAACGTGTTTTTTCCGCTTTGATGGCTGATCATCTGAGTTCATGCACGGACCGTCTCGTAACATCTGAATGCTTAAATTCAGAGAGAGGAGGATCCAACGAATCTTCTGGAGAAAGTTCCAGAGCTCATCAAGGCAGCACAAGCCTGCCTACTAGTAAATCTATGGATGCCAAAACCGACGAAGACGCAAGAGAACAAGACGACGTCGATGACGAAGAAGAACCGCTTATCCAATCTGTTGAGTGCCGTATATGTCAAGAGGAGGATTCCGTTAAGAACCTCGAGTCCCCTTGTTCTTGTAGTGGCAGCTTGAAGGTGAGTTTTCATTGAATGATTCACATGTCTCATTGCTCTTTCCGTTTGGTCAATTCCATCAGTTTTGGTTTTATCTTTTGTTTCAGTATGCTCATCGAAAGTGTGTTCAACGTTGGTGTAATGAGAAAGGTGACACAATCTGTGAAATATGCCACAAGGTAACTAAACCTCACTAACATTCTAATATTCTTTTGAATTGTTTGTTACGAAAACTCACTAAGATCTTCTCTCTTGATGGAAACAGCCTTATCAATCTGGCTACACAGCTCCTCCTCCTCCTCCTGCTGATGACACTGTAATTGACATCAGGTAACGTTTTGCAAAACCTCACTTTATTCAAGCCACATTTTTCTTATGCTGATTGTATTTTTTGTTCTTGTGTGATACAGTGAAGATTGGACCAATGGTGTTCCTTTAGATATGAATGACCCGCGCATTTTGGCGATGGCGGCTGCAGAACGCCATTTCTTCGACGCGGAAATCGAAGATTACGCTGATTCTAATGCAGACGGAGCTGCGTTTTGTCGCTCCGCTGCTCTTATCGTAAGTCCCACCACATTTATCTTATCTTTTTCTTTTACTTGAAAATGTGAGACTTATGAGAGTTTCAAATGGCAGTTAATGGCGCTTTTACTGTTACGACATGCTCTCAACCTAACGAACAACAACTCAGACGAGGATGAAGACGATCCATCAGCTTTCTTCTTGGTTCGTTAAAATCTCTTAATCACACTGTTACTTACATAACTCTCCCTTTTTGCTTTCTTGTTGTAATTTTGGTCTTCATTTTGGTTTTGGACAGCTTTTCATGCTTCGTGCCGCCACTTTTCTTCTCCCCTGTTACATAATGGCTTGGGCTATTAGTATATTACAACGCCGGAGACAAAGACAGGTATTGAATCGTTTGAGAAAAACACAAACGCATTAATCTAAACTCATGTGTGTGTACTCATGTTTATAATTTGTCTGTTGTTTGTGTTTTGTGAAAAATCAGGAAGCAGCCGCTCTGGCCGCTGCGGAAGTTGCGTTTATGTTACACAACGGCGGTGGAGGAGGACAACGTAGAGGAGGACTGCACTTTGCTGTAGCACCTGAGCTTATATCTAATCCACATCACCACCCTGAAGCTTCACCGCAATGATCATATTCCCGAATCACAAGAGTACACATCATCCATGACTTTGGTCTCTCTCTCTCTCAATATGTATCTTCCTGTAATAGCTGTTTGTTGTTTACCGTTCTTGTTCTGAGCAAAAAACAAGAAGTTTCTCCTTGTCTAAGTTCTTACAGACGAGAAAAGAAAGATTTGTTCAGCAATATTGATTTTCTGTTTTATATCACATTATTGGCATTACTTGCTGTTTCAAACCAAAAAGTTAAAAACCAACTCGCCTATAGTCATTTTCGTTCATTTGCATCGAAATTTTGATCACTTTTTTTTACATTTACGATTTACGCCTATAGACTTTTCTTTTGTGTGTGTGTGTGTGTGCAAAGAGCTGTATATAACTAATAAATAATTAAATATAATTATGATATAAATATAGTATGATGGGCCATGCCCAAATTTATCTTGATATCGACCAAGTAGGCCCTTCAAGAGGCCCAATGAGGGAGCCGAACAAAAAGTCTACTCTCCCAAACCCAAGCAGGGGAAAATGGTCGATTCCTACCCCAACTACAATTATAGGCACCTATTCCTACCCTAACTTTTATGGTGTACCAATCCCTATCTGAATTACAAAAACTCGTCCTTTCCATACCCGAACTAATATTTTCATGGCCAATCCGAACATTGACTAACGAGACTTAGGTCAACGACGATTTCCCGTTAACGAAGATGAGTCACCACGACACGTCACCTGCCCCGTTGGAACGAAGTTCAAAACGACGTCGTTTTTACGAAAACGAAAATCAAATTGTAATCGCCGGTTAAAATTTAATTTCGGTTCAATTTCGGTTTAATGTCGGTTCAAAACGTCGTCGTTTTGAAAATAACAAAAAATCAACCAACCCTAGAGGAAACAACGACGTTTTGGAACTGAGAAACTTAAACTTAATCAACCAACCCTAGAGGAAACGACGACGTTTTGGAACTAAGAAACTTAAACTTTTGTTCCATTCTCTGTCGCGAATGGAAAAAACTTAAACTTCTTGAGTGCATCCTCACAAGTCGAAGTTGTCTTAAAGAAAGCACGGCTACAGTTTCTTGGATTCCTACTCATGAAAGCCTCGTAGACACCAACATCATATTTCTTCATTTCTGCCAGATTTATCTTAAAATCGCTTTCATTGAAACTATGAACCACGGCCCAGAACTTGGATTTCATCTGAGGCTTCTTCGGATGTGCCCTCTTCATATTACCGTAAATGTGTCTCGCACACATTCTGTGTTCAATCTCTGGTAATTGTTCATTGACATCATTGAGTAATCCCTGAAAATTTAGGAAACCATACATCATATTCATAAACAAGATAATTTCTAATCTTTTGTTAACCATAAAAAAAAAGAGTTGTGAATGTACCTTTTGTCTATCCGAGATTACAGTGAAACCATCACCGTTTCCTAAGCCCAAATCGGTTTTTAGGAGACGAATGAACCACAACCAACTCTCAGTGTTCTCCACTTGAACTACTGCCCATGCGAAAGGGTATATCTGGTTGTTTGCGTCTCTACCAACTGCTGCTAAGAGCTGTCCTTTCATGTCCGACTTGAGGAAACAACCGTCGATTCCGAAAATTAGACGCATGTGGTTTTTCCATGTGTCACGAAGTCCCGAAAAACACATATAAAAGCTATCAAAAAACTTCTTTACCACTTGCGTTTATGACAGTCCGAAGCTCAATTGTCGAGTTTTTGTTTGTCCTGAGAAACAAAACGAAAATTTGATCACAAAATAGTTGAGCTAAAAAAAAAAACAGAAGTAAGCATCAAACAATTACACAGAAATAACAGAAGTTCAGCTTACTTTTTCAGTTCATCTCGGTAGTCTTTCATCCGGGAATATTGTTTATCATATTCTGCTTCAATGAGTTCCAAAGCTTTCTTCTTTGCCTTCCGACATTGATTGTGTGACGGAGCTACATTGTAGAGATCATGAATCTTCTGTTGCATATCGACAGGCTTCATGAGGGATCGTTTCGCAGCTCGTTAATGAACATGTCACAGATTACTTGTTGTGACAAAATCCGGCATCGACCATCTGGTAGACATGTATGCTGATCTTGGAACGTCTTAATCATCCACATAGAAACTGGTCTCTCATAAGAACAGTAGATTCTCCACTCGCACTTCTTGATACCACACACAGCAGAACACTTAAGCTTACCCCACCTACTAAACTGGATATTCCAACCTGCTTTCAGTGCATACTCAATCACAGCCTCTCTGAATTCTTTCATGCTTTCAAACACTAGAGAAATCTTCAGTTCTCCACTTCCTCTTCTCCATCTATCATATGGACACCTCGGAATTTCTCCACCTTCACTGTCTGATGTAGGAGGTGTCCGTTGATAATAGTCATCATTTTCCTCCTCATTAACAAATGCAGAGACCAAATTTTCAACTATAGTTTCTTCTTCCTCGCACATATGCTGCTCCTCTCTACCATTATCTCCTCTTTCCTCATTCTGCTCAGATCCTCTCTCCTCATTCAGCTCATCTCCTGCGTCATTCCCATTGTCACCTTCATCAGCTTCCATGTAGATTTCAATCAAAGTTGTCCATTTTGATGCCTCACACATACTTTCAAAATTTTCGGTATCCTCACCACACAATATCCTAAGCTCTTTCAAATCTTGAAATGGCAATTTGTACCAGATTCTCTGTCCATAGAGATTCACCGGTAACTCTTGAAATAAACTCCTTGCCGGTGTAACGAGGTCTTGTCCAGAAACCACCATTGTACACCACATTGCCATCTTCCAAAGTCTGAAACTTTCCACCGTAATTTACGATGAACGATCATCAATGCTAACAATAAACAATTCAAATCGTTAATAAAGAATAGATTACATCGGAATTTTATATTACAAATGATTAAACAATTATAAATCACAATCACAATCGAAATCCAAATATCTTAAAACCCTAACTTTCGCATACCTCATTTTGGAGATATGATTTGCTCTACACGAACCAGATGCAGCACTACCAGATTCGATTCGAACTATGAACCCTAGATTCGTGAAAACTGTTTCCCCAATTCGATTTTTTTCCCCAATTCGATTTCTCTCTCTCTCTCTCACTCGCGACGCGACAGAGAATGGAAGAAGAGTTTAAGTTTCTCAGTTCCAAAACGTCGTCGTTTCCTCTAGGGTTGGTTGATTTTTTGTTATTTTCAAAACGACGACTTTTGAACCGACATTAAACGAAATTGAACCGAAATTAAATTTTAACCGGCGATTACAATTTGATTTTCGTTTTCGTGAAAACGACGTCGTTTTGAACTTCGTTCCAACGGGGCAGGTGACGTGTCGTGGTGACTCATCTCCGTTAACGGGAAATCGTCGTTGACCTAAGTCCCGTTAGTCAATGTTCGGATTGGCCATGAAAATATTAGTTCGGGTATGAAAAGGACGAGTTTTTGTAGTTCAGGTAGGGATTGGTACACCATAAAAGTTGGGGTAGGGATTGGTGCCTATAATTGTAGTTGGGGTAGGAATTGGCCGTTTTCCCGCAGAGAAGAGTCCTCCAAAATTCCTTATGCCAGCAAAGAGGATTTAGACATCAGATAATAAAATAGTCTTCTTTCTTGTTTGACATGATGATAATCTCCAGACCCATCCATTGTTCACTTCATAAAATTATCTGAAATATTGGGTAAAACTGGAAAGGTGAAAAGAAAAATTTTAGATTGGCTCAAATGGGAAAATCTAAAGAAGTGAAAAACTACGCCATGGCTTTGAACACTTCCAACATTCGATTTTCCTGACTATCTTAATTAGAGAGACCTCCTATATCCTGAAGAATTAGTCAAGTATTTATCCGAATGCTTTTGATAACTACTTCTGTGACAAGAAAGATGAAGAAGTCAACGTTTAAGTTTCAACTTTAAAGTCGAAAGAGTGTGAAATTAATTATAAACGAAAGGGAGTCTTCGGTGGCTAAAGCATACTCATAAGTCATAAGTCATAAGTCATAACCAGCTTTGCCTCACTGTGTTTCACAGGCACAAGTCAAGCCCTTCACATGTTAGCATTTAATACTCTTTTATTTTTATCTATTTTTCTTCTTTTTGCTGAATTATTATTCTCTATATTTCTATATTTTCAAATTTTCTTCTACCACTACATTTTTCCATCTTATATGTATTGTACGCATATGTATGTATTGTATTGTATTATACAAATGTCTGCGTGTGGATATGTTCCTCCTCTTCACACCTTTATTTCAACTATATTATTTGTTGGATTGTGGAATATATGGCCTACATATTTTTTTTGAGAAATTCCAAAATATAAACTTTTATGTTTGTTGTTTTATCAATAAAAACCCCCTACAATTTTGAAAATATTAAAAAAAACACCATTTAGAAAGCCCACCTTAAACTTTATACAACAAAGTTTTGATTCCAAAGTTATCCTAAATGGCAACTTTAGATAACAAAACAAAGGTGTAATACTCCCCTAATTTTACTTTGACAATTCTCCTATTTCTGACGTGATATAAGTAATACTTATGTCAATTGGAAATATACTGTCTACATTTTCTATATCACATACGGCACTATCACATTTAATAATGAATAAATCAAATAATTAAATGTATTAATGATGGAATTAACTTAGTAGGTGGACTCTTTATATTACCATTTAATGACAATTTTTTCTTGCGAGATTATGATTGATTTGAATGGACAAAGGTCGATAAATTGTCTTTTATTCCTTGAGTTTTAACATATTTTTTTTCCACTAAACCCAGTAACCCACAATGAAAGATATTTTTCATTATGCTACCGAAGGTCAAGTTGTTCCAGAGAGGAAAGCTTCCCTGAATAAAAATACTTGTTACTCTTATAACCTTTTCCACTCGGACCAATCGGTGCGTATTCCTCTAATGGGACAACCAAACCAAGCCAATCGATATTTTGTGTGGTTTACTACTACTCCAAAGTGAACCTAAGCTAAACAAAAAAATACTCGGAGTGAGCAAATAAGATTTATTATAAAATTGTGTAAATGAATGGTGTTATCAGTTTTTTTTTGCTGTTAAAAGAAATCCTGCTTTATTTTCTAATTTAAAATTCAAAATTTCCCCTTTGTTAAAGGGATAAACTAGTAAAATTGAAATTTCTTTGTTTGGTATAATAAGAATATATATAAGAGTAAAATACCAGAAAAGTTTATAACCATGAGCTAAAAAGTACAATTCATTACATTAATAGAGACGATAAACCCTTTGCGTTGCATTTTGCTACATACAATTGTAAAAAGAAAGAGAAAAGCGAGATCATATCACCAGAAGGGAAAAAGAGTGTTGTAGAGCTAAAAGCTACTAAAGACTCTAAAGCCCTAATGCAATAATAAGCATATACTTATATCATAACTAATTAAGCCATCAAGTTTAACAACATTCCACACTTTGTTTAGTTCTAGAACATAGCTTCTTGTGCTTCTAGCGACATACCAACCAAGTTCTCATCAAATAGCCACTTCTCCAACAAAGACAAAGACCCTTGTGATACTAAACCATGATCTTGGTCCATTGTTATCACCGGTTTGGTCTCTTGATCATGGAAGAAGCTTGTCTCCTGAGTCAGAGTTTGAGATTCTTCCATGGAGTTGAAGCTGAAGAAAGATTGTTCAAATCCTTCACCTTCTTCGGAAGCTGCAGCAGCGAGTGGCCCGGTCTCTGAAACCGGTGATGAGGTTGTCAAAGTTAATGCCTTTGGCGTGTCTTTCATGAAATCTTGAAGCAACCTAGCGATGTTCTCAGCACTTGACGCATATACCCCTGATGGGTGTGTATTAGTAGTGTTGCTTGTAGTGGTGGTTGTGGTTGTGGTGGAGGAAGAAGATGAGGATGGATCATAACAACGGTCAAGTAAAGTTGATGAGTAGCTAGGGATGTTATGTGGTATGATTCCCGGTGACAGTGATGATGATGATGATGGAGAAAGTGTTGAAGATGATGGTTTGTCTAAAGACAAGGCCTCACAAAGAGCTTGTTTTGCCATTTTGATATCTGTTTGAAGTCTTCTCTCCCATTGACCTTTGTTTGAGCTTTGATGTTGCTTCTGTGAAGTAGTACTGTTTAAAGAAGAGAAGCCATCGTTATCTTCTTCACCAGATTCATTAATCTTCTTGAGCTTCTTCTTCAAGTGAGTGTTCCAGTAGTTCTTTATATCATTGTCTGTCCTTTCTGGAAGGTATGATGCTATAGCTGCCCATCTATACCCAAAGAAAAACATATTTAGATCTCATTATATCCATATATAGATCGCCAAGTAAATATTTGAACAAATATAGATCATGTGCATGTATATACCTGTTGCCTAAAAGGGCTTGAAGATGAACAATCATCTTCTCTTCATGTTCAGTGAAGTTTCCACGCTTAATACCAGGCCGAAGATAATTAGTCCACCTCAATCTGCAGCTCTTGCTGCATCTCCTCAGACCTAAAAAACCAAATTAACAAAGATTTTAAGCCAAAAACTCAAGGAAAAACGGGATAAAATTGTAATTAGAGATGTGTGGACGAAAGAGTCGGTGATAACTTAGGCTATTTATTACGCTCATCTTTAATGATCATACCAACTAAGGCAGAGAGAAAATAGAAATCATAAGCCCCAAAATAATATGTTTAAAAATACATAAAAGGATCAAAAGTTAAACAAACTAACTAGTGGGAGTATCAGTATGCGATAAAAAAATAATAATATTACAAAGGCTAACCAACCTGTATTAGTTGGGACAGATCTCCAGTTTCCAGGACCATGTTCTTGAATGTAAGAAACCAAGATGATATCTTCCTCTGGTGTCCATGGCCCTTTCTTCACTCCAATCTTTTCACAACAAGGTGGTCTTCCCATTTTTTCCTCCTTTCACTATGAAAATCTATTGCTTAGAGCAAGAAATTCGACTTTTTGAATGGTTTTGATACGATTTTAGAACAAAAGGTTAACCTTTGTTGGTTTTTAAAAGAAGCTCTTGGGAAATTTTGAGGGTTAAGACAAAGAAAGTCCAAATGGGTTTGGTTTTGTCTGAAGGAAGTGGAGAGAGATGTTGGTTATATTTATAGAAAAAGTGAATAAGATAGATGAGAGAGATGGGATGTAGAGCAAAAGATCAGTTAATTAGCAAGTAATCAATAAATTAATGGAATGAAAAGAAACAATAATGAAGGGGCTGGCTTTGCTTTCAAAGAGTCAACATGGACAGCAAAATGCATTTACTCTCTTTCTCTCCAAAGTCAGCCTCCTTCTTCTATCTCTCTCCTTCTATGGACTTACACACGGTTTCAAACACAAATATTTGTTTTTGACGTTCGCTATTGGTAATTAAACATTTGTTTTTGTTTTTCTTCCAAAACAATTCATCTGTTGTTTAAAACGAAACTCGGAAAATAAAAGAAGAAAAAATATCCTTTCATTTCTGCTAGCTTTGCGTCTTTTTATTTTTGTCATAACAATTCTCATATACTTGATACTTCCGGCAGGATTTTCAATCATATTATGACACGATGACAAAAATTTATACAAGCCTATACCATACCTAAGTCTCATATATTCACTTTTCGTTTTTATTTATAAAATTTTAAATAATTTTGCATAAAAGCAATAAAACTTTTAATGGTCTCTAAAGATAACTATAATATTTTAATATCCAAACTTAAATTATTTATATTATAATTAATTTTACTAAACCAGTATGTTCAAAATCAATTTAACACGTATATGCATCTATTTTTTTTTTGAACAACACACGTATATGCATCTATATTACAGAAAATCGGCGGAGTTTTGACATGTCAAGTACTCAAGTATGTGTGTGTGTGTATGAATATATCTCAGTTTGGACATTCAAAACCGTGTGGTGCTGATAAATGCATGATGTATGAGAGAAAGGAGGTGGCACCGAAAGAAGACAAATTAAATTAAAAGGAGAGGAAAAAAATTAATATTTAGATATTTCTTGTGATTTTTGTATTTATCAGATAAATAGCTTATTAGAGGATGTGATATTCTTAGAACAAAAAAATAAGTTTTTGGTTTAATAAATATGGTTTCTAAATTTACAATGCTGAACCCATTGATGCCGCGTCTGCCCGAAATATTCTCTTCCGGTTTATCAAAATATACTCCGGAGTACTACATAAGTATTTGATTAAGAAAAATAATGTAATGATCATTTTCACTATTTTTAGGTGCCTGAAAGGGTTGTCGCTTTTTTATTTTGCTTTACAATTGATTGGATTGGTACTGATAAATTAAGAAAATAACTACTGACCAAAAAGTCTTATAACCTTAAACTACGATCTGCGTCGACAAAATCTGGTAAGCTTATACAGATTTACATACACAGATATAAATATAACTATTCTAATTTAAGAAAAATAAAATATATCCGGCGATTTCCATATTTTTTTAGCAACTTACACCACGCAGCCCTAATTCAATGTCACTCCGTTTTGTGAATACATCCATTGAATTCTCGACCCCTCAAAAGTCCATAACTTATGGGGTAATTTATATATTCATGAATTATTTTTTTATTAGTATAATGTCCAATTTATTGCATGGACGACTAATTTTATTGGCAAACCCACTACCATATAAATTACTTGGGCAAACCTCATTATCATATACTACTGTTACTGATGAATAGTGGTAGTGGAGTAGTAATTCTGGAGAAATGATTTACGCACAACAGTTACTGAATAGTCTCTCAATTTACCGACCAAGTAGGTTTGGTTTTCCCTATTTGACCTTTTACGGTCATAGACTCATATTAACTCTTGACAGTAAAGTTGTACGGAATTAATACACTTCGTCTTTAAATTTAAACCAACATGAGAAATAAACATAATGCAGGAATCTTCTAACACAGCTACAACTTTCCTTTGCATCTCTAATATCATCATTTATTGAAACAGCAAAAACGACATTAATTATCCCGTGAATAAAGAAAAAAGAACGTTATCAAATATTTTCCATAACTTGAACAAAAAAAAAAACCACAAAATATTTAGTGATTTTACATCATATTTGAAATTTAATTTTTAAGAAATGCAATGTTTAAAAATTGTGGATGTAAAGTTCACATTAGTTTAGAGTGACACGTTTTCTAACTTTGTCGAGAAGAAGACTGGTATATAGTAGTATGATTTATTTATTGCCGTTAAAGCAGAAGACGACGACTATTAGGGAACACATTTTGGTTCATAAAAAGCTAAAACCTAAATTACCTGACCTTCGTAGCTACATCTATATTTACCAACATATATAAGTATGCTGACTGCTGACGATAAGAATAATTTACTAAATATTTTGATTAAGTAAAAAATTATACAAGAAATGATAAGAGTGTTGCGAAGCACGTCGTGGCTGTGTGCAGTGTGCAGTGTGCTCTAAAATAATTATTTCTTCCGACGTGCATTGAGCTTTTAAAAAGAATAGAAAAATTTATATATTTTCACTTTATAGTACTATATTTTCATATCATACTTTTCCACGAGTTAAACTTTTAAGAAAAAAATTCAGTTGAAATCCCATAATCACCACGTCCTTTGGGATGCTTCGCCCATACCTTTTACTCATCCTCCGGATCGCATATTAACTTTACATTGACTATATGCCACATATATAGATCCTACTTAATTATATAGTACTCTATTTCGTCAATATCCATTTTTTTTATAGAACTGTTCTAACTTTATAATTTATAAATGCACATGTTATGGAGTTTATTTTCTACAAAATTCTTAACTAACAGAAAAATATTAGTTTCCCTAGTTAAAACTTAAAAGTTTGCCCCCACAAAAAGTATATAAGTTGAAGTTAATTATAAAAAAAAACTGAAACTATCAATATAAGAAATAACAGTACCGACAAAAATGAGAAAGTTATACAGTGACATTTGTTATATATATATCAACCCATGATTTATTAATAATTAATTAGTCAAATGGTAATATAGTATTATTCACTACATATCCGAGCTCAAAAGTTTCGTTTGTTTTATTTACAATCAGTTGAAAGTTCCTACGATGTTTCCTACATATAGTTTCCAGAAGGTTAATATGGGATAAAGCAAGTCAACGACGATGGTCGTCTTTTGGATGTAGACAAACTTTGGATCATATCTTAATTTATACGCTATCCAATTAAAAATTTGCTAGGTTAACATAGGGTTTAAAATATCAAAAACGAAACCTAGCTAGGGTTTAATATATTAATCCCAACATTTCAGGGTTTAATGTAACTGTAGCGACACGTGCCAGCATCTGAAGAGAAAAAACAGGAAATTTCATTTAACAATAACATAGAGTATTGGACCCATCGTCTAATGATGCAACGACTATTGACATATAATCAGAGGTCTCTCTGATCTTTCCGATGTACTGTTAAGGAAACAAAGGTTGCCATTTTTCGCCAAATTGAATTTCCAAGAGGCAGGCTTTGACATTATTTCACATTAACATTATTAAACACATAAAACAAATTTACCAAAGTATCTATTGATGAAATTGCCAATAAGATATCAACGACTCCTAAGCCTAATCATGATAGTGTATTCATAGTTTACAACCCACTTTGAAAAACTACCATATTGTTGTAGAATTACTAGTATAATTATGCTTACTTAATACTAATCATTTTGACTGATTGAAAGTGCAAGACAATCAAAAACCTATGAAAGTAGTAAAGTTTCCAACCCAACTTGCATCCTCTGATTTTCAAAACGGCACGGATCTCCTGTTTTAAGATAGCATAAGTCAAAATCATTTATAGCTTGATATTTTTGGCAATTTAAACTAAATTCTGCTGAAACAAGTTATAGATTTAATAGCTACGATATTTTAATTTTAATTCTAAAACAATGAAGGTGTTCAAATTCCGGGTTAAAGTTACTTATACATATTATTATTACATTGTGATTGAAGACTTCACAACTACTTTTCTTCCGGAATATCTGATGTTTGCAATCATATATAATATGCATAGCGTTTCATTTAACTGGACTCAAATCTCAATATTAATTTCGTCCATGACATAATATGTTTTTTTTATTCTACTTCGTTACTTTATTTGATAATCTAAATGACCATGCTTACGGAGAAAGGCATTTCTTGACGTAATTTTGTTAAAATGAAATTTAAATATTATTCAAAATAATGAATACTGCACTACAAATAAAATGAAGAGGTACAATCAGCAAAAACTCCACAACATAGCACATAGATTTGTTTTCCCGTTGTTGAAGTTTAAAGAGCATGTTAGTGTAGTTTTCGTTCTATTTCTTGCACTCAAAAATTTCTTCTTATACAGTATTTAACAAGATACCAAACTCAAGACTTTATGTAATTAACATCTCAGTACGTATATGTCTCCGTTATTGAAAACTCAACACTTTATGTATATTAAATGTAAAATAGAATGTTTTGACAAAGAGAAATGTTTAACGTAAATAGTATATGTAACTTAGTTTAGGTTTTAATCAAATCTCTTACATAACTTATATTATATATATCCCATTGTATTTTTTAGTAAATAATTTTGTTGTTTTTATGTAACCCCTAGAACGAATCTATACACATGGGTTTCAAACTATTGGGTTTAGTTAAGCCACTAAGCCAATGCCAACATAAACTTATTCATATAAATATAAACTCAACGAATCGTAATCTGAGCTACTAAATCTTCTAATCAACCTAAATATTTTGACTTAACATGTCTAAACTATCTTTTCGTGTGTTAAAAACATGTCTAAACAATCTTTTATAGTAGCATTATGTTGTTCTTTTCCTTAGGATATTAGAACCATCACTTTCAAAGTTTCAAAATATTTCGTGAAGATTGACCACGTCAGTAGCAAGTTACTATATCATTTAAATATATATAAGAAAATTATTGGTACGTACGCATTTTAAGGAAGAATCTATGGACTATTCAGATTGGTTCGTTAGATTTTGAAGCAGTTTTCGATATAAAAGAATTCAATAAAATATTAATAACCATCTGTAAGAAATATTAAAGTAGCTGATCGTGGTGAGATTTTTCTATTTTCTTTTTCTTCTTCTTATGGAGAAAGACATCTTGCTGGTATATACCCTTCGAAGAATATCATTGTCCATTTCTTCTTAATCAATCAAGCAGTTTGGCACTTTCAATGTAACGATAAGGAAAACCACGCACTTCACATTTTATGTTTTTTTAGCCGTTTTTAGATCAATATTTTGCGGTTCCAACTCACATTTAATTTTAATCCAAAAGATGTCATGATCTGTTTAAAAACTTGTAACGAAGGATTGCCTAGCTAGTTCTACACGAATCCTTCCATGGTTTTTTTTTCACGAATTGATTTCGACACACATATCCCGTTAAACAAATATAATACATTAACAAGTTTGAATCAATTGATGTTAAGATAAATTGACACTATAAAAATTCGATTTCACATGTACTACATCATAAGACACTTTTAGAATTCGATAATAGCTTGGTTTAAACTATTCTTGTGTCGACAAAAACAAATCAGCAATTGGTTTGCGAATTGTGCTGAACTTTTTTGTTGTCAGGATATTTTCATCATCAAAGCTATTCCGAATTAAGTAAAAACAATTACCAAAACAAATAGAAAGAAAACATTCACCTATCATTTTTCTTAAAACTTGGAAACCATTCCACCACGCAATAATGCATCGATGCAAAATTAACATTCGACTTTCGACAATACCACTTCAATTGCCACATAATCGTACTACCATGGAAGCATGTACACGTGTACGGTAGAGACAATACCACATTGCCTTCTCCGGATATAGAAAGCGAGGATCTTGGAGAAGACATGTTTTGCACAATACGACAGAACAAAATGCTCAAAATAAGTTAGGTATGTCGTGGGTCCCATCCCAAAAGCAATATTTTATCGTATTGCCACTTGTGGTCCCCATTTCCAATCAGATCTCTGCCACATGGCTGCTTCATCTATGTGCTCAAACGATTTAAATCTTCGCGATCTCACTTGCGCTTCTCCACCTCCTTGAACAAGATCGTGAACGTCTGTCTACACGTGTCGACGAGAGATCGAAGATCACAACAATAATCTCTAATGTACGAAACCTTTCAATTCGAATTTACTCGAAACATAATGGACGGTGTATTATTTAATTGTATTATTCGAATTAGTTTGACATACTAAAATGCATTTTTATGCAATCTACAAATTATTGGCGATTGAATCATATTTATATTGTTATGGGGAGGCCATTTTGTATGGGACCATACACCATCGACATGTGTCATACGTGATAGAGTTTTGAACGTGGCATGATATTAGCGGGCATTCATAGTTGACTATTTTGCAGTTATGAGCTCGAATCGTAAGTCAATTCTCATTTGAATTTGTTCACATTATGGAGAAAGTAGAGCTTGATTTAAAGTTCCAAAATAGCTAGTTCATATACTAGTATAATGCGTTTTGTGAGTATTCGTAGGGTTTTAAAATTATATGACGTAATTAGAGAGTAACATATGGTTTTTATAGCTTGAGTATGTTTTGATGTAGAATTGGTTACATGCCCTTTTAATATGATGATCATTTTGGCTTATCAGTATTACAGATCAGCTCCAATTGTTCTTTCAATTGGATGTATGTTTGTTTTTGGTTGAGTTGACTACAACTACTATGTAAATGTTTATGAATTTCGGTGCTTATTGCTGAGCAATTGATATAAGAGATAATTATTAGTATATATATAATTTACAATATTTGTAAATTGTACTGTCTCCGTTTCATATAAATTGGTTTCTAAAATGATGAGATCCCATCTTCTAATTCATTTCACGATTTTGTCTTTCTTAAGAGTTACATCATGATGATTAAAAAATCATTTAGAGATTATATTGGAAATATTATAGTATAACTTTGCAGTTAAATGTATAAAACATCAATTTTGTAAACGAGATAACATTCATTTAAAACGGCTCGTAAACAACACATTTTATTTTAACTATGAATTTTTTTGTGTGTACATATATGCAATCACATATAGCAATAAAAACAAACAAGCAAATGTTTGCCTTAATAGTTAGGAGAAGTTAGTTTGTTGGCTTATTCTCAGTGAGGGTGGACTTAATGCGGGTGCTAGGGGTTCGGCAAGATATGATCCACAAATTATCAACACATAACATTGGGACCATATAGCTATAATCATATGCTAAAGTTCGTACTTTTAATTTGTCAAAAGAAAAGAAAAAACTTCGTACTTTAAAATTTTGTTGTATGCCCACTTCGTAAAAATCCATACAACAGCTTTTATGTAAATTTATAAGTTCACTAGTTTAGCGAGTACATATTTTTATTTGTAGAAGTTGTATAAAATCAACACGATTCTTTGAAATTCAAGAACGCATAAGTGATCTTTGATATTACCGGAGCTAGTATGATTGAATATAAGCCAACTGCTAATTAGCTTAACTTCGAATTAAGATATGCATAGTGGAGTAAGTTCGTCGAGAACCGCAAACCGCAATTTACGTATGTATATGTATATTTTATTTGTGGGGCGTGGACCGTGGTTACAGTTTCTTCTGAATGCTGTTTATATAATATGTTTTATATATCTGTAATATTTCAGAAGCAAACTAATGAATTAGACTGAATCTTACTGTCATACGCACTCAAGTCATGAAGAGGGTACTTCTAAATATGTTCATCAAAACTTACATCTGTTCACTACTCTAATTACATGCATGTCGAGTTTTTTTCTCTCTTTAGTCTAGTCTTTAATTTTTTTTTAAAGCTTGTCAATTTGGCTACAAAGCTCACCTTTACATTCCTTTTTTAAAGTGGTCAATTTTTCTCGAGAAAAAACTCCGTAAAAGCTATAGTTGATTGTCTAAATAGTATTATTTTGTGTTCTAGACGTTGATGGTTGTACGAGAATTGAAGCATCATCTGTGTAGAGTTTGAAGGTATTGAACACAAATAACAAAATATAGCTAATTAAATTCATCATAAACTTTAGAAAATAGAGATATTAGCATATCACATTAGCAGCTCTTTCGTGCACGGCCTATAGTGGACATCTATTGTTGTCGTCTTGTCGAGTGTCGACCCAAATATATAAAGAGACAAGACCGATTCACTGAATATACATAGCTTCTTAGATGATGATGAAAGATTGAAAGGAGATTTAAAATATTGTTTTCTATTTTAAAACTAGCACCAAAAAATTAAAAACCAAAGAAGCAATATTTTCTCATCAAACACCAAAATATTAAAAACCAAAACTCTACACTAAAATAGCAACATACAGTATATTCATATGGCAAAATCATTTCATATGATTAGTTAAAAAGAAGAAACCAACATTCGATCGATAAAGAAAAATTTTCATTTACTAATTTATCAATTCGGTTAATGTGTAAGACCACTTATTTATTGGTGTACTTACTACTATTTAAAGTTTTTGGTCGGTGTAGGGTAAAAAAAAAGTTCATTTGTTGGCTTTAAAGAGTTACCATTATCTCACAAGCAAATTTAATGTGTTAACTAAATTTTCATGCAACTGTAGAAACAAAACGTGATGTTAGGCAACATGGGGTCCTATTTTTACAGACAAGAAAAATTGAAGGATGATAGGTAAATTAATCGTTGTGTACTAATCGGCCTAACGCTAAACCAACTTGCCTAATTGATTTTACACCACATCAAACCAAACCGAACCTAATTCGGCAATCACAGCTAAACCAGTCGGACCCGCATCACGAATCCGACCCGCACCTGAAAACGAATTCGGGTCAAGCCCATTAAGAAACAAAAGTCCAAATCACTCGAAAAGAAGTTTCACCGTCGTTGTGTCTCTCTCCCTCTCAGAGGAGTCTCGCTCTCATCACAGGTTCGCTTCGATTGATAAACCCTAGCTGTTCCGATTCACCAGTGAGAAATTTTCGATTGTATTATTCTGGATCGAATCGGAATGATCTGTTATCTATCGATTTGATCTGTGTGACGTGAAAACACTCATTTCGAGCTAATGGTTCGTCTATCATTCTGATTCATATTCTTTGCATTTACAGAGAATCAGATAGTTTTTGTAGACTTAGACGAGGTTTTCGCCGGAAAACAATGGCGGGTTGGCAGAGGAATCTACAGTTAGCTATTCGTCAAGTAGGGAGAAGAGTGAAGAACAGTAACATTTCGGCGGCCAATTACTCTTCAACTCGGAATTTAGAATCCCCTTTCTCACAAGGTCAGCTTTTTTCATTGAATTGGTGAAAATGATTTGTCTTTGCCGCTGTTGATGAGTTTTACTCATTTGGGTTTAGAGAATGTTAAATCATTTCTGAATCTATGTGTTCTTTGTCGATCTTCCAAATGTCAGGTTTTATATCTTGGATTTGTTCGGCTGATGATTCATTTTTTTGTTTTTGTGTTTTTGCTGGTGAAGTAGGTTATTTGCAGGGTCTCCTGAGACCAACCTACTCCTCAAGACCTCTGAATCATTATCTACAACAAGCGGTATTGCTTTGTTCGCTTTCCCAATTCTTCATATGCTACTTCTTGATTTCTATTGTTACCGGAGTTCCATGTTTCCTCCTTTAGCATTTTGCTTGTTTCCATTTCTACTTTGAATAATAGAATTTGGAAGTGAGACTGTGCTAGTGAGATTAGCTGCATCGTTTAGAAAGATTTAAGAACCTGTAGTTTTTGGAAATGATATTTATGGGATGCTGCTTCTTTCTTCTCTGTTCTGAAGTTGTATATGTTTTCAGGGAATTTCTACCTCGAGAAACCTGCAGGCTGCTGAAGAACCTGTGTCATCACCTTTGTCATCTCCAGCTCTGTTGGGTAGTGGGAAAGAAGAAGAGCAGAAGATTATCCCAAAGCGTACAAAAGTGCAGGCTGTCCTCAAGGCCATAAAGCAGGTGACTTCTCTTACTCTTTTTGCAAGAATCCGCTTTTCACATGATCTGCTTCAGATGTACTCACCCTTGTTTGTTTCAGAGTCCTAAGAAGGTCAATCTAGTTGCAGCATTAGTGCGTGGTATGCGAGTTGAAGATGCTCTGATGCAGCTGCAAGTCAGAGTTAAACGGGCTTCCCATACCGTGTACCGGGTTATCCATGCTGCTCGAGCAAATGCTAGTCATAACCATGGACTAGATCCTGACCGTCTCATCATTGGTATGTACATACTGATACTGGATCATTGATTCCTATGTTTGGATGAAGGAACGGTTTGTTTGACTTAAGCTTTTGGTATGTGATGCAGCGGAAGCGTTTGTTGGGAAGGGACTGTTCAAAAAGAGGATATCAATCCATGGAAAAGGAAAATGCGGGTTGATGGTAAGACCCGAGTGTCGCCTAACGGTCATAGTTCGAGAGTTGACTTCAGAGGAAGAAGCTGAGATTGCGAGGCTCAAAGTTCACAACTTTAGGAAGAAAACCAAGCGGGAGAGGCAGCTTGTACCACACAAGCTCATCGAGACAACTCCTATCTGGAACCGCAAAGGCACTAAAGCCACTTACCGGTCCTCAGAGTTGGTGCCATCTCAATAGACAATAGTGTCTTTGCTCCCCCAATGGTATAACAAGAGCCTTCCTCTTTTATGCACCTTCTTGTTTGTTTTTGGTTTGGTATTGTATTGGTTACTTAATAGGACCCGTTTACAATTGCATTCAATAAGTATGTTGCAAGAACGAAACAAGTTTTTTAGATTTGGATTAAGGTACAATGAGTAAAGATTATTTTCAAATCCAGTTTTTAGCCAAATGAAACTTACATCAAACAACACAAGCAAATCCAAAACTTAAGACTGAGAACAGTTTCAGGAACGGGAGAGAGACATCTGTCTAAAAGCCCTAACAAACTCTAGGACTTGTTCATAAGGAGGGCTCACATCTTTGACCACGTCGGTTTGGTTAATAGCATTAAGCCAACCATAGACACCAGGAACTGCCTCTGGGTCGATGATCTTTAGACCCAAAACTTCTTCGTGTGCCTTGTAAGGGCTAAGCAAAGTGCACATGACAATGTCGACAAGGCTCATAGTCTCGTTCTTCACGATTGGTTCACCATTAGTGTCTGAAAAAATCTCCTTGAGGCCTTCTTTCTCTATGATGCTCAGCTTCTCCTTTATCTCTGTAAGAGCTTTCTCTTGCTCTTCCCCTTCGGTTTTCACCACTTCCAACACCACATCGTAAAGCTGCCCAGTTTTACTCAAAATAATATTCAGTAAATCTCAAAACTTCGAATCAAAAGTTGACGCTATACAGATTAATTAGTTGCTCACATGTGACTGAATGTAGCTAGCCCAAAACCGGACTTTAGATCTTCTGTAAGGGTCTTGAGGCAAAAGATGTGGACCGTTTCTCCACGTTTCGTCTATGTACTCGATGATACACAAGGATTCAGAGATCGGTTTACCTTGGTGGACGAGAACCGGAATCTTCTTGTGAACCGGGTTGTAACGGAGAAGGGTTTGGCTCTTGTTGTTGAGATCTTCTTGCACGAGTTGGTAAGGTATGGACTTAAGCTTGAGGGCTATCTCAATCCTTTTGCTGTAAGGACTCGCGAATGATCCATGGAGTATCACTTTGTTCTTTGTTTCTTCATCCATTTCTTCTTTCTTCTTTCTTCAAATTTCTTTGGACCTGATCATAGACTTTAAAGTAGAGACGACCAAGTGGGCAAAGAAAAGTCAAACAAGCTTGTTCATCCACCAATCTCATAATTGTTTGGTTGATTTTTCTTACTTTTCTTTAATTGTACTATAATTTAGAAGAATGGATCCTTCTACATAATTTTAGAATAACAATGCTTTACTTGAAAAAATGATGTCCAATTCGCAATTATCAATTGCTTAACTAAATTTAGTAAGCCAAAATTTTCAAGATTGATAGATTCCAAAACATTATTCGATTAAATTGCCCATTATGAGAAAACTCGAATTTTAAGTCAAAATATCTCTTTACTTTCATAAATATTAATTTGGTATATGTGTATGAACCGGTTGTGTTTAGTCGATCAATATAACACTATTATTAGAAACATAAAAGAGAAATGTGTGCCGAGTGAAATTGGACGGTGATAAAAATCGAAACCAGCCCATTATTAAGTCGGCTTCCCGATCAAACCACGTGGCTGAACTTCGTCGCGACTCATCTCATAGTCACGGACACGTGTTGTCAAGCGCAACTTACTTCATATGACCACTCGTCTAGTCCAAAAAACAAAGCAACCGAAGCAAACAACTCAAAAGGCGGTGGTTGAGAGTGCGAGAAAACAAAGCAGAGAAGAGTAATAATTCGACGGTAAAAAATGATATCCGGTATCGGGAGTTTAGCGAGGCTCATCTTCAAGAACTTCGACGTACTCGCTGGGTAATCAATAACTAACACCTTAGCCTAGCTATATTTTCTCGTTTGATTTTTCCATTGATTTAATCATTTGTGCGTGTGTGTGCGTGTGCGTGTGCAGACCTGTGATTAGCTTGCTTTATCCTCTGTAAGTCCTCGTACAAGTTTGTTTTTCTAATTAAGTCGTTTCAGAATTTGTCAAATCGTAAGCCTTTTTCTAAACTAAGGTATTGGTATACACAGATACGCATCAGTAAGGGCAATAGAGTCGAGGACTCATGGAGACGACAAGCAATGGCTCACTTATTGGGCTCTTTATTCACTTATCAAACTCTTTGAGCTCACTTTCTACAGACTCATCGAATGGTACACTTAAAACACTCTCTAAAGCTTTCCTTGATGAGCAAGCTTCCATTTATGAAAACAGAGTGTATATATAGTATGTTTGTTTCTGAGAAGTGATAACCATATATTAATTAATTTATCAAGTTTCTTCATCTGTATGGACTAAAATTTATGAGGTTTATGGTATGATCAGGATCCCGCTATGGCCATACGCCAAGCTAGCCCTAACATGTTGGTTGGTATTACCGGGCATGAGCGGCGCTTCTTATCTTTACGAGAACTATGTGCGCTCATTCCTTTTAAGTCCACATACTGTTAACGTGTGGTACGTGCCAGCTAAGAAGGACGAAGACGACTTAGCAACAGCTGCTGGGAGATTCACTCCTGTGAATGATTCTGGCGAGGAGAAGCGTGTTAGCTCGGTATGACCTCCGATTTCTCTCTAAAACCCTTCTGTGAATTAACATGTTTTGATCGAGACTTATTTTGTTGATTGTTTCCGTCTTCAGGTGGACACATCAGCCAAATATGTTGGTCACTCGGCCTTTGATGATACCTATATCTACTAGTGAAACAGCGTCTCAGCTGGCTGTAGCTGAATGTCGTTACCGATCTTAATGTTATAAAATGCTCTGTTTTATTTTTCTTTTCCTTTTTTTTGAACTTTTGTAGTTGTTATTACGGATAAGGAAATTTGATATTAAAATAAGATGGTTATGCGTTAAAGTTTATGTTCATTACGTAATAAGACCAGAGCACAAAAATCAGTGAACTAAAGCTATTAGACAAGATTAGCAAACGTTTAACGAGTTTAAGCCCGACATGCTTAGTATTCATTAGCGGTAATAAATAAGACTTCGACATTGTTTCAAATTTGCTCAATCAGCCACTATCCTAGCTCGTGGACACAAAATATTTATCTCGACAGTAACTTTTCTCCATATCCCAAATTCATAATATCTGTACTTTGTACTTCAAATGGTATGGTATCATAATGTAACGAGGACCAAACAGGCAATATCATTTGGTCTTCTAAAGAATTGGTAAAGTAGCAAAACCGTGTTGATAAACAAAGTTCTAAAGTGACGAAGAATCAACAACTACATTAGCCAAGATATCCGTTTCCTTTCCACGTTGACTGTGTTTGAACGGATCTGTAATCTTTGTACTCTTCTTTTTGAATTTTCTATATGGTCGAACATGTAAAATTATTTATACCTTCGGACGTTGTAGGTGTAAGCAATAAATAGATCTTTTAATTCCACAAAAAGAAATTCTCAATTGGGAAAATATCATATCATAAAATTCATATTATATGTTTCCTTTTAGGAAAATGTAAATTACCATGTTATACAAATACAACTTAGTACTAAAGACACCCCCACGTGCTGGCGTTACATGTTACACAGTCCAAAACAGCCTCGTTATAATTGTGAACTGACATCAGCTGTAACCGAAACGAACCAAATTTAAGTTAATGCATCTTTTTCAGACAATAAAATAATTTGTTTCTTCCTTTGTTTTATTTATATTTTTGGTTTGTAAAATGTTTCTTACTTCGTCTGAAAAGAACAAAATGTTTCAAACCTTTAATATAGGGATTTCACCTACTAATGTATTATTTATATGTCTAGTGTATTATATATGTCATTATGTGTATCCGTATCTACTAATTTTGAATTATTCAAGCACATAGGTTTTCTTGAAATACTAATTCTTATAGACTGATTTTTAAAATAACAAAAATGCTGGTTCACGCGAGACATCGTAACGACTAAAATAAGTTTTAATTAAATCTCTCTTTCTCTCTCTCTTCCTCTTCTATTTCATTCGCTCTCCGTCTTTTTCTCTGCTTCAGTTTCTCTTCCTAACAAGCAAAACAAAACGGATCGAATCAATTTTTTTTTTTTTTTTTTTGAAATTAAAAGGAAAAAGGAATGATTTTGCGATCTTTCACCTAACCAATTGATTCTCTTACCTTTTGTCGCTCAACACCCATTATCATCGCATTGCATCTGGGTTTCGAATAGAAAAAGGGGGTTCTTTCGTTCGTTTCACAGACAGACTCCAAATGGCGACGAACATTGGGATGATGGACAGTGCTTACTTTGTTGGAAGAAACGAGATTCTCGGTTGGATCAATGACCGTCTTCATCTCAACCTCTCTCGTATCGAAGAGGTAATATTTGTTAATTTCGGATTCTTTTGTTTCCTGCATGTGGGAGATTTTGTTCACTATGTGCATTGTCATGGAATTGATTGAAAAAGGACTTGCCTTTCGCTTTGGAAAGGTTTTGTTTTGATAATGTCGGTGGCCTAAAAGGATTGATTTTGAGTAGTGTAGTGTTGATCTGGTGCAATTTGTTGGATAGATTTGGGGAAGTCTGACTATTTCAAGATTTGGGGTTTGATTTGTTCTCGCTTCATGATCCAATAGATTTGTCGGTGTGTTGCTCTCAGTCAAATATTTAAAAATGAGCTGAGAATGAGCTATTGCAGGTTTTGATATCTTAAATCATTTCATTTCTTGGATGTATCTGAAAATGGGTTAGGTGTTTTGTGCGTTTGTTTTGACTCTCTGATGGTTCCTTGTTGTGTATATTTGATGAATAATGCTTAGCTATTGGAAGCAGCTCATAGTCCAGTAGAATTGAGACTGTTCTTGATTGGTCTTGCTTGTGAGACTGTTTGTTTATCTAAGTGGCTGTTGATTGGGTTTTGCTAGGCTGCATCAGGTGCTGTGCAATGCCAAATGTTGGACATGACTTTTCCAGGAGTTGTGCCAATGCACAAGGTGCTTTTTCTAGTTTTCACATTTTTATTCACATTTCTTGCAATCGTTTCTTCTTCAGAGCAGTCTAAAATCTCCCACTTTTTTAAGGTTAATTTTGATGCAAAGAACGAGTACGAGATGATACAAAACTACAAGGTCATGCAAGAAGTCTTCACCAAACTCAAAATTACAAAGGTAACTTCTTTTTCTTCCATATCATTTTCCCTATACTTGCTTTGAATAAAGATATTGTGGCTTAGTTAGTGCCTTGTTGTACCTCAGCCACTGGAAGTGAACAGGCTTGTGAAAGGCCGACCACTAGACAAGTTGGAGTTTCGACAATGGCTGAAACGTTTCTGCGACTCCATAAATGGCGGCATTATGAACGAGTATGGACTGACTTTTGTACCTTGTCTCTCAACCTTTTCTTCTTTTTGTTAATAACTTAATGACACTCCAATGGTGTCATCATTGTATAGGAATTATAATCCAGTAGAAGGAAGATCAAGAGGCGGCAAAGAGAAGAGCGTAAAGGGAGCTAGTAAGGCCTCAAAGTCATTGCAAACTAACAATATGCATCATCATCCTCCAGTCACTACTTCCACCAAACCTACTGGTCTCAAGCAAGCAAAATCACATGCAGTTGGAGGTGGGAGCAACTCATCAGCCGAAGTGCAAGCTCTGTCTAAGGAGGTAATCCAATCATCCCTATTAACTAATCGTTTTTCACTCCCTTTTTTTTCTCTTCGTGATGATGAAAAAGAAACTTTGTTTGACAATACCAGCTTGCGGAGCTGAAGGTGTCGGTGGATCTCTTGGAGAAAGAAAGAGACTTTTACTTCTCTAAGCTCAGGGATATAGAGATACTCTGTCAGACTCCTGAGCTCGATGAACTTCCGGTAAATGTCATAGCAATTGCCTACTTTTTGTATCTCTTCGTTTGGACTCAAATCTGACAAGAATATGGATTGTTGAAACCACAATATATGAGCAGATAGTGGTAGCGGTTAAGAAGATATTATACGCAACGGATGCGAATGAATCTGCACTAGAAGAAGCTCAAGAGTGCCTAGACGAGTCTCTAGGGCTTGAGGCTGCTGAGGAAGAAGAAGGAGAAGAAGTAGAAGAAGAGGCAGAAGCAGAAGAAGAAGAAACCAAGACTTGAAGTTGTGATTTCTTACAAAAACAGGTTTCAAAGTAGAGGGGACAACGGGGGTGATGAGTGATTGAGAATGACTTTAAAAGCAGTAGCTGTCTTTTTAAAAGTCAAAATTTAGTCAATCAAGCTTTAGTGACTCAAGTTTTGTGTTTAAGCTTCCTATCGAAAATCTAACTGTAAACAAAAGCAGTTTGTCTGCCATTTATTCAACAATAGTGGGAGAAAAAAGACATATTTTCTTCAATCAAACAGGCTTCTCTTCCACCCTGTCTGATTCTTCTTCTAGCTTCATACATAACCACCTCTTTTATTGTAGGATTAAGCTAAATCCCAGAGTTTTCAAATTGAATTAATCAACCGACAGATGATAATTATTAAATCTCATTGATTTCGTTATGGACTCTTAATTAAGAAAGAAAAACATTGACCTAAAACAAAATGGTGTAGATTAAGCCATCAAGGTGGAGACGGATAGAAAACGTGTGTTGGCCGTGGCTTCTACAAAATCAACGGCTACATTCACAAGGTGGTAATTTCGTCATTTCAGCTTCTTGATTCTATCTCGCCCACGTTATCTCAAGGGTACTTCCGACTTTTCGTATCGGCCAACCCGCTAACTCCAACACGGAATCGACCCACATGAAAGAAAAAAACAGCTAGCGGCCGCAAACTCCAAAAAAAAAAAAATTAATTTACAAAACCAACATTACATGACATCTTTTTTATCTGTACTAAAACAATTTAATTCTTTTTTTTTTAAATATGTTTATATGTGTTTAAGGAGTGTTGTTTACGTCTTCTCCACGGAGAAAAAGACAAGAACTTCCGAAACTAAGATTTTTAAACTTTATTATATAAAAAATTTGGAAAACCGACGACAACAGGGACCAAAGTCGGTTCTTGCACTTTCCATTTCTGTAATAAATATTCACTTGGAGCTCAAGTTCTTTCTTGTGCTCTCGATCAATCACAAAACAGAAACTATTCAAAGCTTGAGACTTTTATCATTTGATTCAAAAATCGTGTTCTACACGGTGATTCCAATTCCATTTCCTGGTTGATTGTTTCCATTTTCTTCAATCATCCTTTACGATGGATTACTTGAGAACCGAATCACAAGCAATCTCCGATTCTGAGCAAGAAGGATCAACGATATCGGAATCTGGAAGCTGTGATTCGTACGATAAAGGAAAACGACAACGACTTTCTTTCGCCGACGAACATGGACTTATTGAATTGCTTGAAGGCGACAAAGCTTACGATCTAATCTACCGGAACTGTAAATCCGGTCTCGGCGATCAATGCGAGCTTATCTCGATTCTCAGAAACGGATTCCGCAGCGTTGGATCTCGCGCAAAGCTCAAGACTTTCCAGGTTTTTCAAGAGGCGGTGGAGATGAAACACGGCGGAGGAGGAGAAAGCAGAAGCAAAGCTAAAGTCAAATACGGTTGGTGCTCCGTCGCGAAAACAGAGCTCAAATCGATTCTTGAATACGGGTTTAGCGACCCGAGAAACGACGGATCTTATGGCCGTGGATTGTATCTCTCCCCTGATAATTCTCTTCTTCAATGGTAATAATTTTCAACCATCTCTCTAAAATTTTCTAAACTCTTTTTTTTGCTCATTGTTTTTGAAACTTTTTTGTGATTAGTTTGAAAGAGTCATCGACTCCGGAATCATCAGAAGATGGGATGAGATTCATGCTGCTTTCGAGAGTTCTACTCGGAAAATCAGAGATTGTTCCAAAAGGCTCGACTCAATCGTGTCCAAGCTCTCCGGAATTCGATACAGGTGTAGACGATTTAGCTTCTCCGAGCAAGTATATTGTTTGGACAACACATATGAACACACATGTCTTGCCTGAGTTTCTTGTCTGCATCAAAACTCCATCCAACTTTACTCGTAAGCAAAAACATTTAATTTTTCTTTGCTTTTATGTTTTGGTTCTTGAATCTTGTTATTGACATAATTTACGTTTTTTTTTTTGCAGGGAGCCCAAAGAGATTGAGATCGCCGTGGATGGCGTTTCCTGTATTGATCAAAGCATTGTCAAAGTTTCTACCTCCTTCCCAAATACTAATCATTCAAAAACACTATAAAGATCAGCAAGTAAGTGTTTGTTTCTTCTTCTTTATCTTTTTGGTTATAATATTATCACATTCTAATTGTTGCTTCATTTTGCATATAAACAGAACAAGAGAATCTCGAGGAGCGAACTGATACAACGAGTCAGAGGTATAACCGGAGACAGATTACTTGTTCATATCATCAAAGCTTTGGGACATAAAGTACAAGAGTGAAACGACTGCTTTTGGTTTTGTTTCACGGACACGCAATGGCCACGGTTGTACTTGTCTTAAATCTAAGGCATAGAGTTAGTCCGTTTTTCATTTCCCAAGATAGTGACGACAAAAATTTGTCAGTAGATTCTTTAGAGATCGATCAGATTAGTGTCTTAAACAACATATTATTAATGAAAACGTTGACAGAATACAATCTTCTTGTCTGTTTCTTTTAATCTCTCTATCCCCTTGACTAAAGCCAACGCCGTTGAAAACTTGATGTTTCAAGTTCTTAATCTAGAAAAGTACGTTATAACGGGGTCTTTATAAGGAATTAGCCAATCACTACCAACTTGAAGTCCTTATATCTCATCATCTTAGACTTAGCCAAATGCAAGTGGTATGATATATGAAACTATCCTTATTTACATTGTACACTAAAAAGCTAAGCAAAAATAAATGTGACTTTTCATTTAAACAATTTCTTTTAGCATTAACTAAGAAGAAAACAGTAAAAACAAAAAGACAACCTAAAGGTAGGAAACTGAGATCAATAACGCAATATTGTTTCCCACATTCCATCTCCCATCTCCTATATTCGCAATATCTCCCCGAGTTTCCCCGAGTTTAGTACTGGATAACAATATAAAGAGAGCTATTGTTAGTACTGGATAACAATATAAAGAAAGTTAAATGGTTACCCAAAGCAAACAGTTTCTCGTTAAAGAAAATCAGAGAGATGGATAGTTCTTTTGAAAACAAATGCAGCTGTTTAAATGAAAAATATTGTGTTCTTATTTAAAACATTGGTACATCAAACAAACTCATATTTTATTACAATATTTGGATGTAAATTACACAAAATAGACAATGGTTTAGCTCTTATGGCTTATGGCTTGGTTTTATTTTTTGGAGGATCATAATTCCATGATAGTACACGCCATGGCGGTGTATGATATTTATTTGAAAAATATATCCCATCAAGTTTAGCAACCCATACACGTAGTTGACCATACCGAGGTATAAGTCTTGCCCCCGCTTTATATACTTCAATGTCAAAAGAATACTCCTTTCTAGGTCCTTGTCTAAAAATACATGCCCATCTCGTTAAATTAGGTATCTCGTCGTGAAATTTAATGATATATGGAGTATCCTGGAAATTTAGCGAGTGCACTTGTAGATCGTCGTCTTTGGAACGGCAATGATATTCGAGAACACGACCAGGTCCAAGTTCATTTTGAATTACTACATGATTTTCTTTGCAAGCTTCATTAAACCCCAGATATGCAACAGTAACAAACAAAAGAAACAAGAGATGATTCATTTTTTGAATCTAAGATAACTATTGAAGTAATAAGAACATGTTTGTATTTATAACTTTTGTGTGTGGAAACAATTGTTTCTTTAATTACTCTATAATCTTTTTATGGCTGTGACTAAATTTAAAGAGATACCTGATCCTTTAATTACTAAATAACAATTTGATGGTTTTAGCTAAATTTAATAGAAATATAAACTAATTAGATAACTAATTCTTTAGTTACAAAACAACTTTAATGGTTTTAGCTAAATTTAATCATGAACAGAAACTAATTAGAGATATGGTCAAGATAACTTTAGCGTCGGAAAGTATGGTTAAAACAAGATAAAACAAAAGTTTCCCCGAGTTTAACAATAGCTCTCTCTTTCTCTCTTAATCTCCCTTAAAAGTTATAGTTGATCATGAAACCAAAATCCAAATCAAGCAAAAAATTTAAAATATAACAAAATTTTATTGGAAATGTAGTTTAACAATATCTCTTTCTTCTCTGAATATCACACCCTTGACTAAGTTTCAAGTTGTTATTCCCTCCTCATACTGAAACTAGCAGTAGAGGCAAACTACAAAAACTCATTTTTATTTTGATGCTACAGCAAACTAAAGAGCTCAAGGTTTTTTATTCATTAGTGGACACACGCCAAACTTCTTATGTAGATGGAGGAACTTCCCAACCTTGTGGAACCGGACCATAGTCATAGATGATCTCTCTGTGGCATGACCACACCAGCTTTATAGCCTCCGGTGTCCCTATCCCGGCTCCTCTCGGGTCCCCTGCCGGTCCAAACCAGTGATTCTGAGGAGCTCCAGTTGTTCTTCCTCTGAGTCCAGCATATGTAGTCCCATTCACCGAGTTCCCTATCACTTCCTGCACACATTTAATCACATCAATATCCAGAGAACACAGAGAAGAGATTGATTGAATGATTGGTGATGATTGTGAAAGGGCTTTGCCTGGATAAAGATGGGATCGTTTGAAACAACAGCTGCAGTTAGATGAGCGTGCATCCTCTCTAACGCATCCAACACCAGAGGAAGTTGATCTTTCTTGTATTCCGTTACAATCTGGATATCAGATATCAAAAAAACACAGAGCTAAGTATATGAATCAAGGAAACACAAACAGATCATTCAAATAGATATAAAGATTTTATATTTAACCTGAAACGGTCCAAAAATTTCTTTGGTGACGAGTTCGTAGGTCTTACTGTCCTTCAAGATTTCTTCAATGGGAACATAAACTGCAGTTGGCTCCAAAGCTCCGTAGATGGAAGGAATGGAATGGTTCTTCAATGGCTTCCCACCAAAGAGTAGCTTTGATCCTGGAATCTGAAGCAGATTCTCCGTGTGCTCCAACATTGCCTCAGTTGTGAACTTGAAACCAACAATGAAAGAAACAGTTTTTTAATGATACAGCAATCTCTCATCTTACTGTGATCAAACAGATGAAGAAGTTGTGAGACTTACCGTGAGGACAGGACCAATGGTTAAGTCTTCCAGTTTCCTTCTCTCGGCAAGCTCTTTTAATTTGGAAACTAGAGAGGTCTTTACCCAGTTCTGCTCACCAGAGTTGTTTCAAAAGAAAGAAAACAAATTAGAAACTGCAAGTAACCAAAAGGATTCAAAGGCAGTTTCATTCACCATTAAAGCCTTAGAGGTTAGGATCACACAAACCTCGTGAATAAAGAGCATAGACTGTGCAGAACACTTCTGTCCACTGCACGCGTACGCATCTTGATCACACACCCACGCAACATAATCAACCTGGCATTGGACGCCGACTCAAGCTCAAGAATAACAATCACATTTAAAAGAGAGTTATGGAAATATAAAAAGAGGAAGTGAATATAACAAGAAACCTCTTGAACATCTGGTCCCAAGATTTTCCAATCAAATCCAGCGTCTTCCAATCTGATCCGACCCTTAAGATCAAGTGCCAACTTTTCAGCTACTCTAGAGCTTCCAGTGAAGAGAGTCATCCTTGGATTCGCCTGCCAAAAATATAGCAAAACGTTGAGATAACCTCATACTTTTAGAGGTATTACAATAGACTTGTGAATCTTTTGAAGACAAACCTCTAAAAGTATCTTGTTCATAGTCTTCCCATCGGAGTTTATAAAGTCAACATCTTCAACAGGTAAACCACAGTAATGAAGCAATCGCATCATTTGCTCCATTACAATGCTCACCTATCCAAAGAGACATTTGTAACAATCATGAAAAGGAATATGATTGGTTTCTTGTGTGCCAAGATATATAAAAAAAAAAAAAAAACACACAAGAAGAATATGATTTCAAACAGATGGTACCAATACACTGAGGAAGAAGAATACCTTGCTGTCAACTTTGAGAAGAGGTTTGTTACCCATGTATAAAGCCCCCATCAACTGAAGCAGCGGAATCTCAAGTGGAAAATTGAATGGTGTAACAATCGTTACCTGCATGATCATTAGTCCATGATGTCAAAACAAAGCACAAAACAGAAATGTCACCAGTTATGCTAGCATCTAGGAAGAATGCCTTACAGGACCATAAGGCCAACGGTAACCATGACTTTGCTGCCCAAGATGATTCCCAGGTACTGCAAAAGACCGTGCCAGAAACCGCACCTAATAAAACAAGTGAAGCAGAAGCATTAAATGTTCTGGTTAGTAGACTAGTAGTCCTATATATATAGTTCTTGATACTGATAACAAGGAGCCAACATAAAAGTGTTGAAGAGAGCCATGTAAGTACCTGATCACCGCAGAAATTCTCTAAAAACTTGCGTGTGACAAAGACTTCTCCAGCAGCTTGCTGGTAACTCTTTGGAGCAACCCTTTGAATCAACCTCGTGAAGAAATCAGCCACCTGATAACAAAGTATCTCAGTATGCAAATCATTCAGGAAACTTGAGTTTTGAATCAGTAAAGAAACTGATGTGTTACCTTTGGTAAGGCGAGCATATGAGCTGCCTTTGTCGAGATATCTCCATATAAAAGGTATCTGTAGAAAACATGACCACAGGTTTAGCAAAACTCAACGAAGGAAATGAGAGTTAACATAACAAACAAGATCAGACAAGATTCATAAAGCTTCATACCTCTCTGGAGATTTGAAAGGGTTATGGAGACCATGTTTCGGGCACTGTGCTAAGCTCTCAGCAAATGGCTGCACAAACAGAACAGAGGAAAGATAAATGTTAAGACTTGGGAGTTGGGACCAATACCACGTTGCAGTACTATGGACTCGCACCTGAATTCCTGATTCCTCCACTTCAGAAACTTTGATGAAGGGCTCTCCATTCATAGGATCCAGAAGCGTGTTATAGTTCGACGATCCTATCCACTTTCCCTGCACTGTAGATAGATATAAAGGAAAGTAGTAGAGCTCAGAGATTCCATAACAGCAAGTTTAAAGGAAGAAGCTTTTACTCATTTCCATGCCTTCAACGAGCAATCAAAACTACAAAAACATACCAAAGCTCTGAACTTCAGCAGGATGAGCACCAGATATCTCCTCGGCATCTACCGTAGCAAAAGGCAAAGAATGATTCAATCTGCAAAATGGTAACACGGAGCTTCAGATATCTCCATTTCATGACCACTGGCAGCAGATGCGGAAACTCGATTATGTAACAAAACCAAATCCAAATCTCAACTTTTTAAAAACACCAACTTGCTAAAGTTTTGTCCTTTTTTATATATACTTAAATTAAATCCTTTATTTTTAAGACTGTTATTGCTCCAGTCATATCGTCGGAAAGTCGATCAGTTTAGGCAAAAACATGCAAACACAAAAGGCGAAGAACAATAATTTTATTTAAAAAAGGAAACAATCTGGCGAGATCGATAAAGATTAAAAGGAGGAAGTTTCAGAACCTGGAAGGGGTGAAAGAAGCAAGGGAGGTCGAGGATTTGTCAAAGAGAGACTTAGCTCTCAGTCCTCTGCTCGCCAAAACTCTGTACATTGCGTAAGATCCAGAAGAGACGGAGAAAAATGAAATCGGATGGAAGATGGTGGAGGAGGACGATTCGAGATTGGACAAAGAAACTGAAGTGTGATTTGTTTTGGCTTATAGAAGGAGTCATCGTTGCCCCTGATTGATTGATTGACATTGAATACATATATTTTGATATTTAGAGATAGTTTCCTTTTATTTTAAGATTATTTACCGTCTAACGCCATAGTTTTTAATTGCTATTTATAAACCTTCATATTACTCATGAGAAAGAAGAAGCATATTCTCTATTCAAAATCTCCTCTAATTAATTCGGATTAAGAATTACACAGGGAAATGCAGACACATACACGTGGAACTATCATCTACAGTATAGTGATTTTTGACATGAAATACAGGGATTAACAAGGAAGTTTATAAGCTAAACAGATTTTGATTTAAATAAATTAAAAAATGTGTAATCCATTAAATTTTAATTGGTAGTGTATTAAAATGGGGATAGCTTGCTGAGTCACGGTCCGCTTGGAACTTGACGTATTTGTTTGTCTTTACGCTAAAAGATTAGTAAATTCCTCAAAAATATTTTAAAATAATAAAATCTTTTTTTTTTGCCATCTTTGGAAGAAAATAATTTTAAATCTTTCTCTGTATTTCACATTTCCTTCTCCTTTCCATTTTTTTTGTGTGTGTGTAGATTCTCTTGTTTGGTGAAGAGAATAAATATCTTCTTTGATTTTCTCTCTAAATTACTTTTGCTATTCTCCACTCAATAGTTTCATCATCTCTTTTTTTCTCTCCGCAACCCTACGGACTTGTTCGTCGATCGAAAGGTTGAATTTTGAAAAACCCTAGCTCCTCCTGGTCACCTGCTGAATTATTCTTCATCGCATCTTCGAATTTCAGGTTAGTCGAGCTTTCTTCGTTTAATTTTTTGATTTCGGAGTTGTAACTTTATATCTCTTCTTTCAATTCCATCCATGGATTGAGTATTCGACTCCTCAATCGTGATTTTTAGATTCTGATCCTCATGCTCGTTGAAATTTTGTGTCTTGCTTATTCCGATTTTAGGTTAAAATTTCACTGAACCACTTTATGTCTACTAATTCGTTAGAAAACATTGATATTGGCTTTCTCTGTCCCTGAATCAAACAAAAACCTCAGGCTTTCTTGTTTAGATGAATCTGATTTCTTTAGAAGTTTGGTGTCTCTTGTTTCTTTGATTTAAAGCTTTGAGCTTTGTGGTGTTGAAGCTTCAGAGAAACAAGAGATTGAGAAAAGGTAGAATTTTGATATGTAGATTTTGGCATCTGCTTCTACTTCTTTTGGGATTCAATAAAGTTAAAATTTTGATCATAAAAGAATGCTTTACAGCGTCTTGCTTCATTCATGTGAAATGTTATTACTTCGTATCATACTTGTGAGAAGAATCATAAGAGTTTTAACTTCGATGCAGTCTGTGAATTTCCAACGAGAATGGCAACTCCTGCAAGAAAGAGACTAATGTGGGACTTCAAGAGACTGCAGAAAGACCCACCCGTTGGGATAAGTGGAGCTCCACAAGATTACAATATCATGCATTGGAATGCTCTCATCTTTGGGTACGAATCTTGAACCATTTTTGTGTATGTTTCTGTGTTTTTGTTTGTCTTGGCTGCGTAAACTAAATTTCACTGTCTTTTCCTTTGCAGACCTGACGACAGTCCATGGGATGGAGGTAAGATCTTTCTATACTTATTTTAGCTTATGAGTTCAAAACTAATAGCTAAACTAAACCCAAATTTGTAACTTGTCAGGTACTTTCAAGTTGACTATTCAGTTCACCGAGGACTATCCAAACAAACTTCCAGTAGTCCGGTTTGTTTCAAGGATGTTTCATCCAAACAGTAAGCTCAACAATCATTCAATGGACAACATAGTCAAAGACCTTTACACGAGTAGTTTCGGGTTTGATATTTGAAGTTTTGATGCAGTTTACGCTGATGGAAGCATTTGCTTGGATATCTTACAAAACCAATGGAGCCCAATATACGACGTTGCTGCAATTCTCACGTCGATACAGGTTTTGTTTTGACTTCTGAATCTTTTTGCATTGTAGGGTTATGCTATGCTATGCACAAACTAACTCCAAGACTTTCATTTTGTTTTGGTGTTTGTGCAATACAGTCTCTGCTTTGTGACCCAAACCCTAATTCGCCAGCAAACTCGGAGGCTGCAAGGTTGTTCAGTGAGAACAAGCGAGAGTATAACAGGAAAGTAATGGAGGTCGTGGAGCAGAGCTATGTATAATATGATTCAATATGTATTTTACTTGTGAGTAGTTGGAGCTTGAATAGTAATAATCTTTGTAAGACTTTTATAAATTCCGGATTCTAATTTTTTTTTTTATCATAAGAGCTTTGGGACATAAAGACATAAAGTACAAGAGTGAAATGGAAACTCCATTGCAGAGACCACTTTGGGTTTTGTTTCTCGGACTCAATCGCCGTGGTTGTACTTGTCCTATAAGGAATTAGCAATCTCTAGCAATTTGAAGTCCTTATTTCTCATCATGTTATCCAAATGTAAATTGTATGATTACATTGTTCAACAATCTTTTAGCTTTGAGTAAGAGAAAAACAATAAGAATAATGAAAATGTGATCAGTAACGCAAAATTGTTTCCCACATTTCCATGTCGACTAGTAAACATTTTTTGGTTAGAAAAATAGTTTTTTTGAAAGCTTGTTCACTTGTATAATTCAAAGATATTGTGCTAATATTTAAAATATTGATATAGACATACATACATATAAAAAAAATATATATATATATATTTAATTAATTATATATATATATATTGTTAATTACAATATAAAAATATTTTGTTGTCTATTATAAAAATTAGATGGTTAAGTTCTTATTTATGGCTTAGTTGACTATTTACGTTTTTCCATGATAGTACACGCTATGGAAGTTTATCAAGTTTATTTGTAAAGTATATCCCATCAAGTTTAGCAACCCATATACGTAATTGACCACATCGAATCAATTGTGCAGCTCTGTATACTTCAATGTCATAATAAAACTCCATGGTAGGTCCTTGTCTATAAAGACATGTCCAAACTGTTTGATAAAGTATACTGAAATTTAGTGACAAAAGGAGTAGCATTGAAATTTAACTCTCGTGTGCCTAGATCGTTGTCTTTGGAACGACAATAATATTTGAGAGTATGGCCAGGAGCAAGTTGATTTTGAATTACTATTTGATTTTCTTCGCAAGCTTCATTAAACCCAAAATAAGTAGTAACTAACATAAAAAATATGAGATGATTCATTTTCTGGATCTAAGATATAGATATTTGAGTAATAATAACATTAACATGTAGTATTTATATATATATATATATATATATATATATATTTTCTTCTGTGGAAGACAATTCCTTTAATTGTTAATTATTTTTTAAAAGATTTTAGCTAACTTTAATCATAAATATAAACTATTTAGATATTTGATCCTTCAATTACTAAATCATCTTTTATGGGTTTAGCTAAATTTAAACATAAATGTAAAATAATTAGATCCTTTAATTGCTAAATAATACTTTTATGGTTTTACCTTAAATTTAACATATATATAAACTAATTAGAGATATGATCCTTTGGTTTTACCTTAAATTTAACATAAATATAAACTAATTAGAGATATGATCCTTTAATTACTAAATAGTACTTCCTCCGTTTCAAATTAGTTGTCGTTTTGGCAAAATGTATCTGTAAATATTTGGATGTATCTGGACGTGTTTTGCATTACAGATACGTCCAAATATTTGCAGATACATTTTGCCAAAACGACAACTAATTTGAAACGGAGGAAGTATTATTTTGTGGTTTTGGCTAAATTTAAACATCAATATAAATTAATTAGATATTTGGTCCCAACAAACTTTTAGTGTTGAAAAGTAAGGTTGGCCAATATGATCAAACCAAATGAATTAGTCTTAAAAATTATAGTTGATCATAAAACCCAAACCAAACAAAAGTTTAAGACATAACAAAATTCTTGGAAATGTATTGTAAATGTATTGTTTTGTGAAGATGGTTTAAAAGTTTGGTGTCTCTTGTTTCTTTGATTTAAACCTTTGGGCTTTGTGGTGTCGAAGCTTCAGGTCTTTATTTTAAAATATGATAGATAATTGAAATGTCGATCTTGGTCTCTGCTTCTACTTCTTTTGGGATTCAATAAACTTGAAATTTTTATCAGAAAATAATGTTTAGTTAAACCAATATTAGAAACTATCTTTATTTTACATTGTAAACCAAATGTAAGTAGTATGATGTATGGAACTATATCATTTGTAAACTAAATATAAGCAAGAATAATTGTGATTATTCATTTTTCAACAATTTTTTTGCTTTGACTAAGATAAAAGCAGTAAAAATAAAAATAATTAGACAACAAACATGAAAATGAGATCAATAACGTAATATTGTTTCCCACATTCCATCTTTCATCTCCTAAATTCGCTATATCTCTAAGACTCTAACCATTTTAAAGGCTATATAGCATCTTTTTATTGGTACATAAACTAATGGATAAATATAATGAAAGTTAAATGGTTAACGAAAATAAACACTTGCTGTAAATGCTACATAGAGGTGTAAACGTTTTGTATGAAAACAAATGTAGTTTGCATATATCAAAGATAGTGTGTAATTATTTTTAACAGTGAATATTGATACACACATACATATAAATCAGATAAACTCATATTTTATTACTTTATTTTGCTATATATCATAAAAGTTAATTATACAATGGTTTAGCTATGATAGTTTGGTTCATACATATTTAATATTTATTAGTATTTTTTAAGAAAAATGAATTATCCTTTATTCCATAACAGTACACGCCATGGAAGTTTATCTAATTTATTTGAAAAATATATCCCATCAATTTTAGCAACCCATATACGTATTCGACCACATCAAGGAATAAGTTGTTCCGCTGCCCTATATACTTCAATGTCATAAGAATACTCCATGTTAGGTCCTTGTCTAAAAAGGCATGCCCATATTGTTATATTGGGTATCTCATCATGAAATCTAATGATAAATGGAGTAACATTAAAGTTCATTGTACGTATTTGTAGGTCGTCATCTTTGGAACGACAATAATATTGTAGAATACGACCCGGTTCAAGTTGATTTTGAATTACTACTTGATTTTTGTTGCAAGCATCATTAACCCCAAAATATATTATATTAACTATCATAAAAAACATGAAATGATTCATTTTTCTGGATATAAGATAAGTATTCGAGTAATAAAAGAAACACTATATAGTATTTATATTTTTATTTTGTGTGGAAGACAGTTCCTTTTATTACTAAATAATCTTTTATGGTTTTAGCTAACTTTAAATATATAAATAGAAACTAGTTAAATATTGATCTTTTAATTACTGATTTATCTTAAACTGTTTTAGCTAAACTTATACATAAATATAAAACAACTAGATATTTGATCCTGTAATTATTAATTCTATTGTATGGTTTTAGATAAATAGTAACATAGATATATACTAATAGTATATATATGATCTTTTAATTTCTAAATAATATTTTATTGGGTGTAGTTTTGAAATATGGTACCTAAAAGTGGTATTTCTCAAAATTTCTCTGACTATAAACTAATAAAGATTCTGGTAAAAAAGAATATAGTGTCGAAAACTACATTTGGCCATTATGATCAATCCAAATGAGCTACAGTTGATTATAAAACTCAAACCAAACCAAACAAAAAGTTTAACATATAACAAAAGTCTTGGAAATGTATTGTTATTCGAAGATTCAGTTTAGAAGTTTGGTGTCTCCTGTTTCTTTGACTTGAACCTTTGGGCTTTGTGGTGTCGAAGCTTTCAGGTCTTCGTTGAAAAATATGGCAGACAACTGAAACTAGATCTTGGCGTTTGTGCAATAAAAGTCTCTGCTTTGTGACCCAAACCCGAAATCCCCAGCAAACTCGAAGGCTGCAAGGTTGTTCAGTGATGATAATTGAGAGTAGAACACGAAAGTAATGGAGGTCGTGGAACAGAGCTATGTATAATATGATTCAATATGTATTTGACATTTTGACTAATCAATAGTTGAAGCTTGAATAGTATGATCTTCCATAAATATGTTTGATAAATCATATTTGACCAGATAAACAGTAGAAGAAAGACAAATAAAACGAAGAAACATGAAAATAAAACATAAACACAATTACAAAGCAAGCAGATAAAGTATTTGTTCGTCTTCTTTTTCATCAAACCAAACTTTTTAAACAGACTTGCAAACGCTTTTCAACTATGTACCTAATAAAGAAAAAAAGAAAAACTCATTCAAACCAAAAGAAAAAAAAAGAGTTGATTGAGATGTGAAGAAACGTCTTCTCTGTTTCTTCATTCAGACCTGAACTTCGTCTCCTGCACCAGCAACAACAACCTGCAACAAGCAAACGAGTTTTAGTCTCTCAGCTACAAGAAGATTTCGATCCTATGTGAACCAAAGAAGTTCACTCACAGAGTTTTCTTTGTTCTCCATCTTCTTCAATTGCTTCACTGATTTAACTTCACCTACACGGTACAACACTAAACACCATCAGCCACACATGGTACACAAGCTTTTCAAAGACATTGTATGATTTCATTTCTTTGCTTTACCTTCTTTGGCAGCAGGTTTCTTGGTTGACTTCTTCGTCTCTTCTTGAATTCTCTTAGTCCTTGGTTTAGTGATCCTTTCATCCTTCTTCTGAGACTTGTTTTCTGGAACAGTTTTTGGATTTGCAGAGCTGGCTGCAACTGATTTCTTCGTCCTCGCAGGCTGATTCTTCTTAGAGACTGTCTCCTTCTTGTTTGCAAGCTTTTTCTCTGAAGGTTGAACAACCGCCACATCTTCTGATTCTTGATTCACACTGATCTCATCCAAGGACTTTCTAGCTCCTCCCTGTGGAGCAGTCTCCAAGACCTCTTCTTCCTTGGCTGATTCTGTAACAGCCGAATCTTGCAAAGCATCCTCTTTCATGATCTCTGATGGGATGGTCGAATCTCCAGGAGTAGATTCGTTATCATTGTTCAGGGACACAGTTGCTTCCTCAGCTACAACAGAACTGGTCTCAGTCTCAGAGATCTGAATCTGCTTCGATTCTTCAGAGATATTGTACAGCTCAGACAGCTCCTTCATAGCATCATCAAGCCCATCCAAGTTATTGCGACGAGCGTATGATTTCAACTCTTTCTTCATCTGATCAATCGGCTAGATTCCAAAAACACACAAAGACAGTAAGATACTAAAACAAACAATCATTTCTAATTCAAATCAAATCCTTTCATGGAACTAGCATTTTTTAAATTTACCTCACACCCTGCATGAAGAGCAAGCTTGAAGAAACCGAGAGAGATCGAATGTTTCCCAACTGATTCAGCTAGCTTGATATGAGTCAGCCAATAAGCAGAGGAAGACAAATCTTCAGCTTTTCTCCGAGTCGCTGATCTCAGCACGCTAGAGAAAGGTGTTGTCTCGTTCAAGCTCCTAGCAACAATGCCTGATCTCTTGACCTTGCTCTCCGAGACGGAAGTGACGCTGCTGGAGACTGACTTAACAGATGAATTGCTTGAGTACTTGTTTGGAATCGACAGTCTTCTTGGTGGCTTGCTGCGATCAACACTGCTCTTCTTAGCAGATAGATCAAGAACTGTAGTGCTCTGACTCACAGCAGACGCAACTCGTCCCCTGAGATTCCAACCACACAAAACATATATATAATTCAGAAATCAAAACACAGATGTTTTCTACAAATCTATAGCCAAATTCTGTGAAAATCTATAAAATTTCTAATTCAGACTTAATAAAAGACGAAATGGTAAGCAGCGTATTATCGATGCCAGATCTAGAGTTTTGTTATTGTATCGGAGGAATTTGAAAGGTAATTCTGGTGATGGAAATCGAGAATCGAGAGTTGTGTAGAGTTGTACCTTCTTGGTACTGAAGAAGCTGAGAAATCTGGAACAGGAGGCTTCCCTCCATTCGATCTAAGAGCCGATCTTAGAGGATACCTGAGTTTCGAGTTGATTGAGTTTCCTGTTTTGGATATTTTCAGTGAGATCGAATTAGAAACAGAAAAAAAATTACGAGAAAACTGAAACGGAAAGTGACAATCGGAGTCGGAGAGAAGGAATTGGAGATTCGAATCGATGATTTACCAGAAGCAGCAGAGCTCACGCTTTTCTCCATCGATTTCTCCATTGATAGACCTCTGGAGTGGGAAAGATAAACTGAAGATTTCAATTTGAAAATATGTGAGAGCGGAGAAATCTGACTTATAATCAAAACAAAGCTCTCTAATTTTTTATTTCTCTACAGAGAAGACACGCGTATGATCCCTATACTATACAATATTATCTATTATAGCCCAATTATTTTAAAGTTTCCAATTTTGTCCAATATTCGACCCTGTCCATCTATCTCATAGATATGATTCATTAGCGTTTGATTAGTATCAAATTGTTCGACAAAAAAAAAAAATCTAATTTAATTATCAGTAGGCATACATTCAACTGTTTCTAGTCTTTAAAAAATGGAGCATTAAGCACAAATCAGTACTTTGGGTCTAGAAAAGAAGATATCTAAAGTAAAAGGGTCTCATTTTGAATAGTCCTCAGAATCTAACGCGTAAGTCGTAACCTAAAGTTTCTGTTGCAGTTTGCCTTGAGAGCGGGAAATTAGTTAAATTCTCTTTGAGTTCTGGGAGAGAGGATGAGGGAGAATCACTACAAGCCGTCCGACTTGGTAGATTTCGAATCTGAGGGCCCACATTTTCCCAGACACTCCGCTGTGAGTGGGGTATTAATTTTCGAAAATTCAAATTCAAACAACGCGCCGTCAGATAGACATAAACCGTTTGTTTCTACGGTTAAGATTGGAGGGCTTTTAACTCGACCCATTAATTCTAAAACAATGGGCTTCGTTTGGGCTAGGCGACTATCATACTTGTGCAATTACAGTTATGATCATCAATTCTTCGTCATCATCATCAACATCCGCGAGTAATTCTATCTCCTTCAAGCATACACATATAAAATCACGTTTGAAGACCATCAATCCCATGATTTAGAAGAAGAACAATTGAGATCAAAATCCATTATCTTCATGTATCGATCAATGTTAGATTACGTACTAAGGTTGGGTGGGTGAGAAGACTACCATAAGATTGCGTAGCTCTATTGAACGATTCCTACAATTGCCTTCTTCCGTTTTAGAAAAGACATATGTACTATCCCAGTTGGCTAGTTATTCTCATTGTATATGTAAGCGACACAAAACATATCTTAGTGACTTAGTGGATGTCATGTTCTTGTTTTTTTTATCTAATCGAAACTGTCGTCCCATTTCGACTTTATCTCTCACTAGAAACAATATACTTATTTGTTTTCACTTACTAAAGAACTTTTCGTATAAATTAATCAGAACTTTACCTAAAAAGAATAGATTTTTTTCTCGCTTTCTGAGTATGCAACACGCCTTGACTGTATATCACCGGCAATTATCATATGGTGTACAATTATCATTAGGACCGTTTTATCTAACAAAAACTTGAATTAGCTCTTAATTCTGGCACATTATTCCCTCGAGAATCTATTAGCTTCACGGGCACCTTTTTTGTCACTGGAAACGATTTATGGCGTGATAAACCATTATGATCATCAGCTTTTTAGTCTTTAGAATATTAATTATCAAAAGTAAACCAAGAAAAGTCAGAAAAGTTACAATCAACGTTACCAATTCCGTTTGCTCAATTATTTTAGTTAGATTTAATAGTTTATCTAAAAAAATAATCCAACTGATAAGCTTTTCCGGTTTGGTTCAACTTGATTTGGATCGGTTTTGTTTAATAATCAAAACCTTTTTGGACTGGATCAAAGACTCAATATCTCGAGCTCTTTTGCTCGGAGCCGCTTCTTCTTCTTCCTCTCCGATTTCTTTCAAAGAACTCTTTATTTTTTGGCCATGGGTGAAAAGAATAAGCAGAAGAAATGGTTCTCCTTCCACCAAAGATCCGCTTCCGTCACCGCTACAACAGTACCTCAGCACAAACACGACGAGACTCCGCCGGAGTTTCTTTGTCCCATCACCGGATTCCTCATGTCGGATCCGGTTGTCGTCCCATCTGGTCAAACCTTCGAGCGTCTCTCCGTCCAGGTCTGTCGCAACTTAGGTTATGTACCGGATCTCCTCGACGGGGCCCGACCCGATTTCTCCACCGTCATCCCTAACCTCGCCATGAAATCCACCATTTTCAGCTGGTGCGACCGGAAAAAAGTCGACCACCCTCGCCCTCCTGACTCCGCCTACGTCGAAGGCGTGATTCGTGCCCGGATGGATAAGGATCCGGCTCCGAATCCGGGTCCGGGTCAGGAATCTCCGGATACCAAGGCTCCAGAGCCTGAAATTCTCCCTCCTGTGGCTGAGGATTCGCCTTCCGATTACGATGCTGTAATGGAGGCGATTCGAGCTCGATCCAAGAGCTCAATGTCGCCGACTACATCACTTGAGTCTGTTACGATTGGGCAGAGTCCATTTCACCCTGCCCGAGCCGTGAGTATGTTCTCTTCGTCTTCTACTTCGTCCTCCGGAGTTTACGCCGGAGCTGATAGTCCATTTCGGAACGCTATCTCTTTCTCTTCCTCCGACCACTCCTCGACTCCGATGTCTCCGGAAGAGGAAGAGATCTACAACAAATTGAGAGGCGTTGACATTTTCGACCACGAACAAGGCCTGATTCTGCTTAGGAAGATGACGAGATCCGGCGAAGACCTCCGGATTTCGCTCTGCACCGACCGGATTCTCTCCTTCCTCCGAACATTTCTCGTTTCGCGGTACAATCTCGTGCAGACGAACGCCGCCGCTTCGTTGGTTAACCTCTCGCTGGAGAAACAGAACAAAGTGAAGATCGTGCGGTCAGGATTCGTTCCCCTTTTGATCGACGTGTTGAAATCGGGAACGACGGAGGCGCAGGAACACGTCGCCGGCGCGTTGTTTAGTTTGGCGCTAGAAGACGAGAACAAAATGGTGATTGGGGTTCTCGGCGCGGTGGAGCCGCTCCTCCACGCACTCCGTTCATCGGAAAGCGAACGAGCGCGCCAAGACGCAGCGCTTGCGCTCTATCACCTATCGCTGATTCCGAGCAACAGGACGAGGCTGGTCAGAGCAGGTGCGGTACCGACTCTGCTTTCGATGGTTAGATCGGTTGAATCGTCGAGCCGGATATTGTTAGTACTCTGCAACCTCGCGGCTTGTCCAGACGGGAAAGGGGCGATGCTAGACGGAAATGCGGTGGCGATTCTGGTAGGGAAGCTTAGAGAAGGTGGTGATGATTCTGAGGCGGCGCGTGAGAATTGCGTGGCGGTTTTGTTTGCGCTCTGTCAAGGAAATCTGAGGTTTAGGGGGTTGGCGAGTGAGGCAGGAGCTGAGGAAGTGTTGAAGGAAGTGGAAGAAAATGGGAATGGACGGGTGAAGGAGAAGGCGGCGAAGATTCTGCTGGCGATTGGAGGAGGAGGAGGTGGAGGAGAGAGTGAGTTTGGGGAAAACGCGGAGGCGCGTGAGTGGAATCGTATGCTTGAGGCGACTGGCTTAAGTCGGACTCAGTTTCAAGGAGGGCAAAAGGGGGGTTTCGCTTATTCCTCCCAATTCTAGCTAAATTTTATCTTTTTCTTTTTATCTTCCATCTTTTCCTTTACCCGTTTTGGTAAAACGTTTTTTCTTTTTGCTTTTGTTTTTTGTTTGATATAAATGTTTGTAAATTATTAATTTTGAGTGTATTGTAATATGTGGTTATTGTCTGTTTTTTTTCGTCTAATTAAATGACAAGTGAAATGTACATTGGTTTGTAAAGAGATGTCTAATATTTTTGCAGCTTTGTTTACTATCTGCTCTACTTTTTGGGTGCAAGTGTCATTTATCTAGTTTCGCTTGATTTCTTGTTTGATATAAATAAATTATTAATTTTGAGTGGATTATGATTTGTGATTTTTCGAATTTTATATCACATATTGCAAAATGAATTGTTCACTTTGACATAACACATTACGTCATCACACAATCAGACTTCAGGAAGACAAGAAACGTGCGTGTGATGGTGAAATAAGGAAAAGAGAAAGTAATTTATCTCAAGTGGGAGTTTAGCTTTTGGTCAAAGTCAAACAGTTCGTGTGAAGATGTCAGATGCCAACATACAGAGACTCTGAATTATTCTTCGAGAAACATTCCGTGTGTTACCATGAGATCCAATAACTGATTTAACTAACCAATCCTGCCTGCTTTTATTGCCAAATTAAATACAGACAAGAGGGAAGGCCGAGTATTGAAAACGAAGTACATATATAGTTGAATGTCTTATGTTTCTTCAAGAAATAATATAAAGTTTGTAACTAAAATTATTAGGTCGGATTTTATTTGATCTTCGGTCTCCCAACTAAGCACTTTTCCATATTCCTGCCCAGCCCAAGAAAATGTTATCGTGGGCTATAAATTCGTGAAGTCTTTCTACGAAGAGTTCACAAATGCAAAATGTACAGTGTACTGGTTCAGGAGAACCAACAAATCGTACCAATTATGTTAGATTATCGACATAAAAACTAAGTTCTCCCTACGTTACAAACAGATATGATTCAAAAACTGAAAAACATTCTCTGTTACTTGGCATAATGATATGATCAAACATTAACATGTCTTTTGTTTACTCCACTTTCAAAGACAAAATCATTTTTTTTTTTTTTTTTGCTAAATCAAAGACAAAATCATAAGACAAGACCTTATGGCTGGGGCATAAGTTAATGTTATCCGTGAGAGCTTCTTTTCTGACTTATATAGCTAATGGATTCATATACATGTGACAATAAGAACAAAGATGGAATAATGGAATTTTCCACAGGATGTGTGTATGGATGATTGCAGTTTTCCGCATGCTTGATGATTTGTTTGTCAATTGGTCCAGTCCTAATAATTTATCATTTTATAAAGAAAATGACAAATTGTAAACCAATCAAATTTACGTTAAAATTTTAATTCAGTCCGTTTGATTCCATGAGGAAGACGTTATAAACTTTGCACTTAATTCGAGGGTTAAGGTTAAAAGTGTGTGACCAGATATAAAGGTCAAAACTTTATCTCATCATCTGAAAGAAAATTAAAATTAAAAAAATTGGGGGTTCCTCGTCACTGACGCGGTTTCAGTGGAGCCCACACAACAAGACACTGAGGAATTGAGAAAGCTTCACAACACCAATTCTTGCCCGTGTCTCTATCTGATTACCACAACGAATTGCATAATCTCAAAGACAAAGAGCTTTTTCTGAAGAGCTTGGTGGGGAAGAGAAAGATAATTCCAAGATACGGGTCTTGTTTGAAGATTATCAGATTTACGAATTACGATAAATCCGTTACTCTCTTTTGGTATATATATATACATCCTTCCCGGAAATTTCGGCACTAATAAACCAAAACAGACACACACACACACACACAAAATTTGCTGTAAATGGTTAAAATCCTCTGTGAATTGAATTCGGTCGCTGCATCTTCGTGGGTATCTGAGAGATGTCGCAGAAGAGGGAATTTGAAGAAGGGAAAGCTCGAAGCTCACCGGAGGATAAACGTAGAAGATTCAAAAGGTTTAATTTTGTTTGAGGTTCTTTTGGTTTATCATGTTGCAGGCTCGAAATCAGTAACCATATGTGTTAGTTTCAATCGATTGGATATGAATTAGAGTCTAAAAAGTTGTGATCTTTATGGAAAAAGCATTCATTTTTTTTTGTAAAGTTCGAATTTTTAGATTGATTTAACCAAGCTATTGACTTTTGAAATCCAAAATTCAGTGTGGTTCAGGAGGTGATGAGATTGCAAACTGTCAAACATTTTCTCGAACCCGTTCTCGAGCCGTTGATTCGTAAAGTGGTGAAAGAAGAAGTTGAATTGGCTCTTGGAAAGCATCTATCAGGCATCAAATGGTAAAAACCTGTTTTTTTTACAAAATCAAATATTAGCTCTTTTAGACTGTTCTGTTGTTATAAACAGTTTTTCTTGTCATGTTTCAGGATTTGTGAGAAAGAGATTCATCCTTTGGAAACAAGGAACCTAGAGCTAAAGTTCTTGAACAATCTATCACTTCCTGTGTTTACATCAGCTCGGATAGAAGGAGACGAAGGCCAAGCTATACGTGTTGGATTGGTCGATCCTGCAACTGGCCAAATCGTCTCCTCCGGTCCAGCTTCATCTGCGAAGCTTGAAGTCTTTGTCGTTGAAGGTGATTTTGATAACTGGACAGCTGAGGATATCAGGAATAACATTGTAAGAGAGAGACAAGGAAAGAAACCTCTCCTTAGTGGGAATGTATTTGCGGTTCTTGATAATGGCATCGGTGCTATGGATGAAATTTCATTTACAGATAACTCTAGCTGGACTAGGAGCAGGAAGTTCAGGCTTGCGGTAAGAATGGTGGATCAGGTTGAGTTCGTCAAAGTCAGAGAGGCAGTCACAGAGTCCTTTGTTGTTAGAGATCACCGTGGAGAGTGTAAGTATTTGCTTCTTAGTTAGTTTATTCTCTCACACTGTGTGTCTATTAATTCACAAGTCATTCTTTTATTGTAGTGTACAGGAAGCATCATCCTCCTTCTCTATTTGATGAAGTATGGAGATTGGAGAAGATAGGGAAAGATGGAGCATTTCACAAACGACTGAATTGCTCAAGCATAAACACTGTCAAGGATTTTCTAACATATTTCCATGTGAACTCTTCAAAACTCCGGCAAGTAAGTTTCATCTCCTTGAGACAAACACAGTTTTAAGGTTGTCTATTATACATTAATGATGATTGAGTTGTTCTTGCAGATTCTTGGTACGGGTATGTCTTCAAAGATGTGGGAGATTACATTGGACCATGCTCGGTCATGTGTTTTGGATAATAGCGTCCACGTGTACCAACCTCAGAAGAAAACTGCTGTTGTCTTCAATGTCATAGCTCAAGTTCTTGGACTGCTGGTGGATTTTCAGTATGTTCCTGCTGAGAAGTTATCTGAGATTGAAAAGGCAACGATCCTCCTCTCTGACTTGTTTTCTCTCTTCTGTATACACTGTTCTTGTCTTCATGAATTTTTTTGATTGTTTCTTCTGATTCAGGCTCAAGCAGAGGCGATGGTGATTGCTGCACTGAGTCACCCAAATGAAGTAATCTCGTATGATGATAAGTCTTCCATGATGAGGAACTTTCTCAACGTCCCACCTTCACAAACCAGTGCTGGGATTGATTATTCCGGTATGAGTTTGACTAGTATGGATGGTTATGGTTTCGTGGGGACTCTTCACAACGCAGCAGAAAGTAGTGGCAAGTACAGTGATGATGTTGACATGGAAGTTACTCCACAAGGCTTGTATGAAGACTTCAGTCTCTGGAACTGCTCTCAGATTCTAGGCTTGGAAGAAACACAATCTGATTTGCAGAGTGCGCTTGACGGTTTCATGTCACAGAAGAATGTTGTGATCGGTAAGGCTCACAGCAGAAGAAGATGGACAAAGCTTTTCAGTGTCTCGAAATGGCTCTCTGTTTTTAAGAGTGTTACGGTTAGGAAGAATATCTGAAGTTTGTTAGTTTCATATAAATTAAAATAAAAACAAGCCGCCCTGGACAGATTTGTATGTATATATTTACATTACTCAGGGAAAGATTGTGAATCTCAGAGTTTCTGATCATCCAGAGGCGTTTAAAAGAACTTTTCTTTCTTCTTTCTGCATTTTCTGTTTCAATCTTTTGTGTTGAACATGTGAATATGTAAGGAAATTTTCATTTTTGTTGGTCTTTATAATCTTTGTGATGAGAATTATCTAAGCACCAAATTATTGCATATTTGGAGAAGAAATGTGTTGTAGGTTCGTTACAACTACATGGTAGATGATTATAAATAAATTAATCGAATGTCCAATGTTTTAATTCATTGCTTATAAGTTCAGTTTATTTTTTAGTCATTAAATTTGTGAACACTCAAAATCCTTTTCATATTTGGTAATTAGTTTTTATGTAATGATAAAATCACCTTGCTGGAAACTCTATTTCGCGACAAGTTCAATTGTAATTTTTAAGTTCTGAATAAATTGGGCCCTCTTCCGACAAAAAAAAATCAACATGGCCTCCATCTCTTCAAAATTACGTTCATCTTTTGTGCACTTATGTTAACATATTGAATCTATTTTAAGTAAAATTCTGGAGTGAGAAACTGTATCACATCAATATGTTGCTAGTTGCTACTGTTTCATGTGTGACTCGAAGCTTGTTCTGTTTCGATCGTTTTTTCATCTAAAATCCTATTAGTTTTTTGTTTGAAAAATATTTGTCATTTTAGTCAGATTATTTTTTTTTTGAAATATTTGTCTGTTGGAAAGTAATTGTTCCTTTTAGGCAATGTTTCTCGTCATGCCTGGATCAGAATTTCGTGCCACATGTTCCTCGTGAAATCTGGCCTAAAGACAGTGTTATCCCAACGGCCGACAACCATCATCATCTCAGTAATTAACTTTCGTTATTTTTTCATTTATTGATATTTTTCTGTTTACCATGTCGTTCTTATATTGGTAATTTTTCTTTTCAAATGGTGTTTATACTTGCACTGATTATCATGGTGGCTATTTTGTACACAATCCCAACGCAAAATATCCTGCGAGAAAAGGTAAAGGTGCAGTGAAAAAGGATGAAAGATATGGGGATAAAGACAATGGATCTGGGAAGAAAGGCGAAGGATCTGGGAAGAAGAAGCGGGGAGTATATTAGAAGGGCGAGGATTATGGAAAAGGCAAAAAGTATATTCTGAAGGGTGAAAAGGCAATATTTTACTCTTTTCTCTATTATCCACGTTTTATTCTTCTTACGCATAATTAGGATTTATTATATATGTGGTTTTACGTATTGTTTTTTTGTCATTTTAAATATATATTTAAGAATTTAAACGCATCTATTGATATTTTGAAGCTAAATTTAATTTACTTAGCAGCGTGCTAGGCATATTTCGATATTACAAAGAAACTGTATGAAGCAGTAGCTTAGCAAGCTCTCTTCAGACTCTCAGTATTTTTAAACTTGTTTATATTGATATCTCAGATAAAAGAGCTTCAGCCTCTGCAAAAGAAATTCACAGATGTTAAAGCACAGTTGGAGCTCAAAACGTATGACTTGTCCTTATCTCTGAAGAGCGCTGAACAGAATGAGAATCACAAGGTTTATACCTCCACCATCTATCTATCTATCTCTTGAGCTAAATTGTCAGTTTCATATTGCTTTTTTCTTTGTACCTGAGGCACATAAAAAAAAACTTGAGGTATAGCTTGAAGATGCGAGATTCCAAATCAAAAAGAGGAACTTGCTTACAATAATTGTGCTCCACATTAGAAAATTCATCAAAGACCATGACCAAAACAGAGACGGACGACTCAAAGACTTGGAAAAAATTATCAAGACCATCAAAGCTTGGTTGCAGGCAGCTTCTAAAGAAAGATATAAAGGTATTCTAGATCTTTCAGTCGGTTGTCTATTATATACCTTAATGATGACTGAGTTGTTCTTACAGATTCTTGGTACGGGTATGTCTTCAAAGATGTGGGAGATTACATTGGACCATGCTCGATCATGTGTTTTGGATAATAGCGTCCACGTGTACCAACCTCAGAAGAAAACAGCTGTTGTCTTCAATGTCATAGCTCAAGTTCTTGGACTGCTTGTGGAGTTTCAGTATGTTCCTGCTGAGAAGTTATCTGAGATTGAAAAGGCAACGATCCTCCTCTCCGACTTGGTTTCTCTCTTCTATGTATACTGTTCTTGTCTTCATGAATTTGTTGATTGTTTCTTCTGATTCAGGCTCAAGCAGAGGCGATGGTGATTGCTGCATTGAGTCATCCAAATGAAGTAATCTCGTATGATGATGAGTCTTCCATGATGAGGAACTTTCTCAACGTCCCATCTTCACAAACCAGTGTTGGGATTGATTATTCCGGTATGAGTTTGACTAGTTGGATGGTTATGCATGGTTTTGTGGGGAATCTTCACAACGCAGCAGAAAGTAGTGGCAAGTAGAGTGATGATGTTGACATGGAAGTTACTCCACAAGGCTTGTTACTCCAAGAGTACACATTTCAATTTAAATCCCTAACTATTTTCTTATTCAAAAAATTATTCTACGTGAATAGTGTTGTTTTTGACCGTTTCTGTTTACAATCTATTTGTGTTATGGACGTTTGTGTTGGACACGGAAGCCCAATTGTTTAAATATCAACTGAAAACGAGATTTTGCTTTTCTTAGATTAAGAAAACGACGACGTTATTGGAGTAACAAGAAATATACAAATTTGACAAGTTTTTCATACCCTAGATCAGATTTTGTGAGCTCGTTCCTTGAGAAGAAAGGAAAATAAATAAATTTTATCAAAGTTTCCTACTCCTAAATGAGTAAAGAGTAGGGCATTGAGAATTACAACTAGTATTGGCTATGGGTCTGTCTCGAGCTCTGGTTTCGTCTCTTCGATGGAAGAAGAGGTCTTGGAAGGCGATGATAAGGGGAAGAAGAAAAAGAAGACGAGGAGGAGATGATTGGATCGCGCCGGAGATTCCTTGGGAGATCGAGATCGAGATCGAGATCCTGCTTAGATTGCCTGCTAAGTCGCTGATGAGGTTCAAGTGCGTCTCAAAGCTCTGGTCGTGTCTTATCCATTCCCGGTATTTTTGCAACCGTTATCTTACGGTCGCATCTCCACCTCAACCACCTAATCTATACATGAGTTTGGTGGACCAACTCGAACCTGCTAGGGTAATTGTGGGCACCCGCGAGTCTGTACTGCTATCTTTATCATCATCTTCGTCTACTGATGGTGCTGAGTATTTGTCCCCAGATTTGATCTTGGCACAGTTGGGAGGACTCCACATGGTTGTTATTCGCGGCTTGATTTTTTACAGTGTTCCTACAGAACCGTGTAGCATCTATAATCCCACTACCGGTCAGTTCATAACCTTAGCCGCCATCAATCCTAAAATCTCTGCCCCAAAAGGTTTTTCTAAACACTACTCTTTCGGGTACGATCCAGTTCTTGATCAGTATAAAGTGGTCTGCACGTTTCTGATAGCATCAAAGAAACGTAAGAGGATAACCTCATCAGAGCATTGGGTCTACACAGTAGAAGCCGGAGGTTCTTGGAAAAGAATTGAGTTTAATGGACCAGCTCATTGTCCTGCAAGACCAGGACTATGCATCAATGGAGTTATATATTATTTGGCTTCTACTTGCATGTCCCGTGATATCGTTGTCAGTTTTGACGTTAGGTCTGAAGAGTTCAATATGACGCAAGCACCTGACGATGCGCTGCCTGCATATGGGAAGCCTGTGGGTGTGGGTTTTATAGAGTATGGTGGGAAACCAGCGATTTTGGATCATACCAATCTTGTACCAATGGGTTTGGTGGAATTGTGGGTGTTGGAAGATGGTGGAAAGTGGTCGAAGAAATCTCTGGTTTTGAAGCCTTGTCAGATGCATTTAGTTGCTAACAACATGTCATTGCTTGTACATGGTACTACTATAAACGGCGAGGTTATCTTGGCACCCATATCATTTTTTTCCCCTTATTACATTCTCTATTATGATTTGCAAAATAATGATTTGAGAAAGGTTGAAATCAGAGGAATACCGGACCACTGGTTTAGTAAGCCTGACATGAACGTCCTTATGTATCTGACACAATTGGATGAGAGTGAAAGCATCATCCACTTGGAAATTTAGACTTGTTTTTTGAGATTTCTTTCTTGCTAACTAATAAGTAATAAGATTATCATTGTCCAATTGTTTTTTAGCCTTTAATTATTTTGTACACAATGGAACTATATTTATCCTTTTTGACATCGAGATCTCATGTATTATTAAGATGTGCCAAACTGATTAGCTGTATCAGCTAATCCAATTTGGGATCGAGGTGTCTTCATGGAAAATAGATCTCATCCGAGTTTTACTTGTCCAGATTTTGTGAAGATAGAAACATAATCTGATACAGTTTAGGAAGAATCTGAGTAGAAAATTCTCTTTCTAACAATCAATAAAGCTGTAGACTGGATAACATTTCCATGTTCACTAGATAAATATGAATGGGAAATGTTTAGTGACTTTAAAATCATCCTCATAACGTCATTGAGAACACTACAAAACATTCTCTTCATGAAACTGTCACTACATTGTCTGAAAATGTTTCCTCAATTACTATGAAAAGAAAGTTGCTCTCGAAATGTCACTTGTTTCCAACTTTTCTGATCAGTTAGCAATATGAGTATGGAATTACAACTCATTATGTCTTGCTTCTCTATTTTCACGCTAGCAGGATGCTGCTATGAAATTTATGTCAAAGTTGTAATGAATAAAGAAGCCAAGGCTGCAGGAAAAAGCTCATGAGTCTTGTCTTTGTATACTTTTTCTTTTCTTTTTATACATTCTCTTATTCTTTTTTTCTTCAATCTCTCAATAATGTTTGTTTACTCACTGCTCACGGCATCTTATAAAGCAGACAAAAAGAAAAAGACATCGTCGAGGGAAACAAAACACAGGCTTTTTCTGTTTTTTGCCGTTTTGTTGGATTTCTGCTTTTATATTCCTACAATCCTACCATATTTCATTCTGCTTCGTATTCATTTAATTTGTATAAAATCTGGATTTGACACCCTTAACTTCCAACTTAACATGACTCAACAAGACAAGAACATTTCCACAACGCACGTTCTTCACAAATCACGCAAGATTAAATTAATGATTACACTAATAAGAACATGTACAAAGAGCTTTCATGCTCCGAGTTGATAACATTGGTTCACCAAATATGTAAAGAAAATGTTAAAATAATATTAGCTGAACAACCTCGGGGGTACGTACACCAAAGAATCCCATCAAACTAAGTTACTTTTGCTTGATTTGCACATATTGATGTTTGAAAGCTACATGCCATATGTCTTATTTTATCCACATTTGTACTCATGTCGTCCGATATGTTGTCCAATTCCTACATCAATCTAAGATATAGATAGGTACGCAATTTCGTAAAAGAAAAACCCTCGCATCTATTATCTCTAACCATACTATTGACTTTTACTAAACCAACATATTACATGCGTCGAGTAGAACAACACAACACGTGGATTCTCATAATACACAAACACAAGTGATTTAAACATTAAACCTTCAGTTAAAAATTAGTTGATCAGACAATAATAACCATTAAATACGCATTTGACTATCCATTAATACATCATTTGAAGCTTTTCGTTGTCGTAAAAAACAATTATTAAGGAAAACAAGGCGATCTTTAAAAAAAGAGAAGAATTTAGGAAAACAAGGCGAAAAATATTCTTATTCCACATCATCGTGTTCCCTAGCGTGATTATTTTTAGAGACACCTGACGAAACGGCACCGTCTCATGTCATCATCATCTCCATTCCCAAAACAAAAAAAAACGGTATAAAGATCACACAGAGACGCACACACAAAACAAACGGTAAAAATCCACTGTTCGCCGACTCATAAAGCTTCTACCACCGTCTACTCAATCATCTCTCAAACTACGCTAATGCCATTGCCGCCTCTTGTCCCACCAGATCCACCTCCGTCTCCGCCGCACCTCTGATACCCCAACCGTCGCCGGAGAAACCTCAAACGTTAGAAAAATGGCGAACAACCCGAAGCAAAAGATGTCTGTGTTGCTAACCAAGCTCGGAGATCGAGACACATTCACAATGGCGGCTCGTGAGCTCGATTTGATGGCTAGACAGATTGATCCTTCCTCCGGCAATAATCTACAGTCGTTTATCTCCGTCATCCTCTCCGCCGACACCGGCGATAAACCCGCGGTTCGTAAGCATTGCATACACCTGCTCGCCGTGTTATCCGTCTCTCTCCCTCCCAACACTCTGTCTCCTTTCCTCTCCAAGATCCTCGCTCGCATCACGCGCCGCCTCCGCGATCCGGACTCTTCCATCCGCTCGACCTGCGTCGCCGCCGTGTCGGCGATCTCTTCCCGGACGACGAAGCCTCCTTTCGCTTCCGCGTTCATGAAGCCGCTGGCGGACACGCTCTTCACCGAGCAGGAGGTGAACGCGCAGATCGGTGCCGCGCTGTGCCTCGCCGCGGCGATTGACGCAGCTTCGGATCCGGATCCGGCTCGGTTGGGGCAGGTGCTTCTGCCGAGGCTGGAGAAGCTGGTAAAGTGTAAAGCGTTTAAGGCGAAATCCGCGGGAGTGGTTGTGATCGGAAGTGTGATTGGTGCTGGTGGTGTGTCCAGCTCCGGCGGATTGAAAGGTCTGGTGGATTGTTTGCTTAGCTTCTTGGCTAGTGAAGATTGGGCTGCGAGGAAAGCAGCTGCTGAAGCATTGGGGAAGTTAGCTGCCATGGAGAGAAACGGTTTAGCCGAATTCAAAGCTAAGTGCTTGAAGATTTTCGAAAGCAGGAAATACGACAAGGTTTGTTTGTTTTCTTGATTTTGAAATTTTTGTTGATCTTGAGTGTATGGTTTGCTCAAAGATGATTTGTTTTAGGTGAAAGCTGTGAGAGAGGTGATGAATCAGATGATGGAGGCGTGGACACAAGTCCCAGATTTATCAGAGGAGGTGTCTCCACCCAGATCTAATGCTTCTTCTAAAGGTAATTTTTTAGATCTTAGCCAAATCAGGAAACTTTTTCACTTGTTTAGTTTACATACACTATCTTTTTTGGTTAGATTTAATTTGTTTTGTTGATTTGATTAGGTATGGGAGGAGATGATGCAAGTGATGGAAGATCTAGATTTGCATCAACACCTGCTAAATCAAGAACTCGTCTGGTTAACAGATCGACTCCACCGGGTAGCTCAATCGCCACCGCGGCTAAGAGACGGACTAATATAAAGAGCAGTGATCAGAAGAAGACAAGTTCAGTGCCAACACAGAGCAAATCAAACGTAAGGAGAAGATTGGACTGGAAAGCTGGAGGAGGAGGAGGAGCTGTTTTTCCTACTGGTGAGCCTCTTGAAGTTGAAGAGGAACAACATCACTCCCATGATGAGAACACAAAGGAAGCGATGCAGCAGAGGATAGGAAGTGTTGAGAGTTCTCTTACTTATAATATTCCACTATCCGGTGAAACTACTATGGCAACAGGACATCATGTCTTGTCTGAGAACCAGAACAGTAGTAACTGTAAAGGGCTTGAAGATATATCTCTGCTCCGTAATCAGCTTGTTCAGATTGAGCAACAGCAATCCAATCTAATGGATCTCCTTCAGGTTTGTTTCTAAAAAAGTAGCCATGATGATGGATGCATGATCTTAGTTTCTGAAACTCATTTCTGGTGTGTCTTTTTCATCAGAGATATGTCGGAAGCTCACAGAATGGAATGCGTGGTTTGGAAACACGAGTTCACGGCTTGGAACTTGCGCTGGATGAGATATCTTATGACTTGGCGGTTTCAAATGGGAGAATGAGTAACGGCTCAGGCAAAAACAGCTGTTGTCTGTTTCCTCCCGGAGGTTTCATGAGGTCCAAATTCTGGAAGAAGCCAGAGTCAAAGTCTTTAGCATCGAGACTGTCCACTTATACAAACAGGAATGCAGAAACCATTGGGACACAAGACTCGTCTAGGCAGCGGTTTAATGGAGCTGCCGGATTTATAGTCAACCCATTAGCTGAAATTCGACCAGATAATGGATCAGCAGGTAAATAAGTTGTGTCAATGTTCTTTTGTGTAGGAACTATGAAGCAGTTCAAGTGTTTACTTCCTTTATTTTTTTTTGCAGGTATGCATCACGATTGACTTACGAAGAGAAAGAGGAAAAACCTCGAAAACCACAGTGTGAATGTGGTGATTTATACTGATTACCAAGTTGTGTATATTACAATCTTAAGTTCTCAATCATTTTAGTCTTTCTTTCTCCTTGAAAATATTGTTCTACTAAAATCCTTTTAAAAAAATAGTTGAGATCGATCATAGATGTCTTGACTAAGTGTTCTTTGCTGAAAATTTCTGATATGTTGTTTTTTCTTGTCAATGTTTGCGTTATGGTGTGTGTACATACATGAGTTTCAATTTTAAATGTGATATAAATAAACACAAACGATGAATTGGAAAATCTAATATTTTGTTGTGAGTTCAAATATCAAAACAATATGAAAACATGAAAAATCCTAAAAATTGATTAAATAGCTGCGTAACTTTCATAAATCCAAGGCTTGAAAAATTGAAGTAGTTTTTTTGGTGGAAAATTGAAGTAGTTGGCAAATGGCAACTGTTTTCCTTCCACTACAATAGAAAAGGGGTTTATATCTTTTCGTTGAATTAAATATTGGTTACACTCTTGCTATTTCTACTAGTTATTAGTGTCATAATGTGACTTCATGGGCAATTGAATAGTTTATTAGGTATAAAAAGAAAACTCTACATATCATTGATTATTCTAGTGTCCTCCACATTTAAGTATGGGCAACAACCTTAAATAATTGACCAAGTTCTTTTTTTCGCCATTATGAAACTTTAGAATCCCTTGAGAGGGTTAAAGCTTCTTTTAAAACATGTTCTACTGCCATTTAAGCTTGGTTAGTTGTTCCTGGAAACCAAATAGAAAATATACTGTATATTAATTGTGAGCAGAAACAACATACGTAAGATTCATGGAAGCTGAGATTTGATTCCTTAGCTACTGCCAGGAATAGAAACACATGAACTCGTAATTAGAAAGAAGCATTTGAGACTGAGCTTTCAATCAACGGTGTTATCATGTGACTTTAGAGTAAAGACAAAGGGTGAAGCTGATGATCATTAAGACGTTAATGGAGTTGAAAACAAGATAGTATACAGTTGTATTAGACAGTGAAGTAAGAAAAAAGGTTACAACTTACAAGTGAAAAATATCACATCGCATTGATCAAGATTTGCATTTCCTAGGACCGAGGTATTAAACTTCTGTTGTTGCCAATTATATCATTTTGTAACAAAGTTGGAACATCTATGATCTGATTTTATCATACAATTGAAAGAAAAAATAGTAGGCTTTGATGATACTCTGCAAGTTAAGCAAGAAAAAAATCGATGCTTTTGTATTTGATCCCACTCAAAATCATACCAATCTTTCTGTTTTCTCACCCGGTTTAATTGAAAATAGAAAGAAGTTTGGTTCTTCGCACTGGATATTAACCGGCCAGACAACGGAACAACGGCTCATACCAGAAAGAGAGAATAAAATATATGAAAAAAATCTTTATGAACAGCTAAGACAGTAAAAATGCAACAAAAAAACATCAAATCTCTCTCACCTTCTGAAAAACCATCAGAAGGGTCTATGCAAAAATTGACCTTCTTCTCTGGTTCTTCTCACTCTTCTTTTCTTTTTTTCTCTCTTCTTTCTTTGTTTTTCATCATCCCTATGATACAGGAGCAACCAGATTCAACTCAAGAGGCTTCAAAGCTGCCTGAACAAGTTCTTGAACAGTACGGTTACGGCGGCAAACATCTGAGAGTTCCTCAACGTGTCCTATCAGAGAATTCACATCAGCTCCATAAGCAACATCGGATAATGCTTGTAAGAACTTGGTAGACTCTGTCTCTGTCACAGCTGTTCGAGGAATCAGGCTAACACTTTCCTTAGCCCAACCCACTGCTTGTAACCCGTATGTTCTGGTCAGAGCTAGAAGCGCATATGTTACCTAAACCCAAACCCCACAAACAGAAAATGTTTTCAAAGGCCAAAAAGCATCACAATAGAATCCAGCAAAAGAATGTTTATTAAATTTACCGTATCTAGCCGAGAACTGGGAAGTGCTCCTGCCAATGATGCAATCAAGATTCTGGTGATTGTAGCTCCCCGGGGAATAATGACACTGTCCCTGATTCTTACAAACTGTTCTTCGTTTACAGATTTCTCGAGGTCAAAAATGTCGGATAAAAATGTCAATATTGAGTGGCAGGCCTCTCTGAAAAAAGTGTTCAAAACATTTAGTACACATCAATGTCAAAACCCTCAAGGAGAGATAAATAATGATGAACAGTATAGAGAGAGAGAGGGAGAGACTAAAACCTGTGCTGCACTGTGATCCCAATCATTGCGCAATCTACAAGAGGTGAGAATATAGGAGAAGGGATGAATATATGTGGACAGTAACGAAGACATCTTGACGCCAACAAAAAGCAATCATCAGCTATGTCTGGTCTAGCAGTGACTTCCTGTAGGATCAAAAACAGAATTAGACATCACAGAGTATAAAAGAAATCAATAAATGGACGAGAATATATACTATTAAGTGAAATCGTCAACCTTGATACTTGTCATAAGACATGTTGTATGTGCAAAGAGTGTTTCAATCAGATTCTTCAAGTAGTCAGCACAAGATGGGTCCGAACCAAAAATCTGAAAATCACAAGAAGATTAGATTCTCTAAAGCTTTTTTATAAGCATTTCACTGATTGAAAAGAGCACAAATTACCTTTATAACTTCACTGGAGAGGTAAAGAAAGCATGGCTGATGATGCTGCTGGTAATGGAATTGAATTTTTGCCAGCATTTCTCCAATTGTATTGATTATGTATCTTCCAGAAGTACGTACCTACAAACATAATTCCAACCATTGCCTTCTCTTACTAAAGTATTCTATCGAAATTTTCATACGATAAATAGTTTTAGATCTTTTCTTATTTGTATAGACACGGAATGTCCATTGAGGAACAAAAAGGAGAAGGGTAAAATATAGCTATGAAAATGATGGTGTGAAACTCACAGCATATTTGCATGCTCTGCATAGAGATTCCATTGTCCTCATGTCCCAAGGACGCCTGCAGTAAAACCAGTTTAGAGTAAGGGACCACATAAAAACCAATTTGAAGATCGTATGGTTAATAATCATGTGTCTAGAAACACGTACGCATCAAAAATAACTCTGAATATAGCCCAATGCTTATCAATCTGAGCAGCTACAGCTTCAGGGTGGTTTACATACCTAAGGTGGTAGCATATGTTAGTAAGACTAAAGAAAACGTAGGGAGATATGTCGCATTATCGAGATATTATGCGAACCTGAAGAGGAAGGCAAATCGGTCAATATGAATAGTTAATTCACGGGCATGCTTTTTGTCCAAATCTTCTTTTGCCGCTTCCTGATTCACAGATTTACACCGATTATAAGTCTGACAATATATCAAACCACCATGGAAAAAAGTCAAGATGCCAAACCTCTAGAGGAGAGGCGGCTGAAAAGCACAACTTTTCAAGAGCGCTCTTGGCCTGATCCAAAGGAAGCTCTGTAACAACCATCCTGCATTATAAAGAAATGTTAATAACACAGAGATGAGGAGATATAATTCATCTTTCAGTTGACTCCATACCCTAAAGCTTCAACGAGGTTTAGTGAATCTTCAGCAGATACTTTATAACCACCGCCACCATTTATTGCCATGCAATAGATTGTAAACAAATCTTCAAAATACCCGCAAAGATTTTTCCGGCAATCTGCAGTTCAAAGTTTTACAATTTGAAACCAATAAGAGAAAATTCCAAAAATAACATAATATATGCATTTTAGTTTCAACACAAACACATTCCTGTATTTCATAAAACAGTGTTCAGTCCAAGGAAAGCATACAACAAAATTCCAAATACTTGCCAGTATTGCAATGTACCCTATATGCTAGCAATTCAGTAGAGTCGAAGTCAGATCCGTTAGCGTAGGTTCCAGTCAGACCTTTCGACTAGCTGCCATCTTTGAAGCAAGTCAGAATGCAATTGAATTTCTACAGAGGTCAAAACTTCATACTTCCTAAGAGAAAACTAACAACCGAAGTTAAGTTTGCAAGTGAGAAAGCGGTAAGTAAGAATTTCCTGATTTGTGTAGTCAAAATAAGAAACTATTTAGGGTTATTCTACCAGGAGAAATTAAGAAGAGATAACGTAAGAAAATGCAGCCTGGGGGAGCGATATTTATAAAACGAGAGCTGGTTAATCCTATATCAATGCTAAAACTAGAGTATCTTTTGTCATGGTCAGGAAACAATGAAGTTAGAAAGCCAGTTTTGTTGTAGATGAATACTCATCATAATGGAAATGTTTTGCTTAGAAGAGAAAGGAGAAGAAAGACTTGTCAAGTTTGCAAGAGCAAAACAATACCGTCACAAATATGCCGAAAAGCCAAAGCTGCAGCTGCTGCACAATCTTCAGATGTGCCCATCCCACTCATAAGAATTCTAATAATCGATGGCAATATCGAAACACTAGCTGGCGCAGCATTAAGCCATTTTGAATATGCCCCAACAAGTAAGCATGCTGAAACCAGATGAGAAAATAGATGTATCTTCATTAAGGAAAAGGCTTTAGACACATTTGCTATTCAATTAAGAAAGAATTAAAGCATAACTTGGAAAGTTTCTTCAGGGCATAAACTAGTGGTTTCCACCAAACAGCTTTTCACCTTAGACATATAATATCTGAGAAAGAAAGCCTAATCACCTGTCTGAAGCAGTTGTGCTTGCTGGGGAAGATTTTGAAGCAATGCCATCACCTGAAAGTGGAATGTATGAAAGAATAAAATTTCCATGCAATTTACAACCAATAGAGTTAGAGCGGAACTATCCATAATACAGACCTGGGGCATCACTTCAGCTTCAACAACTGAAACATAATTTGATATTGCCCAAATACAGAACAAAATAGCTTCTGCTGGACGCCAGTCTTGAAAATCATTTCCTGTCTGAGCATTGGCCTGAGTACATATTTCACAAACGTCAAAGATATTGAAACTCCAAATAATGTACATAATGTAAGTGTTTGGTGGTGATAATCTGAATCGTGTTACTGTACTTCTACATTTATCCCTATATAGTATCGATTCAATATCTACCAATGCACATTTTCTATTTGATGATTGAACAAAATAGCATGCTTGTTCATCTAGAGCACACACCTCAAGAAGCTTCATATAGAGAATCTTAAGAGTCGTATCACCTCCCAGGATTAATGCAGCGTCAATTAATACATCTGCAACAGCTGGCAATATAAAATATTCGATCAAAATAAAGTAACACCCACGTAACCTCAAAAAAACAATACTCTATCTGCTTCAGGAAACAAGTGGAAAGAATGGAAACAAGGGAGACAAACACTATAAGCAATCAAATAAATCCAGGGTAGGGCTGATCAATCAAAAAATCCCCGAGGGATACAATTCTTCCTTAGAGCACCTCTTATATCTAGAAATTTTGATCTATGTAATGTCGAGGGCAAGCCATAATGGGGCTATGATTACCATATCTAGTCTGCTTGAATTCCTTAAGGTCCTCATACGAGAGGCCTTGATAATCTTCAGGATACTGAACTCGGAAGCCAACCTGTGAAGGAAAACCAATGTATATGTTTAAACCCACCAGAGGTGCATAAACTGCAGAGCATACAATAACCCATCTAAATTTATGTTTTCCACCATAAGATGTTCAGCCAAATGTTAGCAATCCAGCATTTTGAAACATTAATAAACACACAAGACACCCATACATCAGAAAGCAATTCGTCTCTATGGGTTAGAGCAAACCACAAGGCTTCAAATATTCTTGAAAGAGTAAAACTTAGAGTGGCTAACAAAAATGAACTCGATGCGTATCTGATGACACACTCACCAAAGATACAAGGCTCTCATAGGCTGATCGGAAGATATGCTGTCTTCGGTTTCTCTCAGCTTCAATGGATGCTTCGCTACCCAAGGAAACATAAGAATCCCTGATATATTGAAATCACACTCTCAGAATATGACAATACGATCACCTAGCAAACAGAGACAAGCCTGATGTTACCTCTTTGTCAACGTAAGTTGAAGACTGTGCCAAAAGTTGAAGGTCATCGAGGCTATATCAAATTCTGGGTGTGAAGTAACTTCCAGCAGGGCATGCACAATAACCATTGACTCATCTGAACCTGAGGTCAGAAAGAGTACCATGAGACATATTAGATTACCAACTAAGAGATTTGGAGCACCAAAAGCAATTATGAGACATGAAACGGAACACTTAAAACAACAGGGGGGAAAGTAGTAAAAATGAGGCCGTATTACCAGTAGCAATCAGTTCAACATATGAATCGCCTACGTCAGCGAATAATCGACCAATAGATTTGACATCTTCTTCATCCTGAAAGTAAAATAATTCTCAGGGGCAAAAAGAAAAAAATGCCACCACATGCCAAAAATTACAAAGAATTATGAGGGGTATCTTTAGCAGCCTTTGCCCAACTTCACTAACTACAAACACCCCAAGTAATATAAACAGAAAACCACCCTTCTAGAGTTTCATTTGCAACAGGCAACAGGCGTATGCCATCAGCTTCTATTTAATGCATTGGATAACATTTGCCTTAAATGGATTCCATGAGCAACAAAATCAGAATCGTTCAAGCCGCAGACCAGTGGAACAGGAACTATGTGAAGTAACGAATCTTAATATCAAGCAGATCAACCATGCCTAAAGTTACACAAAAGGTAAAGAGGATCAGAGCAGTACCTTTGAAGAATCTCTTAGATGGGCCTTAAGACTTAGAATCTGAGGCACAATAACTTGAATTAAGGGTGTTTGAGCAGAAATACCACCAGAGCTTGGCGATGCCGTGTGATGTATCAATTCAGAGATAACTGCGAAGTTGAAAATGAAGTGATGAGGACATAGTCTAATAATGAATCCTAGATACGAGAAGGAACCATTGACTTGTAAACTGAACGCTAAGTGAAGGCATTTTTTATTTAATAGAAAGTTTTGCCCCTTATTAAGGTAAGTGGAAAAATATCTTAAAGCAGTACATATATTAGCTATTCCAACGAACATACCATTCACAGATGCGTCTGAGAGTGGATCGCAGTTCAAACTTGAGAGAGCTGCATGCACCAATGGATGACAAGCAAGCACTGCTCCAGGAATCCTGAAAAAGACCACCCCAAAGTTTACCAGCATACAGTATCATCATTGCTAAGTTGAATATCGGTGAAAATTAGAGAAACCTAGCTAGTAAAACCAACAGCTACTGATCTAATAATGTGACCCAAATAGTAAAATCATTTTATATCAGATGCCATCAGTCTTACATTATAAGGAATGATTGACTTTTGACATGATGAACTCACAAGGAATTTGTAGTCTAGAAGAGCTCTCGTTCTAAATACAAGTATACAGCTTGAGATCGCAAAGGAAAAACAGAGAACATACCCATGCCTAAGATGGAGCCAAGACGCAAATGCTTGAAGAACCTGAAATGCCAAAATTACAAAAGAAATAATTGACAATAAGTGACCCCTTGCAACACCCAAAACACTAGCTGATCCAACACTATATGTATCAAACTGTCACGACTATATATAAAAGATAAGCTCTGACCTGTTCCTTAAGCTCGATTATATTCAAACATGCTGTTAATATACTAAGTGCAGCTTCCATTTGAGAAGTAAGCTCTTTCTCAAATTGACGTCGTCTATCCGGACGGGCAGCTATTTTGTAGTTAAATGTTTCCTGGTCAGATCAAGACGGACAATAAAATCAAGACATCATATAACCAGCTAGTTTAAAGGTACAGAATATCCTTTAAAGACATCAATCTTAAGCTTAGCGTACACAGTTAAAGGTCAACAATACAAGCATAGCAAATGTGTAAGCAGATCCAAAACCAAAACAAGACCTTTCATCACCTATATAGCCGGCTACATGAATTCACTTTCGTCACAGAAAGCGATGAATAGTTAAAAAAAGTAATGGAAAAACACTCTACCTCGGGTAAAACGGCCAAGAGTTCCAAGAAACCAGGCACATATTCAGGATGCAGATTCATTTCATCCCTAAGCCAACTAACTATACCACCATCTCCCCAATCTGCCGCAGGAACGTGCACCGCCAAGGCAGCAACAGCAATACTAATCTACATTACAAAATACTTGAATAAGGTTATTCGGCTCAAAGTACAAGAGCTTTAACGCACAGCAACATTTTGCCACATGCGCATAATGGAGAAAGATTTATGAATCTTACCTGGGTCCTAACTTTCGGGGGGCCTTTGTGAAACTTTTTTAACAATGTCTGCACTTAGAAAATAGTGACAGTCAAATTTTGCTGGAACGCTGAGAAAGTATTTTTCCAATACCAAGAGTACATGGTGCCCACAATTACATCATTGTTCAAAGTAACAAGGTAGACTTACCGTTAATGATTCCCGTAGCTTCTGAAAAGCACCAGGTGGTAGTTCTTCAAAATCTCGTTGAACCTTAAGAGTAAGCAAGACCAGATGTCAACAGAATGCAGTCTCCAAGTTTGCATTATCAATGCTGACCACTTAAGAGTTAAAATAGTGTGTTACCTTGCTTCTAAGTGTCTGAGAACAAAATATCAAAGTTTCCATATTGCTGGAAGAATCATGAAGTAAATTATCCGCAACCTAGAATACACACAGCAGAACAGAGTAAGAAACTTCGCAGAAATGTGCCACCAAAACTTCCTCTTCTCGGAATCAACAAGCATGGGTCTAAATGGCTATAAGAAAAGCTGATAAAACATAGCAAATCGTTTCTGTAACAAGGTAGATCTGTTCACACTTTTCTGAGAATAACAAAAAAATAAAACAGAAGTGTATTCATCATATTCAAAGCCATCACTCATAGTGAAGTTCGAGTTTCCTGCTACACATAGGACGGTAAAACGAGCGAATCGGGGATAAAAAATTGATAAAGGATGAAACTTGTGCAGCTAGATAAAATAGTCTAAACTAACTGAGAATCAAATATCAAAAATTTCTAGCGAAACTGGCATAAACAAGGAAGAACAATCGAGCCCAAATAAATCCAGGTTAAATGAGATTATACCCGACTAAGTTGCAAATCAACATCAAAATTAAAAGGCGAAACTCACCTGCCAAGCATCGAGAGTTCCCTGGAAGTTCTGGAGCCACTGATCAGCTTGCGCACGCACTGTATCATCCGGGTGATGATACAGTGCGTTTAGGGCTTCTTTGACCGCGTTTTGATGCTCCATAGCTAAATCCTTGGGGTAATTTTTGCTCGTATGGCTGCCAAATCACGAGAGGAACAACCAGAGAGAAAGACCCAGATTGAGCAAGATAAGAAATTTCCCAGCTGAAATTCGGGATTTCGTCAAATCGATTTCGCCCCAAGAGAAAGAAGAAAAAAAAAACACTTTTTCCCTCTTTGTCAAAAGGGTTTTTTTTTTTGGCGCCCCTCAACTTGAGTGAGAGAGAAAGAGATCGAAATTTCGGATTTTGATCTGAAAAGAGATGAAGAAGAGAGAGTCTCAGCCGTTGGATCTTATTACTTTGACTTTAAGTCAAATCCTTCTTTTCCAGATTGGAAAACAATCTTACATTTATTTTGAAAATACAGGTATGTTGTTTGCAATTAACAAAAATCATTGATTAATCATAACACAAACGATTGTATAAGATTTTAGAGCACCATGTGAGATCTCTGTGTCACTGAATCAATGTTTTTATAAAGTGTTAATAATCTCTCTGGTCACCTTCAAATCTGTTTACTGATACAACAATTTGGTGACTTTTAACAGCAAAATGATACAAACACACATACAAGTAAAAAAAAAAGTGGGTTGCATTCATTTTTTTTTACTGCCTACAAAAACACAACCATCAAAGAAGAGATTTTTATTTTTTATGTGCTCCGGTTAAAGTTCCCATCAACCTGCATATGGAGCCACTCCGGATGAGATCCTCGTGGTTCGTTAGCTTCTTGTTGCTCATATATATTCCGATGAACGTCAATAGGTAAAGTCCCAAGCTATAATAAACACAAACAACCAAGAGCCTTAGATTTACTTAGTTTGGTTAAGAAAGATCAGATTTTTTGAAAGACTTGACTGATGAATAATGATCGTATGTAACTTACATCCCCGGAAGGAAATACTCCGGTAGCCGCACTTGAGTTAACAACTTCTAGCTTCATTGACAGAAACTGTGTAAGACCAGATTCCATTTTAGGCAATGTCAAATTTGCAACGTATAACCAGAGAAGAATTAACGAATTTTTACCTCAACTTGCCGCTGCAATGACTGTATATAATTGATAATCTCATCGAGCACAAGAGCTTTTCCGATTATCTGAATCAATGGTAATGTCTTGTTGATTGTTCAACTAGAAGAATAACATCAAAGGAAAAAAAAAAAGACTTGTCATGTACCTTATTACATCCTGGAATTATATCTTGAAGAGCTGTCATTTTCTCACTGATCTTTTCTCTTCTAGCCTGTCAAAGACCAATTGTGATTGTAAATAAATAAAAAAAAAAACAGTTTTTAGGATTTGTATGGTGTAAAACAATATGATTTAGCAGAAGAAGAATTTACTCGCTCAGCTAGACTATGCCGATCAGTAGCTTGTCCTCTTCTTGCTCTCACATGGATATAATCCTTTGGCGGCTCCGGTTTGTTCTTCTGTTCATTTGCTTTGCTTCCACCACCCGAACTTGTTTCCCCTTCAGGTCTCACCGAACCTTCCCCATTTCCACTTTCAGATCCACACATCTTTCTTTTCTTATCACCACCCGATTCTTTCTATCCACAAGTAAACAATCCCAAATCAAACTCTCGATCTAAGATAACTATAAAGTGATGATATCTAGAAACTATGAGCAGTGACCGTCTTCAATTCAACATCTCAAGCTCAGTGAAAAAGTCAATGGAATCTATAAACTAATCATTGATCCCTAAACCAAAGCTTTTGACTCATTCGTTTCTAGATCATCTTCAAGCTGAGGATCTAGATTCAAATTTTAGCTACAGATTCAAATACCCAGAAAACCCAACAAATCAGATCAATGGTCACGAACAATCATAGTAAAATCTCACCAATTCATTACCGCTGCTGCTGGAAGAAACCATCTTTGAGGAATCGTCTTCGGAGTTCAAATCTCTAGTCTTTCTTCCTCCCCAGCCAGCAGTTAAGTCGGTGACAGTAGATTCCTCGGCCGCGGAGACGTCTTTATTGCCGGGATGTTCGACTAGCACAGAGCGAGTGAAGTTTCGACCGGGATTGACAGCTAAACGGAGACCGGAGCGAACGGCGTCGTTTACAGGGAAAGGCCAAATCTCGGAGAGAGTGTAAGAGGAAGGATTGGCTGCAGAGAAGGAGGAATCGTTCACTAGTGGAGGATCCATTTTCGCAAATTCGTAAGAAAGGGTTGACCCAGATTTAGGACCCGGATCCGAGAAGTGAGGAATAAAGATTTTAGCTTTGCGAGGTGTTTATAGGGATTGTGTGAGTCTGTGAGTGAGGGACAGAGAGATAATGAGGAAGTGAGTTAGTTTACTTTATATGATAATAGTTGGTCCCCATCGTATAAGCTTTGCTTTGTTTATACATATATCATGAGTCATGAGTACTCATATTAAAAAGAAAAACAGGGTGATTTTCATAGTATCTGTGTCATGGTTGGATCATAATGCTTCGTTCAGACTTCAGAGTTCAGACTATGCTCTTGGTTTGGCTCAGAGACCTCCTTTTCCGTTCGTGGTTTGGTTCAGCATCTATGCACTGCACTGAATTAGCCGGTTGCTGTAGTTTTTGGGCCGTTTATTATGGGCCTTTATCATAAAAGCCCAGGAATTTTATGATTATGAGAGAACTTCTTCCTTCCTTCTTTCTCCTTTGCTCGATTTTCTCTTCTTCTTTGATTTCCACCAAACCCAGATTGCGAAATCCACCTCACTCGAAATCAAAACAGTCTCTTTCTCGTTTCATGGGTTTCTAATCTTTGCTTTGGCTTGCTCGATAGAACAATTTGGTTCCTCTCTCTCTCAATTCAATTTGCCATAGAAGCTTAGTGTCGGTTTGTGTAAGTTTTCTCCTTTTGCTAAGATTTGTGTCATTTCATGGTCTAGTTTCACTGATGCATTAGAATCTGTAGACTTGTCATTATATTTGTATTCGTATGGGTCAAAGAGCAAAGGGTCTTGGCTTAGCTCCTAGTTTCGGGCTCCTAATGGTACTAGCATCACATAGCTATCGATTTAGGCCTCTCCAATGTTGAAATGACAATCCTTTTATGTCTTCTTCGTAGGAAATTAGTATTGACATTGAATCAAACCTACCGGAGCTTTTTGGGGTTGCTTTAGCTTCTTTCTCCGGTTCGTTCTTGCTACTTGCGGTTGTGACGCTCTCTGGCAATGGGGTCTTCGTCTTGTTCGTTCTGGAACATAGCTTCACGACAAGCCATGAAAAGCGGAGCGTTTCTCGCCAAGACCTACTGCTTCCTCCATGTAACCACAAACTATCTCGGCTTCCCAACTTACGTGAGTCACATCAAATCCTTCTTCATTTCGTGTATCTAAGTCAAATCATAATGTTGACTTCCATCTCTTTTTTTTGTGTGAGCAGTGTTTTGGGCCGAGCATGTCCCCGACGCTTCATCCTTCGGGAAATATCTTACTGGCGGAACGAATCTCCGAGAAACTGAGTCGTGGAGATATCGTTGTGTTTCAATCTCCAGAAGACCCTAACAAGACTCCGATCAAGAGAGTGATTGGAATTGAAGGAGATTGTATAAGCTTTGTGCTTGCTCCAGGGAACAAGGATCAATCAAAAACCATCGTGGTATCTTGTTCATTAACCTTTTCTCCTTAGATCTTGCTTATGAATCATATTCGAATATGTTTAATTCCTTGGGTGATTTGTATATATGGCGATTTGATCTGTTGACATTTCTGCTGGGTCTAGGTTCCTAAAGGACATGTGTGGGTGCAAGGTGACTATACTCACAACTCGAGAGACTCGAGAATGTTTGGTCCTATACCTTACGCTCTTGTACAAGGCAAAGTGCTTTGGAAGGTATATATAAGCTTATTCACTCCTTTCTGCGTTGCTTAAGTGTCATTTCCATTTGTTTGGTAATCAATGTGGCTAAATTGTGGTATCAAACCATGTGTAGGTTTGGCCATTTCAAGATTTTGGACCGCTTGCACCGGCCCCAACTTGACAAGTATGGTTAGTGGCACTAGTTAGCTTGTTCCTTAGACCCATGGCTGAGGTGGTTTTGTTAGTCTGGTTTCTCATTGTTAAGAGTTCATCAAGACATTAAAAGTAGCAAAAACCTTATGAGGATAGTGGTGGTTACTAGTTGGCGATCTGATACCTTGTAGTAAGTCTACTAGAGATTTGTTATAAAACCTACATTGTAAATGATGATTAATAGTATTGATAGATATGCTGATGAATCGAAAACCTACATTGTATGTTTAGATATGGAGAAAGTTTCTATTTATTTTCGTTTCGAAAACGAAGGAGAACCTTTCATTGGATAAAATGTATTTTGTTTTCTTCCCGATTACTTTAACCCTGCTTGTTAAAGATCACCTTATTTAAATTATTTTCCCATAATTAACATTTTCTTTACTGTTCTCTCTATTGTAGACCACATTAAGATTGTCTCATATAACAAAAGCGAAGAGGGAAGAGAGAAGAGAGTGTTAACCTAAAGAGCAGTATGTTATGACTTACGACAACATAAATTCCCATAACTAATGTGATATGCAAAACTTTCCAAGAAAATCCATTTGAAAGACAACAATCTGACTCTTTCAAAATCTTTATTTTCTTCAAAATATTTGTTAAAATAGGGAGAATGAGTGAATAAAGCTGGAAAGGACAAGTGGAGAAAGAGAAGACACCTGTATGCAAAGGTGTCACACATGAAGCCCAACTCCTCAATTTCCATTTCTCCATAAAGAATTAAAGACTCTGGTTCCTTTACTTTCTTTTTTTTCTTCATTTTAAATTCCAAATAGGAATCTAAAGTATTTTATATTTTGACTAAATACTTACATCGTGTACATTGCAATAAGTTTACTTTTAGTTCTATCACGAACCCTTTCTTTACGATACAATAATAGCTGAATAATCTAGACTGATCAGGAGTTTTGTTTTCTAACGTAGAAAAGAATGAATAGTTTCATATGCAAAAAGAAAATCTCATAAATAAAGCATGAAAATATAAACCTATCAAATCAAATTAATTCAATTTTGGAAAAAAAGAAACTAGAGAGAAAAAGTCAAAACAACATGACTAATAGAAGTCCTCTGTGACTTCATTGGTGATGCAAGCAGTAACAGTAATACAACTCCACAGTTGGCCGATTTAGAACCGCCTAAACTCCATTAATCAAGAAAAACTTTAAATCAAAAATAAGAATCATATCCCATAAAATAAAAATAAAATAAAATCTTGTTCAAATGTGATTCATTCTATTATCATTGTTTGAAAAAAACAAATAGTAATAAACTAATGGTAGCTAAATAATCCTATCACATGTTTGTCTCGGGTAATCAAGACAACTCCTTCGATTGCTTAGCTAATCTCATGTATTTCGACTCGGGTAATTGAATGAAATTCGAAAAGAAATAGAAAGTGTTTTCCTTTATTTTATTCGTGGACTTTACCTTTCATATAGAGTTTTAAAATTAATTTTGATTGTACCGTTCATAAAGATAAATCCAACGAATCCAATACATAATCGGAAACTAAAGTTAAATAAAGAAATTTTTAAAAAGATTCGAAAAAGAGATGGACCAGAACGGCGGTTTATTCAGACGTCAGCAGCACTAACTTAGAAGGAGAAAGCAATTGTCTTCTTCCTTCCTTCTTTCTCCTTTCCTCTTCCTTCTCCAAATTTCCCCTGACGCGTTTTTGTTTCTCTTCTGTTTCTGTTAATCTCTCCAACTTACACGCTTATCCCTGTCTCTCTCTATAGAAGCTTAAAGTCTTTCCTTTTTGCGTTTCTTGTGGGTTTTTGAATTTTCTCACCGACGATTTTTCATTCTTAAGGAAAGTTCTTGATTTTCCTCTCCGTGTTTCAGGGTTTTGAATTTCTCTCCGAATTACTATCTGATTCGTGCTCTCGCTCATCGTGCTTTCTCAAAGATTTAACTTTTAATTTTTTGAAAGTTTACAACTTTGTAGAATCCGTTCCTCGTGATCATCACTAGGGTTTCTGTTTCTCAGTCTAATTTAGGAATGAGGAAGCCGAAGCTATCGAAACTCGAGCGGTTGGAGAAATTCGACATGTTCGTCTCTCTCAGCAAGCAGAGATCGGTTCAGATACTAATGGCTGTTGGGTTACTCTACATGCTCCTCATCACATTCGAAATCCCACTCGTCTTCAAAACCGGTCTCAGCACCTTATCTCAGGACCCGTTAACCCGACCCGAGAAGCACAACAGCCAGCGAGAGCTACAAGAGCGACGAGCTCCGAGCCGGCCCTTAAAGAGCTTGCTTTTCCAGGAATCGGAATCGGAAGCACCGACCCAGGGACGACGAAGAAGGACGACCCGGATCCTCTCTAGCTTGAAATTCGACCCGGAAACATTCAACCCGAGTAGCAAAGACGGGTCGGTGGAGCTCCACAAATCCGCCAAAGTAGCTTGGGAAGTTGGTCGAAAGCTATGGGAAGAGCTTGAGTCTGGCAAAACCTTAAAAGCATTGGAGAAGGAGAAGAAGAGTGAGGAACATGGGTCAAGCAGCTCATGCCCTCTCTCGGTTTCCTTAACCGGGTCTGATCTTTCGAACCGTGGTAACCTCATGGAGCTTCAATGCGGGTTAACTCTGGGATCGCACATTACAGTGGTTGGGAAGCCACGAGGTGCTCACTCGGAGAAGGACCCGAAGATATCGATGTTGAAACAAGGAGACGAAGCTGTGAAGGTTTCACAGTTCAAGCTCGAGCTTCAGGGCTTGAAAGCAGTGGAAGGGGAAGATCCACCTCGGATCCTCCATTTGAATCCAAGGCTTAAAGGTGATTGGAGTGGTAAGCCTGTGATTGAGCACAACACTTGTTATAGAATGCAATGGGGCTCTGCTCAAAGGTGTGAAGGATGGAGATCTAGAGACGATGAAGAAACCGGTTAGTATTTGTTAAAAAGGATTTATCTTTCATCTGTTTGTTGTTGTAAATTGCTTGATGCTAATTAGTGGGGATGGTTTTGTAGTTGATGGTCAGGTGAAGTGTGAGAAATGGGCTCGAGATGATAGCGTTACGTCTGAGGCAGAGTCTAGCAAGGCGGCGACATGGTGGCTTAGTCGGTTGATAGGACGGAGCAAGAAAGTGACTGTTGAGTGGCCGTTTCCGTTCACAGTTGATAAGCTTTTCGTGCTTACACTTAGTGCTGGATTGGAAGGTTACCATGTTAGTGTCGATGGGAAGCACATCACTTCCTTCCCTTATCGAACTGTAAGCGTTGTTTTACACTTTGTTTAAAAGCTTGTTGTGGTTTGGTTTAGTAATTGGCATGAAAGTGATGAGAATTGTGTATGTGTGAAGGGATTCACGCTTGAGGATGCTACAGGCTTGACTATAAACGGGGACATAGATGTTCATTCGGTTTTCGCTGGCTCTCTCCCGACATCACACCCTAGTTTTTCTCCTGAGAGGTATCTTGAGCTCTCAAGCAATTGGCAAGCTCCATCGCTTGCTAATGAGCAAGTTGAGATGTTCATTGGGATCCTTTCTGCTGGTAACCATTTTGCTGAGAGAATGGCTGTGAGGAAGTCGTGGATGCAACATAAACTAGTTAAATCTTCTAAAGTGGTTGCTCGCTTCTTTGTTGCACTGGTAAGTATGATCTTGGTCTTGGTCTTGTTCTTGTATGTTAGAGTTAAGAGCTAAACTTGTTTGTTTTTTGTTGGGGCAGCACTCGAGGAAGGAAGTGAATGTAGAGCTGAAGAAGGAAGCTGAATTCTTTGGGGACGTAGTTATAGTTCCTTACATGGATAGTTACGACTTGGTTGTCCTTAAAACCGTTGCAATCTGCGAGTATGGGGTGAGTGAGCTGATTTCTGAGAATCAAACACTTGATGTTGTGTGTTTCAGTTGTTTCAGTATTGGTAAAGAGATTCTTCTTTATTCTCTGTTTTGGCTAGGCTCATCAGCTTGCTGCTAAGTACATAATGAAGTGCGATGATGATACATTTGTACAAGTAGATGCGGTTCTTAGTGAAGCCAAGAGAACACCTGCAGATAGGAGTCTATACATTGGCAACATCAACTATTATCACAAACCTCTCCGCCAGGGTAAATGGGCAGTTACATATGAGGTAAAAAGTTATAATCTTTTGGCTTCAAGAATCATCATTTGTATCAGCTTGTTTCTCATATAGTTTTCGATTTTATGTTTCTCCAGGAATGGCCAGAGGAAGATTATCCACCTTATGCTAATGGTCCGGGATACATCTTATCAAGCGACATCTCTCGCTTCATTGTAAAAGAGTTTGAGCAACACAAATTAAGGGTACGCCACAACAGAACTTTACCTAATGAATTCAAAACAGAGCATATCTATATAGCTGTTTTTAACTCTGTTTTTTCTTATCATTCGTTCTTGATGATACTGCAGATGTTCAAGATGGAAGATGTGAGCGTGGGGATGTGGGTGGAACAATTTAACAATGGTACAAAACCGGTGGAATACATTCACAGCATCAAGTATTGTCAGTTTGGTTGCATAGAGAATTACTTGACGGCGCATTACCAGTCGCCGAGACAGATGATTTGCTTGTGGGATAAGTTGGTTTTGACAGGAAAACCTCAGTGCTGCAACATGAGATGACACAAACCAAGACATCACTCTGGTTCTCTTTGTTTTGTAAGAGGAAGTAGAAATCCCAAGAGCTTTTTTGGTCTTTTTTTTTTTTTTTTTGGTTAAACAGTTTATAGCTTCGGTTGTAGTGTATCCACTTTGATCTTGGGGAACAAAATCTTAAAATAGATTTAATACTAATATTCATTCATTCCTTTCTTATTTTGGTTTGCCTTTCATATTTTATGCAGTTGTATTGATTTTCAGTTTTATACTATATATAAAACGATGATGCATCACAATTCACAATATTTCATGTTTGTCAGTAAAAAAAAAATGTTGCAAGTGTTAATGGAGATTATGCTATAGCTCTAAAGCATTTCAGAACAAACGTAGCCTTCTGATTTGGATAGAAAGCAATAAAAAGGACAATATCTACAGAGAATAGTCTGTTTATTTTCGATGATCCATACTAATCATAGTTGTGTCCATGCTGCTAGGATGATGAAAGATGCTGCAAGAATCATAGTTTTCTTCGGACAAGACCTTTGAGAAAGTCGAAACTGTAGTTGAACAGAGATTACATTCATGTTAGTTTTTTAACATGTAAATGCAATGTTCATCCATTAATCTATTAAACACATGCTCGAGAAATTACCTATTGCCATCGGGGTGAAGCTCATAGATTTGATTGTCATCTCCAATAGCCTTCAAGTATCCCGAAGAAGTCATTCCCTGTAAATTTTAGGATACACAATTTGATAAATTTTTCACGAAACCATAAAAATCTAAAACTGTAAACCTTACCTTAATAGTCACAACATTTTGAACAAACTTGTCCCCGACTCTGTCTTCAACAACTACTTTTTGGTCGCTGCACATGTGTAAATTGTAATACACGGTAAAGCTTTGTATTCTATCCCCAACACTCAACGTTAACATAGCAGAAACCCATAAATGACAAGAATCACACTGAAAATGCAGTCCAAGACATAACAATCACCTGTGAAGCCATGTCCTGTAGTAAAGCTCCTCGAGAGATTTAAATCCTGCAAAGTGCAGTGTGATGACGTAGAATGATTACATGGGCTCAAAACTTGATAACAAGACTTTCATTTCTCTTATTAATCAACAGATATTGTTTTGGTGAATTCTCTTAAAGTGAAGCAACAAACCGAGATCAAAGATTTACATTACCTCGTTTCATGAGTAGATCAAAGAATGTTTCAAACTTATGAAAGAAGGCGCCAAGAATTTCTTCTCTTTTAAATAGGTCTGATGTGGGTGACAGGTCTTTTAGTACTGCATTCAAGCATGTGGTCGGTTGGTCGTTATCTACATTCAGACCAATACCTGCAAGAAGAACCGGTTTCATCATTTACATTTCAAACTAAACGAAGAACATGTGAAAGCAAACAAGCAATGCTTATAGAGTCCATCATCTTCTAAAGAGTAATTGTCCATTACCAATACTGACATAGAACTTCTTTGATCTATATGTAGAGGTACACAAAATGCCTCCAATCTTAAGACCGTTCAAGTAGATATCGTTTGGCCACTTAATTCTAACGTCAATGTAAGGCAAACCCTGAAATAGAACAACTTCAAATCAGCCAAACTCAGAGGTAATTTCTGAGATGTAAAGGATTCAAGAACACACACACCTTCTTGTCACAAACAGACTTCACTGCCTCCGTGACAGCAATAGATACCACATACTGTATCACAGGGATAAGTGTAGCAACTTCCATTTCTAGAGTAAAAGAAAACATAAGACAACCCTTTGGAGATTCCCAGACATTCTTTGATCTTCCTGCATTCACACACAAGGTTTCATTTTTTCAAATTCCAAATTCTATTTGCTAATATCTAATCAAACATTGTTGAAAGACTCTTACCTCGACCCTTGAATTGAGTTTCTGTGACACAAACTGTACCAACTGGAAGCTCACAGAAGTTGCTGACAAGAAACGGATTTTCAAATTTTCAACACGCAATGTTAAAAAAAGCAACCTTTAAGAGCTAGATGGAGACGCTTACGGAGAAACAACATCGTGAGTGGAAGACAAGCGCGGAGACCAAATGAGAAACCGGCCAAACCGGTCGGTTGAAATGGAGTCCATGAACAAGGAGGAATCGAAGGAATTGTCATCTTTGACTAACATAGCCTCAGCCTCAGATTCTAAAAAGACTGAAACTTTGGTATCATCTTGGAGCTTAAGCACCTTCTCCTTCTTCAGACGCGTCGCTATCTCTGTTTCCACGGATGATTTCCCACAGAAAACCATGCTACACGAAGCATCACCGCCCATTGCTAAATCAATCGATCAAACAAGACTGTATTAGAAATGAATCGACTTTGTTTGATGTATTGATCGACCGACCCTAGCACTATTCAGCACTCGATTTCAAACCCAAAGTTTGCTAATTTCTTAGCTCGGAAATAATGCAAGAAGAAGAAATTCAGACGCAAAATCACACTTGACGTCACAGTTCTTGGCTACAAGACATAGTAGACGTCACAGTTGAAATCCTTTTTCCGAGAGGCCCATTAATTACTAGTGTTGGGCCTCAACTTTCACTACGAGCCTAGCATAAATCTAAACTTGATATCTCTCATTGAGATTGTAGCATACTAGCATACTAGCATAGTTGTTGAATCTTAATCTTATTACATGGTGGAAAGTAAGAGATTTTATTCTCTAAATAAATGGTCTTTTTACGGTTACTTATTAGTTATTTTCTCAAACCAAAATATTGAATGGAACAATTGTCTTAAGAATAAACTAAAATTATCATATGATAAGAAATCTTAATCTGACTGTCAAACTTGTTAATCCGAGATTAATTTCCTTTCAAAAGTTAATACCATGGATATTTCATGTCAAACCCAATGAGATTCTTACAAAAGCAATATCAATAAGTAACTGAATTTTCTTGGTAATAAATCAGTATGTCTTATACGTGATACGTAATATATAAACTGATGAAGGAAGAGTGTGCATGCAGAATGAGAATCATATTAAATCATCAATACTATATATCATCAGAAAATGGAGAAAATGATGTTGACGAAAGTTGTTCTACTTGCCTTCTTGTTGTCTCTATCATGTGAGTCCATGCATCTTACAACTTTATAAATTTATAAACATTGTGATAGTCATGATTCTTTGGCATGATTATCTATATTTATGTGTGTATTTGATATAGGTGCGATATTGGAGGGAGAAGCAAGAGATGTAACGATACAACGTGGAGAAGGGCCTTGCAACAACGACAATACTTGCCATAATCATTGTCCGGGTTGTGCTATCACACAATGTATTTTCAACCAATGTGTTTGTTTACGTTGTAACCCTCCACAACCAGATTTACGAGTTTAATCTCATCTGTAAAATTATTTATAGTTGTTGTCCAAATATGTGATAACAGAAATAATTTTAAACAATCTTAAAGGGTATACTTTTTTACTTAATCTACGTCATTTTCGCAGTGATCAACGATTGGAAAAATAATATGCCTCTTATTTCAAAGATCATTTTTGTCTTTAAAAGATTAGTATTAAATGTTAGTCGAATACATAATACAACACAAACCTCACATACGAGGATGGGCTTACCAAACAGATGCTTATAGAGCCATCAACTTCTAAAGAGCAAAGACTACAGAGTAATGTTCATTACCAATACTGACACTGAACTTCTTTGATCTATATTCAGAGGTACACAAAATGCCTCCAATCTTAAGGCCATTCAAGTAGATATCATTTGGCCACTTAACTTTAACGTCAACCCTGAAATAGACCAACTTCAAATCAGCTAAATTCGAGAGGTAATAACTGATGTAAGGGATCAAGAACACACACCTTCTTGTCACAAACAGATTTAACCGCCTCAGTGACAGCTATAGATACCACATACTGTATGTCTGTATCAAAGGGATAACTGTAGCATCTTCTATTTCTAGAGTAAAAGAAAACATTAGACAACCCTTTGGAGATTCCCCGACATTCTTTGATCTGCCTCCATTCACACACAAGGTTTCAATTTTACAAGATCTTTTTCTTTTATTGTTGACGAAATCATGTCAAACCCTATGAGAATCTTACAAATTCTCGTGCCTTAAAGCAATATCAATAACTAATAGAATTTAGTGGCAAGAAATCAGTCTATCTAATACGTTATACGTAAACAGTTATATATATAAACGTATGAAGAGTGTGTATGCAGAATAAGAATCATATTAAATCATCAAATACTATCAACAGAAAAATGGAGAAAATGATGTTGACGAAAGTTGTTCTTCTTGCCTTCTTGTTGTCTCTATCATGTGAGTCCATCTTTCGTCTTTAAATTTATAAACATCGGAATATTCATGATTATCTATATATGTGTATTTGATATAGGTGTGATATTGGAGGGAGAAGCAAGAGGTGTAACGATACAACGTGGAGCAGGGCCTTGCAACAACGACAATACTTGCCATAATCATTGTCCGGGTTTTGCTATCACACAATGTGTTTTCAACCAATGTATTTGTTCTCGTTGTAACCCTCCACAACCAGATTTACGTGTTAAATCTCATCTGTAGACTTATAATTCTAATTGTTGTCCAGATAGATTTGTGATGACACGATAATCATAATTTTAAACATTCTTAAAGGGATACTTTTTCCTTTAGTCTACGTCATTTTTGCAGTGATCAAATGTTTCTATTTTTTTTGCATTTAGTCGAACCGTATAAAATTATTGTTTTTTCTTTTTCGTTGTCTTTGAAAGATTAGTATTAAATGTTAGTCAAATACATAACATAATACAACACAAACCTCACATACGAGGATGCGCTTACCAATGCGATTCCTCACATAGTAGTGTATTTAAAAGTATGTCAAGATATTTGTGAAAAGTGAAAAGAATAGATGTATAATACTAAAAATGATTACAAAGAATAAAATTCATGTTGACCAAAATTAAAATTTAGGATCTAAAACTGAAATGTTCGCAAAGCTTATTACTATATATCAGTTGAATGAATCTAAATTGATTGCTAATAACTTAAATATCATGTCGAATTGTTGACCAAGACTGGATATAAAACTGGAATGAATCCATAGGAAGAGAAAAAAATCAACATTATCAAAACGGAGAACATGGCGTCGCGAAAAGTACTTCTTCTTGGCCTTTTGATGTCTCTTTCATGTGAGCCAATCTTTTAACTTTTGACTTATCACATTTTCTGATTTTCATAATATTCTTTTAATTTTTACATGATATAGATGCCCAAAACTTGGTTTGATTTTAACTGAATTGAGTTACTTTTGTATAATTTCATTTGTCAAACAAAGCGAAAAAGAAATGAAAGCCAATATTTTTTTTTTTGCCGGAACACTAAAAACTAAGTATTTATATGCCTTTCCAAAAACAATAAACTGATTTTATTTAGATATATGCGAACACCTTGTTACCCTTTTGTTACTCTAATAATTAAAAATCTCTTATATTATATGTTACTTGAAGGTTTGTGGGTGGCTAAAGCATTGGAGGGAGATGCAAAAGTTAGGGGAGACGTGAAAGATGTATCGATACAACAAGGAGGATCTTGCAAGAACGACAAAACATGTCATGCTGCTTGTCCAGGTTGTGCCGTAACTCAATGTATCTTCCAACAATGTGTTTGCGATCGGTGTAAACATCCACAACCAAATTTACTTGGTAGAGGAAACGTGAAAGATGTAACTATACAACGAGGAGGATCTTGCAAGAACGACAAAACTTGTGCTGCTTCTTGTCCAGGTTGTGCATTAGCTCAATGTATCTTCCAACAATGTGTTTGTGATCGGTGTAAGAGTATCTCTATCGGTTGATACTCTATTTAGAGTCTCTTATATTTATTAGATTAATATAATTTTAAAGAACAATTAAACTTAAAATAAAAAAGAAGTCAACCATCTTTTACTATAATATCTATAGATATATTTTTTACAGTCTAGTTATGTAGAGAGGTTTCACACTTTCTCATATTTTCTTTCATACACATAATATGTGATATGATCATATGAAGCATATGATGAAGTCTTATATAAATTATTATTTAGTAATATACAGAATTGATTTTTGTTTGTATGTCTTTTGTTGCAACCAATTACGTCGTCACATGTTTGTGTGTATGAATAATTGGAATCGATATTGTTACAATGGAGACTTATATATACATCTAAAACCCCTACTCTTTAATAGGAGTAGGAAACTTTAAAATGTTGTTTTGTTATGGTTTCAAACTATGTCTTGTTACCGTTCTTATGAACAAACGTTGTTCCATAATTATTTTATGATTGCTTGTTGGAGGAAATTTCAAAACTACACCTCTTGAGATGCCAATTTTCAAAAATACATCTTTATGGTGCCAATTTTCAAAACTACACTTTTTTCATTTAGTAAAAGAACTCTAAACCCTAAAATATAAATCTAAAACCCTAAAATTTAACATTGAACCCTTAAATCTAAATCCTAAACCCCAAAATCTAAATCCTAATATAGGATTAGTGAACCCAAACATATATATTAAAATTGGGGAAATGTGTATTTTTGAAAATTTCCACACTATAGGTGTAGTTTTGAAAATTTGCATCTCAAGAGGTGTATTTCATAAAATTTCTCTTGCTGCTTGTATTAGAAGAAAACACATAATAAAAAACCGATACATATAAATCTAATAAAACCCATTAGATGGAGACCAAAGTAGTAAAAATAAAGCTTGACACATAACACCATAGATAAAACTGAATAGCATAATCGTTTGTTTCCACTCAACAAACAATCCTACTCCAGAGATGTGTCATTAATTCTAGATCATCCCAATTCCCCTTAGTGGTTGTGTTCTTGGAGTTACAAACACATTGTATTCTCAACATGATCGGACACACCAACGATAATCACAGAATCACTATGCGACGTTGAAGTGCCTTGGATTTCACTTCTTCTAAAACTGTTCTGCTTTGGATCATAAAAGTAGACGTATAAAGGGTCATAGGGGCGATATAAATGCTCGACTATAAAGATGTCACCACCTAAAGTGACGCCCGAAAAACGGACGACACAAAGTAAACCCTTGAACGAATAATCAGGCAAGCAAAAGATAGTATTCGACCATTCTTGTTTCTCAGCACTCTCCATAACCCACAACTCTGCACCGTTGTTTCCTTTGGATAAAGACATTGCACAGATGTTGCAACACAAGCATCCTAACTTCCCTTTGTAGTTTACCAGAGTCGGATTCCTATAGGGGTTTGTCACTGGTTCAGGAGCATTGATATGATCAAATCTCTCGGACCTAAAGTCGAAACTCAAAACCATAGTTTCATTAGTAAATCTATATGTTGGACCATTTTCGGACCATATAAATGCTCTTGCTACGTAATAGATAGTTCCATCAATGTGTACACGTGTAGTGTTTGCACTTGGAGAGTGGTTTCCAAAACCTAGGATGTTCCTCCATTGCTTCTTTGGATCTCCCAATGTAAAAACTTGACAAACATGCTCCGGTCCATTAATCACGCACATTACTTTGTATTGATTCATGACAGGGTTGTATCCAAAGAAACAGCCCATTCCGTTGTTACTAGGAGAGTCGATCTCGGGTAAAGAAATAGATTGCCTCGTGGTAGGGTTGTATATCATAACCAAATGAGAGTCTGACGACGAACGACAACAGATCAAGCCGCGAACGTATTGAAACTCGAACATATCGTCTTGGCATTGTCCAGGGATTGATACTGCGTGATCTTTGTTAGGGTAATAAGTAGCTTAGAAGATGAAGAAAGGGTCAAGGGAAAAGTGGTGGAAGATGAAGTGGAGATTATCACGAGGCGGCTGAGCCAAAGAACGAGCCACGATCGAGTCAATGAAATCTTTGCGGGATCCGATAATGGTTGACCATTGCTTCGAGACGCATTGGAACCTCACAAGAGACTTGGCCGGGAGTTTCTTGAGTATCTCCACCGTTAGATCCAGAGGGATATTGATATCATCGGCTGTGATTTCACCGCAGAAACTACGTCTCGGATATTTTGAGGTCTTTTCTCTTCCTCTATTCATGACGTTTTGTTTTATTTTATTTTTTTGGGTAAAAATACATTTATATAGTTGCACTACACATATGATCGTATATTCGCATTTCGTATATATGGTTAGTTTCTGTTTTTATATTTTACTCCCAAAAATAGTAGATTACCTTACCAAAACATATGTATACGAAATACGAATCAAAACAAGAACTAATCATATATATGGACAATTTACAGCAAAAAAAAAAAGAGAAGTGGAAATTTAACATTAACATAGAAAGACAAAAGAAATTGTAGTTTTTTTCTTCGGGGCAATTATATTTTTTGATATCAAAATTTGTAAGCAAAAGGAAAGAACAAAAAACGGTTGCATAATATCTTCTTACATTCCAAATTACAATAAGAATTTTTGGTAATACTGAAGACACGTTTTTGAGATAAAGGTTCGTAGGATGGTCGTCAATGTCGTTTCTTCATCTTTACAAGGTTTTCAACAGAACTTAACATTAAAACAAAAAAAAAAGGTTTTCAACAGATTTTTTATTCTGATCCTTGACAATAACTATGCTTTATATCACTTGGTAAAATAATTCAGTTTGTTATTTTCAAAAAGAATTATATAGATTTATTTTCAAAACTTCACATTATAGTCTACGATTTATATTGTAAGCTGATTAAAATGTAATGGATGCATAAATCTAGTACGTACTTTAAATAATGGACATACTTTAAGGATATAAACAAATACAGAATTGGGAAATTACTTGATTTCCTCTCCTCTCTGATCTCTCTCGAAAGTGGAAACGTAGCAATCATTCTATGGCTGTCAACAAATTAGCAGCCATCATCTTCTTGTGACGAATTAAACTCGAAAGGGAGGAGACGTCATTCTTCAGCTGTTTTCGAGAACCCTAGATCCATGAGCCATGTTCTTATGACGAATTAAACTCGAAATAGAGGAGATGTCATTATTCAGCTATTTTCGAGAACCCTAGATCCATGAGCCATGACATTGACGATCCATGACATTGACGAATTAAGCTTGAAGTGGTATATGTTTGTTCATCTGGGCTCAGAACCAAGATTCCCCTATTTTTCGAACACAAGTTTGGAGTTATTCAATCAATTAGATTCTTTACTCGTCTATACATAATGTACTCCTCTCACCTCAATATCATCTCTTCATATCAAGAAAAGAGAGAGAGAGAGAGAGAGAAAGAAAAAGAAAAGAAGATGGCATCGCTACTTCCATGGGGAGATTTGGGTCTAGCATTTAAGTCTGCGATCTCTCAGACATGGACTGTCCTGGACGATTGGAGAGTGTCCGAACTGGAGTTTGAAGCGGCAAGGAAGCATTACGCTTCTGTCAACGGTGCTCCTATGGATGATCTCACGACCAAGACTCAAAATTTGGCAGAAGCAGCTAAAACGGTGAAGCAAATGGATTGCCTCACTATATACAACGACAAGCAACTATGGTTGGCTTTCAAGTTCTTTGACAAATACGGACATGATGCCCGAATCGAAATCTCCCCAGAGCTTAAGAAAGGAGACGCTCGCACTCTACGTTCCATTTCAAAGAAGCATTTCCTAAAGGAACTTCCCTATATTCCAAACCCACCGCGTTTCAAGGACACATACCTCTATCTGAATGTGAACGAGATTAACTGGTACGTAAGGTGTTTTTCAAAAGGTTAATTATGAGTGTTTTCATGAACCAATTTTGTGTATTTAATGAGTTAATTTGTGCTTTTGTTTAGGGACTATTACTATTGAGGAAGGAAGGAATTGATGCAAGATGATGAAGATGTGCCCGTTTCATGTCAGTTTGTTTGTTTTCTTTTGTTTTTTTAATTTTATTTATGTCAGATTGTCGGTTTGTTTAGCTTTAAATGAAGGGGGAATTGCCAAATATAGTTCACAATTTGATTTGAAATGCAAAAGTAGACCCTATATTGCATTTAGAGCAAAACTAGTCTTCTGGGCATGTAGAATTACAAACCAAGCCCTTATGAACAAAGAAAAAAACGCTAGCCACAATGTCTGTTTTACCCTGTTTAAAGTCTATTCATGAAGTCTACTGCTATTAGACTTCATCATAAAGTCTAATTCCTAAACACAACTCAAATTTAATTTATAAAATTATAGGAAATTGTTTTGATCAAAAAAATTATACATAAATAAGATTAGAACATTTGGCATCCAAGAAAAATAAAATTGCATAAAAATGAATCCATTTAACTCAAGTAAGAGAAATTATGTTTGTAACCTATAAACTGCGTGAAGTCTACTCCCGAAGTCTAATATATAGCAAAATCGTAAATTTAAAGTTTGAAATCTATTAAAAATATTTTGATGAAGGTATTTACACATAATTTTACAAAGACAAGTACTATCCATGAAAAATAAATTTGCATATAAATTGATCAATTTAAATCCGGTAATACAAATTATGGTATAATCCAAAAAATATTGTGAGAAGTCTACTGAAGAAGTCTACCAAATAACAAAATCTTAAATTTAAAGTTTAAAATCTATAAAAAAATATTTAGGCTTCAAAAATTATAAATAATCTAAATGAAGACAAATCCTATCTATGTAAAATAAATTTTCATGGAAATTAATCAATTTATAAGTTTCATGAGTAAACCAATCATCAAGCTTAGTGTTTGAGGTACAATGTATAGGGTTTATGAGTATGATTGTTAGGGTTTAGAGAATTTTGACATAAAAAATTGTTTGTGGTTTGTTTAACGATTTAAAGCTAATGAATTATAGTTTATAATGTAAATTGTGATTATGTATACATAATTGATGTTTTCTATAGCTTTGATCTCAAAAATTCGATTTAGGGTTTAGGGTAAGTCAGACTTCATCGTAGACTTCATTGTTAGACTTTGCTGAAGTCTATTATTCAAAAAAACAAAAAATGAGAGGGAAACGAAATTTTTAGGGCGGGAAACAAAATATTTTGGGCTAACTAGCGGGAACTTAAATATAGACAAACGAATTTGTAATCAGACATTAGACTTCTTTCACATACTTCATTGATAGATTTCATTTTGAAGTCTTCTAAACCGGATTTTTTTTATAATTAAACCGTAAAATTTACCTTGATATATAATAAATTTGGAAACCCTAATTTTGTTAAAATGAAAACTATTCTCTCTCTTAAACACGGCGCCTCTTTCTTCCTCTTCCTCTTGCTCCTCTCTCTCTCGCCGTGAACCTCTCCCTCCTCTCTTGCCATGAATCACCTTCTCAAGCATCCCAAAAAATTTCTCTCTCCGTCGGTGGACCTCTACGCCGAAGAGATATTCTCCGGCTTTCACCATCCTTCGCCGTCGTTGCCGGCCAGTCTCTATCCTGCGTCGTCTTCAAATGTAAGCCATTTATCTTCTCTTCTCAACAGATCTAAATCAAAACTGACCTGAAACCTATCATATTGGCTTATTTTTGCAGATCTGAGCGCCAAAGAAAGAGAGACTGAAGCAGAAGAGAAATTGTGGGAGAGGTTTCATGAAACAGATCAGTCGAACTGTGTTGCAACTCACTCGCCCTTCTTCAGGTAGATGATTCTGCTCAGTTTGATTTCTTGTTCATATATTTGCTGAATCCATCAATTTCGTGATACTCTTCTCTGACTTGGATTTGGACTCTGCAGTGCGTAGCATCTCATTCCGATACGAGAATGTTAAATCTCAAAGGTATTGTTCTGTGTTCTTTTAGTAGGATTTATCCTGATGAATCTGCATTTAGGTTTTTTGACTGCTTTGGCTGTTTTCGTTATTTTATATATATTGTGTTTCTGGTTTTTCTCTTTGTTTGACCTTTCTGCAGTCAATTAGCTACTTCTTGTCTTCTGTTCTTAAGCATTTCATTTTTCTCTCTTTTTTAAGCTGCTTCTGATCTTTATTTTTCACTATCTTTGTTGCAGTCTTTGATATTGTGTTTCAGTAGAAATAAGCAAGTCATAGGTTTGTGATGCTCATAGGAAAATTATATTGACTCGTCATGTTCATGGTTTCTGAAACCTTTTTTATATCTTCAAAATTTAAGAAGACTGGGTCATGTTCATGTTTTTTTTAATGTGTCTTTGCAGATTGGATTTAGTTTATGGGTATGTGATCTTATATATGCGGCATGTTTTTCAGTTTTAAGAAAATAGTAGGCTTTTGTTTTTACGACAAAGCTTAGTCAAAGCCTGCATAAGAACTCATTTCCGAAATCCTTCTCTTATGTGTTTTTTCTTATGTGTTTTTGTTGATGATGATGGGGAAAATATTTGTTCTTGTGGTCTTAGCTATTCATGTTTTTGATATATCTCAATTTTCTTATTGTTAGAGGTTTCTTACTGAGTTTTAAACTGTTGTGCTTTAGGTTGGATGGCCACTGCATTGCTCCTTTTGTGCCAGTAGGTGGAGAGGGAAGTAGTGAGTTGAGAGGAACGGTGAAGAAGAGATTGTGTCCCATTCATGGCATGATGATCTGATGTTATAATGTTAGTCTAAGCAGCAGCGAAATTGAAGATTTGATGAAGAAGAAAGTGAGTCGGCTTGATGGTGCACACCTCGAGTTCTTGAGAGGTGTTACTAATCCTCTTGGAATCAAGGTTTGTTTCTCCATCTTGTATCAGATTTTTTCATGTCTTATTGTTTGTCCTCCATTGTTCTGGCCTCATGATATTGGGATTTTTTCTCAGAACTTGGACGAAAAGAAGGAGAAAGAGGAACTTAGTAGAAGAGGCAGCAAAGAGATGTGTGCTTTGCTGAGGTCACTTGAGACAGTGAACTGATATAGGAGAATGGACTTCAGGCTGGACTTTGTGGATTCTTTGGCTGGTTTAGTAAGCAGAAATCGATGTCAATTTTTTGATGTAATCATATATGCCTTTTGTTACTATTTCTTGTTTCAAGTTTTGGTACAAGTTTATTATATTATCCAAAGAGTTTTTGTTCCATTACATTTATAAACAATTTGTTAGATATAAACCACTCTACTATTATGATTTTCATGAGTTTGACTTATGCATAACTTTAACCCTGTAAAGTTTTTGTTGTTATCTATCACTTAACATTTTGGCTAATACAAAAGTAATGCATGATCATATGTCATGAACTTCCAAACATCCTCCGCGCCCCAATCTTCATTCAACTTCCTTCAACTTCATCCTTCTTTATCAAATGTCCATTTCTGTTGTCTTCATCCTTCCCTTTGCTAGAGACACAAAGTCGTAGACATGAGTTCTACTTGCTCCGATCTTAGTACCGAATAATCCTCTAAAGCCATTTGAATAAGCTCATCATGTGTACATCCATCCCTCAACGAGAACATTCTACCTCCTTTCCGATAATCAACCTCAAAATGCCAAGACAAATTGTCCTTTCTCACCCATTCTCCATAAACAGATGCAATGTAAACCATTTTCTGCAAGTAAACAAAAACCAACCGCATTAGACTTCATTGGTAGACTTCACCTAGAAGTCTACCTAGTATTGTCTAATATTCAATTTTGACAAGAAAACCGTTTTCACGAAATATACAACGAATAAGCATGTCAAACTAACACACAAGCAACTAAACAGACTAAATCAACTAATTGTTCAAGAAAATCTTAAAAATTCGTTATATATTTTCCAAAAAAGCGTTTTCAAATAAAACATTAAATAGTAGACTTCACGAGGAAGTCTATTTAGTAGACTTCCCTGTGAAGTCTAATAGACTAGTTTTGCAATTTTTCAAATGACAATTTTTTATGAAGTCTACACGTGAAGTCTACCGAAAAAAAAAGACTAGTTTTGCAATTGACCAAGCTTTGACTTTTACAAATAGACTTCATTATCGTGAATAGGCTTAAAAATGAAGTCTAACTAGAGAATGAAGTCTACCAGTGAAGTCTACAACAAAATTAGACTTCATAGGGATTAGTTTTGCAATTGATCAATTTTTGAATTTGGAAAATAGACTTCATCGTGAAGTCTACTCCGACAAACGTTGACTATTAGACTTCTTGGTGAAGTCTATCAAGAATTAGGCTTCGAAATGAAGTCTAACCCTTTATTAGACTTCGCAATGAAGTCTAACTCAGTATTAGACTTTGAATGAAGCCTAATACAACATTAATAGACTTCAGGGGTAGACTTCACGATAAAACAAACTACTTAAAGTTTGCAAAACTAGTCTTTTATTCAAGCAGACTTCACAGATAGATTTCCCATAAAAAGTTTTTATTCTGTCAATTGCAAAACTAATCTTTTCGAGTAGACTTCATTCTGCCATAGCCATAGACTTCATTGTGAAGTCTACTCTCTAAATTTTTTGAAAATCAATTGCAAAACTAGTTTGTTAGACTTCGCTATGAAGTCTAAGGACCTGCAAAAATATGAAATTCACTCAGATCTACCGGAATTTTACCTTGCCGTGATCTTAAGTTTCGTTGACGGCCTATAACTTCGATTTAGAGCTTCAGCAAACTTCCCCAACCGTTATAATGATCTCCCACACCAAAAATGGGAAGATCTAAGAACATAAACTTTGAAAAGATGAAAATGTGTGTTCTTGGGGTGAAAATTGAGAAGAAATTGAAGAATACAAGTTTATGAGATGATATAATGAGTTTGTATATATGTTTGAAGAGTAAATCATGCATTCAAAGCTTGATTTCGGTTGAGAATGGTTGTTGGACGAATTGATGGTGATGGCATTTTCGTGAATAAATGAAGAAGATGAGGTTTCTTTGGACCTTTTTTTTCGTATTAGACTTCACGGTTAGACTTCAAGACGAAAGTAATGGCATTTTCGTTATTATCACAAATATGTGAGGATAAACAAGGAAGAAAAAAAGAGTGAACTACTTTTGCATTTGACCTCAATTTTTGTACTACTTTTGAAAACAGCCCTTAAATGAATTAATTATCTCTACTCTATGCTTGTATTCACCCTAATGAAGGTCTGATTCATCCAATATATATAACTTATCTTCTCTAACTCATGTTTTGCAACAACAAATTAAATATTAATTCATTAAATCTACGATTAACATCAACACAACACTATGGTGGCCACATTAAAACAACGTACGGAGAGAAATATGAAAATATGTGATGTCATAGAACACTAAAGCTTTCTTGCAGAAAAAAAGTTCAACTGTAATGTACTAATGTTGATATAGATAAGGGGAGATACTAATTGGATCTTCGAAGTTTTTGGAATGGAAACATATCTCATCTAATCTCTAGCTAGAGTCATATCAAGATTCTCATGTGCTGATGGCTTGCTACTTAGTTCATTTTATGGGGTTTTACATTTTGGATTTGATCTTTACGTGCTTTCTTCCTTCTAATATAAGCAATCATAAAAAAAAACTGAACAGCATCCATAAGAACTGTAACAAAACAGAGTTTTGAAACAATAACAAATCAGCATTGTAAGATCGTTAAACACATCAACAACAACAATAACAACAATGACATAACCACAAAGAAACAGAGATTTCTTGGAGAAGAAGGTAGAAGATGAGGAGAAGGAGAAGCACCAGCATGGCTCTCTTTTCCGGTACAAGGAGCGTGATGATAGTAAAATGAACCAAGTAGTAAACCTAAGATCGCAAACCATTTAACAAAAGCAAACCCTGATCAAGCAAAGTGAGGTCTCAGGTGATACTCCTCGTCTCCTCCCTCGAGGCCTCGACTGAAGAGATTGATCCCATGCAAGGTTTGGCGATGAAGGTTTGGGGGTAGCGTGAAAAGATGTAACGATACAACGACGAGGATCAACAACGACAAAACTTGTCATGCTACATGTTGTGCGGTGTTTACCATCGTTGATGATACATAAATCATTTTTTTTTTTAATTTATATTGACAAAGTAGTCCAGTCTAGCGTAATGATAACAAATTAAAAGAAGAACACGAATGTTATGTTTGTAACATAAGTAACATTAAATTAAACAAAATTAATAGTTGCATTGTATTATTAAAGGGAAAACCAAGTAGACAATGATATAACATTAAAACCCCCAAAAAAAAACAAGCAGTGCCATTCAAGTTTCCAAGTGCATGATGCTTCCACTCTTTTCCATATGCCTGCATTCAACGTACGACTCACGAAACCCGCGGTCTGGTTTTCCTGCGTTGATTCTAATCTTTCTCAAATCATTCTTTTCCACATCATAATAGAAAATGTGAGGTTCCCACACTATGGGTGCCAAGATAACCTCGCCGTTTTGAGTTGCACCATGCACCTTCACAACAAAGCTGTTTTTATCAAACAAACGTATCTGACGAGGCTGCAAAACCAGAGATTTAGTCGACCATTTTCCACCATCTTCCAAGACCCATAAGCCCCCCAAACCCGTTATTGGGAGTTGGGTGGTATCAATAAGAGCTGGTTTTCCACCATACTCTATAAAACCCGTACGCATATAAAACTCAGGGAGCGTCAAGAGGAATATAGAACACGATGTTGTAAAGCCAAATGACCCCGGCCCATCCCCATCCAATCCCTTCCATCGCAGCAAAGCTCCAATTTGCATAGACTGCAATCAGAGTAGCCACCTGTTTTGGAACAAAATGGTCAGAAAAAGCGGTTTCTAACTCTTGACTTGAGTGCTGGCTACAGACAGTGAAGTGCCACACTAACCAATTGTGCGATGATAAAGGCTACCACAAGCCACACCCCAGGACGTTCCACATAAGACCAACTCCGTGATCGCGTCACAAAGATAAGCGCCTGACTTATAATGCCCACTTGTAGGTATATTGCTGAGGCAAGCTTCCTGAAATCATCATCAGAGCCGTGCTTAATGAGTTAGCAAAAAGGCATTTACCTCAGGGCCCCAACATAAATATATGTTTGGAGGCCCCCAATTTACAAAAATGTGTTGTAGCCTAGTGGTATAATTCATTGCATTTGAGATACATAATCTTAGTTCGAACTCGTAATCATGCAACATTTAGTTTTATTTATGATTTCTAACTTCTTTTCTAAATTTTTCTAAAATATACATGAAAAAGGCCCCAACTTTTTTAAATTTGCCTTGAGCCCCTTAAACTCTTCGCACGGCACTGATCATCATGCGCTGTTTTCTCAAGGGTCGAAACTCCGAAGGTTCGCTGAAATTCAAACAAGAAATTCTGGTCACTAAGATTACAGACTTTGATATTGGTTTACAACTACATCTAAAGGCTAATGTTGATGTTCCAGCTAGTGTAACTCTGGAAAACAACTGCTTGACATAAACCAAGGAGAGGAAAGAAGCAAGAGTTATGTATAATACCGGGATGAAGTCTGTTTTGTATGAAACCCAGAAAAATATAGCTGTCATCATTGCCATGTAGGTTCCAAACACAACGCCGGTTGCAAATATCTCTGACAGTTTTGGAACATCATAAAATAAGCAATCATAAAATTGTTTTGGAACAACATCCATTAGAACTGTAAACAAAACAGTCTTAAAACAATAACAAATCAGCATTGTAAGTCCATTAAACACATCAACGACAACAGCAACAAAAATGACATAAACATAGAGAAACAGAGATTTCTTGCAGAAGAAGGTAGAGGCAGAGGAGAAGGAGCAGCACCAGCAGGGCTCTGTTTTCCGGTAGAAGAAGTGGTGTTTTCCTTGGAGCAAGCAAGGTTACATCGACTAGGACGAACAATTCGGTACACACCAGAGCTCGTGAGCAAATGTATGTCTTTGTTATTGTCTTGTCCGAAAGAGTAGATGTAACCAAGTGCAGGTCCTGAGTCAGCTCCTCCTGGAGCTGCCGTGCACTTCACCGGTGAATCCTCGCTGCATTTAAACGGTATTTGAGATTTCGTGAAGTTTCCACTATCTTCTGGTGATTCTATCGCTGCCCACATCGCGTTTGCGTAGAGATCTGCATACAAGTACCTGAAACAAAAGTGTTTGAGGATTTAGAGTTCTAGGGTTTAGAGGTGTTTTGGATCTAGGGTTACAAGTGTAAGTGTTTGACTTACGTTCCATAAGAGCAAGGATCAGTGTTGGAACGATAGAAGTAACCTCCAATGATGGAAGCAGATCCTTCATGTTTGTTAACTTCAGAGTGATTGTAACCGAGGATCGGGAACGTCAAGTTAGAAACCGCAGACACATTCTCTCCAAAAGGAGACAACGGAGAGAAAACGTAAGGTCCTTCGTAGATTCTCCATCCATAGTTTCCACCCTTTGTTATGATATCAACTTCTTCATACGTATCCTGTTTACATTTTCAACACAACAATCAAAAACTAAGCATCATCACAGAACATTAAGGAAAAAAACAAACCTTTCCAACGTCTGCGCACAAGAAGTAGTCCGGTCTTTCGATATCGAAGCTGCAACGCCACGGATTTCTCAGCCCTAAAGCCCAAATCTCAGGCTGCTGATCTTCAATGCCTTGGAAAGGATTGTTCTTTGGGATAGAGTAGTTTCCCCATAAACCAAGCTGAGAGATATCAGACACGCTTGGCATTACGTCAACATCAAGCCTCAAGATTTTGCCAAGCAAAGACTTCTTGTTCTGTGCAAAGTTGTGAGTATCTGAAACTCCTCCTCCATCACCCGTCATGAGATACAAATACCCATCAGGCCCAAACAGAATCTGTCCACCGTGTGACGACGAATACGGAAGTCCCATTGTGAAAATCCTCCTCACTTCAGACGCCTTACCAGTCTTTGCCTACATACACAAGTCTTTTACCATGAATCTTGCTCTCCAAGAAACTCATATTAAATATTTTTCTTTACAAACTTACCGTTGAAGGGCTCGAGGAAGTGCCGTTTGCGGTGTATTCAGCCACAACGGTCTGATAACGACAAGGCTGTGCACCGTCGTCTTTAGGAAGCTTAGAAGGATCACAGTTCACATCAGAATTGCAAGCACAACGACCAGAGCATCCAGGAGACTTGACTTTATCGCAGTTAAACGACGCGAAGAACCGTCCGTTCTCTGCGAACCGAGGATGAAACGCCATTCCCATCATACCAAACTGCGTATCGAAGCTGACTTGATCGGTTATGTCAACAAATGGAGTTGATTCGTCGATTTCCATCGGTTTACCTGAATCTTGATCCGGTATTGTACCTAACCAGATTTTACCCGGTTGGTTAGAGAAGAAGGCCCGGTTTGAGCCGTCTGGATGAGCCACCATGTTGAGGTAAGACCCGGTTCCTATCTTCTCAAGACATACCCCTTTAGGTGGCTTTACATCATGACCGGTATCATTCACTTGGTTAACCGGTTTACCATTGAAGCATTTGGTTATGTTGGTTTGAGATGGTCCACCAAAGGCGGTACAGAATTCGGTTTGGGATTTCCAGAGATCGGTTAATGTCGATGAGTTTGAGGAGGTTGAAGGCGAAGAAGCACCGCCTAGTAGAGTTGGACTAAATGGAGAAGAGACAATGGAGATGTTCTGACATGAATCCCATAGCTTTGAGCATAAATCTTTAGAAGTTGAGTTGCAGAGAATCGGAATTTGAGAATTCTCTTCGCTAAAAAACTGTCCTGAGAATTGATCACATTTCTGAGGGAAATAAAGAAATGCAGAGACTCAGAATCAGTAGCTTCAATTCAAAGATAAGGGTAAGTGAGAGATCGATTCTTTTCTTGATTTATTGAAGGAAAGTGGATGGGGACTTACAGAACAGAGAATGGATTTGAGAAGGGAAGAACAAGTTGAGTCAGAGATGTTCATGGAGTTGAAGCGGTTCTGCAATTCAAGATCATTTTTGGAGTCGCAGCAAGTTCTTCCTGAGTAGGAATCGCAGAACTGAAGAGTCTCGTTGGAGTTGACTTGAGTCTCTGACAAAAAAGACGAAAACTCAAAACGACATGAGAACAAGAACACTTGAACTCAAAACGACATGAACACAAGAACACGTGAACTCAAAACGACATGAGAACGAGAACACTTGAAGTCAAAACGACATGAACACGAGAACACTTGAACTCAAAACGACATGAGAACAGAACAGAACATTTTGGTACATAACAAAAAAAAGAGATAGCTTACTTGAATCTGAGCAAAGAGGATTAGACGTTGTTGAAGAGAGTAGAAGGAGAAGAAGGAAACAGAGATGGAGGAAGATAGCGATGGCTTGATTTGTCTTTGTCATCATTGAGCTATGATGCAACAATACAGTTCTCTTTCTCTCTCTCTCTCACAGGAGACTCACAGCTATAAATACATATGTGTGTGTGTGTATTTTCTAGGAGGTAGGAAGATAGTGGTGTCTATTGTCTAAACACGAAATAGACGTTGAATTTTCTGTCAAAAATTAAATTAATTTTTAAGAGAGAAATGAATAAATATAAATAAAATCTTTAAGAGAGAAATGAATAAATTCTAGGATAGGGTGAAACGGTTACGCTAATTTGTCTATCTCAAATATAAAATATGATTGGATATACAAAACTTGTCAACCCTGTTTTGGAAGTATGGTTTTGGCAAAAAAAAATCGAACTTCTTTTTATCTTCTAGGAAAAAACTCAAAAAGTAATGTGACATCAGTTTCCGAATTTTCTAACTTTATTTATGATGAATGATGATGAACTAATTAAAAACAAAGTGGAAGATGCTTCTTGCATAGCTAAATGGGGGATCTTATTATATAAAGTTTGCATGAATAGGATTTTTATAAAATATAAGAGCACGACATATGTCACTTTTAATGTTATATCCGTTAAGATCGTGACACATGTCTTGAAAAAAGGAAAAAAAAATAAAGGAAAATTTTAATATCTTATAATAAAAACGAAAATTTATATAATAAATTGAAAATAATGTAATAAAAAATTCCTATTAGTATATGGAATAGGTATATAAACTAAATATCCTAATTGTATGGAATATAAGTTACATAAACCCCTATTTAAAAAAATCCTATTAATACATGGAATAGGTATGTAAACTAAATATCATAAAACTGTATGAAATTGGTTACATGAACCCCTATAAAAAGAGAGCTAATGTAGTCTTTTTTCTCATTCACAAATTCTTCAAAGCAAATTCAGCAAATCTCTTTGATTCTCTTTATCTATTTTTAAAATCATGTTTTTGAAAGTTCAAGAGAACATTGGATATTATTTGACTCTAGGTCAATTGTACCATATACCAACTCACTACTTCAAAATTTCGGAGATCAGATGGGCGAAGAAAACATCATCGAAATTTGTAACTTTAATGTGCAGTCTGCTGATAAAAAAACTTATAAAGTTTTCAGCCATCAGTGTTTTATAAGAATAACAGAAAGAAAAAAAGTATCAAGTATCAGTCAAAGTGCATGCCAGATTCCGTTGGAAAAATTTCGGCTTCGGACTTACGAAGATTTTGTCAATCTTCAGTACAAGACCGTATTTACTTTTGTTCTCATGCTATAATTTAATTAATTTCCATAGTTCTCATGCAGTGTTACGTAAGTAATCATATTAATCAATCCCTAACAAAAGTAATTGATATTAAGAAAATATAATGAACCGATATTCTAATTTTAAATAGTTTAATTTTCAATATTGTTAGGTAAAAAATTATTTATAAAGATTTCATCAATTGAAATCTCTTGAATAGAATAATAAAGTTTTGTTGAATTAATCAGTTGATCAGATTTAGACATATATAAGTCTTTCTATATTGGAAAAAAAATAAATAAAACTTATTAATTCATTTTTTATATCATGAATTCAAAAAAAATATCAATTATACTAAAAACGTAAAAAGGTTACCAATCTTATTTTATTTAAATATTTTTATCGGGTTTTTAATATTGTTCTACTTACTTTAAAAATAATCAAATTTTGTTAAACATTTTTCCATGTTTTTATTACAAAATATTAAAATAAACCCGCGTATACGCGGATCTTAATCTAGTTACTCATAAACTTAACGTGTTTTGCTTTGATTTTTATATATTTTAGTTTGAATCAGCGAAAAGCGTTTCAAAAATAGTTAGTCATATTTTTTTAATTAGTCGGACTATACGATGATTTAGCTACAGACAAATATATCGTCTAGGGTGTCCATTAGCCTATTGATCACTAAAACAATCCCTAATCGAGAACTTAATCAATAAACCAGATGATTACTCCGTTGATAATTGACTATCCCAATTGTATGAAAATTCCCATTTAACAAAAAAATCTCAACGTTCATGTTTTCGTTTTGTAAAATATGGATTATTTTGAGATTTACCTAACCTGGACATTCAGTCAATTTAATCGTCCGTGTGAACATTTTACATCTTTTCACCTTCCATTATGCTGCTCCCCTTTTCCCTTGTCTCACCCGCTTTACAAGGTTATTTCATAAAAAAACTATTCATAGAAGAAGCAACATTTTTACTTTTCTGTGTCCTAAATATCGCACGTCTATACGATGACAAAAATCGACGAAAAAAAAAAGTGAAAATTAAAGCAATATTTACTTGCCTATACTACATAAGACGTCCAATGATACATTGTTGAAGTGATCTTCACTATATACGATATGATCACCGGTTAGTCGACTAATATTGTCATACTTAAATATCTATAGTGATAATCATTCCTTTTTTAAAGAACAACCATCATAACGGAACTTATCGAGCCAAGTAGCAGAACAAGTTTGCAAGTTCCTCGTCTGACAAAAACTCTCAAACTTATAAATAAACTGTACATTCTAATTAGTAGGTCATATACATTATATGCAAACCTACTAAAAGCTTTAAAAGTAAGATGAACAAATATCAAAGACGACCGAATTATTTGAACAACCCACTACGAATAGTATACACTTTTGGATCCATCGTTAGCTTAGAGCCCTACAAAGCTATAGTCTGCATATCAAAGCGGGCCATGTCGGAGCAGATTGAATCATGGACCACAAACTTTTATATCTAAGGTATCAGTTTCTTTTTTACTTATATGGTTATATAATAAGATAGCAAGAATTGGTGGAATAAATGCAAAATCGAAGCCATGTCAAAGGTATAGACGTATAGTTGGGGGGTAAAAACTAAAGTAGTTTTGAACTTTTGACCACGAGCAAAAAAATTATAATAATGCAAACTAATGGCAACGTCGATCTCCTTGTCGACATTTTCTCTTAGTTGCATTCCCCATTTCTCACTTACTTTATGAAAATTTGGTTTATTCAAGGGCGTGGACTCTTTTATCATTAATGAACCCATTGGACTTTTGAAATAGTCTATAGTTTATCATATAGTAGTATTAGGTTATGAATTATGATGTATACATTCTAGAAGGTAAAACAGTTCAACTTGGCTTTTAAGACAACCAATCAGTAAACTCCACTTTAACTTTTAAGCTGACATCTCAATATTACTGTGATGCTCATGAAATCTATCATTTATCTCAATCAACAGTGATGATATCATTGGACTACAAAGCACTCATCAACCACGGTTATTGGACAGGACACAATGATAAGAGAGAAATATTTACTGTCCGTGACTTAAGATTATGGGACAATTTGTATAATAGCTGCAATGTATATTTTGTAGGGTGTTTGACTCTAAACTAAACACTTGCAAGTTGCAAGTTTTTTTCAAAATTCATCTGTGAGTTTGTTGAGAAAAAATCGTCACCACTTGGATTGTATTAGATATGGATATAGTGCTTCCATGTGGATCTGCACAAGTGATTCCTCCGTTCGGCGCGCAACCAAAGTAAACAAGTCTTATTTATATAAATCATATTATAGTGTTATGCGTTCTCAAATGCATATAGATGTAACATGTATCATGTATGTATGAATGAGAAAATAATGCAAAATGTAAAGCACACAAAAGCTACTAAGTTTTTTATGGTGTTAGGTATTGGAACATGACCCATATAGTTTAATCTAAAAATCTTATGGTTATATTCACACTATTTATTTTATGTATCACTATCGCACGCAGATAAGAATTTGCTTTTTCCTTTTTGACTATAGGATACAAATTTTTAACTTAATTTAATGAATACCCGATAAGGACGATTTCCGTATTACCCACTTCCAAATTTTTGTCGCTCATCTGAAGTCTTTGTTGACCTAGACAAAACTAACATCATCACGACATCATCCAGATTAAACATTTGTGCGTGTGTTTCGAATACAATGTTATGGTAATGTCTGAAAACTTTATTTAATAATAATAAATGATAAATCTATGAGTATTACTAGTATTTAAGTTCTATGGATAATCGGTTTCTTCTAAACCAAATGATCTCGTAATATTTTTGCCGCAGAAGCAAGTGAGTAGGTAGGTACACTGGTTTAAATGACAAAGAACAAGAAATCGATTCATTAAAAGATATACTCCACATCGCATTAAATTACAAGAATACCATTGTAAACAATTATTGGCCTTATTAATGTTCCCCAATTTACTGGTAAGGATTTTCAACCACGTGTTCTCTTGTTATTTTCAAACAATGTATTACTCCAAACTCAAAAAAGATTAGAGGTAAATTTTACTCGAATTAGTACTCAAGACAAAAACTGTCACCGTGTACTACGTTCAAAGAACATTCTTCACGTTTCCAAGATTCGATCCAACAACAAGACAAAAAGAATAACTTTGTTTTTAAGACCACAAGTATTCAAATCTATCCATCAAGTGCTCCAAGAGCTTTCATGTCCTCTAAGAAAGCTGAGTAAGAATCATCAATGCTCGGTGGCTTTGAAGCTGCAGATGTCTTGGCTGACTCTACCTTCACTGGTGCAGTGTTAGCCATAGCTCTCGGTGTAAAACTCAAGCTCGAGGCTATCGATGTCTTTGGCTTTGGTTTGGTTACAGTTGCTGACTCTCTTCTCACTCGAACGGAGGCAGGGACCTGCAGATAAAAAAAGTAACAATTGAACAATTTGATTCGATGTGTGGAATTCACATGAGACAAAGCAAAAAAAGTGAATTCATGTCTATAACTCACCATGGATGTAAGCTCAGGTGTGTGATGAGCGAGTGGTCGCCTGACAACTGTAGGAGCAGCGGATTTTACAAAAGATGGTTTGTTTGGTACATATGGTCTGATCATTGCTTGACTGTCTTGGAAACTAGACGGTGGTGGTCCCGGTGGAAGCGGCGGTCTCATCATAGGAGGCGGTCCAGGTGGTGGTCCATACGGTGGCCTCGGCATTAGATGACCACCAGGCATTCCCGGAAGAGGAGGATGCATATCGTGTGGAGGCGGTGGAGGTGGAAAACGCAACATTCCTGGAGGCAGAAAAACATCATGCTGAAAATTATTTAGTGAAGCAGGAGCTCCTGGAAACGCTGATTGGTGTTGCTGATGTAAAGGTGGTGGCGGTGGTGGTGCAACCATCTTAGAGAAGTTAGCGTTTTGAAAACTAGTCGCGATAGATTCTGATGGGCCACTCTCAGAGTCGTTGCTTGGAGGCTTCGTCGGTGGTGGGGGAGGAGGGACGGAAGTTACATTAGCGTTCTGCAAAATGGAGATGAAAAAAGTGTAATCAGGTTTCACACACACACAAACAAAAGAAAACGTTCACTGCACCAAGTTAAGATGGTTACCGAAAACAGAACGAGGTTTTACCTTGTGCTCGTAGAAGGTTTGATTTGATGATTCAGGGAATCTACCATCGCCTTCGTTTCCAGTTAGACCAGGAGGAGGCGGTTGGGAAGATTGAGGAAGTGGAGGGGGTGGAGGAAGAGGAGGACGGACCAAATCCTGCTCTCTAGGTGCTGGGCCCGGAGGCGGTGGTGGAAATGGTGCATGTGACAAAGTATGGCCTGTGGTTGGCGGCAAAGGAGGTGGAGGTGGAAGAGGCAAAGAAGCAGATAGAGCATTATCCACATCCGGTAGAGGAGGAAGTGGAGGCAGGGGAGGAGCAACTAAGGCGGAATCTTCTGACTCGGTATTGGAAGACAATGCAGCAGCACCACTAGATGAAGCACCATCAGAGGAGATTCTAGGTCCTGAAATAACAAAAAAAATATCCTTTAATGATACAAACAAGGAATATTTCGATTTTGTATGGAGCAACATTGACAAAAGAGATTACCTATGGATGAATTATACATTGGTGGCTTTCCGGGAGGTGGTGCACCAGTCGGGTTCAAAGTAGGGTGATAATAAACAGAGTCCTGTCATGATATACAGAAAAGTTAGTGACGTTTCAGAATGAAGCAGGGAACTGGACAGAAGACTAAATAAGTACCTCTGGTTTTAAGTCCTCTTCTCCTGTTGTTCTTCGTTGGGCGGGTAGGTGACTGCATAGAAGAGAAGAACAAGTTACATCTAGTAGAAAGCTGATGGAATCTTAACAATCAATGCTTAAATAGAATGATAAATCACCTGAACATAACAGATGTTGATGCCTCTCCTTGTTCCTTCTTTTTCTCATCAAATTCCTGTGAAAAGAAAAAAAATAGTTTAACAAGACAAGAGATTGCCAAATTATAAGCTCAGTGTAGAATGGAGTAAAGGAGTAAAACCTAACTCTACAAGAAAAGTACCTTTCTCTTCTTCACAACCATCTTTAGAGTATCTTCAAGCTGTCTCTTTTTATGTTTTCTCGCTTTGTCCAAAGCACCTTCAGCCTCTACACCAAATCAAAACATTACCTATTAGGTTGCATAGAGATTAGCTGTTGAACAAATCTATAAACTTGTTGGGGTTTAGTCAGCATAAGCTATGAGATCTTACTAAAAGCAGAGTATGACTTACTTGACATATCGAGTTTCCTGATCTGTTCCTTGATTTGTTCCGGATCCTTCTTCAAAATCCCCACCTCTCTTACCTTCTGCCTCTCTTTCTTGTTCTGTAAAACAACCAAAATTAATGTGTAGAATAAGTATACAGCCCAGAAATCGACACACAGCAATAACATTCGCTGAGACAATGAGACAACTCTTGAACAATATGCTACAAAATCTCATCTTTTAGGTTCCTAAAAAGCCATTCTGAGCATTGAATCAAAATCTAATGCCTAAACAACACAAGGAACTCCACCAACAACAAAAAAAGTCTAATTTTGGGATAAAAGTTAACCTCTATATGAAGGTTTATCTACTTGAACCAGTGTTGGAATCTCCTAACATATTATAAACAACAAAGAGCAACTAAGTCAATCCAATCGAAATCAAAACAGAGAGCAAATCAACCTGAATCTCCTTAAATTCAAGCAGCGAACAACAACAATTATCGCCAATTCGATAAAACTGAATCACAAACTTACACGTTTAATTTCCCTCTTGCGAATCTGCTTGCGGTAAGCATCAGTAGGGTTCATCACTTTCCCTCCTTTCGTCGTCTTCATAACTCCGTTTTTGCGCTCTTAAACAACTCCCGCCGATTTAGGAATTGCTCGCAATTAGAAGAAGAATAAACAAAGATCTTGGTGGGGTTTAATCTCTCTCCCGAGAAGTATTTGAGTTTTTCTTTCCCAGAAGATTAGAATTTCTCTCCTCCTATTCAACTCTCCGATCTATCTAATCTGACTACGAGGCTCGAAATCTCAGCAGGAACAAACGTTTAAGATTTTTGGTTACTTTCATTGTCCTTTTGTTTCACGAGGTTTTCTTAGGATCTAAACGGGCCACAACTGGACTATTAGTAAGAAGCCCATTTGTAATTTATAATTATTTACTTTTTGTCGTCTATCCCATTTTTAACTTTTAATGTATCGTTTAGTTAAATTGTAATTTATCTTGTATTTTAAAAAGTAAAAATAAATTTCTACTAACACAATATACAATTTTTTTTGGTTGAGAGTAATATTCCCTCTGTTTCATTGTAAGTGTCATTTTATAAGTTTTTTTTGTTACAAAATAAGTGTTTATCTTTTTCTCATTTATCTTTTTTGCCCCTAATTAAATAAAAAAACATGAATATTATAGAATTTTAAGAGTTAAATAATGGTAAACTGAACATTGAACCATTTTCTTAATTGGTATTGTGTGATAAAATGACAAAACCTTTTTGTAATTTCTCCCAAAAACATGTGTTATTTTTTTTTGCTAATTATAGCTTCATGTTTATGTTTTATTTGTCAGAAATGCAATTTAAAACATCAAAAATAGCAATTACAAGCCAGAAAAGAATTGAATAGGCAACAAGTTTTATAAAAGAGAAATTTTAAGAAATATACCTTTTGAGGTGTAAATTTTCAAAAATACACATTTAGTGTGATAATTTTCAAAAATCCACTTTTTCCTAATTTTAATATACATATATGTTTGGATTCACTAATCCTTGATTCGGGTTTAGATTTTGGGGTTTATAGTTTAGATTTAAGGGTTTAATGTTAAATTTTAGGGTTTAGAGTTATTTTAATCATTGAAAAAATGTAGTTTTGAAAATGAATACCAAAAAGGTGTATTTTTGAACTAAAATGGTGTAGTTTTGAAATATCTCTTTTAAAAAAGAATTTAAAATGATTAGATAACAATTATCAGACCCAAAACATGAAATTCCTGGGTAAAATTTGTGAATATAGTTTCAACAGACCAAATGACAATATCAAAGCAGTCCAAGTGATCAATCGAATCATTAAATCCAAAAAGTATTCATCACCATGCAGATTTTGCAAGCGATTATAATAGCAAAATGTTTTATTACGTATCCATTGTTCAATATGTGTTTTTAAAGTGGAATGTTTTCCGGTTTGCCATCTTAATGTGTATTTGATCATGTATATTAAATAATGAAAATAGATTTCTACTTATACAAATTTTGTTTTGAGTGCTAGTATAATGATCGATTTTTAGGAGTTCATATGAACCATCCACTATATTAGCATTTGCATTTACACACAAACTTACATTTTTTTTCATAATTAACATGTTATTGTCTGATACTAGCAACAATGGGTGAAAAAACTGCATATACACATTCAAAATTTTATACCTACTAAAAATATAATTATTCATGAAAGATACATTACATGTTTTTTTTAAAACAACAAAGAAACATTCATTCAACGTGAATACATGACTCCTAACAAGTACCTTTAGAAATTCACACAAAGCAGCCTATGAGCTATGAGGTGTTTCGTTAATACCGGTCATCACCACGACGTGACCACCGAGCAGAACCTGCTTTAGCCAAACCAGAATAGTAATCTCCAACGTTTGCAACAAACAGAGGATCTCTCTCTTGGATCTTTAGAGGATCATAACGCTTAGAACCATGATCACTCCCTTCATCAGACTGCTCCAAGTCTTCCGTTAGATCTTCCATTGTTTTCTTGAGATTAGCCTTACTCATCTGTGCAGCCTCTCCTGTTGAAATCCCCACCATTGTTATCTTTGGTAAGAAAGGACTCTGCTGCATTTCCCTCTCTCTACATTCCATTTCCCTGAAAACCGCAAGAGAAGAAATTGTGTTTAAAAAAAAAGATCTTTACACTCTGCACTGCAGCAACATTTTGTTTGAGAACAATGGGTACCTTTGATCTGATGAACCTTTTTGAGCGTCTTCTTTTCTCGGCCTAGAGTGATTAAGCCAATCTCCAAAAGGAAACCAGCGATTTTGCTGTCTTTTCTCGTCTTCGCTTGGATTATCTTCTTCTCCTTTAAGCAGTGATGCACAAGTATCTACTGAATCACCAATACATCTAGTTGTGGAATCTGACGCTCTTTGGATGGAAAATGCACTCCTGAGAGCAACGAGAGACGGAAAGAAAAACAAGCCAATTAACGAGTGAGTTGATAAATAAGGTAATGTTGGTCTATGTGCATCAAGACAAGAGATGCATGCATACAGCATACCTTCTTTCAAAAGAATCGACCAAATAAGGTAATTTTGGCTGGATGCCTGTGGCTTTTCGAAACCATCTGCTACCTAAAAGTACTCTGTCTACGGCATATAGGAGTTGAATCTCTGCAGCCTTTGCCACAACACTCAGAGGGATTCCGGAACTGCCAATCTCTTCCATGGCTTCTTGAACCTGCAGTTTAATTAACACAAGAGAATCAAACCTCATAAACTTCTAGAAAATTCCAATAAGAACCCAACAATAGCCATTATCAATATTTTCATTGGCTAATCGGAAATTGCTACCCACAGACACAGAGCAAGATGATAGGAATAGCAACTGAAAAACTATATTCAGGCAAGTCTTGCTACTGATTATGATAACGTCACGGTCATTGACATCTTTACTTTAATCATAGGAAGAATCAATCTGCTCACCTCTGGCGGTTCTAGCATGCTGTCTCCCATTTCTTCCATAACCTCTGAAGTTAAGCTGTCATCAACAACATCTCTTCTTCGTTGCACGTGCCGAGTTTGGATTAAACTATGGAAATGTTGATCCACTGACTCTTCAAGAATGTTATCTAGTACAGCTTTATCAAAGAAATACGGAGTATACCTGGTAAAGGTAGATACCGTTGTTAGATACTAAAAAACAATCCCACGGATTTGGCATACAACTAATAAATGCTTCAAGCACAAAATTTCACAACTATCAAATTAAACAGCAGCCAAGTCAAGTAAAACCTGGAGAGACGAAAGATCCTAAACTGATTACACTTGCTACCAAATTCGCAATGTTTTCCATCAGTAAAGCTTACCACTTAATCCCATCGCCGGTTGCAACAGCAATGTCCAAGTTTTGAGCACCGAAAACAGGAACTCCTTCGACCTTTTGATTTTTCCCATTTTGTGGCATTGACTTGAGAAGTTTGTTGGCAGCCTTCACCTGCAAATCAGAAAATATTTTCAGCAAGGAATACGGCAATAATAAAAGGAACGAAGAAATGCAATGTCACACTGACTTATCTCCTACCTGTCTCTCATTTGGAACAAACTGAAACAAGTGAGGCTTCTCCTGATCACAATGAAACAAAAATTAAAATCAGTTTCTCCTACACTCAAACGTATATACATCAGAGACAACAGCATACTAGTTCCCATGGAGGCCTACCTTGAAATGCTCATATGCCAAATCAAGTCGACAAGCTCCAACCACTCCGCTTGGAATGTTTAGCTTTTTAACATATGAAACTGAGAAAACACACAAACATAGCTCAATGATACAGAGAGTATAATACAAAGATTACTTCAAAATCTCCGCTCTCATTTCAAACTATGTAAGTCTACTTCCGGACCAACAGCTTCTTAATGAACATACAAGCAAGTTGCATCTAGAGTTTCTTCCTACTGCAAATTGCTAAAAAGCTTACAAAGGGAACTGTCATTGCACCTGCATCGCCAAGATCCATGAAAAAACGGAACACAGGGCCGTTCCTCTCGCTCTTCTTAGTGATCGTTGAAAACATTTTCTTTAGCCACTCGGGTGTTCTGTACATCAGCAGAGAAACAAACTCAAAACATTGAAAATCATATGGAAAGGCACAAAGGTATTATACAATGTCAAATCGAAACTGAAATTCGAATTATAACCTCTTGGAGATGAAAGGAATATCGAAGTGCGTAGAAACCGCCATGAGACCAGTGCCAGTAAGGTCACACATACTGAAGACCTGACCGACGAAGGCGGGTCCACCGCGTTTCCCATCGGAGCTGAGAGATGATATCCTAACCGTTGAATTAAGGCCGGAAGAGGAAGATGAAGAGGTAGATGCGCTCTTGACCGTCGATTCCAGCGGTGATACACCGTCGGATACCGAGAATCTAAGTGGGAGGCATACACGAGACGGGTTCGTTGTGGGAGGGTGGAGAGGAATGATGGAAGAGAGAGAGGTGGCGGCGCTGTGGAGAAAATCGGCGGCGATGTGGCGGCGACGTTGCTTATCCGGCGAATCCATTTTTGTTCGTTCGGCTTCTGTAATTTTTGTTTTAAAACAAACCCATCGGTCCATATTGACCAACTAATCTAATTTGGCTTAATTTATGATTTCGAAATTACTACATTTATTAAATCACGAGAAGAATGTTAAAACTACATAAAATTACTAAATTTTTACTCCCAAACGGCGTCGATTAGCTTAATTAATGATTTCGAAATTACATTTAAATTACCGAATAAATGGTTTAAATGTACAATGATTAAAGGCAAAAACAATTGCAGAGCGAGAAATTAATCTTAGGGAAATTGTAGTGGATAACAATATTACAACCCATATTTAGGAAAGTAACAATAGGAAAGTCATGGCTACGATATTCCATATATTTTCTGCAATATATACGAAAAACTCCTTCCATGAAAGAGCAATTCAAATTTTAAAAGTTTAGGTCAATTTCCAAAGGGACATTTCAACATCCTGTAACAGTGCCATTATCGACAACAGTAGAGAAAATTAGAACCTACGATGGTGAAACCTTCTTCAACCTTTCTCTCTCTCGATTGCTGCTTCATCAACCTCTCTTTTATTGTGAAGACCCTATAGAGGTCGAAACTAAGAGCGATGACTGCTATCTCCGCCGACTGCTATCTTCGTCGGTGGAACCTTTCGTACATCTAGGTTAGTTTCGTTCCTAGATCTAGAATAATTGCCTGTAGATTTGATTGATAGATAGCATAATTTTGATGGCTCATAGATCGTTCGCCCCCATGGATACTTTCCCCAACAACGAGGAACATATTCTTTTTGGTTTCTCATTTATTTGATGATTATCCCCAGATTCTGTGTATTCAATTTGCTTTTTCTGAATATTTATGGCTGCATCTTCATGGGAATTTAGTGAAGTCGACTATATACTTCTAGTTGAAATTGGATTTTGCTATTTCCAAATATAAAAATTAGTTGGTCTGTACTATATAATTAAGTATGGTATAAGAGACCACAAAATTATGTTTTGTTTTTTATCCATGGAAGTTTTAAGTTCGGATCTGAGATTGCTCTTGTTATTATTGATCATAAGTAGCATCATCCAACTTGGGTGACTATGTGGGTGTTACATTTAGCTGACTATGTTATGTTGTGCTTCTGTAATGTTTACTGTACTATATTATAAACATACAGTGTCATCTATTTTGCCATTAGGTTTTAGCATGGATGAGTAAGGCTTGCCAAGCAGGACGATTGAGACATTGGAGAAGAAGACTTATCCATGAGGATGTGCGAGACAAGGTTTGAGCCAACAAGACGTAAACACAGAAATAATTACTTCAAACTTGAGTAAAAAAATATTGAACCAGCTTTGGATGAAGAATATTTGAAGAAGCTTCAGAATTAGCAGTTTAGTTGTTTGATGCCCATTCACGCATAAAGAGGATTATGTTTGTAGTATGTTTTGGTTGTGTGTGGTAAGTTTGTATGTTAATTACAGTCTTGGTATTTGTCGATATTATCTATGGTTTGGAAACTTTTGTGGGTGTCGATGTTGTTCACGTTATTGGCATTACCACTCTTGTTACAATTTTGGTTTTCTACATGTGGTTGTTTTCTCTGCTAAACGCTGTCCATATCCAATATCACACTGAATTTTAATGTATAATTCTTTGTTATACCATTTCATACCTTTTGTAAATAGTATAAGGATATTTCAATATGGACAGTCTACATCCATTGTTCCTTTATTCATTTAACTCTTGTAGGAGGAATTCGTAAACTCTAAATTTCAAATGTAAACCCTAAACTCTAATTTAGATGTACTAAACATTTATCAATGTGTTCCCTAATTTTGTAAGGTTTAGATTTTTATTTTGGGTTTAGGGTTTAGATTTTGGGTTTAGGGTTTTGTTTTTTGGGTTTAGTTTAGGGCTTCTTCATCTTGACCAGTGTTTAGATCAATAGGCAAAGTAACATAGCACAATATATAACTATTTTGTGAACCATCCTTAGTTTATAGTATAAGCTAATAAGGAGCTGGTATAGTATAGTCTATTTTTCTTATACATAGGTGTTTAATTAGGTATTTAATTGTTTTCGGCAAAGAAATGACGTAATTACCTATGAAAGATTCTTACACGGCGCATAAACAGAATTTTTAATACATAATGTGAAGGTAAAATGTGTCACATGGGAAGTGACGTCGACGAAAAATTTTGGGGGGAAAAAGTCCCGCTCATATGAGGGAGAAAATGGACCAACAAAAATTTCTCTTTGTTACTCATTATATTATCAAAAGAGCATGGCTATATGCTTAGTTATCATACCCAATATTGTTATACAGCAAATTAACCCTTAATCTTATTAGCTTGGAAAGAAAGAAAAAAAAAAAAAAAAAAAAAAAATCTAAGCCAAAATAATAACAATAGATAAGGGAGAAGAAAAGCAAGTGAAAGTAATGGCATTCTAAATTTCCAAGTGCATGATGCTTTCACTCTTATCCATGATACGGAAATACATACCCAAGTGAGGCTTACCAAACCAGTAGTCTGGGTCTGGTATACCTCTGATTCTAACTTTTCTCAAATCATTCTTTTCCACATGATAATAGAATATGTAATATGGGGAAAGCAATTGATACGGTGCCATGATAACCTCCCCGTTTTGAGTAGTACCATGTACAATCAATGGAATGCTGTTTTTATGGAATAAACGCATCTGGCGAGGCTGCAAAACCAGGGATTTATTCGACCACTTTCCACCATCTTCCAACACCCACAAGTACACCAAACCCATTGGTACAAGTTTGGTATGATCAAAAATAGCTGGTTTCCCACCATACTCTATAAAACCCGCACGTATTAGTGTTAATGGATCAGCCAGCGAGTGAGGTACTTGGAACGTACTAAACTCTTCAGACCTAACATCAAAAGTGACAATGGTAAGAGTGCGAGATATATAATATAAAACTCCGTTGATGCACAGTCCTTGTTTATTAGCCAAGTGAGGTTGATCAAACTCGATTCTTTTCCAGGAACCTCCGGCTTCGAGTACCAAGACCCAAAACTCCGAGGTTATAATCTTGTTGTACTTTCCCGAGAAAAAGGTAACAATGCATACTACTTTGTATTGATCAAGAACAGGATCGTGTCCGAAATAGTAGTGGACATGCTTTTCAGGTTCCCCTTGAACAAAGATGCTTGATTTGACGGCGGGTAAGGTTATGCTTTGTCTGGTGGTGGGATTATGGATACGCGCCTTGTTGCAAACACTCTGTAGTATCAAGCCGCGAAGAACCACCATGTAGCGTCCTCCCATCCCTGGCATGGTCAACTCTGGGTGTAAAGACTTATCTTTATTACTAGACGATGATAATGATAGCAGCACAGACTCGTGGGGGATGGTATACATCAAACTCATGTATAGACGAGGTGTGGATGCCGCCGTACAATAATAACGGTTGATAGGGGATGATTGGTAGGAGCTGTGGTTGCTCTCCAGAGCACTAAATCTCTTTACAGCAATCCAAAATCACCAATCAAGCTCTCATTCTATCTTTTTCCATTTTTGAAATGCAGAGCAATTTTTTTTGTTTATGGAAATTCCGTGGCTTTGGAAAGCAATTTTTCTAGAGCACAAAATTAATTGCTCTTAGAATTTTCTCTTCTCTCTTTCCTTATGTTTTCAACATTTATTTTTTAATCTATTATTTCTATATCTTATTTTTTTGTTTTAATGCTGTATTTAATGCCACAATCTACAATAAAAAAATCTTACATCACTAAAATCTATAATCACAGCCAAAAATTCTACAGCATAAATTCTACAGCAAAAAAATTCAAAGTTACAGCTACAACCAATCAGGCCCAAAATATCGAGAGAGGATAAGAGAAAACCAGAGCTTTGAGATGCACTTGAACCTCATCAGCGATTTAGCAGGCAATCTAATCAAGATCTCGATCTGGATCTCCCAAGGAATCTCCGGCGCGACCCAATCGTCTCCTCCTAGAGGCAGACCCATACCTACTAGCTTACTAATAATTCACAAGCGCCCACAAACTTATATATCCAAAGGACCAAAATCCCTACCTATTAATAATCCAGGGTTTGAAGACCTTGTTTCTTTTTGTTACGTGTGTTCAAAGATATTGTCAAATTTAGTCCCAAACGGCGTCGTTTAGCTTTGCTCATGTAATTTAAGAAAAAGCATCAACTCTGACTTAAAATGGAGCCAACTCTTTGGGCTACAAACAATTGTGCCTCCATCACGATTCACGACATTGACGATTTGTGCTCTTACAGCTTTTGATACTTATAATCCCAACTTTCTGCTTCAGTTCAGTTTACCATTAGCTTTTTTTCTCAACAATCATTTTATCGAATTTGTTGTGATATTTGGTACCTTTCTTAAGGTTTGTTTTTTAGCAAACATAGGCCATGAATGTTTGAGTGGTTTTTGGTTTTTAGTTTCTGGTTTTTGGCTTTTGGTTTCTGATTTTAGATTTTAGTTTTTGATTTTTGATTTTGCAGTAGATTTGGTTTTCAGAAAAATTTTAGTTTTTGGTTTTTGATTTTCATATGTTATTACAAAAACTATAAAAATATAAGATAAAAGAAAATAAAATACTATGGATATATGGAGAAACCCCAAAAAAGTGGATTTTGGTTTTTCTTTGAAAAGTGGTTAAAACACTAGAAAACTAGATTCTCTATTTTGTAGGAATTTTTTTTTTCAGAATCTTGAATGGCTGTAAAATAGATTTTTGAAGAAACTAAAACCAAAAACCACTTCAAAAACCACGTCAATATAAATTAATTATCTTAACGTATATAAAAAAAATTATCTTAACGTTCTAAAGGATAAAAATTAACTCAATTTTTTAATGAACTACAGAACAAGACAACGCTCTAAACAGTCAAAATATAAAAATATCACAAACATTTAAAAGTCAAAATATATAAATGTACCAAGGCAAAATTTCTGAAGCTTTACAAATAGAGAGTGTAAAATGTAAAGCTCATGCCGGATTATTAACATAAACTGTTGTGCTCATAAACTGTTGCAGAACCAAAAATAGGAAAGGATGAGAAAAGAAAATATGTGAAGCACTACAATGTTTTAACAAGTGGAAGTTTTGTTGGATACATGCCTAGATATGAGCCCCTCATCAATAATGCTTCTTGGAAATTTTGCTGCAACTGCCTTCAAATAAATCATCAACTACACCAAAAAAAAAAAAAAAAAAAAAAAAAATCAATGATAAATGAACACCATTATCAAAGTATGAAGCGGCATGAACAAAAGCCAGAAGCATGAACAACAAATTTCACAGATATCACATATATTATTCGATCTCTTTGAAGTGGCGCTATCAGACTCAGAGTTGCGAACTAGGCATTAGAAATTTTCAAAAACAAAATCAAAGTGTGAAGCAATTAAGAAAGCATAATCAAAGCATGACATGTTTCGATATATTACCTCGGTTGGCCTGAAAGTTGCTCGGATCCTCCTCACTAGCAAATATCACCTGCTTCTCAATAGAGTTTTCAGATCATGTCCTTTTCAACTGATGAATAAGCACAAAAAGTGAACAAAAAAATATTTGAAGTGCAATAAAATTATAATAATATGTCCATGAGCAACCACGACAAGTTCTAGATCAACCACGATAATAGATTATGGAGCAACTGCAAAGCTTGATAAAAGTCAAAATTCTATCATCACAAGTAAATAGAGAAAGGGTTTACAGAAAATCAAAGAATTGGTGAATTTAAATAAATTCATAACAACTATAGTCAACTTAGTAAATTTCATCATAACAATGTCATTTATATTTTTTTTTTCTCAAAAAATGTTATTTTATATAGTAGTTTGAATTATGCTGATGTTCGTGTGCAAACAATGCGGATGACATAATCAATTGAGAAGACAAATAGTCTTCGTATTCTTTAAATAATCTCCATTTCATATAGAACTAATAAATACAAATTGTTTTCCTGTGAATTTGGTAACCAATGATTTTTTAGCCATTAAAACTCCCTTGGAGAAAAATAAATGAGAAAAATGAAAAAAAAAAAAACGCATGCAAGTGGAAAAACTCATTTACGGAACGGTACCGTACGGCAATTGGTACCTTCAAAAAGAAAAGAAAAAGAGAGAAAGGGGCCAAACAACAAAGGTTGTGTCACGTGGTTTGTGTTGTTTTTTTGTTTGGCGTGTGTGTGGTATACTGTGAACTCTTTGTTTTCTTGGACACGTGTTGGCTTTTGGCGCGAGCATCACCTCTTCGCATATGGCCACCATTTTATGCACATGGCTGTTTTTTTCTACTACTGAATTGGGACCCTTTCGCTTTTTATCTTCTTTTACAATCACAACTCACAAGCATAGTTTACTCTAAACTGCAACTAACCTTTTTTAAATATAACCTTGATTTGACATTTTATCTGTTTTATGTTTTTTAATGATCTCTTAATATGTATGGTTAGGACTGAGGACAAAAGCACTTAAAATAGATGTATTTGAATTGGATTTGAGTCTCAAGAAACATATATTTTCGTGTACGTTTACTTATATTGACCCAATTGGCATGAATGAATCGTTGGACGCTTATACAATTGAAACATCTAATCTTATGTTGTTACATTCACGAGGCTTGCGTAATATTTCAAAGAAAAAAATTACTATTTTGGATTCCTTTACAGAGGAAATAATTTACTAATTAACACAACCAGGGATTTTACAGCTAGTAGTGTAACAAAATTATTAGGACATTTCTATAATTTTAGCTGTAAAAGACAATGTACAGTCACAGACACACAGCTTTATTAACTTTATACTTTACTGTTTTTTTTTTTGGTTCAAAACTTTATACTTTACTGTAAAAGACGTAATCACAGACTGAAAATTATTAGGTAAAAATATTGTTCTCGTGAATCTTGACACAAAGGAGAAAAAATGTTGAAAAAGGAGAAAAGGCTGAGAATTTGTAATTATTATTATTTAAATAAAGAATGAAAAAAGAAGAAGAAGGATATTGTTGTTGTGGGGCGAGAGAGAGTGTGTGTGTTAGCTTCCCATACTGCCACTAACCTTTAGCGGTTTCCTCATCCTCTTCTCTCTCGTTTCTTCTTTCTCTCAAACCAGAGAACACGAAATTATCAGCTCAGAGAAACAGGTTTCTGCATCTTAACGTTTATCGAATTCTCCTTTCAATTTTTTCTCCGTTTTCTTTTTTGTACTGGAGCTGCTTTCTGGTGGTGTTTCCATGGCGAATTTGTAATTCCTCTTCTGATAAATTTTCTGGTGATTTTTGTTTTCTTTCTCGCAGCGAGTAGACGAATATGGGGGACAAGGAAGAAGTCCTCGAGGCCGTTCTGAAAGAAACGGTGGATCTGGTAACAGATCTACACTCAATCCTTTTCTCTGTTTCTCTGTTTCTCTAATGTTAAGTGTTTCCCGGAGAAAGAAAGTCTGAAACTTTTGGCTCTTTGTTTCCAGGAAAATGTGCCTATTGAAGAAGTTTTTGAGAGTCTGAGGTGTAGCAGAGAAGGTCTCACTACAGAAGCTGCTGATGAGAGGCTTGCCCTCTTTGGGCATAACAAGCTCGAAGAGAAAAAGGTTCCGTTTTTTTTTGCTCTTTCTGGAGTTTGCAGCCCAAATATTCTCTAAAGTTTGTATCTTGATGAATTTGAGAAGTGGGGAATCTTGGATTCTAGGGTTTTATTCCTGAATATACCATTCCTATAGCACCACAAGATTCTAATTTCCATGTCCTGAAGCAAAGTTTCGGTTTTTATTGTGTGCAGGAAAGCAAATTCCTGAAGTTTCTTGGTTTCATGTGGAACCCTCTTTCCTGGGTGATGGAAGCTGCTGCCATCATGGCTATTGCACTTGCTAATGGAGGAGTGAGCATAACTTGGACCCTTTTACACGATTTTACATTTCTTAAAGTTTAAATCTTTTAAAATATCTCATTTTGTTTGTTTCTTGATGATGCTTACCAGGGGAAACCTCCTGATTGGCAAGACTTTGTTGGTATTATTACTCTGCTTGTGATAAACTCCACCATCAGTTTCATTGAGGAGAACAATGCAGGGAATGCTGCTGCTGCTCTCATGGCTCGTCTTGCCCCTAAAGCAAAGGTTTGATATTCTTGCTTATTGCTACTTGTTCTTAACCACAGAGTCTACAATTTGTCGATTTGGTTCTTAGCTACTCATTTCTGGTTACCATTTGCTTAATGTATCTCCGCATCTTTTGTTAAGGTTCTTCGAGATGGAAGGTGGGGTGAGCAGGATGCTGCAATTCTTGTTCCGGGGGACATCATCAGCATCAAGCTTGGGGATATCGTTCCAGCTGATGCTCGCCTTCTCGAGGGTGATCCCCTGAAGATTGATCAGGTTTGAACCTGATCTTGTGGTGCACTCTTACTTTTTACATTTAAGAATTTGTACTGAAGCTGTATGGACTCTTTGTTCTGTAGTCTTCTCTTACCGGTGAATCTCTCCCAGTAACCAAAGGTCCAGGGGATGGTGTGTACTCAGGCTCCACTTGCAAACAGGGAGAGCTTGAAGCAGTTGTGATTGCAACTGGAGTCCATACATTCTTCGGAAAGGCGGCACATCTTGTTGACACGACCAACCAAGTTGGCCACTTTCAACAGGCATGTTCTCTTACACGTTTGAGAAGTCTCTCATTGCTGAGATCTTGTATGGTGTATTGTTGTTTCTCTTTTCAAGTTGGTTCAAACTATATTGATGTTTATATCTTTTTTCTTTTATGTGCAGGTCTTAACTGCCATTGGGAATTTCTGCATCTGCTCTATTGCAGTGGGGATGCTGATTGAGATTGTCGTGATGTATCCCATTCAACACCGAGCATATCGTCCTGGAATTGATAACCTTCTTGTGTTGCTCATTGGTGGTATCCCAATTGCAATGCCTACAGTTCTGTCTGTCACCATGGCCATTGGCTCTCATAGATTGTCTCAGCAGGTTAGCTATTCCATTTCTTTTCGTTTACTTGAAGAACCTTTTTTCATTCATCGGATGTTGTGGTCAAAAACTTGCTTGATACTGAATGATTGGGTGGGACTTGGCAACCGGTGTCATTGTTAGGAGAAATTCATATGTGCTTGAATGGCTATATGATTATATTCTGATATATATATTGCAGGGAGCAATAACCAAGAGGATGACAGCAATTGAGGAAATGGCTGGCATGGATGTGCTTTGCAGTGACAAGACGGGAACTTTAACCTTGAATAAACTTACTGTCGACAAAAATCTCATTGAGGTACTTTTGGCTTGTTCAGATAAATGACTCTTCCATGATCTCGGATTGCGGTGACATTTCTGAATGAGCGCTCTCTTGTATATAGGTTTTTACGAAAGGAGTGGATGCGGATACTGTCGTCCTAATGGCAGCTCAAGCCTCGAGACTGGAAAACCAAGATGCCATAGACGCTGCTATAGTTGGGATGCTTGCTGACCCTAAAGAGGTACTTTAGTGAACACTAGTTTTCCAACAGAAACGCTTTTACTTATAATGATTCAGAATTGCATTGAAAGTTTCTAATGATTTTTCAATATTGCTTTCTGTAGGCACGAGCTGGTATTCGAGAAGTTCACTTTCTTCCATTTAATCCCACTGATAAGAGGACAGCTCTTACATATATTGACAGTGATGGTAAAATGCATAGGGTCAGCAAAGGTGCACCTGAGCAAGTAAGGAATCTGTTGGCATTATGCTCTTCTTCAGTTTTTCATTTTTGGTGTAATGCATAGTCTTATGAGCTCTTATTTCCGACGTCTCAGATCCTACATCTCGCGCACAATACATCAGAGATTGAGCGGAGAGTTCATGCTGTAATAGACAAGTTTGCTGAAAGAGGTTTGCGATCTCTTGCTGTGGCATACCAGGTAACTGGTGACTAGCTCCTCTTAACTTTCTTGAGATATTTTTGTGTAAAGTTGATACAAGATTCAAAGTTTGGCCTTTTGCAGGAAGTTCCTGAAGGAACGAAGGAAAGTGCTGGAGGCCCTTGGCAATTTGTGGGTCTCATGCCTCTTTTTGACCCACCTAGGCATGACAGTGCCGAGACTATTAGAAGGGCTTTAAATCTTGGGGTGAATGTCAAAATGATCACAGGTGAATTCTTGGGTCTACATGTGTTTTTCTTTGCCTTTCATATGAACTTCTTTCTAAAGGCGTGTGGCACATTCTATAGGGGATCAGTTGGCTATAGGAAAGGAGACCGGACGTCGTTTAGGGATGGGAACAAACATGTACCCTTCGTCTGCTTTGCTTGGACAGAACAAGGATGAGTCCATAGGTGCTTTACCCATTGATGATCTCATAGAAAAAGCTGATGGCTTTGCTGGCGTCTTCCCTGGTAAAATTTGCATGCTTCTGTTTTTTTCCAAAACTTATAGTCCAGTGTAGTTCTACTCGGACTTTTTAACTAAACTAGTCATGAAACTGGTTTGCAGAGCATAAATATGAGATAGTGAAGAGATTACAAGCAAGGAAGCATATATGTGGAATGACCGGTGATGGAGTAAATGATGCGCCTGCTCTTAAGAAAGCTGATATTGGCATTGCAGTTGCTGATGCAACTGATGCTGCTCGTAGTGCTTCGGATATTGTTCTAACTGAACCTGGTCTCAGTGTTATCATCAGCGCTGTCTTGACCAGTCGTGCTATCTTCCAGAGGATGAAAAATTATACCGTGAGTATTGCCTTTTATTCTCTTAATCTCCAGCATATCTTAAACTTTCTCATGGAGGAATGGAGAAATAACTTGTGCTGGCTTTTCTGTTTTCCTGGACAGATCTATGCGGTTTCCATCACAATCCGTATTGTTGTAAGTTTTTATTTCCATTACAACTTGATTTTCATGTGTATGGTACTCTTTGTGATTTCGTTTTTTAAACTCCATCCAAATGTCAGCTTGGATTCATGCTGCTGGCTCTCATATGGAAGTTTGACTTCCCACCCTTCATGGTTCTTATCATCGCCATCCTGAACGATGGTTAGTTCATTATTTTTCACAGTCTTCAATCTATATATATCAGTATCTAGTGTCTTGCTGTATTGATTAACTCTTGACTTTGTAGGCACAATCATGACCATATCAAAAGACAGGGTGAAACCTTCCCCACTTCCAGATAGCTGGAAACTGTCAGAGATTTTTGCAACCGGCGTTGTGTTTGGAACCTACATGGCAATGATGACCGTTATCTTTTTCTGGGTTGCATACAAAACCGACTTCTTCCCGGTATAATACATTACTCTTGCTTATTATCTCTCCTTGGATTATGTGCCTTATTTGCTTTACATGTAGTTGTAAACATGTAAACCGATATCAAAGTCATTGTTTTCTGTATCTTAGTGACCAGATTTTCTTGTTTGAATTTCAGCGAACTTTCGGAGTTTCGACCCTTGAGAAAACAGCGCATGATGACTTCAGGAAGCTTGCCTCAGCAATATACCTACAAGTGAGCATTATAAGTCAGGCGCTTATCTTTGTGACGCGATCACGGAGTTGGTCTTATGTGGAGCGTCCTGGGGTGTGGCTTGTGGTAGCCTTTATCATCGCACAATTGGTTAGTTTTGCTCTTCACTTCACTGTCTGTGGTCAGCTCTCAAGTCAAGAGTTATAAACCGCTTTTTCTGAGCATTTTGTTCCAAACAGGTGGCTACTCTGATTGCAGTCTATGCAAATTGGAGCTTTGCTGCGATAGAAGGGATTGGGTGGGGATGGGCTGGTGTCATTTGGCTTTACAACATCGTGTTCTATATTCCTCTTGATATCATCAAGTTCTTGATCCGTTACGCCCTTAGCGGCAGAGCCTGGGATCTTGTTATTGAACAAAGGGTATGTATCAAAAACCTATTCATTTCTCTTTCCATTTCTTGATCTTGGATTATGGATACAGACCTCTGTTGTAAGTCTCTGATTGTGATCGGTTGTGCGTCTGTTCCATAGATTGCATTCACGAGGCAGAAGGACTTTGGGAAAGAACAAAGGGAGCTACAATGGGCGCACGCGCAGAGAACACTCCATGGCCTGCAAGCACCAGATGCTAAGATGTTCCCAGAGCGAACCCATTTCAACGAGCTTTCCCAAATGGCTGAAGAAGCTAAGAGAAGAGCCGAGATCGCTAGGTAAAGACACATCATCAGTCCTCTTTTCTTCCTGTGAACCTGAACATTTGTTATTTGTTGTCTCATTCTCTCTTATCTACACTTGTGACAGGTTGCGGGAGCTTCACACACTCAAGGGTCACGTTGAATCTGTTGTGAGACTAAAAGGTCTCGACATTGAAACCATTCAACAATCTTACACGGTCTGATGATAGAGAAAGAGCCCAACAACCGTCTCATTATCCTTCAAGAATGTCAAGATCTCTGTTTGAAACCTTGGATACAAATTATGCATATATAAGTCTCCAAGTCCTTAAGTAGTCTTTTTTGTGTGTTTTTTTCCCTAGATTTGTTTCTGTCGTATGATGAAGAATCAAAAATGCCAGAAATAGAAGTCAGAAAAAATGCAAGACAAATTTTGATTTGGCAATACATCTGATGTTATAATCCCCCTTTTCTCCACAAATGATAGAAAGAAAGAGATGTGTCGATCTAACACATAAACAAGAAACAAGAGCAAAAAACAAAGAGCCAGAACAAGTATACATGATTACTTCAATTCTATGTGACTTATTCAATGAGAATCCAAATAGAGAGAGTATAAAGGAGATGGAAGCTGACCAAAAACTAAGTCTAAAAGCTTCAACCAATCAGGCAGTGCTCTTGTCTTCATTGGTTTGATGAGAAGTCACCACCTCATCATCACTTCCTTTGTACCTATACCATCTTGCCATGAGCAAGAAGTAAGCAAAATTAACAACCATGATTCCAGCGACCATGAAATAGAAGAGATCCAGTCTTCCTTTGTTCAAATCCTCAGCTAACCAATTCCCGGTCTTGGAGTTCTGCGTCATACCGTGAACAATTGCAATCAAGAAGTTTGCAAGATAACCAGAGACTCCTACTCCAACATAGTAGATGGAACCAGCGAAACTCCTCATGTTCTCGGGGAACTGCTTGTAGTAAAACTCCATCAGTCCAATGGCTGCAAACGCGTCTGCTACACCGTTTAGTGTGAGCTGCGGGACAAGCCACATAGCTGACATTGAAGAGATGTCTCCCTTGCGTGGCGCCATACCGAGCGGATTACTCAGAGCGAACGTTCTCCTCCTCTCCTCGACGAAACCGGACACTACGAAGCTCGCGATGGCGATGAAAAACCCGGTTCCAATCCTCTGCAAGAGAGTTATACCGGTGTCTAGACCGGTTATCCTTCTCAAGGTAGGTACGAGGACACGGTCGTAGATGACGATGGAGACAGTCATTCCTGTCATCACGAAGACAACATAGGTGGCTGCGGGAATCACGAAACCGCCCGAGCCTAAGCGACGATCGCTCTGGACTGCTTGGAAGACGGGATAAGTCGTTTGTAGAATGGTTAAGTAGTAAATCGCTGCAGCAACCCATATAGGGAGCACTCTCACTATGCACTTGACTTCTTCAACTTGTTGCATTGTACACAGCTTCCATGGATCCGCAGGCTTACCATCACCTTCCAACTTGTCTTCTGGGGACAAGATCGCAGCTTTATCAAGAAATCTGGCCAAAAAATCGAAGCTTTCTCAGTAAACAGAACATCAAAACAGAGTGAAAAGACATTAAAAATGGAACCTTTCTCAGTAAACAGAGCATTAAAACAGAGTGAAAAGACATTAAAAATGTAAGCTTTCTTAGTAAACAGAGCATGAAAACAGAGTGAAAAGACATTAAAAATGTAAGCTTCCTCAGTAAACAGAGCATGAAAACAGAGTGGAAGACATTAAAAATGGAACCTTTATTGTTGTTACCTGAATTGGTCAGTGTATTTGAGCTTGGAGTTGGCGTATTTTGGAGGGTAGTAATTGTAGAGGCTAAGCCAAGGCTGTTTGGCTGGCTTTAAACCACGTTTCTTGATCGCAACCGTGATGACTTGAGCTATACCGGCCATTGGGCTACCGGAGGCTTTGACTTTGACATACAACTTGTTGCCGGCGAAGAAAATCAAGCAGGCCAAGAACATGAGAACCACCGGGATGGATAAACCGATGGTCCAACTGACGTTAGACTGGACGTAGACGATGAGTGTCAGCGAGATGATCTGCGCGAAGGTGAAGGTGAAGAAGTACCAGTTGAAGAAACTATCAATCCCTTTTTTCCCTGACTCAGTCTTTGGATTAAACTGATCAGCACCAAAAGCCAAATTACACGGTCTGATCCCTCCAGCTCCAACTACAAGAAGCCCTAGACCCATCGCAAGAAACGCGAGCTGTCCTCCACTTGCCGGGGTACATGAGCTTTTGTTTCCGCATGGAGTTGGATGCAGTTGTGGCACTGCAGATGTCATTAGTATCACAAATGATCCCTACACAAAACCCAATTCATCATCACTCACAAAACTAAAACTAAGATGCTTGTAGAGGAAGAGAAAGGATGGATCTTTACAAGAAAACAGGCGATGACAGCGAAGGTTAGTGTCTTGAAACGACCGAAGTAAGTGTCGCAGAGGAAAGCAGCAACGAATGTTCCGAAGTTGGTTGTGCCACCGAAGGCATTGATGATTGTTGCAGCTGTGATACTCTTCATGTTGAAGACTTGAGTGAAATAAATCAGAAGGTTTGATAGTGTTCCAATGATTCCAAGCTTCTCAAATGTTTCATTTCCTGGATAACAACAACAACAACATTGAAGATTTTTCATATGGCTTGTGATAAAGTTTCAAGCTTTGCATTTGATTGTATCAGAAGCCAAACCAAGAATGAAATCTGTGTTCTGGATCAGTTATGTTCACAAATCTCCTCAAACTCAAAATCGCAATCTTTTTTTGTCTTAAATTACTATTTGACTGAGTCAAACACAAAGAGAATCTCACAAAGTAAGCAAATCAAACAAAGACGTCTTCAAGGAAGACTGATGTTTTTCTTCATTTTCTCTAAAGATTATTTTTTTTCAATTGGATTTTGCCGAAACTCTGTGAAACCAACAAAAAGTGGTTTCAAGGACGAAAAAGAGTTTTTAAAAAAAAACAGGTAAGTGATCAAATTTGCGTTACCAATGATAAAAGGCATGACTTTCCAGCCTCTATAAACGACTTTCGTGTCCTCAACATCATCATCGACAAAATCAACCGCCGTAACAGGGCCACCGTACACGGCGGAGGAAGGTTTTTGGTGGTGATCCGTCGACTCAACTTCGAGAGGCTTTCTCTCCATTTTGTGTGTGTTGTTTGTATCTCGAAAGGTATTGATGACTCTGTTCTTCATCTTAGACCTGTCTCTCTATTTATAGTGGATAAGGTAAAAGGTTGGTGGAGATGTCGGAATCTAGACACGAAGTGGTAAAATTTGTGAATTTGGTAAGTGAGGTGAGCTGTGTGTTGTTCCAAAAAAAAAAAGGAAAGAGAGCTGTGTCACTGATTTAAATATTGATAATAAATGATTGTTTAGGAAATCTTCCTTTTTTCTTCAAAAATTAAACTTTTCTTCTATAAAATGTATGAAAATGTTGATTCCATTACAACTTACAGTGTTGTGGTCCCATCATCACTCTCCCTCTTAATAACGGCACGTTCTTTTAAACTCTCCGTCCATTTTCCGTTTATTCTCCATCATTCATTTTTTGTATTTTTTTTATCTTACGTTTAATTTCATTTCTTATTTAAGTTGATTGTTATGATTTCAAGATTAGCATTTAGAATTTCATACGTATTAAACTGTTTGATTTTTTATAGTACTCTCTTTCTCACGAATATTATCTTTTAGAATTTCATACATATTATTTTTGTTTGAACTTGTTTTTAGTTCAATTTTAATTGATTTTTTATTGACTAAATTATATGAGTAATTGATCTATACTAGCTAGTATACAAACTACATTAGCAATATAAAACATTATTTCATGAAATAAAAAGAAGGTTGAACAAAAAAAAACTTTTATTGAAATACATCATGGATCATGTATCTTTTTGTTATTTAATATGTAAGTATATACTTCTTCCTTTTCAAATTACAAGTAATTTGCAGAAATGTATATAAAATGTATATAGATGTAGTTAAAATACATTCAAATACATTTTAGATATATTTCTGCAAATGACAAGACAAGTAATATTTATATAATCACCATCAAAATAATTTAACTATTAAACTAAAATTATTTGAAATTTAAAAAACTACTTTATAAAAAAAAATCAATTGCAAAATAGAATGTGACCGAATGATCTTGATAGAAAATGAGTCAAACATGAGTCAGCATACTTGAATATGAGTATGACTAAATAATTCTATATTTTGTAATAGAAAATGCAATCCAAAGATTTTTTTTGCAAAATAGCATAGTTTATCTAATATAGGACAGGAGTTTTTATTTTAGTCTAGTCAATATTTAATCAATCGTAATCTATAAGAAAAGGTGAAAAAAGAAAGAAAAAAATGGGTGAGTAAATTAGACATGACACCAATAATGATGGGTGCCATTTTTTCAATCTCCTCAACTTGATCTTTCAAATCAACTCCAATCGCTTCCATTTTACCAACTTGGCATATGCTGTCATATTTTGTTGCTTGTAGTTATCAAAGAACTGTAATGAACAATATACAACATACAGTAACTCAATACTCTCATCGTTTTATTTCGTTATCATTACGTATTTCTCGACCAGATTGTATGTTTGGGAAATTAATAGCAATTGGCCTCATATCTTTATCATAGACGAAATATAAATTTGTAGATAAACGAAGTCATGGAGTATATACCTGTTTTAGAAAAACATCTCGAGTCCATCTTAAACCAATATCACTTAGCTAATGTATCCTTAACCTTAAGTGGCTAAATTAACTATTTACATCTGAAAAACATTATTCTTTCATGAATATAAGATATGCAAACAAAATTGACAAAAGTTGGCAATTTCTTCTTCTTATATATATATATGAAAATGATGTTTCTAGATCGAAATTCATTTGTTTTTAAGGCCCACATTTACAACCAGCTAGTGTAGAATTGAATTCTAAGAAATCCGAGTTTACGGCTCAACATAAAGATATTTTTCATGTTCAAACCTAACTAATCCAACCAAGTCATTATTATACCTTTTTTTTTTGGCCACACCTTGTAACTAAAATGTTTTTAAAATGAATTTGGTCGTAGCATTTGACAGATTTTCCTAACTTTTTGCTTTTTGACATAAAATTGTAAAGTTAGTCATCTAATTGACTCGAAAAAATGATCCGCTCTAGTATTGTAACATTTGAAGTCAACTACAGGTAGTTAATAATTGATATAAATATGTTTATATATTAGCTTGGTAGGCACACTTCATCTTTTGGAACTGTACAGAGAAGTCAAATGAAAATGTGTACAACGAGTAAATAACAAGTAGTATGTTTTTTCTTCAACAACCAAAACGCCAATTATTGTCTTTTGTAAAACAACTGAATGGTCTTAATCCGGTTGGATTAAAAAAGTCAAACGTGACTAGTAAGTGTACCGTGTACGTACGTATCTGTAAATAGAAACTTTGTTGAATCGAATTACTAAAAAAATAGAAACTTTGCAACATCACCATAATAGTTCAGATTTTGGGTCTACGAAATCAAGTGAAAGTTAAAACGTTCGTATTTATCGAAGTGAAAAATATGTGATATTTCGAAAACGGACCACACACTCAAACACAGACGTTAAACTAGTAAGAAATATTCGTGTAAGCACCTATGTATGCGTTGAAAAACTTCACTCATTTAAGGACTCTTAATTACTATCATTAATTAGGTGTAGTTAATACAATCAGTTTCTTTAACCAGCGCGTGGGCATCAAGAGTTCACTGGTTTCTGTTTTCTTTAGTTGTTTTGTTTGTTTCTCTCTTTTTTTTTTTGCCGACTTGTTGAATTGTTACAATATTACAAGTCTCACTCACCAATAAATGATGTTGTCAAATTAATGTCGTTTTGCAAAATGATTTTAAGGACGATTTATAGGAAAATAATTGAGTTGAATAATAATTTCAATATTTTGGTGAGACTCTCGCTGTGTTTGCCATAATAATTGAGGTTCCCTGAATTATTGTGTACTCAAGCAGGCCGTAAATGCATACAAGATTCTCCGAAAAACACTTAGATGCATAGTTTATAATATAATACTCCACAATATCATTTCGTTTTCCTTGATTAAAACGTACACGGGTTAAACACTTCAACAGATTTGTGTGGGTTTGTGTCGGTCAAAATATCAATATCTTTGTTTATTAGACCGTGTTACAATATTCTGAACTCTGAAGTGCGACCAAAACTGTAAAAGCAAATCCAAAAGAGTCAACGTTAATGCTCATTATTTCCCCATAACTGCCCAGACCTTTTTCGCCTAGGACCATTTTCACGTGGTCAGTAGTGATAGAAGTGTAAACATTATCCCTATATATTTTATTGTATCGCGTGTTTTATAAAATTATTAGCCATATCTTTCTCGTGGTCGGTGATAGAAGTGTAAACATTATCCCAATTTGTTTCTCGATTTCAGTATGTAGATGAAGAAAATCTCAATGAAAATGAGTACAGCGAAAACTTGTTTTTAGGCTAATCATTGTATATTTCAAGTTAAATCTTGCTATTAAGTTTTGCATACGTGAATTCATTTCATTGTTTGTTGACATGGTTGGATTATTAGTCAGAATATAAGTTTCATATATAATCTCAATTCCTTAAGTCTTAAACAAAGATACGTCATTCGGAAATGTATGATTTAAACTTTAAATTAAAGTTGTGAATAATCTTATGATCCATATTTAAAACAAGGATATGAGCAAACCACTTCTTCACAAACATTCAAATATTCCTACTGAGTTTTAGTGAGACTACAAATAAAGAGGTTTCTTGTTAACTCTAAGAGAGTAATCCAAAATTTAAACTCGTTGACTATCATAGTCCACCCTTATTGTTTCCCTAAATTTTAAATTCATGTATAGATTTACTAAGTGAAAGGCTAAAGTTTATTTGTCCTACTCTTTTGCATTATGTGATAAAATTACAATAATACCACAAGAGTCAAGCAGAAACGATAGAGTAAAGAGGCTATGATATGATTAAGCTTTAATGCATAGTGAAATTAATAATGAAATTTCATTCCTACGGAAGTGGAGCTCACCCTTTTAGCTATTCCTTCTTAATCATTAATCTTTTTTTTTTGTTAGAAAATTTTAATCATTGATCTTGTGGTATGGCTCTCTTCAGACAGCAGACAATAATACTCATAAGTTACAAAATTAGCATAAACTCATAGTTCCTCTGTATTATTTAAAAGTTTTTAGCCAAACTTGTTTCTTTTTCTTTGACCGATGTTCAACATTTTAAATATAGATATATTATTTATTTCCCCTTATTAATCCTATAATAAATGATTAATTTATTATCGTTGTATTGATAATTAACACTATCAAACATTAAGCAACTTCCTTTGATGAGTGTGTCTTAAATAAAAAAACACCATTCAATATGAATCATAACCAATTAAACTAATTAATATTTCATGAGAACGAAATGTTAAATCTTTTGATCATTAAAGATGTTTCATATCGTATTTGCTATTACAAAAAAAAAATACTAGCAAAATAAGAGGACATGATAGCATTTTAAACCAATGACAGCGGCGAAAAAAAGGCAAACAATTGGTGTCAGCTTTTTGCAATGCACACCGAAGATCCGATCAGCAATGTGTTAGGTCTGATTTATAACGTTAGCTTTTGATATTTTGTCGGTTGGAAAAGTGCAGCACATTCACCGGTTCGGCGATGTTCGTGTCCACACTTTAGTACTATACCCCCAACCCCAATATGTCCTTCACTTTCTTTCTGCTTGTGTGTGCGGAATGCAACTATATTTCGTTCTCAACAAAATAACAACCTTATTAAATTTGTGTAGTCTTAATTATTATTTATTATCAATACAGATTATATTGAAAGTTTTACTCATCGTTTTTACTTACCTTATGAGTAAAACGCACTACGCACAATACTAACACTCTTAACCCCAAGCCCCAAGGCTAATGATTATCAAGTTTCTGTTTGAATGTTCATTTCTAATCAATTATAGATGTCCCTGATGTTAAACAAAACGCACTAATGCAAGAAAAAATAAAAGCAAACAGAATAAGAATACATAAATTCACATGAAACATGCTGAAAACGCAGTAAGTACGCATGGTTAGATGTCGATGCATTGAGTCCATCCAAATTTTATTCTATAGTTGTTGTTGATTATTTGGACGAGTATTTAATTAAGGAAGCAAATTACAATTGAGGTTCTTCAAAACGGAAAGTGGGAGGAAGAGGGTCGCAATGCGTCACGTTTTAGCAATATGAATGGAATGGGAGAGAGGAAGTGCGTGTCGTTTTCACCAGTTCCCATAAAGTGTTTCTAAGTCAAATATTCCAAAAGCGAGTGCGATACTGCGATCACGATCATCCAACGCCCATCGTGTTGCCAGTTTAGTTGATCACCTTTTCTCTTCTCTCTTCTCACTTCATTTTCTCCATAGTTTTTTTTTGTTAAAGTTCATTTTCTCCATAGTTTTGACAATTAGATCTATGATACAATAATATACTCCGTATTATACTAGAAAATTATACTTTAATACTGTTGTTTGATTAAAATAACTCGTTGGGTTTTTTACTCTCATAAAGAAAAAAAAAAAAACAATCAACTGTTAGAAAAAATGTGGTGATAATAAATGAAAAATAATGGGTTTATTTCTGGCAAAAAGTGATCGAACCTTCGACATGTGCTCCTGTGCAACTTTTTATAATAAAGTGGCAATTTTAGCAGTACGTTTCTAAAATTCTCCAATCAGGCCATCACTCCTGGATTCTTCCTTTTTTTTAATATAATTTTTGCAGTTGTTCGAGGCCTTTTATGTATAATTATATATCAAGTAGAAACGAGAAGAAAATACTCATAAAATGGTATTGCAACCGACCGAAAGTGTACCAAGTTGTACATATACCCTTGAGACAGAGGGCCATTAAAAAATTATCAATATTAATATAAAGTTTGCCGAAAACGATAATAGGTCCAATGAAATTTGCGAATAAATGCGCAAAGTAAAAAGTAATATTTCTCATACACAATTTGGAAGAGAATGGGGAAGTTTGTAGTATACACCAACATCCAAAGACTGACTTTCGTGAAGAGAGATGGTTTTAGTTAGCAATGTTGATTCCGGTTTCCGGAGAAAAAACACAACTTTTCAATAACTTTTATCTAAAGTTATATAATTTGGATCGGATGACTCGATCTAACATGCACAGTAAGCCTAGGAGTTTTGTCCACACGACACGACCACTTGACCTAAAAGCAGCGAAAATCATAAACTTCGGATTATTACTACGTGTACATGTGTGTGTGTGTGTGGGTGATATATTCCTACTAAAAAAATGTTATATTTCATCTAACGCGGAATCACACCAGCTCATACATATGTCACGTAACCAAATATAACACCTAAAAAATATTTAATATTTTTCAGTTAGGTCCATTATGATATGGTCTTATCGGGTCAAAGAAGACTAGCTCCCACAATCTAAGGTTTAAAGATCTTCAAGAGAATTTCTTGAAAATGAAGTTGGCGTCTATAGATAATGCTGTGACGGAAAGAGTAGATTGGTCCATATCTTGATTGATACTCTTGTGTATGAAAGCGCCACTGAAGATATATACGACCACAATTGCAAATGATGAGTGGTGAGTGGAACTTAAGAGTTGTATCATCAAAGACAAAGTATTCAGAAAAGAGGAGTTGTTTCTTTTCATATGATTTCGACTAATTGGTCCTTGAAAAGGCAGACGACTTAAAAACATAGGCATTCACTTTGATTTGGTTTGTTTCGGTTTGGTATAGATGTGACAGGTGCCAAAAGATATAGAGCTTGCAAGAAGTTGGATTCTAACCGGGTTTGGTTTTGGTTGGTATTATGTCGATTGATTAGTATACTGGATAGGGTATACATGTAATCGAGTTAGCTTTTGAGTTTTGTGGTACTAAATAATGTTAAGAGTAGACGAATATGGATGAAGTGGAGATACAATCCTAATCCGACTTTTGACAGCATTGCTTGAGATATATATGTAGAGAATATTCGAGTAAGCCATACTAATTAATCTTAAACACTCTCTACCATATCAATAATACAACATCCACTATCTTTTCGATACGTTAATTTGTTCGAATTCTTAATTTTTAATAGTTTATTAGCTTTACTTAGACATGGTACATTCAGACACATATTGATGGAATCATTCATTTAATTCGATTAAAAACTTAGTTTAGTGGTATATATTTTAAGGTATTCCTCTACCTTAAATTAATCAATTATTATAATAATTATTATTTGTAAATACCTTAATTTCGTAATAAAACAAAAATAACCAAACGAACATATTCTTGATTCCTGAAGTGATGGATGAGATTTGTTTCCCTTCATGTCTTTTATGGAATCACTTCATCCTTCACTCTTAATGGGTTTTAGTATCTTGAATTTTCGTTTTGATTGTGGAAAAGCATGTTTATGTTTGTTTTCTCTTTTAATATAGTAATAAAAGAACTAAACAAGCAGATATTTTCATTTTCCCAAAATGTTACGATTCTTACTCTATATTGGCCTTCTGGAAAATCTAGGACCACAATATCACTTTTCACTTATCTTATTTATTTATTCTAAAGATGAAGCCACATGTCGTGTTATAATTAATATTATAGTGCCTACTCCATTAACACCGGTCCAAAACTTGCATGCTTCGTTGGTCCAGTTTGAAGAAGAACAAATTCTTAAACGACTATAGTTAGTTTCCATCAAATCGTTTACGCAAAAGTAAAATTTGTTTGATCACAATGAAAGCAACGTATACATTTTAGAAATGCGTATACCTTTCACGTCTAAGCACTTTCAGAGGTTCAAAATGGTTTGAACAATGGCATCTGCATGCGACCGTATAATATTTAGATTTTTGAACTCGTTTTTCGAATGTTGTTGCTTTATATTCTATAGTTTTGAATTTGTTCCAATTGAAAGTGTGCTTTATATATTCTTAAACTATGATCACGCAAGATTATTATTTTTTTCTTATTTTAATGTATAATGTGAATAAAATAATAGAAAAAGAAAAACTTCAAATACTCCACAGTTATCTACAATACTTCAACTTGTACGAGTAACGGAGTACTAATTACTAAACTGCATGTCGTTGCTATTATCAATAACTTTAGATTAACGCAAAGTGTTGGAATAAAGAGAAATAAATATGTTGGAAGAAATATGTATAGACATAGAAATAGTAACAAAATATGTTGAAAAAGGATAATAAGTTTTTTTTTTAAGAAAAAAGAAAAGGATAATAAGTAACATTATTAAGATAGAAACAACGACGAAGGGAATAGTATAGCGACAACAGCTAGGTCCAGTCAAAATCACTTGGCAAATAAAGTCAATGTAACGAATTATAAACAAGTATCAATTTCTCCTCTGCGTATGCGATTTAGAAGAATAGAATCAAAGAGAAGAGAGGATTACGAATAAGTATGGCAAATTCTGAACCCATGGTTTGTGAGTGGAGAATTTTTTTATTGATTGATAATAATGAAAAGGAATAACTGATGTCAAATCAAAACTATAGTCCAGCTTTTTTTCTTTCTTGAAACATAAATACGGATTTCTAAAAGTTTTGGTACGAAATATCATCTCTTTGATTTATCGGAAGAAGTACTAAAAGGATTCGAAATAACTGATAAAGCAAAGGACTGGATTAGAAAGCATTTGGATGTAATTTTTTAGTGTAGTACTAAATTCGAAGTATGATCTTATGATGTAAATTTAGTTAACCAAGAAAAAAATTTTAATATAGAGTTTGGTTTTGGTCAATTTTGAGTCCAATATTCTGTTTATACAACCAAGAACGCATCTAGTCGAATTATTTCCTCGATTTCGCAAACCGAATAAACCGATTCGGCTAAATCCGTTTCTCTTTTCTGTTGGTCATGATTGATTTGTCGGATAATTTAAAAATGGGCTTTTGTATTAACAAGTGGCCCAAATGTTAAGACAAATTGGAAAACCAAACATCTAACAAAAACAGCCCAACCTAGTACTCTACTGTTCTCTCGCTTTCAAGTTTTAACTCTTTTTACCGAAGATGAGTGCAAACGATAACAATCTGGGTGCCAGGTTCTGGGAAGTGATATGCGCTGAGAACGGCCTCGATCTGACCACTGGAAAACAGCTAGAACCACCGTGTATAACTAGAAACGACGACCACCACCATGGTATAGCACACCAGCAAGATCCAAACCACCCACTAGCCGCCACGGATGGAACCACGACGGGGAAGATGAGCACCAACCACCAGAAAAGCGATGAGATTGAAGAGAAAACTAACATCAGAAAGGAAGAAAATTAGAGAGAATCAAGTCGCACTACCTTTTTTTTAGCTTTTGTTTATTTCATGCATGAACTTATGATTCATTCACTAGATCGTTCATCTTCGTAAGCATGGGTTTATGTGTTTGGAAATGGAATTGTTCTAGTTTTTTTAAATTTACTGTCGTCAATCCTCCAAAATTTTCTATGGCTTACGTTAATCATCAATCAAGATTTGTAATGTCTTTTACTTCGCTGGTGTTCAATTTGTTGATGCTCTCTAACGAAATAGCCTTTGTTATACGAAAGACGAGCAAGAAAATCTATAATATAAAACCAAAAAGAAAAAGAAAAGCTATAATACGTTCATTTACCAGTTTCACATAGACAGTTTTGGGTAGAGTTGAATTCGTGATCTTTTGCAAACACATTCTCTTCCCTAAGAAAAAAAACACATGCTCGTCCATTTTGTTTTTGTTCTTATCTCTAATTAACGTATGGCTCAAACTGTGCTAAAGCTGAAAAGTAACTGCACAAAATTTAAAATTGTAACAACAAAACAGAGAAGAAAACTCAAATAAATAAAATCCCGGTTGATTGTTAGAATTGTAAATGTTTCAATTTCTGTCAGATATAACAAATCCCGGTTGATTGGGGTAAGGTTTTAGACCTTTTACCTAATGCTCTTGTAATCTCACGACCACCTAATTTTCTCTTAGGGTTAGAGATGGTACAAAGTTTTCAGTAGACGAAGCAACTCTTGTTTTGAAGACACCAGAGACGTTTCCTGTGATTACATGCACGTTAATCTCAATGTTAATGCCTTGAGCGACGTGGTTTGTCTCTTGGGAGCTAACTGTGATAAGCCACTGCCAAGTCTCGGCCATATTATATTGGCCTCGTTGTTTTGGTTCTCTATCAGTACTAGCTTGCTTCAGTTTTTATAGGGTTTATTTTCTTTGTACTAATAATGACATGCTTGTTATATAGGCAAAACCATAATACATTGTTTGCCTTTGATCACCAACTCAGACAAGTTATATTGTATTTGTATACTATAGCTTCACTCATTCATCATCCTCAAGAAACTAATTGCTATGTAAGACTATCTAGCTTATTTTAGAATTTCGTTATCGGGAAAGGCAACAAGATGAAGACATTCAAAAACACTAATAACATGTCAACTCTATTAAGAACTCGGAGGCCGCGAAGAGTAACAACCCCCGTGAACAATAAAATTCCGGCGGCTGCAGCTTTAAGAAAACCGGACACCATCAACATGGTCGGGCCATTCTCGTAGTAAATCTCCGAGAATCCAATACCGATCCCGATTCCTACAGGTGTTGTGAGACAAAACACTAGCGCCATCACTAAACGTTTCTTCAATCCAAACTTTGCCTGGGAGATGCAACCTCCACGACCAATTCCTAATAACAACTGATGGAAGGTTATTGCAGCTGCAAGAGGCTTAATTATGCTAACGTTTTGAGATGCTCCTAAAGACATTCCGATGATCACTGAGTGGACCATAATCCCTAATTCCAATACCTAAACCCACGAGAAAGAAACAAAGCACAATCAAAATCAAAGTGGAGGAGGATGTGGATTTATCTTAACAAAAAAAAAGAAAAAGTTTGTGTTTACGTGAGTTACAAGATTAGGTCAAATCTTCTTGTCATCTTGGCGGGAAACAGTCTGATTTCTAATCATAAAAATTGACTTGGTTTCAATCATGGTAAGGATCGCAGCAGCCATGGCTACAAGTCTAGTCATCCGGAAATCTCCGATGCGAGAACTTTCGAGGCTCCTTGTGGCATCAGGAATGATGTAGAGGATAGAGATGGCGCACATTGCCACAGAACCAAAGTGACTAAGGAGTGGGAAGAAAAATTCGTCCATGCCAAAGATGGCCAAACAAACACCAAAAACTCCTACAATAAATGTGGCCAAGATGGCTTTCATCTTATGCTCAAGAGCCGTTGCTGAATTTGATGCGGCGAAGATAGGAGCAAAGCCAAAGTAGTAGAACTCTTCCTCCGCCGCCGCCGCCGCCGCGGAGACTAGAAGAGGTACAACAACCAAGTAGACAACCAAAGCCGAAATCAAGGTTTTACCCATCTCGATGATTTTCCTTTCTTTCTGGTTTTGTGTTTCTATGTCCACGATTAGGGTATCATTCTCAAATTCTCTCTTGTCTTTTTCATCTTAAAAAAAAATTGGTCACCGACTTCATGTTTCAAAATCGGGCTTGCCGGCCTAAAATCAATTTTATCAAGATAATTTTTTCAAAATTTCAAAATTACATAATTTTTAAGCTTGAAGGGACTCTTGAAGAGAACAGCTAGAACCACCGAGTATAACTAGAAACGATGACCACCACCACGGTATAGCACACCAGCAAGAGCCAAACCACCCACTAGCCGCCACCGACGGAACCACAACGGGACGATGAGCACCAACCACCAGAAAAGCGGTAAGATTGAAGAGAAAACTAACATCAGCAAGGAAGAAAATTAGAGAGAATCAAGTCGTACTACCCTTTTTTTAGCTTTTGTTTATTTCATGCATGAACTTATGATTCATTCACTAGATCGTTTATCTTCGTAAGCAAGGATTTTTTTTTTTGGAAATGGTATTGCTCTTTTAAAAAATTTACTGTCGTCAATCCTCCAAATTTTCTATGTTAATCATCAATCAAGATTTGTAATGTCTTTTACTTCGTTGGTGTTTATTTTGTTGATGCTTTAACGCCATAGCCTTTGTGATATTTTGTTATACGAAAGACGAGCAAGAAAATCTATAATACGTTTCATTTTATCAGTTTCACATTAGACAGTTTTGGGTAGAGTTAAATTCGTCTTTTGCAAACACATTCTCTTTCCTAAGAAAAAAATACATGCTCGTCCATTTTTGTTTTGTTTTTACCATTAATTGACGTATGGCTCAAACTGTGCTAAAGCTGAAAAGTAACTGCATAAAATTTAAAATTGTGACAACAAAACAAAACTAGAAACCTTTTATGTGTGATTTATACGTTTCAATATCTTGATAAAACAGAAAAGAAAACTCAAATAAATAAAATACAATAAGAAACGCATAACAAAACCATCAACAATTGCGTCTAAAATTGTCTTGTGCGTGGAGCAGTCAGGTGTAATTATAAAACAACATTAGTGGTAACTCTATAAATCAATTGCCTTTATGCTTAAACGGCCAAAATCCCTTAAATGTTTCAATTTCAGTCAAGTAAAACAAATCTCGTTTGATTCGGGTAAGGTTTTAGACCTTTTAACTAATGGATGTGTGATTTACAGGATCCAAACCACCAACTTGGGCTCCATGCATAATCTGTGCATATACCCACAAGAAAGATTAAGAAGCACGTGCATGTGTGAATGTTTTGAAGTACGATTCTCCTACCAAATTTAATGGCTCCAAGGTTAGCAACACAATAATGGTTATCAAAGAGTAGACACATGCCATGATGTAGTTGAGGTCACGGTTTCTTGAAATTCATGTTGTTGCATAGAATCAGAGAAATGAGCTCCTCCGACAAAGATGCTAACCACAATCATGTGAAACAAATAATAAAACAGTGAACAATGGAATCATACAACAAACAAACCAACACTTGGTCACTCATAATCAAACACCAATCGGATGAGTGGACCATATGCGGCACCTTTTAAGATGGCAGAAACCAGTAGCACCCAGAGGAGTTGTTAATAAAAATGCTTACTATAGTTGTTCCACTTTCTTGTAAGAAACAAGAAAAACAATACACCACCAAAACCACACGAAGTAGCTCAACCTCCAATGTCAGATGCATAGAAGCTCCAAATGCACCAAAGAACATACACCATAAAAAGGTAATGTAAACCTACACCACCAGCAGATTGTTAAATGTGAACATGATGTATCTCTTTATATATGAATCCCTAATACAGATTGACAACAATTGGTTGAAACAAATTCGTTAGATACTTTGCAAAATAACCAAACATAACCAGATCAATAAACATAACTTTCCCAATGTCTATCTAAACATATTCAATTTTATGCGGAAGGGTCGCTTACTGGATGACTTTTGAGTTGCCAGGTTTAATTTGCACAGAAATAAACCTAAGGATCATATTTGCAAATTTAATTTAGTTTATAGTAGATTAATTATCCCAAAACCCTTAATATTAATGAGTGATAAGAAAAGTTTTGTTAGTTTCAATTGCAATTACAACATGATTCTAGTAGGTTTTTTTTTCTTTTTCTAGTAGGTTCTCATGTGTATGTTTCAATTGCAATTATATTGTTCTATTAAAAATCACGTTAAACAAAAAATACTTACGAGAATCAGCACACAATATTCTTCCAATCTTAAACTCTCATCTTCTCTAATAATTTACTATTTGTTTCATATTTATTTGATATCAGGTGTAATTAAAAAACAAAAATCCAGATTTTAAAGTTTAATTAAAACATGATTTAAATTAGAGTCAGAGAAAATAAATCCCCGGTTAATTCGTTAGTTTTAGACCTTTTACCAAATGTCTTGAATTATTACGACGACATTAGTGTTAATAATTTTATAGATTTGGTCAGACTTAGACTACACATTTGTTTCGATGGGAGAGAGTAAATACAAAAACGACCGAGTTTCAGATAACTTTCACTCGCTCACTCTCGTCTCAAGTACAAATTCTATTACCAATCGCTTTCGTTGACTCATCACAGACTTAAAGAGTAGCGAGTAGATAAACAAACCGTACTCGCGAGTGTTTTGAGTTCTTCTCAGTGACTGAGATTTTTTGAATTATGTCTCATCGCAACGGGTCTCCTTCTCTCTCTCTTTACTATGCACATATCTCCAAGAGTACAAGATTTTGAAAAAATCTCTACTTTCCCTTGGCTCGAAAAGAAGAGGGAAAACAATATGAAAAAGAAATATAAAAATTAAAGAATTCTTTTTCTTTTTAGGAAAAACAAAAGTAAGAAAGAGTTTTCATTTCATCATGGCTCCTCACACCCAATCACTAATCTCTCTCTCCATTCCCCGAGTTTAGGGCACTCGTTTTGGGATAAAAATCTCATCTTTGTTTTTAATCCTCTCTTCTTCTCCTTCGAATCGAACTTAAAGAAGCTCCTTTTACTTTAAAATCGGTGGAATCAGAGAAATGGGTATCTCCAATTGGGTTTTCTCAGTCATTTTAGCAGCTACCCTTTTCGTTTCGTGCTCCTTTGCTCTCACTCTTGATGGTTAGTCAAATACTTTTGCTTTTAATTATTTTGGTTGGTGAGAAATCTGAGATTTGATCAACTTTTGGCCTATTCTTTTTTATTCTCAATGCCAATAAAAGTTCTTCTTGCTGAGAAAATCTCTTACATTTCTTACTAAAATCGGAGCTTATGATGTTGCAGGGTTTGCTCTGTTGGAATTGAAAAGCGGATTGAATGATACGAGGAACTCTCTAGAGAACTGGAGAGATTCAGACGAGTCTCCTTGTTCCTGGACTGGTGTCTCCTGTAATCCTCAAGACCAGAGAGTCGTTTCCATGTAAATTTCTCTTTTGTCTTATTCTTCATCACATTTCTCAATCTTCAGCTCCTGATTGTGTGTGGATGATTATGCAGAAACTTACCGTACATGCAACTAGGAGGGATCTTATCTCCTAGCATTGGGAAACTTGGTAGATTGCAGAGACTGTGAGTAATTAATCTTTCTATATTTGCTTCTTTCTTTTTTTTAGCAATATTCAATTTTGGTATTTTTTAGTAGTTTTGTTTTAATCCAAATCTGGTTGGAGTTTTGTAGGGCACTTCATCAGAACAGCTTACATGGAACAATTCCTAATGAAATCACCAATTGCACTGAGCTCAGAGCTATGTAAGTCAGATTTTAGCGAATTAAGCAATTGGAAATATCAAACCTTATAGTAGGAGTGTTGTTGAGCCATGAACATTGGTTTAAACATGGTTTTCAGGTATTTGAGGGCTAATTATCTTCAGGGAGGGATCCCACCGGATATAGGCAACCTCACGTTTCTTACTATACTGTAAGATTCCAAAAAAAATGTACTGCTTTCTTGATTATTCTTTTCATATTTTTGTTAATTTACTGAGGATGTTTAAGATGTTTTCAGGGACCTATCAAGCAATACACTGAAGGGTACCATTCCTTCTTCACTTAGTCGACTGACGCGTTTACGCTCCTTGTAAGTACACCAAAAAAATCTCTGCCTTTAGATGCAACTGTTGAAGATTTGTCTGTTTAATGGATTTTGTAACTCTTTTGGTTGATTCAGGAATATATCATCCAACTTTTTCTCTGGTGAGATTCCGGACATTGGAGTTCTCAGCAGATTTGGGGCTGACTCGTGAGATCTCTCATCATTTCGAAATTTCGAAAAAACTTTTGTGCCAATGTGAGACTAGGATGTTTTTTCTGATTGTTGTTTTGTGTGCTTTGTGGTTAGGTTCTCTGGTAATTTAGATCTTTGTGGGAGGCAAATTCACAAGCCATGTAGATCATCAATGGGTTTCCCTGTTGTTCTTCCTCATGCAGAAAGTGATGATGACTCAGGCAAGATCTTATCTCTTAACCAAATAATCCCTTCTCAAGGCTTCTCTTGGCTCAAAACTTTCTTATTCTTGATTTCTCTTTCTGATATCCTTACAGATCCTCCAAAGCGATCCTCACGCTTGATCAAAGGAATAGTGATCGGTGCAATGTCCACAATGGCTCTTGCCTTCATTGTCATCTTTGTGTTCCTATGGATTTGCATGCTCTCAAAGAAGGAAAGAACAGTCAAGAAGTACACCGAAGTCAAGAAACAAAAGGAACCATCCGAAACAAGTAAAAAGCTTATTACTTTCCACGGAGATCTCCCATACTCCTCCACCGAGCTCATCGAGAAGCTAGAGTCTCTTGACGAGGAAGACATTGTTGGCTCAGGAGGATTTGGCACAGTCTATCGTATGGTGATGAACGACCTTGGAACTTTTGCTGTCAAGAAGATAGATAGGAGTAGAGAAGGATCAGACAGAGTTTTCGAGAGAGAGGTTGAGATTTTGGGAAGTGTCAAACACATCAATCTAGTGAACCTACGTGGCTACTGCCGCTTACC